TAATAGAATCACAGAGCTAGAAGGGACCTTGAGGGTCATCTAGTCCAACCCCCTGCAATGCAGGAATCTGCAGATCTCCCATACGGGGACTGAACCTGCAACCTTGGTGTTACCAGCACCGTGCTCTAATTGAGCTGTCATTTCTGCCAATGCAAAAATCCTGGGAACTGTAGTTTGCCAAGCTACAATTCCCAGCACCTTTAACAAATGACAGTTTCCAAAATTCTTTCGTGGAGGTGAAATGTGTTTTCAATGTATCTGAAGTGCACACAGCCCCAGATCAAACCTGTGCTCAGCTCATGATTCCTCCTTGGCTTCTCCTTTGAGAGGCACACAAGAGAGATGATCCAGCTGCGTGCCCTTGCCCTTGGAATCTTCCCCGTCCTTAGCCACCTGATCTTTTAAAGTTTAAAGGCCACACAAATTGAACTCTCTTGCATGCCAAAGCAGCGCTTTACCACTAAGCAGCTCTGGCGGCTTGGGACTTCTAAGGGTTAAAGTGAGCTTATCTGGATTCCTAGAGAGGAAGGGAATTAGGAGGGCGGGGAGGAGGAGGAGGGTCTGGAGTCTTGCAGAGAAAGAGCGTCTCCCCCCAAAGCCCCTGCCTACCTGGATCTATCACTTTGAACAGGGTGGGAGGGAGCCCTCTGTTTGTCTCAAGCACCCTTCTGAAACCTGGCGGTGAGTCGACCCCCCTCTAGTTTGTGCATTCGGGTTCAGGGGAGTCCCAGGGCTGCAGTGGGAGGTTGCAGAGAGGGGTCTGTGCAGCCGATCCATCCACGGGACGCCCCCAAATTTGGGAGTGGAGGTTCGTCCTCTCTCTCCAAAGCCAGACGGCCCCTTTTGAAACAGAGTGTGTGTGGGGGGGTGTTAAAACTGATCTGCATTGAAGTATTTCTTCAATTGCACTTTGATTAGAATTTGCATACACACGCCAGCAATTAATCAGGCAGTGCTATCAAGCCTCCACTCATTTACCCATTCAGACATCCAGCCCTTCAGAAGACGTGGAGGGGGAAATCTTTTTTGAGATGTGCTAAGAAAGCATTGCTGATCAAAAGCAGCAGAGATCCAGCTGTTCGGAAGAGAAATTAAAATAGACAAACAGAGCAGTTCCAAACCCATCAGAGCGAAGGGCTGTGGGGTGAGTCAGTGGGCAAGTATCAGCTTCCTTCCTTCAGAAGGGGTTGGAGTGCAAAGTCAGGCTTTTGAAACAGGTGAGAATGGGGTTTTTAAACCACATAGGATAGACACCTGCTGCCCCCAAACTGTGCAAGCTGATCATTATAAGAACAACTGTTTAAGAATTGACGCCTGAGTTGGATTTCCCCTCCCTGTCACTTTTCCATTGTGTGTTGTTTTTCCCCAGATTGTAAACTTGCAGGCAGGGACTGTATTGTTTCAGTTCACTGCTTTGTAAGTCACTCCAGGAACCTTTTTAGCTGAAGAGTGGGGTTAAGGTAAAGGGACCCCTGACCATTTGGTCCAGTTGTGACCGACTCTGGGGTTGCGGCGCTCATCTCGCTTTATTTGCCAAGGGAGCCGGCGTACAGCTTCCAGGTCATGTGGCCAGCATGAATAAGCCACTTCTGGCGAACCAGAGCAGCGCACGGAAACGCCGTTTACCTTCCCACCGGAGCGGTACCTATTTATCTACTTGCACTTTGACTTGCTTTCGAACTGCTAGGTTGGCAGGAGCAGGGACTGAGCAACGGGAGCTCACCCCGTCGGGGGGATTCAAACCACCGACCTTCTGATTGGCAAGCCCTATGCTCTGTGGCTTAACCCACAGTGCCACCCGCATCCCACCAAGAGTGGGGTACAAATGCCTAAATAAATAAATACTTGGAGGTGCCAGGACTTGAACCTGGGACCCTGTGCATGCAAGGACTTAGGGATGAGGGGAACTGTGGCTGGCAACTTTCAGAAACAAAGGATGACAGTGTTAAAGAGAGGGAGGGTGCCCCAAGGGGAAGGAGTGGTAGGGAACAGACCAGTAGAACAGATACCGCACCTTTTTACATTCAACCAGACTGCTGCTATTATTATTATTTAGCTCTATTGCCTGCCCTCACTAAAATGCCCCACGGTGGATTACAGCAATACAGAATATATTTGGTTGCTAGCCAGACTCATCCACATTTTCCCTGTCCTGGTAGTGTAATAATTCTATAGCTAACAATAATTCAATGGCTTGCCTTTTCAGGACCTGGTAGCACTTCTACTTAGGATTGTCTTATTCTTGGAGACAGAAACTGGAAGGAGACAAAGGGGTTCTTTTGGTTCTGTTCAGTTCTTCCATAAAAGAAGTATCAAAGATGGATGAGGATTTAGGAAGTTGTCCCAGTATCATCCAGGCAGGGAGCAGCGGAGGATCCTGGGACAGAACCCGACTGAAGATCCCGGGTGAGGAGGACACCCTTAGCTCACATGCTGAGCACCAGCAGTTCAGGCATTTCCACTACCAAGAGGCCGAAGGACCCCGAGAGGTTTGCAGCAAACTCCACCGTCTTTGCCACAAGTGGCTGATGCCAGAGCGACACACTAAGACTCAGATCCTGGACTTGGTGATCTTGGAGCAGTTCCTGGCTGTTCTTCCACTGGAGATGGAGAGCTGGGTGAGGGAGTGTGGAGCAGAGACCAGCTGTCAGGCTGTGGCCCTGGCTGAAGGTTACCTCCTCAGCCAGGCAGAGGACGAGAAGCAGAGAAGGCAGCAGGTGAGAGTGTTTATCCTGGTACTTCCATATGATTGTCAACCCTTTTCAGGAAAGCATCCAAGGATATCCGGTAACCCTGAAGGTTTCTTCTTCTCTCATTCCTTCTTTTTATTCTTCTTCCCATTTGGTCTTTTGAATCTTTGTTGCTCTTTCAGGGAAAAGATCTATTTGCAAAAATGGATGTTGATTTCTCCGAGTGGGAGAGGACTCCATCAGACACCAGACAGAGGCCACCGGGTAAGGGTTGATGGGATCCATCTCAATATGGTCCCCCAAATTCTAATGTGAAATAAATATGTGGGCTCCCTTAATTTTTGGGGTGAATGACCCTCTTCTCCAGCCTTTTTCCAGAGATGAAAAATGTCTTTATTTACAATGTTTTGCTATGTTATCCATGGAGACCTGCACTTTGACTTGTGGTCAAAAGCTGATACATTGAACGCAAGTGCTTGCACGTAATCATTAACATCGAGCTTACAGCACCACATACAGTGCATACGCTGGTTGCGAGTGACGCTTCCATGCGCATAAGCATGATTTCAGCGTTTGCGCATGCACGATGCTGAACCTGGAAGTAACGGAGCACGTTACTTCCAGGTTTCGCCACATGCGCAGAAGCTCAAAATGACGTCATGAGCAGAAGCGGTGAATCGCGACCCGCGCATACATGGACGCGCGTTGCGTTCACTTCAGGATGTGAACGGGGCTCCAGAATGGATCCCGTTCGCATGCAGAGGTACCACTGTATTCATAAACTCTTGACACATAAGCCTTTTTGTAGTTCTTCATACTGACTTCCCACCAACTTTGTCTCTTGCAGGTGATGGCGTGATGCTGGCAAGAGCTCCTAAGCCATCTCCTCTTCACAGCAGAGGGGAAGCAGCTTCTGTGGCACAAGATCAGGTAGTGGGGCAGATCAGTGTGGGGAGAGAGGCTGGGGGCAGCCAGGGCACCTCTGTTCCCTCCTCACCTTCCGTGGCCTGAATGAATCTCTCTTACCACTTTGCTGCTTTGAAATCTGTCCTTGGCAAAGTCTCCAGAGGGTGCTGAATAGAAGTAGTTAATGTTTATGCTGTCTGTGAGGGGGTAAATGTTTTCTTTTTATTTTAGGATTCATTGTCCTTTGAAGATGTTGCTGTGTATTTCACAGACGAGGAGTGGGCGCTGCTGGATCCTGATCAGAGAGCTTTGCATAACGAAGTCATGGAGGAGAATTGTGGGATCATGGCCTCTCTCAGTAAGCCTCCCAACTGAATCATAATATCAACTTTGAAAATAGTTACATGTGTGATGTATCAACAAAATTATCATATAACTCAACTGTGCCACCTATAGCGTCTGGATTCTATATGCCCCCGCATTTAAACATTGAATGAACAGCAATCTATTGTTTCATCTCAGAATATACTTTGTCCAATTATGTCCTTTTAAACAGAGATCAAATGGGTCTGAACTTCCCAGGCCTTTTGAAATGTAAATTTCGGAATTGTTACGGAAGTGGAAGTAGCCTCTCAGTCATTTTCTGGTTGGCGAAAGAGACCACTGACATCAGAAATGGAGCAGATTTCATGATTGTGCCAAACAAGTATCCATCTCAGGAAAGAGGTGGGCTTTTGCTAGTATCAAATTCCCATAACATTTTAAGCTTTTCCCCTCCTGGAAACATCAGGACAGGAGTCCAAATATGCTCTCTTTAACAACCAGCCATGTTCAAGGAACTGCGCACTTGCTCTAAAATCGAAGACAGGTAACATGTAACAAGCAAAGTTAGACTGGTTTTAGTAAGAAAATTGTGTTTTGTTTGATTGTGCTTTTTGTGATGGATGGACCTTGGAGACCCAGAAACCAATCTGGGCTGAGTGGTGTGTCAACCAATCAGGAGGGAATGGAGAGTTAAAAGATAGAAGCTGACAATTTAACTGTCAGATAGGGCTTGGATTGGGTTTAGAAAGGTCTTGGCTAGAGATTAGCCGAGTGTTTTGGGTTTTGCTAGGCATGGCAGCCCATATCATTTCCCTGAGTAGAAGGGAAATATCCTAGAAGACGGTTGGAAGTGTTTTACTTGCTTAGTAGAACAAATAGCCATTCTAGGGCCAAGTAGAAGAAGTAGCTATTTCAGGAGGAATCAGTTTAATTAGAAACAGATTTAAAGTGGAAGTTTTGAGTGAAATTATTATTTCTGTAAAGTTGATTTGACTGAAACGAAAGTGTTGTGCCTAATTAGAGTAACCATTAAGCTTTAACCCTCATGGACTGTATATGAAATTTTAGTTTTGTTTCCAATGTCCCTCAACCTTACTTTGATCCTCCGGTTGAGGGATAAGCGGCCACAGGATTTTCTTCCACATTACTAGGAGTCCTTGCTGCTGGGTATGTGTAAATGCTACCAAATCACGAGGAACTAGACATCTCAGTGTTACTGACAGGGAGTGTCAATGTTTTAAAAGACCTAAAACCTGGTCATGTTACCTCACTCCAATATTTTCTGAGGGAGCTTGCCAAAATTATTTCTATTTTGAAATTTGGCTTAGCTTTGTTTTATAGGCTACTGTTAACGGGCATCTTTTTTTCTCACAACAACCAAATCCAACAGTGTAGCACACCAGCTCTCAGATAATGCTAGCAACTCTGTGCAATAAGATCTGCCTCCCATCTAAGTCCCTTCAGTTCTTTCTTTCTCACCGGCTTTCCAGGGGTTGGACTAAATGACCCTTGGGTCCCTTCCAGCTCTTATGATTCTATGGTATGTTCCAGTAATGTAGGTCTCCATTGTCTCCTAAAGCTCTAACAAATTCTATCTCCATTGCAGAAGGTAACAAATTGGAAACAATGAACCATGAGAAAATCCACACAGCGGAGGAGCCATCTAAATATTTAGAGTGTGAAGAGATCCTGAGTCAGAATTCCCACGCCATCCGGGAGAAACCATATCACTGTTTGGAATGTGGGAAGGGCTTCAAGTGGAAGAAAAGTCTCACTTCGCATCAAATAATTCATACAGGGGAGAAGCCATTTGAATGCTTGGAATGCGGGAAGAGCTTCAGCTGGAAGGAAAGTCTCACTTCCCATCAAAGAATCCATACAGGAGAGAAACCACATCAGTGCTTGGAATGTGGGAAGAGCTTTAATGCAAGCAGAAATTTGCGGCGCCATCAAAGAATTCACAGTGGGGAGAAACCATATCAGTGCTTGGAATGTGGGAAGAGCTTTACTAGAAGCACGAGCTTCCGTTGTCATCAAAGTATCCACAGTGGAGAAAAACCGTATCAGTGCTTGGAATGTGGCAAAAGCTTTACGAGAAGCATATACTTCCATCATCATCAAACAATGCACAGTGGGGAGAAACCGTATCAATGCTTAGAATGTGGAAAGAGCTTCCGCTGCAAGAGAAGTCTCATTTCCCATCAACAAATTCACACAGGGGTGAAATCATAAAAGCTGTGCCTTCTGGTGTAACCAAGTCTTGGTTTTCTCTCCATCTTCCTCTCTTGCAAACTTACTGTGGGCACTTAAACATTACACTTGTACAAATACTGATAAGACAATCACTTTAAGCTTTCCAGTTCTAGTGGTAAGGGGCAAATGATGAGGAAGAGAGAGGAGGCCACCAGTTGCTTCCTGATGGCCCTGGAAGTTGTTTGGTTGGGGCAGAAGTGCAGAGGAGGTGAGTGGAACCATTCATTGTTGACAGTTGCCCTCCAGCCAGAAAACTTCAAGACCCGCATTGCTGAAGCAAACTGTGAGGTTGCCCTCCTTCAAGATTGTGTGTGGAGTACTTTCTTTTGTGGGTTGAATTGTCTGAGGGCACCTGGTGAGAGGAAGTAGTACAAGGGGGAGGTGTTTACCATTCCACCCGCACGGGACGCGGGTGGCGCTGTGGTCTAAACCACTGAGTGTTTGGGCTTGCCAATCAATCGTAATTTGAATTGGCACAACAGGGTGAGCTCCCGTTGCCCTGTCCCAGCTCCTGCCAACCTAGCAGTTCAAAAGCATACCAGCATGAGTAAATAAATTGGTACCGCTGCGCCAGGAAGGTAACTAGCGTTTCTTTGCGCCCTGGCTTCCATCGTGGTGTTTCGTTGCTTCAGAAGTGGTTTAGTTATGCTGGCCACATGACCCAGAAAGCTGTCTGTGGACAAACGCTGGCTCCCTCATCCTGAAAACTGAGATGAGCGCCGCACCCCATAGTCAAATTTGACTGGAATTAACTGTCCTTTACCTTTACCTTACCTTTTACCATTCCACCAATTCTTTGGTGAGAGATAGCAACCTGCTATTTAAACACAGTGCATTCTTAGGAAATTGTTTGTTAGGTGAGCATTCTCAGAACAAGTCAACAATTTCATTTATTCCTATGAGGAAATTTCTAATGTGTTCTCAGCCACATAATTTTGACCCCCAAATGACGGAAAAACCCAGGAAAACTCTGAAACCTTGCGGAAGGCAAACAAGGAAGGGGAAAAGACCCTTTTATTTATCTACTCTCTCCCCCTTCCTCCCCTACTCCCACCATGGTTTCTGGTGAAACAGCTGCTGGGGACCATCAACACATAAAAAGTAAGGCTTGTTTAATACTTATTGGTTTACACAGTACTACACACAGGTTTGGCTGTTACGATATCTGAATCTGTGGTGTGTATAGTGAGGTTTAGGTACTAATCTATCATGTTTGGATAAGTGAATTTTCATATAACAAGCGTTTGGATAGCAGGACCTACGTGTATTGTCAATGAATGTTTTTATTGCCTCCTTGATGTGTTTCAACTATCCTTTTGTTCAGAGGAAGGTGTGGCTGATGACATTAGTTACAGATTGAGAGTGAGATATTGGAGTGTTTGGATGGTACGTCTGTGGGTATGTCTGGATGTGTGAGTGGTGTGTGAACAGAGTTTGTAGATGTAAGGTTGAATTTAGGTGTGATCTGTAGTACTTTGTGAATCAGGGGGCTGATTTGGAAGGCTGAAGACTCTAAAATATTCCCTGACTCTAAATATGTTTCCAAGTGTTTGTTCTTAAAGTTTGAAATGGTTTTGTTTTTAAAGATCGTATTGTTTTATCCAGTGCTCTCTTTTTTTAGGAGAAAAAGTGCCTGTACTCACCATGAGCTTGGTACAGTAAGTGCCACACTTTTTAGCACTTGGAAAAAAGAAAGGTGCCAGTACCGTGTACCCTTGAGTACCCCAGAAAAAAGCACTGGTTTTACCACATTGCAGTTTTGTTTAACATTGCATTGGGTAGTATTATATTGTAGCTTCTCAGTTTCATTGCTACATGGTTTGTAATAGAAATTTAATTAATAATAATAATAATAATAATAATAGTTAGCCAGCTAGGGACTGAAGTTTAAAGCAGTATATAAATATATAAAATGAAATAATAAATACAATAAATAAAGGTGTCTTGTTTTGGTTCAGAAGAGACCCCTGCTGTCACTGTTGCTTCTTTACTAGGACAAAAGTGTGGTTTCCACTTGTTCTCATTCTCTTCCTCCTCCTCATTTGCAAAAAAACAGTGGACATTTAAACATGACAGTTGTATAAAACCTTAGGGTGGCATTCAATTATATTTGTGCTCCTCGTCCTGCATGCATCCATGCCATCCCCAGATCTGCTCTGAAGGGATGAGGGAGCCCCATAACAGAGTGGTGGAATCCTTGGAGAGTTTGACTATGACCTAGGGGACCAGGATTCACTCAGTCACAAAGCTCACTGGATGATCTTGGGCCAGTCATGGTCTCTCAGCCTAACCTACCTCCCAGGGTTGTGGTGAGGATAGCATGTGGAGGCATTGGCACCATCTCCAGGGGCCTGGGCATAGCTGTCAACTTTTCCCTTTTCTTGTGAGGAATCCTATTCGGAATAAGGGAATTTCCCTTAAAAAGGGGGAAAATTTGACAGCTATGGGTCTGGGCACCCACAAAAAATTTGCTGCGGGTGCCCAGCCTCCACCCGTCACCTCTGTGGCCGCTGTCGCCCACTGCCCACTGCCAAGAAGAACCTTGTACACCACCGTAGGTGATAAATAAATGTAATGGGTAAATATAAGGGGTGTGTGGGAGCAACCCCTTCCATTGCGCAAGGAGAAATCCTAGCACAAAAGAAACGTTCTCTATAGTGCTACCTTGAAAGCAACCTTATTGGCTCAGGGAAATGTCTTAGCTGGGTTCAGAGTGGCTATCTAGCCTGGGCCTATCCCAGAACAGCCATTTATCATACCCTCCCTTACCCAAGCCTAACACTTGGAGCAAGAGTGTCCTTTAACTCAAACCACTAAACACTTTTGCTCTCAGCCTCCCTCCTGCCATGTTCCCTGTTTGCCTTATGTCTGTCACCTTATAGGGTTCCTGGCTCTGGGCTTCCAAAACCTCAAGCAATCTCCTAACAACTGGTAAAAGGTAAGGTAAAGGACTCTGCTGGCGCCATATAGAAAATTATATCTGTGACTGACTTTGTCGCAGTCTTGGTAGCTTGGCCAGACATGAGGACGTAGGAACAAGTTATTATTATAGTAAAAGCTGGTTATAACACGTTCTTCTGTGGTTTGTTATCAATAACACTTTGCGTTTCATAACATGTGCTTATAAGTCTTATTCTGAATCCTATTCCTATCCAATCTTGCCTACTCACCACTCAAACCAGCCACCTTTTCCCTTTTCCCTCCAAAACCCAATTGTCTTTTTCTTGCCCACCCACCCACCTGTTCTAACTGTCACACTTCAACCTCAGCCAATCAGCACAGAACAAACCCCATCATTCCATCCCTCTCTCCCTCCCATCCCCCTCCCTTATGTGTTTTAATAGAGAAACCCGTACAAGTCAGTTACAATGGCTAACGGCACAACATCTGCTGAAGTCCATGAGGGTACCACCTATTAAATACATGCAAGGTTGTTGCTTGAGTTGGTTAAGCCTTCTTAAGGGTGCCACACCGGAGGTGAACAATTGAAATTGAAATACTTTATTGTCACTTGTACAACTTGTATACAGTGAGATTACACAAGCACCCCCCACTCAGCTCTCTTAGTCTTAATTCCCCTCGTTTACTGACGCACACCCACCAAACCCAAAAGTCAGTTGCCCTGTTGTTATCTTTTCATTCAGCAGCCTAACAGCCCAGGGATAGAAGCTGTTCTTTACCCTGTTGGTGTGACTAATCCTGCTTCTACATCTTCTGCCTGAGGGCAGGAGATCAAGAAAGTGCCGGCCAGGGTGTGAATCATCCCTGAGAATTTTCCTCACTCTCCTGAGGCAATGTTCTCCCGCTATTTCATCCAGCGGATTCACGGGATAGCCCATAATATCTTGTGCTGTATTCACCACCCTCTGTAGGCACTTCCTATCAGTTGATGTCAAACCAGCATCTCACACCCTGATGCAGTATGAAAGGACACTTTCTATTGTCGACCGGTAGCAGGAGATCATCAAATGTTGACTGACATTTGGGAGCAAATAAATTTCCAGACCTATGGGAAAAAAATATTCCCCTCCCTAAACCCTGGAAAGGCTTGCTCTAGCCCAGAGCTTTCCAAACTGTGTGTCATGACACGTTGGTGTGTCAGCGGCAGTTTGTAGGTGTGTCCTCCTCCTGGCATTGGAAAGCGGTTAGGTTAACCTCTGGTTTGCTAGTAAAACGGAATTATTATTATTATTATTATTAATTGAGTTTATATACCGCCCTATATCTGAAGGTCTCAGGGCAGTTCACAGAAAATATCACAACATATATAATCATAATAAAAACAACCCCCCTAGCAACCCCCAAATTACCGTTTCGCGACACAATGCATGTCTAAAACGTGTGTCACTAACATGAAAAGTTTTGGAGCCTCGGCTCTAGCCAAAGATCTCTCTGGCAGGTTGATACGTCACAATGGAGAGTGTGTTACCGTTACTTAGCAACCTTGGACATGGAACCTCTATAGACACATGCATTTATTATATTATAATGTAGAGAGAGAGAGAGCTTTCAATAGATTAAGCTGCATTATCTATTTCCATTTTCCTTTTTATATATATATTAAAAAAAATTCTAGGGAATGCAATTACCAAACTTGCCCCATTGTGCAAGAGAACTTTGTTTGGGCACCCTCCTCAAATCTGCTATGGAGGTTTGGGGGGAACCCCTAGAAACTATCATTTGGATAATTTACCGCAGCTCTTCTCTCCCAAGCCCCCACCCCGCCCAAAAAAACTTAGCTTTCCCCCATCAAATATATTAGAAACCTTCCAGCCTTGTGGGGAAAGCTAATTTTGCGGCTCTGCTGGGGCAGTTATGTCAAGAGTGGGTGGTCTCGTCTGAATCTCTCCTGGCTCACTAGGCAGGTGTTTTCTCCATGTTAGTTAGAAGCCACAACTCAGCAACAAAGTATTGTGTAATAAATCAAATCCACCCGCCCCCCAAAGCTGCAAGGCCTGCAGGCAGGGGCAGCATTTATTTCAATTTTGTGATTGCAGTGGGGAAACGTCCTCCCATTCACCGAACCACTTCTTATGGCCGTTTCGTTTTTGAACCTGAAGTGTCCCTGAGATGTTAAAAATACCCATCTGTGCAGTGTGCGCACAGTGCTCTTTTCCTCTTTGGCTCCTGCTTTGAGAGAGATGCAGACAGAGAGGTGGTCCAGCTGTTTATCCTCCTTAGGGTTAAAATGAACTGAACTAGATTCCCAGAGAGGAAGGGGATTTTTTTGGGGGGGGGGAGAGAGAAGTGGGCGAGGTCCTCCAGAGCAAAAAGCACCTCCTTCCAAAATCACTTCCTGCCTGGATTCTCATTTGAAGGGGCGTGGGTCTGTGAAAGTGGCCTTTATTTCCCCAATTGATGCAACCCTGGCTCTTCCTGAAATCTGGTGAGTTTTGTCACCCCTGCTCCATTTTGTGAATTTGATTGAAATGGTGGGGCGGGGGTGTTCCAGGGCCGCAGTGGATCACCTGTTCCAGTGGGGATCAACCACAACACCCAAGCCAGAGAGCGGAATCTTCTTTCAGCCCCCTCTCTGCAAAGCCAGGAGCCCCCTTTTGATACGTTGTGGGTGGGAGAGCATTTTAGGTGGGTCTGCAACACTGAGTTGATCTCCATGGCAGGGTGTCTTCAACTGCAATCGAAATACAGCACAATTAATGCCCTGCCCCACCCGCCCCATGCTCCCCCTTTTGATATTTTTAGGTGCCAGTTTTCCATTTTAATTTGGTTAGAATGAACACCTCCTCCCACACCCCCACACCCTTACCAAGGCTCACGACTGACATGCATATTCCCATTCAGAAATGCAACCCCCCACGATGTAGAGCCGGGGACCTTTTCAGACTGAATACAAAGCACACACACACACCCCGGAAAACTACTGGCAGTATTTTAACTGAAGAAATCTAAGCCAATTTCTTGCATGGTAGAAAGGGTGTGTAAGGGAGGCTGTATTTCACACAGGTGCCCCGGCACCGTGAATAATAATCCACAGATTCCCAGTTTCCTTTGTAATTTTATTTTAAAGGAGAGTTAATTCCTAGCACATGTAGAAATATGAGGCAAAATGTATAATTTTAACTTCTTCCCCCCCCCTTCAGAAACTAGCCTTCTCCCACCTTTTGGTTTTCTGCTTTGCCCCTCCCTGGAAAAATTCCTCTAGACCCCCATCACCTGGAAACCCATCACAATGGAAACTAAAACAAAACAGATAAATGGCACATTCCAAATCTGTTTGCACACTGATGGGGTGGCATCACTTGATCTGCCCTCCCCCCCATGAATCACACCTGCTGGGGGAGAAGCAGGGGCAGGCAAAAAGCATATTGAGGGTGAAAAATGACTTTAAAAGCCATAGATGAAAACCAGGCCTAGTTAAAGATCCATGGATATAATGGTGGAAGACAGCTTGATAAAGATGCGGTGTGTTTTTTCTGGCTTATGAGTTTGTGAAGGAGGACATGCATAGCTCCAGACATGTACAGTAGGTAAAAGGTAAAAGTAAAGGACCCCTGGATGGTTAAGCCCAGTCAAAGGCGGCTATGGGGTTGCAATGCTCATCTCGCTTTCAGGCCGAGGGAGCCAGCATTTGTCCAGAGACAGCTTGGGCGGGGTATAAATATTAAATATTATAAATTATTATAAATTATTATTTCTGGGTCATGTGGCCAGCATGACTAAACCGCTTCTGGTGCAACGGAACACCGTGACGGAAGCCAGAGCACACAGAAATGCCGTTTACCTTCCCGCCGCAGCAGTACCTATTTATCTACTTGCACTTGTGTGCTTTCAAACTGCTAGGTTGGCAGGAGCTGGGACAGAGCGACGGGAGCTCACCCCGTTGCTGGGATTCGAACTGCCGACCTTCGGCAAGCCCAAGAGGCTCAGTGGTTTAGACCACAGCGCCACCCGCATCCCTATGTACAGTACAGGATATTGCAATCCACAGTTGAAGTCAGTAATCTTTCTGAATACTAGATACTGGAAACAACAGAAGGGGCGTGGGCTCTTGTACTCAGATCCTGGTTGCAGGTTTCCCACCGGCCTCTGGCGAGCTACTTTGAGAACAGGGTCCTGGATTGCATGGGTCATTGGCCTGATCCAGCAGACTCTTCTTATGTCCTTACTTTGTTATGTTCTCAGGGAAATGTGACAGTGTAGTAATTCTATAATAGAACAATGTCTTGGCTTTGTAGGACTTGGCAGCGCTCCCATTTAGGACAGAGAGAAATTGGCAGAAGGCAAAAGGAGTCTTTCCGACCTGTTAGAAGCTTCTGTGAAAGAAATATGGGTAAGGAAGACTCAGTTGCCGCTGAAGCAGGAAGAGGACATGAGCCCATCAAGACTGGGAGTGGTGGGGGATTCTGGGAAGAAACAGTGCAGAAGATGCTGGGTAAAGAGGACAAGCTCAACTCAGATGTACAATGCCAGTGTTTCAGGCATTTCTCCTACCAGGAGGCTGCGGGGCCTCGAGAGGTTTGCAGCCAACTCCACCGTTTTTGCCATCAGTGGCTCAAGCCAGAGCAGCGCACGAAAAATCAGATGCTTGACCTGGTGATCCTGGAGCAGTTCCTGGCTGTTCTTCCACCAGAGATGGAGAGCTGGGTGAAAGAGTGTGGAGCGGAGACCAGTTCCCAGGCGGTGGCCCTGGCTGAAGGTTTCCTCCTGAGCCAGGCAGAGGACAAGAAGTGGGAAGAGCAGCAGGTGAGAGCATTTAAAGTAGATAGAACCAACATGAGGGCAGATATCCTGAACATTTATCTCTCAAAATTGTCCCAACTTTTCCAGGAAAGCATCCAAGGAAGGATAGCCAATGCCAGTATTTTATTTTATTTTTGCCTCTGCCACTCTTTTTCTAATCCTTCTGTCCATTTGATGTCTTCAATACTTGTTGCTGTTTCAGGTAAAGGGTCTGTTTACAGAAGTAAGCACTGGTTGTCCTGAGGCAGAGAGGTCTCCACTGAATTCCAGACAGAGGCCACCAGGTAAGGATCACTGTTGTATCTCCATTTGGTGTCCCTCTCTCCATTGTGAAATAATTATCTGGGCTCCTTGATCCTTTGAGAGAAGACACTTGTCTCCAGCCTTTCCCACAACTCAAAAATGTGATTACTTGCAACATTCCTCTACTTTATACACGGGGACTGCACTTTGTTTTGCAGCCAAGAGCCCAAAGGGCAAGAGATGCTTTTTCACACAACTGAAATATAAAATGGGTAGAAACACTTAGCAGGTAGGATTTTTCCCAAGGCCCAAGTATAGTTAAGACATACATCGCTGAATCTCTGTGTTGTGCTACCAGCTTCCCACTTACCTATTGTTTCTCCCAGGTGACCAAACAATGCCAGTAAAACCTCAACAACCACTTCATATTCACGGTGGAAGGGAAGCAGCTTCTTTGACGCTGGATCAGGTAAGGGGACAGGTCAGTGGGGAAAGAGACTCCTCTGCTCAGCTCCCCGAATCTCTCCATCTCTTCATTTTTAAAAAGCATTTTTAAAAGGCTACTCAAGGAAGGTTTAAATGCGGAGAATAATGATTATGCAGAATAATGATATCACAGAGCAATGGATGAGAGGAATAATAAATCAGTAATCATAGAATTGTAGAGTTGGAAGGGACCCCAAGGGACATCTAATCCAATCTCCTGCTATGCAGGAATCCTGCCCACAGCCATCCCTGGGTAGGCTTGAACCACCAAGCTTCTACAGTGGTATCTTGGTTCATGAACTGAATCCGTTCCGGAAGTCCATTCGACTCCCAAAACCATTTGAAAACCAAGACACAGCTTCCGATTGGCTGCAGGAGCTTTCTGCACTGAAGCGGAAGCCACGTCGGACATTCAGCTTCCAAAAAACTTTGCAGCTTTAGAAGCTCTAAGCCCTTAAAAGATTTTGGTTCCTCCCCCCTCCATATATAGCTAAATCAAAATATAAACAATAGTAAACCATAAAATACCGTATTTTTTGCTCTATAAGACTCACTTTTTCCCTCCTAAAAAGTAAGGGGAAATGTGTGTGCGTCTTATGGAGCGAATGCAGGCTGTGCAGCTGTCACAGAAGCCAGAACAGCAAGAGGGATTGCTGCTTTCACTGCGTAGCGATCCCTCTTGCTGTTCTGGCTTCTGAGATTCAGAATATTTTTTTTCTTGTTTTCCTCCTCCAAAAACTAGGTGTGTCTTGTGGTCTGGTGTGCCTTATAGAGTGAAAAATATGGTAATTTCTTATTTTTTGAAATGAATCAAAACCTACAGTAAGATGGAAAATAATGTTTATTTTTGTATGCTTCCACTTTATTTATATTTGGGGGCTGTATTCCTTACTTCTTCTAATTGCAAAAATCATGGTAAATGTGGCAATGGAAAATTTTTCCCCTTTCTTTGATGCTGTAAGGACGTGCTTATTTTGCTTAATAGTTAATCTAGCCCTGATTTGAGGTTCCATGGCAGTCACGGGTTATATCTTCTCCTAAAACATAGACATACGTAAAATTTTATCCACAAAACAATACAACAATTGGTAGTAGATAACCTTTATGCTATCTTTGAGGAGGAAGAAATGTTTCTTTTTCTTTGCAGGGTCCCGTGACCTTTGAAGATGTAGCTGTGTATTTCACGGACGAAGAGTGGGCGCTGCTAGATTCCAGCCAGAGAGCTCTGCATAACAAGGTCATGGAGGAGAACTGTGGGATCATGACCTCTCTCAGTAAGGCTCCTGTTGGGGTGTAATATCTATTTTGAAAACCAGAAGCTTGAACTGGGGTACATTATTGAGACCTGAGTGGCAGAGTTGGCTGGGCCACTTTTGATTCAGCTTTGCCCACCCAAATACTTGGTGGGATTATCAGCCCAGACTAGAGGGACAGGGAGGAGATGTTTCTGTAGTTCACAGGAGTTCATTTACTACCAAATCCCTCTCTCTTGGTGTGTGGGACTGGACTGGAGGCCCTTCATCTGATGCTGGGTCAAAGAGATAGGCTAGAGATGTTGTTGCTCTTCAGCCTCCCCAACCAAGCTGGCTGAGTTTGTTTCGGGTGTGATGCTGGAGGATTCCAGAACTGTGGATTTGGGTAACTTCAGTATCCATGCTAAGAATTCTTCAGGATCGGCTTGGGAGTTCATGGCCTCCATGGGCAACCATAGACCAGAGGTTCTCCATGCAAATTACATCCTCTGCCAGTGAATTATGGGGGCTATCCTTTTTATTTTTTATTCTATGACATTTGTATCATTATGCATGTGCTTTTGTTCCATATACCTGCACAACAACCTTGTAACCCAGGCTAAGCTGAGAGAGAGAAAGAGAGAGAGTGTAATTCAGCCCATCAAATGAACTCCATCCCTGAGATGGAAACAAAAAGGTAAAGGTAAAGGGACCCCTGTCAATTAAGTCCAGTCGCTGACAACTCTGGGGTTGTGGCACTCATCTTGTTTAAAGGTCGAGGGTTAAACTGCTAGGTTGGCAGGAGCTGGGACTGAACAACAGGAGCTCACCCCGTTGCGGAGATTTGAACCGCCAACCATTTGATCGGCAAGCACAAGTGACACAGTGCCACCCACGTCCCTGATGGAAACAAAACCCAGGTCCAAATCCAACATTCTGTAGAACAGCAGATGTCAGCAACAGAGGCAGTAAGATCTGCCTCTCATCTAAGTCCCTTCAGTTCTTTATCACAAATGTTTATTAGCATTGTTCAGTAATTTGGGTCTCCATTTCCTCCTAAGGCTCTAATGAGTGTCTGTCTTCTTTGCAGAAGGTGATGAACTGGAAATGAAGAATAAGGAAGACCACAACAAACTCCTCACAGTGGAGAAGCCATATCTAGAGAGTGGAGGGAGCTTTGGCCAGAGTCTCGATCTTCACAGAGGGGAGAAACCATATAAGTGTTTGGAATGTGGAAGGAGTTTCACTTGGAAGAAAAGCCTCACCTCTCATCAAAGAATTCATGCAGGGGAGAAACCACATCAATGCTTGGAATGTGGAAAGAAGTTTTATACAAGCACAAATTTCCATCGTCACAGAAGAATTCACAGTGGGGAGAAACCATTTCAGTGTTTGGAGTGTGGAAAGAGCTTTAACAGAAGCACAAACTTCTATCGTCACCGTGTTATTCACAGTGGGGAGAAACCATTTCAGTGTTTGGAGTGTGGAAAGAGCTTTGTTCGGAAGAGTGATATCACTTCCCATCAAAGAATTCACACCGGGGAGAAACCATATAAATGTTTGGAATGTGGAAAGAGCTTTATTCAGAACTCCCAGCTCACTTCCCATTTAAGAATCCATACAGGGGAGAAACCATATCAATGTCTAGAATGTGGAAAGAGCTTCAACAAAAGCACAAACTTCCATTCTCATCAAAAAATCCACAGCGGGGAGAAGCCCTATCAGTGCTTGGAATGTGGAAACACATTCCGCCAGAAGAAAAATCTCACTTCCCATGAAAGAATTCACAGTGGGGACAAACCATATCACTGCCTGGAATGTGGAAAGAGTTTCCGTCACAGCATTGGCCTTACTATACATCAGAGAAGCCACACAGGAGAGAAACCGTATAAATGCTTGGAATGTGGAAAGAGCTTCTGCAATAGCTTAAGCTTTATTATACATCAGAGAAGCCACACAGGAGAGAAACCATATAAATGCTTGGAATGTGGAAAGAGCTTCAGTCAAAGCTCCAAACTCACTTCCCATCAAAGAATTCACACAGGGGAGAAACCATATAAGTGCTTGGAATGTGGGAAGAGCTTCCATCAGAAGTCAAATCTTACTTCCCATCAAAGGATTCATACTGGGGAGAAACCATATAAATGCTTAGAATGTGGAAAAGGCTTAAGCTGCAAGAAAAGCCTCACTTCCCATCAAAGAATCCATGTACAAGAGGAATCATAAAAGTACTTGCCATCAAGTTTTTAATATGCAGTTGGATGCAGACTGTGTTGTTGGAAAAGGTTTTGTACAATTGGAAAGCTGACCATATGCTGTTTAAAAAATAGGGGAGGGGGGGTTAGACACAATAGACATTTGTGTTTATTAAGCACTTAAATGACAGGCAACATCAGGGACAACATGTTCACAAATTATGTAAGTGTTCAAACAAATCACCCAAAGTGTTCCCAAGTCGTGTTGCTATTTTCTCCAGATTGGCCAAGTTTTTAATTTTATCTCATGTGTGCCCTCCCTCTCAGTCATTACTGAATGTGGATGTATCTATTGTAACACAAGTATATGTTGTAAAACATATTCTGTTTATATTTACTGTTATGTACACTATGAGTTAATGGAGGCTTCAATCTTCATAACATGGCTACTCAAAAACTGCAGTCGTTGAACCTAATAACGAACTATAAAGCAGCGTGTTTAGGTCACAAGGATCAAATTGCAGTGGAACTGCAAGAAAACATCCTAGAAGATTTCCCAAAATGTTTAATATTATCAATTATTATTTTTCTGCAGTTCAACTTTTTGAAGCTAGGGTGTGTGTTATACTGAGAAGTGCTTTATATTCTGGCAAATGTGGTGATTAATGCATTGATGATATTCTGTGTTACTGTATTGTATTGGTATTTTAATTTTGTACCAGTATTGTAGTAGTACAGAAACATGGCCTCAACAAAGTTCTTCATGAGTAGAAACAGTTTTTCCCTTTAATTTTGCTTTCTTGAAGGAGTGTTACATTCACCATTTCCCCAGATCTTTTTTCCACACACACATGAGAAACAGAAAAGGAATTTCAGCTGGGTATGAGAGGCGATCCAGTTAGTGAGCCAGACCAGTGAACTGCTGCTAATCTATTAATCCCTTTTCGCCTTGCCTTACTAAACTCCGCCATCTCCTAGTCAGGCCTTTCCCAGCTGAGGCTGAAGCCACATTCACCCAACAGTTTATTCCATTTTCCCGTTTCCCTAACTGTTAATTTCCGCCTTATATCCGAGCTTTCACATGATGTAAAATCAACTTCCGAAAATATAGTGCAATATAATGTTCATTTCTGAGTGATTGGCAAACAGATTGTTTTTCCTGGAGCCAGTAGCATGGAAATGATCACCACACTTGCCCTATATTCTACTATATTTCTGAAAGTGGATTCTGTGTCATGTGAAAGCTCAAAAACAATGCGGAAATTAACAGGAAAACATCGGGAAAACAGAATAAACTGTTGTGTGCATGCAGCCCGAGATTATCCAGAAATCCTCTGCAAAAGCTTCATTTTTTGTAATCGGCAGAGAATACAAAATACCATCTTGCGGATTGTCAGGGACTGGCAGGGCTCTGAGGCGTGTGACGGGGCCCAGGGGGTGACCCAGGAGAGGCGACCAGCAATTTATGGGGTTTGGTGGTGCCCTCAAGGCGGGAGTCAAAGCAGGGAAAGGAGGAAGAGTCAGGGCAGTTCAAAACAGTGGTGGAAGAAGAGGCTGCTCAATGTCAAGACAGGTCAGTAGACTCCCCAGCTTCCTTGCAGGGGAAGTCTCAGGTTGCAGGCACGTAATCCCTTGGGAGGGTATAGATCTCCACCATTCTTCGGCTTCCAAGTTTTTAAAGCCCCAAAGTAAAAGCCCAAACTAAACTGTCTTGAAGTTTACTTCAGTTGCCCCCGAACTACAGAAATGCAGCTTGATTCTCCTCCAAATATTCTATTATTATTTTCACAAATTTATACAAGAAGCAACTATCAATACTGGGTGGGTGGGATGGTTGAATATTAAAATGCAACTTAATTTTCACACATGTAGGCACACTAAGCAAAACAAAAACCCCTACATTTGTATAACCTTTCCCCCCTTAATTCGGGCACAAAATTAATTGTTCAATGGAAAAGCACAATAACTTCTGTGTGGCATTTGCTATCCGATATACTTCCTCTACCAGTGTTTCCGTGCGCTGCTCTGGTTCGCCAGAAGCGGCTTAGTCATGCTGGCCACATGACCTGGAAGCTGTACGCCGGCTCCCTCGGCCAGTAAAGGGAGATGAGCGCTGCAACCCCAGAGTCGGCCACGACTGAACCTAATGGTCAGGAGTCCCTTTACCTTTATACTTCCTCTACACATTGAGGTTCCTGTTGCACCCAAGAGCTATCTCACTGCAGTAAATCAGATCCATAGGGATTATTTTGCTTTGATTCCTGCACAGAAGGGAGTTGGATTTTAAGATGGCCCTTGGGGTCCCTTACAGCATTGTAATTCTATATGGGGCGGCAACATCCTCTTCCCAAGTGACCAGCTTTTTCTTTGCACCAACTGGAACTTGGATCCACTAGCTCTGCTCTGCAAATGTATTTTGGGGGAGGGATCCCCCTAAACCTTAAAAATTAATAAACGGTAGCATTTTGATAGCTTCAAACACTGAAGGAGCGATTGCAGACCAGTGGAACAATACAGGCTAAGCTTCCTTTCCAAGGCAGTGACTCACCTTGGATAGAGGCAAAAAGGTGTTGATGACCCAACTGAAAAGGAATTATTGGGCCTGGACTGGAGGTTGCCAAGGTAATGGGCTTCAATAATAATAATAATAATAATAATAATAATAATAATAATAATATATTATTTATACCCCGCCCATCTGGTTTGTTTTCCCCAGCCACTCTGGGCAGCTTCCAACAAAATATTAAAATACATTAGTCTGTTAAACATTAAAACCTTCCCTAAACAGAGCTGCCTCCAGATGTCTTCTAAAAGTCTGGTAGTTGTTTTTCTCTTTGACATCTGGTGGGAGGGCGTTCCACAGGGTGGGTGCCACCACTGAGAAGGCCCTCTGCCTGGTTCCCTGTAGCTTGGCTATGTTATACCAGAGCTGCCTCACCCAAAGCCTGCCTTCATCATTATCATCATTACTTATCAGAACCAGAGGGGAAAGGAAAATAGTGTTTTGAGAAAGGTGTGCTGGGAAGAAGAAGGGGAGAGAAAAAGGTGGAGATCCATCTTTTGACAGGCTGGCTGAAGGCAGGCTGGGAGAGATGCCCTGGACTCCATTGCTGCACTGCTGTGGGGCACAAGCCCCTCTTAAGATGACCATGCTGTAGGATCTGGACTCCCTCCATCCAAACTCGGGTGTAAATATGTGAATAAATCATATTTCTTAATTTTGCAACAGTATTTTATTATCCCCAGCTCCCCACTCTCAAAAAAAAAACCAAACCCTTGACACCTGTTGGGCCCACTTTCCTTCTTAAATAAGCTTCCTCTCCGCTCAGGGTTTGGCCACGTCAAAACTGCACAGGCTGGCATTGTGGGGATGACGGGTGGGTGTCCTTTCAATGGGAAACTTCCCCAACTTTCCAATTAAAAGCAGCACCCCCTTTTCTCCCTTTCCCAGGCTCTGTTTCTGTAGCCGCCTGACTCCCCTTCACCCACAGCGCAACAGGGAGCTCACCCCATCTTAGAAGGGGGTGTCCCAAAAGCTGCCTCCGCAGCAAAATAAGTCCAGCCACTTTCTCTCCCCAGGAAGGCAGGACCATAGCTGTCAACCTTCCCTTTTTTTGCGGGAAATTCCCTTATTCCAGCGCCGTTTCCCTCTGCTTCCCGCTGCTATCCCGGATTGTTAGATATCCCGAGACTGTCCCTGGGACAGGTGAGGCTGCTGATCCCTTATTTTCAAATCTAAAAGTTGACAGCTATGGGCAGGACCCGTGGCCAAGCATCTACCTCTTGCATTCTCTCTCAAGGAATCCTGCATTGCCTCCTCTGTGTGGACCTGAGGAAGCTGGCAAGAGAAGCTCAACAGTTGTGTTGCTTTCAGTTTTATTGTTCGTATCTCGCCCATCTGACTGGGCTGCCCCAGACACTCTGGGCGGCTTCCAGCATATACAAAATACAGATACATAATTAAACATTAAACATGAAAAGATGTACATAACTGCAAATGTAATAAAAGAAGTCGTTATGGTTAAATAAAGGACATCAAAAGGCACACAACAAAACTGAACAATTTCCACGTAAGATCTAAAAAAATACAATTATTATAAATAACAGCGACAAAAAAATAAACAATACCCCAGCTCATACCTCACCTTTTCCACCAGGCCAAAACCTTTATTCTTTATGTACTTATTGTGTTGTGGAGGGTTGGACAAGGACATGGGAGACCAGGGTTCAAATCCCTATTCAGCCACGAAGCTCACTGGGTGACCTTGGCCCAGTCACTGCCCAAACTTCACATTTTATATGAATACATTTGAATATGTATTATAATCTGAAGGCGTTTCCTGTACAGTACATGAGGAGGCCCACACGCTGAGCATTTTTTTGGTCTGGTCTTGGGAATGGACAGACCAGGTGAGAGCCAAAAAGCGAATCTTAATCCAAATAAGAGTGAGGCACTGTTTATGGATAGTTCATGAGAAGTATATACACCACCTTGAGCTCCTTGGAGGAAAGGTGGAGTATATATTAAATATTTTTAAAGGCATTGAGCAAGGATATATTACATAATTACAAAATTCTTTATTTACTTATATACCTAAATAATTTTACTACGTTTGTTGGCAATTGCCATTTATATATTAGTTTACGTTTCTGTTTTGAAGGGGAAAATATTCTGTGACTAAAGGTTTGAGGCCTTGTGTTGTTATGATGCTGCAAAGCCTGCACAGCAGTAGTTTTCCATGGCAGGTTCTGAGAGAGGATTGCTTTTGAGAATTCAGTCTGATTGGTTTGGGTGTCAGCAGAATCTGATTGGTTGGAGGTTCCTGTCAGTTGGAAGCTGACTATCAGCGTTTAGTCCGTTGGGGGGAGTTCAGCTGGGAGATAGGGAGTTGATAAGGAAAGTGTGAGGAATAGACCAGAGAGAAAAGCTGAGGAGAATGGCTAAGGCCTAAATATTAATACACAATATGTTAATATGTGGAAAATCAGGAGAAGGGAGCTGGGGACTAAGCTAGTGTGAGAGGCTGCCCTGTGTAAGAGGGCCAGATTTGATGAGGGCCAACCAAAGTTGCTGAGCTTTTTTTAACCCAGGACATATACTGCCATGGGGGCCGGATTAAATCGACCGGCAGGCAGGATTAGGCCCCTGAAACAGATATAATAATAATAATAATAATAATAATAATAATAATAATAATAATAAATTATTTATATGCCGCCCTCCCCAGCTGAAGCCGGGCTCAGGGCGGCTAACAACAATAAAATAATGCAACATTCTAAAAACTTTTCATTATAAAAATTAATTTAAATCCTCTGGTACATGCCTGTACCAGAGGAAGGTGACCCAAGCGTGTTTGTGACAGTTGGCCAAACTGTCCAAGCATTGAGGATTACAACTAGAGGAGATTTGGGATACCAAGGCAGATTGTCCCTAGGAGATAGACTGGGTTGTGGGTGACTTTGGCTGTGATGGATGTTTAGGGTCACTGCTGTGAATACACAACCTGACTATCTCTAGGCTATCCCACATGCAGGGTTAATGTTGCCAGCCTTCTTGTCACGTTTGCAGACGTCTCTGTAACACAGAGTTGGTCTGCCAACAGGCCCACAGAGCATGTCCTTGGGGATCCTGACATCTTCCATTATGCAGACATGACCAAGCCAGGGTAGTCGTCGCTGACACAGGAGTGCACGCATGCTGGGAATGTGGGCCTGGGAGAGCACATCTTTGTTTGAGCCTCTGTCCCGCCATGTGATGCCACATATCTTCCTGGTGCAAGCCAGGGAACCAAAGCAGCAGACAGGTAATGTTAGACCCCTGAATTAATGTTCTTACACTGCCCTTTTTAGACAGACAAGAGTATTACATCAATTGTGTTGCATTTTCTTCCCCCTCTATCCCCCCACCCCACATGTCCATACTCAACAGCAGCTAGAGGGCCACAGGTCCCTTATCCCTGGTTTAGTCAATATTTACTGTTAGGGATTCCTAATCATATGTCTGGTGGTGGCAGGATCTTGGGAGGTAACCATTGCACTCCAGGCCTAAAACTACCATGCCCCCACCACTACTCACCAGCTGCCCTCCTTTCCTTCAAGGACACACAGATGTTCAAAACAGCAGGAAGGCCGATGAAGGACACATTTAAACTGTGGAATTCACCCCTACCCACAAGAAGTATTGAAAGCCATCAACTCATATGTTTGTAAAAGGGGATTGGATAAATTCATGGCGGAGGCTGTCAATGGCTATTTGCAGCACACCTCTGTGACTTCTTAGCAGCCCTGCCAGGTCCACTGACCCCCAGCTTCTACAGCTTCTATGGTTTCTCTCCTACATGAATTCTTTGATGGGAAGTGAGGCTTTCCTTCCAGCGGAAGCTCTTCCCACATTCCAAGCACTGATATGGTTTCTCTCCTGTATGAATCATCTGATGGGACATGAGATGGCTGCTCCGACTGAAGCTCTTTCCACATTCCAAGCAGTGAAATGGTTTCTCCTTGCTGTGAATTCTTTGATGGGTCATGAGATGTGAACTCTGACTGAAGTTCTTTCCACATTCCAAGCAGTGATAGGGCTTCTCCCCACTGTGAATCATTTGGTGAGAGGTGAGATGATCTCTCCGACTGAAACACTTTCCACATTCTAAGCACTGATACGGTTTCTCCCCTGTATGAATTTTTAGGTGAGAAGTGAGAGTTTCCTTCTGGATGAAGCTCTTTCCACATTCTAAGCATTCATATGGCTTCTCTCCTGTATGAATTCCTTGATGGGAAGTGAGACTTTTCTTCCAGCGGAAGCTCTCCCCACACTCCAAGCACTGATATGGTTTCCTCCCTGTATGAATTCTTTGGTGGGAAGTGAGATTATGTTTCAAACTAAAGCTTTTTCCACATTCCAAACATTGATATGGTCTGTTGCCTGTATGAATTATTTGATGGGAAGTGAGATGGTCACTCCGACTGAAGGTTTTTCCACATTCCAAGCACTGATATTGTTTCTCCCCTTTATGAATTCCTTGAAGGGAGCTCTGGCAGAAACTTTGTCCACACTCCCAATATTTACATGGCGCCCCTACTGTATAGATTTTGTAGTAGTCTCCCTTAGTCTTGCTTTCCAATTCACCACCTTCTGCAATGAAGACAGAAACTGATTAGAGCCTTTGGAGGAAATGGAGTCTCAAATTATGTAAAAATGCAATTTTTCAAGCCTTGTGAGGAACAGTTGAGAGGAGGTATGAGAGCCTTTAAATATCTCAAGGGCTGTCACATAGAAGACTGAGCAAGCTTGTTTTCTCCTGCTCCAGAAGGTATTACCCAGACCAGTGGATTCAAGTTACAAGAAAGGAGATTCTAACTAAACATGAGGAATAATTTTCAATTTACTACCCCCCTTCTCTCTCCCCTGCTCTCTCCCTACCTTTCTTCTTCCAAAGCCTTCTAGAATTTTTTTTAATAAAAACAGTAAAAAAAAACCATCAGGAATAATTTTCCAAAGGTAAGAGCTGCTGGAAAGTTGAACAGAGTCCCTATTATTTGTTGGAAGAGTTTAAGCAGATGATGAATGGCCATCTGTCATGGTTGCTTTAGTGGAGATTCCTGCATTGCAGGGGTTGGATTAGATGACCCTCAGGGAACCTTTCAACTCATTCCTCTTTTGCAAAGAAAAGATCTTTATGTTGTGTGTCTCAAGAACAATGGAAAGACACCAACATGTTTAAATAAAAACTTAGGCCCCAACATTCACTGTCAGTGACTTCCCTAGCTATCAGCTGATCACCCCACTGGGATCAGCTGCATTCTCCATCCTGATAATTCATTCTCCATCCAGATCTGCAGACTTATGTTGACAGTTGGCCATCAAGGGGGGGTTGTTTGCTCCTTTCAAATTGTCACATCATGTCATAACAATGGTAAGTGACTGACAGATGGTCATCCCTGCCCACCTATCCAAGTTGGCCGATGTGTAGGGGTGCTGGTTGACTCACAGGGTCTGCAGGCCAGATCCAGCTTACTACCAGGGCAGTAAAAACCAGTCAGGCAATTGCTTAAATGGGCATAACTGGAGGATGCATCTTGAAAGGCAATACAGTGCACAGATGCCCATTCAATGTTAACTACAGGGAGTCTGAATCCCAGCTGTTGTAGGCGACTGCTGAACTACATCAGAATATAAGGGTTCATCAAATTTATCTGCAATTGATCGTGGATAAAAATTCATAATTCACAACAGATATTATCAAGCCACTGAGAGCCTCACCAAGTAAGGCCAGGATCCCACAGGTCTCCTCCATGACTTCCGTATGTAGAGCTCTCTGGTCAGGATCCAGCAGCGCCCATTCCTCGTCCATGAAATGCACAGCCACATCCTCGAAGGATGCGGGACCCTAAAAGAAAAAAAGAAGCCTTTCCTGACTGGATCATCGTGTTGCACTTTTTAATGACAGGTGTTTATTTTAAGGTTTTAATAGAACTGTGTATTCGGGCCCAGGGAGGTTAGGAGGAGACAGAAATACCGTATTTTTTGCTCTATAAGACTCACTTTTTCCCTCCTAATAAGTAAGGGGAAATGTGTGTGCGTCTTATGGAGCGAATGCAGGCTGCGCAGCTATCCTAGAAGTCAGAACAGCAAGAGGGATCACTGCTTTCGCTGTGCAGTGATCCCTCTTGCTGTTCTGGCTTCTGGGATTCAGAATATTTTTTTTCTTGTTTTCCTCCTCCAAAAACTAGGTGCGTCTTGTGGTCTGGAGCGTCTTATAGAGTGAAAAATACGGTATGTTGGATGCCCCCAGCCTCTTTTCCCCCACTGATCTACCTGTTCCAGTGCCACAGAAGCTGCTTCCCTTCCACTGTGAAGAGGAGATGGCTGAGGAGGTTCTGCCAGCATTATCCAGTCACCTGCGAGGAAAAAAAATGTGGTGGGTAGCCAGGAGCACTTCCTTGTTTCAGGAGTTAAGTACATTTAGCTACCAATGGGCCTTTTAAAAAGTATTTTGAGCATTTACAAATATATACATTCTATATACAGTATCAGCTGTGTAAAAACATCTAAGGGAAATTGGGAGCAGTGAAAAAGACTGCAGGGAAGTCTCATCTGCCGCCAAAGATTAAAAAAGCCTAGATTTATTTCACACTCAGCAGAGGGAAACCAAACTGAGATACATCCCAACCATCCTTACCTAGTGGCCTCTGTCTGCTGTCCAATGGAATCATCTCCATCTCAGGGAAATCAGTGTCCATTTTTGCAAGCAGATCCTGACCCTGAAACAGTAATAAGGCGTCGAAACAGGGATTGAGGAGGAGGAAGGACAGAGGTTGTTGGACAACCTTCATTGGATGCTTCCCCCCCCCCAAATGTTGGGATAGTAGCAGAGAATTTTGAGATACCCTCCCTCACATTCTGAATGCCTTGGGAACCATCACGGTGAAACACTCTCACCTGTTGCTGTTCCCGCTTCCTGTCCTCTGCCTGGCTCAGGAGAAAACCTTCAGCCAGGGCCACCGCCTGGGAGCTGGTCTCTGCCCCACACTCCCTTACCCAGCTCTGCATCTCCGGGGGGAGGACAGCCAGGAACTGCTCCAGGATGACCAGGTCAAGCATCTGATTCTTTGTGTGTTGCTCTGGCTTCAGCCACTGGCGGCAAAGATGGTGGAGTTGGTTGCAAACCTCTCGGGGTCCTTTGGCTCTGTGGTAGCAGAAATGTCTGAACTGCTGTCGCTGCACATCAGAACTGAGGGTATCCTCACCTAGGTCCTCCTGCACTGAGGTTTTCCAGAATACTTCCGAGTTCCCTGGTTTGATGGCACTGCGGCCTCTTCCTGCTTCAGGGCCAGCTGAGTTTTGCTCATCCATCTGTGCCCCAAGAAAGCCTCCAAGATGTCCAAAGGAGTTCCTTGGTCTTCTGTCAATTTCAGTCTGTCCTAATTAGAAGTGATGCCAACCCCTACAAAACAAAGACACTGTTGTGCTACGGGATTGCTACACTGTCAGGAAAGGGAAAATATTCTCCGAGCAGGCCTGGGTGAGTTTTGCTAGAACCAGGGCCAGATTATAGTGGTGCAGTAGGAGTCTCCAGCTCTCCTAGAAGGAAACTTAAAAAGCAAATATATGCAGACTACCTTCTATCCCAGCATTTCTCAAAACGTAGGCCAAGAATTACTACTGGATCTCAGCGTCCTTACAGATGGATCTCACAGCCTCTTCACTTCCCCTTCTCGCCCTGTGATATGAAACAGGCTCCGTATTATTACGATGTCAGAGACGTCAGCCTGACTCCTCCCCTTTTCCCACACATTTGAAAACAATGAGGGACTGTCAGAGCTGTGATTGACAACTGGCAATAGCAATGTGAGGTAGGTTGAGCAGAGCATTAGTGACTGGACCAAGGCAGTTAATGAGCAAAATGAAGCCGGAGTAAAGTAGGTTTGAAATGTGAAACTGCACAGAAACAATACGTGATGCTCTTTTTCAAGTTTGGCAAACTGGTGGGTGTTCTCACTTTTAGTGCAAAATATCTGCGTGGTACGTAGCACTAAGGATGGGGAGATGCTTTGTGTTACAGCCATTCAATTTTGAATTTAAATTTATTTATTTTTTTAAAAGGACATTTAAATACTCTCTCCTTCAACTGATTCCTCTGATTATTAAACCTCCAATGGTTCTCAGCAGTGCTTTGTATTCACTCCCAAATGATCCTCTCCATCATTCAGGAGTTGCACACATCCGAATGGGCACACGTCTGCCAACCAGAAGCCTTGGTAACACCTCTGCCTGATTAACGGGGAGGGGATGTTAATTCAAATTCAAATTCAACTGGAGATACACTTGTACCGGGAGCAACTTTTAATCCTCCCCTCCCCGCAATATTTCAAATAGCATCTCCTGCTTTTGCACAGAGGGAGAGAAAAAGGCTGCCCTCCCTGTTTGGAGGAGCATCTTGGATGATCAGGTCCCCTTTGCACCCTCCTTCCTGCAGCCCTGGGACTCCCCTTCGCCCAAATGCACAAAATAAGGGGGGAACAACTCACCGGCTCCCAGAAGGATCCCCCCATGCAGCGCTGGGAGAGACAAAGACCAGTTCGTCCCCCCCACAGGGAGAAGCTAGGCAGGAAGGGGCTTGGGAGGGAAGGGCTTTCTCTCCAGGAGGACTCTGCACTCCTCCCCTCCTGGTCCCCTTCCTCTCTAGGAATGTAATTTGGTTCGCTTTAACCCTTACAAAGCCAAAAAGGCGAGAAGGGCTGTCTGTAATACAGAGGCAGGGCAGCTGCTCTTCTCCTGTCATCGTGGAGCCAGCTATCGGACTTGCTAAGGGGGAAGATAGCGAGATGTCTGGTGGGGAATCTTAACAATTCCCCAGTTGTTTCTCTTTGGGCACTTCTCCTCAGTCCTCCAGAGCAGCTGTTAGAATTCCTGCTCCATGATTGCAGTCATGGGAATTTTGTCTATCACATGACGATATATGTTTTGACTCCACAGGGTGGGAAGTGAGGGAGACAGGATGTTTGTGTTACTGTGTTCTGTGAAGTGGGACTATTGTCCTTTGTTCTCTCTCTTTGCTGTCTGACTGTAGCGAGAGGGAGTCATGTTTCAGTGCTCCGTGTGTGTTAATATGTAAATAAAGTAGATTAGCCAAAATGCTGAGTTACTGAGTTCTGTTACGCGGACTGCGCAAACTCTGCGGATGCCTAAGTGTACCGATGTGATGTTCGGGCAGAAGCAAGCTTTTGAAGCTTCCAAACAAACAACCAGGAGGGAGAGAACATGCCAGTCGGGCATGTGTCTCTGCCAGGGTCCTACTCGAGTGTAGGACGAGCTCATGACAGCAGCTTCCCCCCCAAAAAACATGGGTCTCCATCTGTTTTTGGACTACAACTCCCATCATGCCTAGCTAACAGGACCAGCGGTCAGGGTTGATGGGGATTGTAGTCCGAAAGAAAACAGATGGAAACCCAAGTTTTTGGAAACCCCGATCTAGTGGATTTTCTCCACCTTTTCCCTTCCCCTCTCTTCCAGAAAAGCACTAGAATTGCAGGATCCAAACAATTCTCTCTTGCCCCCCTCTCTCAAGGCCTTGGAGGGTCAGGGGATTTTCCCCAGTGTACCTGAAGGAGTGTCTTCACCCCCATTGTTCTGCCTAGACACTGAGGTCCAGCTCCGAGGGCCTTCTGGCAGTTCTCTCACTGCGAGAAGCGAAGTTACAGGGAACCAGGCAGAGGGCCTTCTCAGTGGTGGCTCCCTCCCTGTGGAAAGCCCTCCCATCAGATGTCAATGAAATAAAGAACCATCTGACTTTTAGAAGACATCTGAAGGCAGCCCTGTTTAGGGAAGCTTTTAAAGTTTGATGAATTATTGTATTTTAATTTTTGTTGGAAGCTGCCCAGAGTGGCTGGGGAAGCCCAGCCAGATAGGCGGGGTATAAATAATCAATATTATTATTATTCCAAGGCAACAGCCTCTGCACAACCACAGTCAAATAAATGTATAAACACTAATCCCCTTTTGGAGTTTTGTTCATGAGGATTCAAAATGTTCCCCACTTCCCCTGCTAGCGATAAGGCCTAGATGTACAGGCCCCTGTATGTGGAAGAATTTACAGGGGCAGCTGTTCCTTCTAAATATCTAGTTTTGAAATAACTAAATAATTTAAATTGCTTCATTAGTTTGATAGGTTCTAGAGGAATGAATTGGAATTACCCTGCCAGATAAAACTGCAAGATGTGCTTGTCCTTTTTCTAGTTTCTTGGGGTTTCTCTTTTAGCTATGGAAAAGGAGTTGCTGCCTCTCTTTTTTTAAGTTTTCAATATATTGGCTTAAGGAGCTCCTGAAATACACTCAGTTGAATAAATTTTTCTGTAAAATATTTGTAGCTTAGTTATAGTTTGCCCGTGAATATAGATACTACCTCAGATGCTAGTCTGGTTTTTTTGCCAACAACTTAACAGTTCAGTATTAAATAAAGTGTATGCTCCAAATATAAATTTATTCATTCTTCTCTGTGATAGTCCCTTGGGAAGGGTTTGAAGATTTATTTTATTCATTCATTCATTCATTTAGTATACTGCCCTTTATCCAAAGACCACGGCACAGTATTATTATTATTATTGTTGTTGTTGTTGTTATCACTATTGTTTATTAAATTTGTATACAACTCTTCATCAGAAGGTCACAGACTGGTTCACAACATAAAAATACAAAATGAGAACACAAAACACTTAATGAAAACAAAATTATCCCCCTCACACAAACACATTTAAAAGACCATAGACCGTTAGCCTGATTGAAGAGAAACATTTTCGCCAGGAGCTTAAAGATATGTAATTAAGGCTCTAGGGTTGCCATATTTTGAAGATCAAGAAAGAGGACACATTTGCCGACTTCTACTTTTAACTGTAGATCTCTATGACGACTCTCATTTTACATACCCATGAAAAAGAGGACGCATCCTGGAAAAAGAGGACATATGGCAACCCTAAAAGGCGCCAAGCGATCCTCCTTGGGAAGAGCATTCCACAAACAGGGAGCCACCACATAAAATGCCCATTCTTATGTTTTCACCATCTGGACCTCTCATGGAGTAGGCGTGCGAAGAAGGGCTTCTGATGTTTTTAATAGAATCAATAAGATGCTTTCTTTCTCTGGTGCCTACTTAAGAGGAACAGCAGCCCCCAAGCTTCCAAGTTCAGTAGTCTAGTATGTCCCTTTAAACAATAGTTCAAGTAATGGGATGGCTGCCAATGTGCAGAGATATGCCAATTTGAAGTGGATTTTTCTCCAATTAACCACTCCAATGTTTTAAGACAGCTTTTATTCCGTCAGAATAACAGTAGCAGCTGGGGAACCCACAGACTGGAGGCTGTTGTGAATCTGATGTGGAAGTGTGGATCTTGCTTGAGGCACCACTCACCACACAGAAGCAGAGTAAGGTCCAAATCTTTTAATGTTGTAAAAGTAATAGGTTCAGCAAATAGCTCTGGGACAATTTAAGCATGGAAAAGTAAGTTCCAGTTTGTAGGCTTTTCAGATGCAAGTATATACAGAGACAAGGTATCACTGTTGCTCTAACAAACACCAACTAACCAAGATACAACACCTCACCTGGAGTACTGTGTCCAGTTCTGGGCACCACAGTTCAAGAAGGACACTGACAAACTGGAACGTGTCCAGAGGAGGGCAACCAAAATGGTCAAAGGCCTGGAAACGATGCCTTATGAGGAACGGCTAAGGGAGCTGGGCATGTTTAGTCTGGAGAAGAGGAGGTTAAGGGGTGATATGATAGCCATGTTCAAATATATAAAATGATGTCACATAGAGGAGGGAGAAAGGTTGTTTTCTGCTGCTCCAGAGAAGTGGACACGGAGCAATGGATCCAAACTACAAGAAAGAAGATTCCACCTAAACATTAGGAAGAACTTCCTGACAGTAAGAGCTGTTCGACAGTGGAATTTGCTGCCAAGGAGTGTGGTGGAGTCTCCTTCTTTGGAGGTCTTTAAGCAGAGGCTTGACAACCATATGTCAGGAGTGCTCTGATGGTGTTTCCTGCTTGGCAGGGGGTTGGACTCGATGGCCCTTGTGGTCTCTTCCAACTCTATGATTCCATGATTCTATGACCACTGTACAACTGAACGAGTTGACATACATTAATCACAGATATAGTGAGGCCTCCAAGCTGTTACCACCGTAACTGGTTCATTTCACCTTGCACTTGTGATCACCTTGTGTTTGATATTCGCGGAGGAACCCCTTCCTATGCCCAGCTACCCCAACAGAGTCCACCGGACTAAAAACATGCCTGCATTATCAGAACTGGAGGCATCATGTCTGCTTTATATTACTGGTCTCCTAACAATATCCTTTCACACACACTTTTGAAATCTCTTCACATGTATTAAAGGTAAAGGAACCCCTGGCCATCAGGTCCAGTCGCGGCCAACTCTGCAGTTGCGGCGCTCACCTCGCTTTATAGGCCGAGGGAGCCGGCGTACAGCTTCCGGGTCATGTGGCCAGCATGACTAAGTCACTTCTGGCAAACCAGAGAAGTGCACGGAAACGCCGTTTACCTTCCCGCCGGAGTGGTACCTATTTATCTATTTGCACTTTGATGTGCTTTCAAACTGCTAGGTTGGCAGGAGCAGGGACGGAGCAACGGGAGCTCACCCCGTCACAGGGATTCGAATCGCCGACCTTCTGATCGGCAATTCCTGGGCTCTGTGGTTTAACCCACAGCGCCACCCGCGTCCCCTTCACATGTAGACTACCTATCAATGTACATACATCAATACTATCGTGGCATGAACCAACTCCAGGAATTCTGACAGCGATTCTGAACCAAGGTAAAATACTTTAGTTAGCTGCTGAGCATTTATACAACTGAAATCTTTACATGTCCACTCTTTCTTTGCAGAGGAAGGCAACAGGCATAGAAACAGTACAGGTAGAGGCAAGACAACCTTTGTCCTAGCAGTGAATCAGCAGTGATGGCAGAGACCAGTCTTTCTGAACCAGTTTCCAGTTTGTTAGATGCACAGTATTTGTTCAACTGCAATGCTTAAGTAACTTTGCAAGGAAGAAAGGGGAGAAACAGGTTAGCAGTGCCACTGTGACCTCTTAAGTAGCCAAGCCGCACCAGTGACCCTCAGTTGTCACTGATTTTATGGTTTCTCCCCTGTATGACTTTTTTGATGGGAACTGAGACTCTCACTGTCTTTGAAGCACTTTCCACATTCCAAGCATTTATACTGTTTCTGCCCTGTGTGAATTCTTTGATGGGAAGTGAGGTTTTTCTTAAAGTTGAAGGTTTTACCACATTCCAAGCACTGAAATTGTTTCTCCTCTGTGTGAATCCTTTGATGGGAATACAGATGGGAGGTCTGACTGAAATTCTTCCCACACTCCAAACACTGATATGGCTTCTCCCCTGTGTGAATTCTTTGATGGTAACACAGACTGCTGCTCCGACTGAAGCACTTTCCACATTCCAAGCACTGATATGGCTTCTCCCCGGTGTGAATTCTTTGATGGGAAGTGAGGCTTTCCTTCCATCGGAAGCTCTTTCCACATTCCAAGCACTGATATGGTTTCTCTCCTGTATGAATCATTTGATGGAGGATGAGATGGCTGCTCCGACTGAAGTTCTTTCCACATTCCAAGCAGTGAAATGGTTTCTCCTTGCTGTGAATTATTTGATGGGTCGTGAGGTGTGAACTCTGGCTGAAGCATTTCCCACATTCCAAGCACTGATAGGGCTTCTCCCCACTGTGAATCATTTGGTGGGAAGTGAGATGGTGTCTCCGACTGAAGCTTTTTCCACATTCTAAACATTCGTATGGTTTCTCCCCTGTATGAATTCCTTGATGGGAAGTGAGACTTCTCTTCCAACGGAAGCTCTCTCCACATTCTAAGCACTGGTACGGTTTCCTCCCGGTATGAATTCTTTGGTGGGAAGTGAGATTATGTTTCAACCGGAAGCTCTTTCCACATTCCAAGCATTGATATGGTCTCTCACCTGTGTGAATTCTTTGATGGGAAGTGAGATGATCGCTCCGAATGAAGTTCTTTCCACATTCCAAGCACTGAAATTGTTTCTCCCCTGTATGAATTATTTGAAGGGAGCTCTGACTGAAGCTCTCTCCACACTCCCAATATTTATATGGCTCCCCCACTGTATAGATTTCATAGCAGTTTCTCTTATTTCTGCTTTCCAATTCTCCACGATCTAAAATGAAGACAGAAACTGATTAGAGCCTTAGTAATAAATGGAGCCTCGCATTATGAAAAAATGCAATTAACGTTTGACAGCTAAGGAAAAACTGAAGGGACTTAGATGGGGGGGCACATCTTACACTCCCAAATAATATGCATTTTGGAAGGTTTTAGTAAGTTCTCAACTCTAATTAGGAGAAGCACTAGACCAACTTGTGTATACAGCAACCTAGTTAATTAATCTTTGTTGGGGACATTTACGCTTATGATATATTAACATGCAATACTTTTAAAAACATGAGTCACACTTCTTAATCCTAAATCTTGTCTGCATGACATCAAAAACAGGAAAGATCCTAGAAAGGGTTAGAATCCCTGATGTTCTCACTTCCAGTGCTCATTTGCCTTAATGGCTGCCGCTCCCACATTAGTGGAGATTGTTTGCGAAGGATAAACAAAGATGATTTGAGGATAATTGTCCTTGTAAGCTCCCCCCAAGGCACAGGGGAAGTGAGCTTCACTTGGAGATTGTCTTGATATCTGACTTTCGCTCCTATATGGAATGCGGGAGCAGGGAGACACTGGGTGCAAAAAGCACTTCGCCTATCGGTAATCCTCTGATGCAGCCATCAATATGCAGAGGCTCTTCTGTTTATTAGAGTAAAATTCAGACTAATTTACAGACGTGTACTTGGATGGATAGGACAAGATTACCATCTGCTAAAATGAAATGACTACAAGGACGTAAGAGCTGTTCGACAGTGGAATTTGCTGCCAAGGAGTGTGGTGGAGTCTCCTTCTTTGGAGGTCTTTAAGCAGAGGCTTGACAACCATATGTCAGGAGTGCTCTGATGGTGTTTCCTGCTTGGCAGGGGGTTGGACTCGATGGCCCTTGTGGCCTCTTCCAACTCTATGATTCTATGACGTAAATATTTGAACTGGAAAGAAAAATTTCCTTTGTTGTAAAAGATGGTATGTGCGGGGGGTGGGGGAGAGCCTTTACCCGTTCTATATATATCTTGTTTGTTACATAAATGATTTGGCAAACTCACCCTGACTGCTAAAAAAATAACGGAAGGTAGGAAAAGATAAAAGAAAATGGGAGTTTATTTATGGTTGACAGTGCAAAATTGAACTGTGTGTGAAAATGGATATGGATTCAAATCATTCGAAAGGATTTATTTCTCACAGCATCGCTACCTCAGAGGGGTCTTTGAAGACTTGCCAAGGCTTGGCGGAATGCCAGATCATTACTGCATATGATTAAAGGAGAGAAAATGGGGGCTTGCCGATGCCTTGGCAGGGCACCAGACTATCTCTGTTCCTGGAATGAAATAAAGATGGTGTATGGCAATTACAGCCTCATGTTTTTGAGACAAAAGTGTTGTCATCGCGATTGGGCATTGCATCGTCCCCATTTCCCGATTTGCTAAGCGGTTTGCTGCCTTCATTGTTAGGGAAGACCGGAAGTGGCTGAGCTGCGCAGGACGAAGACTAAATAGAATGAAGAAACAATATGGGCAAAACAAAATAAATTAATATAAATATAAAACAAACCTCACGCACAGGAAATAGAAAGATTACAGAACGTTTCTTGCAGAAATATAAATTATTAATGTTTCAATACGAATGGAAGTTAAAAACATTGTAGCTGTGGATAAGGGACTATGATTAAGAATAAATGCAATTGGATTAAATAACCCTTTGTAAGCAAAATGAAAACAAAAATACTGCACCCTGAAATCTAACATGCGGGAAGTCATACAAAAAATGTATATGTGATTGGCTGTTTAATTATAATTGAATTGCAATTGTAATTTGGCATTGATGCAATGTGGCATATATTTGGGTTTTTTGGAGCTGAAAATTAATAAACATTATTTATATATATAAAAAAGAATCCCTGATGTTGCAGGTGACACCGTTGAACCACATCAGAATATAGGGATTCATCACTTTTATCAGCAATTGATCGTGGATAACAACTGATAATTCATAACAGATACTATCAAGCCACTGGGAGCCTTACCAAGAGAGGCAAAGATCCCACAGGTCTCCTCCATGACTTCTGTATGCAGAGCTCTCTGGTCAGGATCCAACAGTGCCCATTCCTCATCTGTGAAATGCACAGCCACATCCTCGAAGGATGCTGGACTCTACAAGAAAAAAGAAGCCTTTCCAGATTGGACCATTTTTGGCACTTTTTAATTATGGGTGTTTACTGTAAGGTTTTAATGAGAATTATGTATTTCAACAATCGGTGTTTTATCTTTGTGCAACTGCCTCTTCTTCTTTGTTAGCTTCTTAAAAATCTACTTTAGTGTTAAGCATTTTTTTGAATTTATAAATACAGTGGTAGTTTGGTTCTCGAACTTAATCCATTCGGGAAGTCCGTTTGAGTCCCAAAACCGTTCAAAAACCAAGGCACAGCTTCTGATTGGCTGCACTCAAGTGGAAGCCACGTTGGACGTTGGGCTACTGAAAAACACTTACTTCCGGGTTTGCAGCGTTCAGGAGCCAATTTGTTCAGCAACTAAGCCATTCGGGAACCAAGGTATGAATGTACTACTACAACCAGATGATTCTAGCTCAGGCATGTCCAAAGTCCGTTTGGGGGACTTAATCCTAAAAAAACCTCAACAACTTTGGTCGGCCCTCACGGTCCTTCACGTCATCAAATCTGGCCCACTTTGAAAAAAGTTTGGACACCGCTGTTCTAGCTCCATCCAAAGGCCTAGTTAAGTTGAGGGGGCTGATCATTCTTCTTTTGATTGAAACCTTCCCTGAACGGCCTTCAAAGACTTTATTGAGGACAGGCTTCCAAGAAGCAAAGTGAAAGAGAGATTCATTCAGGCCTAGGGAGGTGAGGAGGAGATGCCCCCAGCCTCTTTTTCCCCACTGACCTGCCACCCCTACCTTATCCAGTGCCACAGAAGCTGCTTCCCCTCCACTGTGAAGAGGAGATGGCTGAGGAGGTTCTGCCAGCATTATCCAGTCACCTGTGAGGGGAAAAATGTGGTGGGGAGCCAGGAGCACTTCCTTGTTTCAGAGGTTATGTGATAAACATTTATCTACCAATGGGTCTTTATAAATACATATGTTTATACCCATTCTGTGTATCAGTTGTGTAAAAGCACCTAAGGGAAATTGGGAGCAGTGAAAAACGCTGCAGGGGAGTCTCGTCTGCCACCAAAGATTAAAAGAGTCACTAGATTTATTTCACACTCAACAGAGAGAGACCAAACTGAGATACATCCCAACCATCCTTACCTAGTGGCCTCTGTCTGCTGTCCAATGGAATCATCTCCATCTCAGGGAAATCAGTGCCCATTTTTGCAAGCAGATCCTGACCCTGAAACAGTAATAAGGCGTCGAAACAGGGATTGAGGAGGAGGAAGGACAGAGGTTGTTGGACAACCTTCATTGGATGCTTTCCAAAAAATGTTGGGAATTTTGAGATACCCTCCCTCACATTCTGAATGCCTTGGGAACCATCATGGTGAAACATTCTCACCTGTTGCTGTTTCCACCTCCTGTGCTCTGCCTGGCTGAGGAGGTAACCTTCAGCCAGGGCCACCGCTTGGGAACTGGTCTCCGCTCCACATTCCCTCACCCATTTCTCCACCTCCAGGGGGAGGACAGCCAGGAACTGCTCCAGGATGACCAGGTCAAGCATCTGATTCTTTGTGTGTTGCTCTGGCTTCAGCCACTGGCAGCAAAGATGATGGAGTTGGTTGCAAACCTCTCGGGGTCCTTTGGCTTCGTGGTAGCAGAAATTTCTGAACTGCTGCCGCTGCACATCTGAACTGAGGGTATCCTCACCCAGGACCTTCCAGAATACTCCAGAGCTCCCAGGCTTGATGGTACTGTGGCCTCTTCCTGTTTCAGGGCCAGCTGAGTTTTGCTCTTCCATCTCTGCTCCAAGGTAGCTTCTAAGAGGTCCAAAAGAATTCCTGTCTTAGGTCAATTTCAGTCTGTCCTAATTAGAGCTGATACCAACCCCTACAAAACAAAGACATTGTTGTGTTACGGGATTGCTACACTGCCAGGAAAGGGAAAATATTCTCCAAGCAAGCCTGGATGAGTTTCGCTAGAACCAGGGCCAGATTATAGCAGTGCAGCAGGAGTCTCTAGCTCTCCTAAAAGGAAAGCTACAAAACAAAATACGCAGCCCACCGTCTAAACCAGCATTACGCAAAGCATACAGAAAGAAAGGCAGTTTTGCTGCTATTTGTCAAGGCTGGCAAATTGGTTGTTCTGTATTTTGCTGCAAAAGTGGGATGTAGCAATTGCAGCACGGGGGATGAGGAGATGATTTCTTCCCTGGCTTTTTGTTACAGCACTCCTTAAAACAACCAAAATATAGCTGGGAATCGGTGGGAATCCATTACTTCTCCTTTCCCATTAATAATAACAACAATGATTTTATTATTTGTACCCTACCAATCTGACTGGGTTTCCAATATACATTGCAAAGGTATATTTACTTTCAGTCAGACTCTCTCCTGCATTTGAGTCCTCTGATTATTAGCCCTCCAATAGTTCTCAGCAGTGCTTTGTATTCGGTCTCACATCATCCTCTCTGTCTCACAGGAGTTGCACCTCTGAATGGTGCCTCCAGGAGCCTTGGTGAAGCCACTGCCTGATTAATGGGGAGGGGGCCACTAAATCTAATCAAAGCTCAATTGGAGATACACTTGCACCGAGATCAACTTTAAATCCTCCCCTCTCCGCAATATTTCAAATAGCATCTCCTGCCTTTGCACACAGGGAGAGAAAAAGGCTGCCCTCCTTGGTTGGGGGGCATCCTGGATGGATCAGGTCTCCTTTGCACCCTCTCCTTCCTGCAGCCCTGGGACCCCCCTTCGCCCAAATGCACAAAATAAAGGGGGAACAACAACTCACCGGCTCCCAGAAGGGTCCCCCCATGCAGCGCTGGGAGAGACAAAGACCAGTTCGTCCCCCCCACAGGGAGAAGCTAGGCAGGAAGGGGCTTGGGAGGGAAGGGCTTTCTCTCCTGGAGGACTCCGCGGTCCTCCCCACCTCCCTCCTGATTCCCTTCCGCTCTAGGAATTCAGTTCGGGAGAGAGATCGCCAAGCAGCAGGTTCAGCTCTAAGAGCCAATGAGGAATCATGCCCTGAGCACAGACAAGGATTTTGGTCTGAGTTGCGTGCACTCCAAATACATCCGAGGCACATTTAACCCCTGCAGAAGAATCACGAGGAACTGTGGTTTGTCTTTGTGTGCCTATTGTCTTCTTTCAGCACATTAAACCTTGGTTTGCCCTCTGTATATGTGTGTGTTTCTTCTTCTATTATTATTATTATTATTATTATTATTATTATTATTACCTTCCTGCTGTCGCCCCCTTCTGGCCCGAGAGGGAATGGATATATTTTTTTACAAGTTTCTGAAGTGATGAAGCATCGCTTCCAGGAGAGCGGCAGCGATTACTGGTGTTAAGGTAAAGGGACCCCAAGGTCCAGTCGCAGAGGACGCTGGGGTTGCGCATTCATCTCGCTTTATTGGCCGAGGGAACCGGCATATAGCTTCCAGGTCATCTGGCCAGCATGACTAGGCCGCTTCTAGCGAACCAGAGCAGCACACGGAAACGCCGTTTACCTTCCCGCCGGAGCGGTACCTATTGATCTACTTGCACTTTGACATGCTTTCGAACTGCTAGGTTGGCAGGAAGTGTTACTGGTGTTAGCTGCTTCTAAAAGAGGAGACTGGCAGACCAGGGTTCCTGCGCTGGAATGGGGAGCTCCTAAATTGGAAGTAAACAGCAAAATGTAAAGATCCTTCCTGCATTGCAGGGGGTTGGACTAGATGACCCCGGGGGTCCCTTCCAACTCCACAATTCTACGATCACAGGGCACCACTGAAGCTGATCAGTTACAGGCAGCCCAGTCCTTTGGATCAAGAAATCAGAAGCTCTGGAGCAACACACACGCCATACGTTTAAAGCACGTGTGCAAATCCTGTCAACTGTCGTGTACCCCTCGGAGCTACAGTTCCCAGCACTTTTCACAAACCACAGTTCACCAGGATCCTTTTGCAGTGTCTTAGGCATGTATGGAGCCCCAGACCGAAACACCCCCGAGTTCAGGGCCTGATTCCTCCTTTGAGAATTGCACAACAACAATGTTGGATTGAAGTTAAGTGGTTTCTAGCTGTACAGGCACAAAAAAATATGGAAAAATTGGTTTTTAATATGTAAAAGGTAAAAATTAAAGTTATATTATATCAAGATTAAAGATTAGGATTAAAAAGGAGGGAAAGGAATTGTTGGATTAACATATTTAATTAGAATACAGAAGAGGGAGGTAAGAGGAGGTCCGGGAAACAAGTAAACGTAAAAGAAGTGAGGAAAAGATGAAATTGTTTTAAATTGTTTTTTCTTTTTACTTTGTATTTTTTCTTTTTATTGTTAACTTTTTCTTTACTAATGTGGTTTTTTTGGTTTTTTTCCCTGTGAAACTTTAATAAATATTATATATATAAAAAACAACAACAAACAAACAACAATTTGTAATTTATAACAACAACAACAACTTTTAGTTTATAACAACAACAACAACAACAACAACAACAACAACAACAACAACTTTTACAACAACAACAACAACTTTTAATTTATAACAACAGCAACAACAACTTTTAATTTATATCCCACCCAACTGGCTGGGTTTCCCCAGCCACTCTGGGTGGCTTACAACATATATAAAACACAACAAAACACCAAGCATTAAAAAAAAAAATCCTATACAAGCAACAAACCAATAAATCAAGAAGAAGAAGAAGAAGAAGAAGGGGAAGAAGAAGAAGAAGTTTACAGTTATACCCAAATTAAAATAACTGACCTTGCAGCCTGGCCATCTCTCTCTCTCCCTGGATCTCTTCTCCATCACTTGCCACGTGGAAATGCCGCGGATTGAGCTTCCGCACGCCTTTTGCAGGAGTTGCACCACCGAGCTTCGCGCAGCCCCTCTCGCTGCTTGGCTTTCTAAGGGTTAAAGTGGGCCGGAACTGGTTTCCTAGAGAGGAAGGGAAATGGGATTTGGGGGCGAGGGAGGGGGAACACCAGAACAAACATTCCTCCCCACGGCGCCCCTTCCTGGCTTCCCACCTTCGGGGTCCGAAAGTGGCCTTTGTGCCTCGCAAGTGCTACATCGGTGGATACCTCTGTGGTTTGGTGAGTCTCTATTTCCGCGCCCCCCCCCACGCCCCAATTTGATGCATTTGGGTAAAGGGTTCCCAGGGCCGCAGCGGGGAGGGTGCCTGATCAGCTGATCCATCCGAGATCCACCCCCCCCCCAGAGCACCCAAGTCAGGGATCAGGTGTATTCCCTCTCTGCAGGGTCAAGTGGCCGCTTTGGAATTATTATTATTATTATTTATATTGAATTCAGATACTGCCCTATATAGGTCTCAGGGCGGTTCACAGAATAAAATCAAAATATAAAACCGCAAAATGCATAATCAAAATAAAACAACAGCAATCCAATAACCCGCCCTCCCCAAAAAGCCCACATTTTAAAAGGGCATAGGATGTCAATCATATCGGAGGGAAGCATTTAAAGTACTGTACAACACTGGGCTGACCTCGATGGAAGTGCGTATTCGACTGCAGTTTTGATTAGAATGATAATGCACCCCTCCCCCCCCAAAAAAAGCAAGTGGAGATATCAAGCCTCCTGACATGCATGTGCCCATTCAGACATGCAGACCCCCAAACATGAGACTGAACGGAAAACATTCCTTAAAACTACAAGCGGTCTTTTAATCAAAGGAATCAGATGCAGCAGAGACCACCGACTGAAAGCAAACCAACGTGGTCGAATGGATTTGTTTAGTGGGTGTGTAAGGGGAAAATTCCTCCCTTCTCCACGAACCATAATCCAGATTCCCATTTTAAAAGAGAGACAAAGTTTCTAGTATTTGTAGAACCTGAGGCAGGGTGTGTGTGTGTGTGTGTGTGTGTGTGTGTGTGTGCATTTTGGGGAATAAACTAGCCTCCTCCCACCTTTCAGTGTTTTACCCCTTTGGAAGGAAGGGTGGGATATAGATTGAATACTTAATATTCATAGCAATGCTTTGCTCCTCCCTGGGGGAAATTCTCATGTCTGCCCCACATTCTGTTGTATGAAAGGGAAATAATCCCCTTTAATACACTCTCTGGCCAATTGGTGGTGGGGCACTGCAGAGCCCCATTGCTCACACCTGCCAGGGGACTTTCAGTCACATGACTGTGTAGAAGGATTTGCAGAAAACAACCTTTTTGTGATCTCAGATGTTACAAAAAAGCTGCCTTTAGCTTGCTAGGATGAAAAGGATGCACTAAATCAGGGTGGGTTGGGGGACAGTCTCTCTTCGGGACCCTGGGTGATTCCTAACTTTTGCCTGATGCTCAAAAACAACTCACTTGTTATGACAGTTCTGAATTCACTAATTCACTCTTTGCTTTAAAGCAATGAAAGGAAGGGTGTTGAGGAACCAGGCTGACTCCCCTGCCTTTGCAACACCACTGAGAAACAGAGAGAAGCAGCCAGCCTTGCTTATATCTAAGAGTGAGGATGGGGAGTGTTGAGGCTGCAAGGCCCACCTGGAAGGGTGCTGAGGCCCAGGAGTGTCCCGTGGCCTGTAGGTTGAGGAAAGCTGGTGTAAAAGGTGGCCGGCACATTTTGCTTCATAACTTTCAATCGAGGAGGGCTATTGCATCACTATAATCTAGCCTGGTTGCTAGCAAGAACCCTCCAGGCTAGCTCAGGGAACAATTTTTCCTCTCCTGACAGTGTAGCGTCTAATAACAGAACAACGTCTTGGCTTTATAGGTCTTTGTAGCGCTTCTAACTAGGGCAGACTGAAATTGGCAGAAGACCGAGGACTTCCTTCAGACCTCTTGGAGGCTTCCTTGGAGCATAGATGGAAGAGGAAAACTCGGCAGGCCCCGAAAAAGGAAGAGGCCATGATGCCATCAAGACCGGGAGCAGTAGGGGATTTTGGGAGAGAACAGTGCAGAAGATCCTGGGTGAGGAGGACAACCTCAGCTCAGATGTTCAGCGTCAGCAGTTCAGGGCTTTCTGCTACCAGGAGGCCAAGGGGCCCCGAGAGGTTTGGAGTCAGCTCCACCGACTTTGTCGTCAGTGGCTGAAGCCGGAGCAACACACCAAGACTCAGATGCTGGACCTGGTGATCCTGGAGCAATTCTTGACTGTCCTTCCACTGGAGATGGAGAGCTGGGTGAGGGAATGTGGAGCGGAGACCAGTTCCCAGGCGGTGGCCCTGGTCGAAGGTTTCCTCCTGAGTCAAGCAGAGGTCAAGAAGCAGAAAGAGCAGCAGGTGAGAGTTTCATCTAGATAATCTCAAGGGGCGCAGAATGTGAGGGAGGGCGTCCCAAAAATTCTCTTAATTTTTTGGGGGGAAACATCCAAAGAAGAATATTCAGCAACTCTTCGGTTCCTACCTCTGTCATGGCTTTTCTAACCCTTCTCCCCATTTGATGTCTTCCATCCTCGTTACTGTTTCAGATACAGGATCCGTTTGCAAAAAAGGGCACTAATGTCCTAGAGGTGGAGAGGAATCCATTGGACACCAGACAGGGGCCACTGGGTGAGGATTGATCTTAATTTGTATCTCAATCTGGTCTATTGATTTTGAAATAAATCCAAGTCCCCTTTAATCATTTGGAGTAGTAGATTGTTGTCTTCCAGCCTTTTCCACCACTGAGAAATGTGTTGATTTACAACATTTCATCATTTATACATGGAGACCAGCATTTCGACCTTTTTTTCCAAGGATCCAAAGCGGGAGAGATGTGTTCCACACTATAACATAAAATGAGTAGAAACACTCAATAGGTATCTTCGAAGATCTATGTGGCGGGTGGCGCTGTGGTCTAAACCACTGAGCCTGGGGCTTGCCGACCCGTTGCTCGGTCCCAGCTCCTGCCCACCTAGCAGTTCGGAAGCACGTCAAAGTGCAAGTAGATAAATAGGTACCGCTCCGGCGGGAAGGTAAACAGCATTTCTGTGCGCTGCTCTGGATTGCCAGCAGCAGCTTAGTCATGCTGGCCACATGACCCAGAAGCTGTCTGCGGACAGACAAACACCGGCTCCCTCGGCCTATAGAGCAAGATGAGTGTGCAGCCCCAGAGTTGTCTGCGACTGGACCTAACGGTCAGGGGTACCTTTACCTTTAAGATCCATGTGTAGTTAGGCAAGCATTGCTGAATCTTGGAGACAAGCGTGTGCTCCTATCTTCTATCCCCCTTTATATCTTGCAGGTGAAGGAATGATTTCAGCAAGATCACCTCAGGCATCTCCTCATTGCAATGGAAGGGTGGCAGTTTCAGTGGAACAAGATCAGGTAAGGGAAGAGTCATCCAGGAGACTGGGGGCAGTCTGGGTTCTCCTGCCCCCTCCTTCAGACTTTAGCAATCTCTCGCTCTTCCACCTTGCTTTCAAAGCTGCTCAATGAATGTTTAAATCCTGAGAATAAGGAGCCACGTCACCTAGCAGTTAGCTATCAATTTTAGGTTCTTCCTTATTTTGCATGCTTTTGCGCCGGGGTCAATTGTCTAATGTCTGCCAGTTGCATCCTCTGAAGCTAGGAAGCCTGGTCTCAGCTCCCCAGATGGTCCCACGCTTATTTTAAAGGCCACAGAGGGAATATTTTCCACAATTCAGGTGGGTAGCCATGTTGGTCTGACGCAGTTGAAATATATTTTAAAAATTTAAAAATTGTCCAGTAGCATCTTAGAGGCCAACTAAGTTTGTTCTTGGTATAAGCTTTCATGTGCGTGCATGAAAGCTTATACCAAGAACAAACTTAGTTGGTCTTTAAGGTGCTACTGGACAATTTTTAAATTTTTAAAATATATTTTCCACAATGAAGCAGAATAAAAGTCAGGTCAAGCACTGACTCATCAGAATATAAGTGTATAAAATTCTACACAGCGTGGGCAAATGTTTCTCCTTCTCTCATTACACTAGGAAGACTTGTGGGCATCAAATGAAACTAATAAATTTAATACATTTTTAAATAATTTTTTTTTAAAAAGGTTTCCCGCTCCTGTTACAAACATATATCCATTGCTTCCTGATGTTGCTACTTCATTCTTCTTCTGTAATCACCTTCTCATCCTTCTATTAATTTTAATCCATTTTCATGTCTAGCCTTTCTTGTTTCCTTGCAGTCAGCACCTTTGTTGTTTTCCCGAACATGTGAATATCCAGCACTCTGTTTCCGGACCTGGAGTGTAGAGATAATTTATTGCCACCGCCCTTTGTCCATTCACATTCCACTCCTTGGATGGCTTTAAAAGAGGATTAAACAAGGTCATGGAGGATAAAGCTATCAGTGGCTACAAGCCACAATGACTGTGTTCTACCTCCACTGTCATAGACATTATGCCTCCAAATACCAGTTGCAGGACATCACAGGTGGGCAGAGTGCTGTTGTGTCCTAGGCCTTGCTTGCGGGCTTCCCATTGGCCACTGTGAGAACAGGGGATTGGAGTCTCTAAGATGGTTGGGCGGCAGTTCCACGCCTCCTTCCAGCAACTTCTGCAGCCAAGCTGGTGCCAAACGTCTTGCTCTGCTTTCCTTTGAACCACATCAGTGAGGCCGAGAGCGGAGTCTTGTCATGTGGGCAGCCCAGGACCTCCAGACACACTGCTCAGGATTGTGCCCCAGGGAGGTCACTTTGGTGCTGCTAATGCAGTGGTTTGACTTCACCCCTGGAGGAACACTCCATTGTCTCTTGAGACAGACAGCTGCCAGCAAGACTTATCAGCAGAGTAAAAACCAGTTGCACAGATTTTGTTGTTTAGTCGTGTCCGACTCTTCGTGACCCCCTGGACCAGAGCACGCCAGGCACTCCTGTCTTCCACTGCCTCCCGCAGTTGGTCAAATCATGTTCGTAGCTTCGAGAACACTGTCCAACCATCTCGTCCTCCATCGTCCCCTTCTCCTTGTGCCCTCCATCTTTCCCAACGTCACGTTCTTTTCCAGGGAGTCTTCTCTTCCCATGAGGTGACCAAAGTACTAGAGCCTCAGCTTCAGGATCTGTCCTTCCAGTGAGCACTCAGGGCTGATTTCCCTAAGAATGGAGAGGTTTGATCTTCTTGCAGTCCATGGGACTCTCAAGAGTCTCCTCCAGCACCATAATTCAAAAGCATCAATTCTTCGGCGATCAGCCTTCTTTATGGTCCAGCTCTCACTTCCATACATCACTATTGGGAAAACCATGGCTTTAACTATACGGACCTTTGTTGGCAAGGTGATGTCTCTGCTTTTTAAGATGCTGTCTAGGTCTGTCATCACTTTTCTCCCAAGAAGCAGGTATCTTTTGATTTCGTGACTGCTGTCACCAGATACACAGATACTAAAATATAAATGCCCACTTTTAAAATGGGAAATAAAATAACCCAATTAAGACAGCACAGCACTTACCGTATTTTGCGCCCCATAGGACGCACCGGCCCATAGGACGCACCTAGTTTTTTGGGGGGGAAATAAAGAAAAAAAATTTATTTCCCCCCCAGGTGCGGGGCTGGAAGAACCAGGTCAGGGAACAGCGGGAAGGCGTGCTCCGCCTCCCCGCTGTCCCCCGAGCTTGTGGGGCTGGCAATGGGGAGAAGTGCGCTGAGCCCGGGACTGCAGGCACCTCTGCGCAGCCATCGAGAGCCGGGCAGGACTTCGCACCCGGCTCCCGATGGCCGCGCAGAGCTGCGCTGAAGCCTGGACTGCAGGCACCTCTGCGCGGCCATCGGGAGCCGGGCGCGAAGTCGGGGCCGGTCTCCCGAGGGTTGCGCAGAGCTTCCTGAAGCCTGCATTCGCCCCATAGGACGCACACACATTTCCCCTTCATTTTTGGAGGGGAAAAAGTGCGTCCTATAGGGCGAAAAATACGGTATTAGATAGAATATATTGGACACCAAATAGTGGTAGAAAGCTTTTATTCTGTCTATCAGGAGGATATAATTTCTTTTAATTTTAGGGTACAGTGTTCTTTGAGGATGTGGCTGTATACTTCACAGATGAGGAGTGGACCCTGCTGAATCCTGACCAGAGAACGCTGCATAACAGTGTCATGGAGGAGAACTGTGTGATCGTGGCGTCTCTTGGTATGGCTTCCCATTGGATGATAATATCTGCTGTGAAATTCAATATGATGTTTTATGATGAATGATCTGATGCAGCTCAGTGGCACCACGTACAGCATTTGGACAAGTATCTACTGTGTTGTCTCAGGACTTGTACACCAGTTATGCCCTTCTAAAGAATTATCAGACTGGTCTGAACTTCCCAGGCCTTTGAAATGTGAGTTTCAGGGTTGCTCAGGGTAGAAGTAGCTCCTCATTAATTTTCTGGTTGGCCAAAGGAAACCACTGACTTCAGAGATGGATTTCATGATTGGCCCAAACAGCAATCCATCTCAGAAAAGAGGTGGGCTTTTACTCATCTCAGATTCCCATAGCTATATGACACTTTTGCCTTTGTGGAAATATCTCTTCAAGAGTCCTCCCTACCCAGAGTCCTACTCACCCCTTTTTATAATTTGCTATTTGGCTTAACTGCCTTTCATGGGCAATTGCAGATGAACTTCAAAGTGATGAATCTCAGGGCTCATCAGCTGATCAGCTCCAAGAGCCTCATCAGGTGACCTAGGCAGTTCCTGATGAAGAATTCCCTGATGCTGCTGATCCCAGTGGGGCATCCTGACAGAGACGATCAGCTGATGGTTACTGAGAGGGATCCCCACCAGCAAGGAGCAATCATTTCCAGCAACGTTTTACCTTCCCACACCAGAAGTTGCAGGTCTAGCAGAAAACAACCTCACAGGCCTTCATCAGCCCCATGTGCCAGAGGTTCACCACCATTGCTTTATCTAGAGAAGTCAGGGATTGTCCATGGAACTTCTAAGCCTAACCTTTACATTCTATCGTATCTTCATCTTTTCTATTACTCCTCACAGTTCTGAAGAGAATGGACATGGTTGTATCATTTACCTGCACATCAACCTTGTGAAGTAGGCTAGACTGAAAGGGAGAGTGATTGGTCAAAGATGACCCAATGACTTTCGACACTAAGCCAAACCCAGTTTTACACAGGCCAGATTCAACAGTCTTTAGCAAGCCAGCTCTCAGTTAATGCTGGCGACCAAAGGGAGTTAATTCTGTAGTAAGATCTGCCTCTCATCTAAGTCCCTTCATTTCTTCCTTTGTCACAACCATTATTGGGCATTGTTCAGTATTTTGGGGTTCCGTTTCCTCCTAAGGCTCTCTCATTAGTTTTTGTTGTCATTGCAGAAGGTGACAAATTGGAAACCAGGAATCAGGGAGACCATGACAAACTCCACACAGTAGAGAAGCCATATGAATATCTTGAGTGTGGAGAGAGCATCTATCAGAGTTCCCATCAAGGAACTGACAACAAGGAGAAACTTTATCAGTGCTTGGAATGTGGGAAGAACTTCAGCTGGAAGAAAAATCTCACTTCCCATCAAAGAATTCATACCGAAGAGAAGCGATATCAGTGCTTGGATTGTGGAAAGAGCTTTAACAGAAGCACAGATTTCTGTCGTCATCAAAGAATTCATACAGGGGAGAGACCGTACGAATGCTTAGAATGTGGAAAGAGCTTCAGTCAGAGCTCCAACCTCCATGCCCATCAAAGAATTCACAGTGGGAACAAACCCTATCAGTGTCTGGAATGTGGGATTGGCTTCACCACCAAGAGAAGTCTCACTTCCCATCAAAGAATTCATACTGGGGAGAGACCATATCAGTGTCTGGAATGTGGGAAGAGCTATAGCTGGAAAGACAGTCTCACTTCCCATCAAAGGATTCATACAGGGGAAAAACCCTATCAGTGCTTGGAGTGTGGAAAGAGCTTCCACAGAAGCACACATTTCCGCCGCCATCAAAGAATTCACAGCGGGGAGAAACCCTACCAGTGCTTGGAATGTGGGAAGACCTTCAGCTGGAAGGAAAGTCTCACTTCCCATCAGAGAATCCATACAGGGGAGAAACGATATCAATGCTTGTAAATGTGGAAAGAGTTTTATTAAATGTACCATTTTCCATCTTCATCAAGGTATTCACAGCGGGAAGAATCTATATCAGTGCCAGGAGTGTGGCCCATCCTACTCTTTTTTTTGTAATAGGGCAACAAAAAGAACATAATAGCACCTTCAAGACTTTGCACATGTATTCTGGCAGAAGATTGTGAGGTTTTGAGAAGGGGTGGGAAGGGATGTTAAATGATGTTGATGATGATGATGATGATTTATTTGTACCGTTCCCATCTGGTTGGGTTTCCCCAGCCACTCTGGGCGGCTTCCAACAAAGATTAAAAATACATTAAAATGTCACACATCAAAAACTTCCCTAAACAGGACTTTTGCTTGAAATTTCACTTGGTGGGATATTGCCCCAATAAACTCTTATGCAGCCTACAGTGCTTGGAGTTTGGAAAGAGCTTCAAAGAAACATAAATATCCATTGCCATCAATGAATTTAAAAGGGGGAAACTGTATTAACACTTGGGAGAGTGATGCTCACTTATCAGAGAAATCACATGGGGTGAATCCATAAAAATGCTTCCATCCAAATCTTTCCCTTCTTCCCATTAGGGAATTCATATAGAGAGACATCATTCAAACTGGTCATATCCAGTGTTAATCTTGCTTAGAGTAGACCAAGGTGGTCCAGCTTTTTTTCGTGGCCCCCACAACATTCAAGCGGGAGGGAATCTTAAAGCCTTTTAAAAAAAATTCTGTGTGTTAACAAAAGCACCTACATCTGTTTGTGTATTAAATTTGTTTTAATAATTAAATTTATGTGTATTTACTTAGGTACTGTATATTTCATTAATTTCCTTAATTGTGTATATTAAATAATATTAACTATATTGTGAACACTTCAATTTACGATATGGAAATTTAATTCATTCTGTGGCTCATGTGTTCTGCGATATTCTTGCAGCCCCTTGGTATGAAAAGTTGGACCACCCTGAAATTAACGGACCCAAGTTGTCATGTTCATTAAGTTCAGTGGGTGTACTTTGGGTAGGATTAACATTAGATACAACCCACTTCTATGAATGGGGAAAGGAAATGCTTCAGGTAGGAAGTGAGCAACTAGAAACTGTCCATACTGTATCTTTATGTAATTATTTATCTAAAAAATTGCAATAGGGACACTCTTGTTTTCCCTGATTAGTTTTTATCCATTGATGAGACTGTGCAGCAGGTGAATAAAGCCCTATAAGATATATATATGCTCTGTGTCAATCGGTACTTCCTTATACCTGCCCTGAATCTCTCACCAGTCAGTTTCATGGGATAGCCTGAGCTTCTAGGACTATGAATGGGAGGAGAAAACTGCTTTCCACAAGTTCTCACCACGCCATTCAGGACTTTTTGCACATGTATGGTCAACCCTCTTTCTTTGACTTCTATGCTAAAAGGCTGTCTTGGCTGACAAGGCTAATTCATATCAAAGCTGCCACTCAGCACTAGAAATGCTCATTGATTAAATTTTCAGACCAGAAGATCTTTTTTTACAATATGGTTTTATTTGTTTTTTCATCATTACAGTTTTCAACATTATTACAATCAAAAATTGAGACCTTTACTTCCCTTCCACCTTTCCATGGCTTGATCTTTTACGGTCTTTTACCACTGCATATTCTAATCAATCCATACCTTCTCTTTTCACATTTTATTTCCACATACTTTATACTGCTGAATTTATTCTAAACCTGCTGACGTTTTTACCTGTTTACAATAATTCTTAGGTCATTTATTAGCCTATTGAGCTCACCTACATTTCGGACTAAATCATAACTGTTTTCCCCCCTTTATGTAGGACACAGCAGTGACCATCTGGAACTGGGGTTCACCAGTTGTGTTCTGGTGGGGGGTGCATGGGGGACATAGGAGCCAACTCCCATAGGCCAGGTTCCTTCAGCCCCTCCCCAATAAAATATTGGAGGGGGCTGCCCCCATGTTGACATACATTGCTATTCAAATGGTATGTCCGTGCCACATCATGTGATCGATTATGCAGGGTGGGGCTTACGTGCCCCCATTTTTATCCCAATTTAACTGGCTGATCTCCCCGCATCTCCATCTCCACCTTTCCCAGGCTGTCGGAGCCAGCCGTTACAAATGGCGTAGTTTAGCATAAAATAAAGACACAGAGAGCCAGCAATATTTTCAGGATGGTATGAGCAGCTCCTTTCGAACTTCCCTCTCCTCCGGTAGCTTTTTTAATAGCCTTTGTCTCTCTCCAGCCGCATGGCTGTTTGCCAATGTCTCACGTTACCTCATCCGGTCAAGGCTTTTATTGCACCCATCACCATATAGGGTCATCACTGCCCAGAAGAAACACAACTCCAATACATTCCAATACATTGTAAAGCTCAGAGTGCTGGTCAGCCGAGGTCAGGGGGCACCCTGCAATATTACAAGCCTTTAACGTGGCTTTATGACTCCCACACCAGGCTCCTTCCCCCTCCAGGCCATCTGACTCCCCCCTTCACCCACAACGCAAAGGGGAGCCCACCCCAGCCTGGGAGGTAAACTCCAGACGCAGCCCTTACAGCAAAAGAAGGAATCCAGCCACTTCCCACGCCCCATGCAGCCTTTGCAGCAAAGGTGGAGGCGGAGGCAGGAAGCAGCTGGCAAGTTGCTTTGGAGCATGGGTGGGCAAACTAAGGCCCAGGGGCCGGGGCCGGATCACCTTCTAAATCTGTCCCGCGGATGGTCTGGGAATCAGCGTGTTTTTACATGAGCAGAATGTGTCCTTTTATCTAAAATGCATCTCTGGGTTATTTGTGGGGCATAGGAATTCTTTTTTTTTTCTTCAAAATATAGTCCGACCCCCCACAAGGTCTGAGGGGCAGTGGACTGGCCCCCTGCTGAAAAATTTTGATGACCCCTGTCTGGGGGACCCAGTCCCCATCACCCGCTATTATTTTCCCCTCTAGGAAACCACCCCTCAACTTCAGGTTCACATTCGACTATTGTCATGAATGGGGCAGAAACATGTGCAATGTGTTCTGCCTCTGATTTCTTTCCAAAGTCTTTGCATTGCTTTCCGCTTCCCCCCACCCACCCACTGCAACTGTTCGCTTGGGAACCCGAAGTGCCACTGAGTCTTCATCTGGCCAGTTGAACCCCATCTGTGAGCCTTTCCTCTTTGGCTCCTGCTGAGAGAGAGAGAGAGAGAGAGAGAGAGAGAGAGAGAGAGAGAGAGAGAGAGAGAGAGGGGCATGGCCTCCTCAGGGTTAAAAGCAACTGAGCTAGGTTCCTAGAGAGGAAAAGGGGGGGGATTTAGGGGGGGCAGCCGGGATCCTCTAGCCGATGCCACTCCGCCTTGTGTGGCTTCCTGCTTGCAGAGTGGGGGCGAAAGTGGGCTTTGACTCTCCCAGGAGCTGCATCGATGGCTCCTTCTGTAGCCTGGTGAGTGTCTCCCCATTTTGTGCAACACTGAGCTGAGCTCTAGGGAAATTCATCCTCAGCTGCACGTTGAGTATGATATAAGAATTTTATTGGACACCCAGCTGTCATTTTGCCTTCTCTAGGGCATGTAATTAAATGCCTGATGACACCCCCAAGACACCCCAACTCCTTCCCTGCACTCCCTAGGATAGAAATCCTTCCCCGAGCTGTCAAGTTCCTGAGCTACAATAGAACATTGAGAAAATGCCTTTATCTCAATGTTTCAAGACTGAATAAACGGCATCCATTTTTTCTGTAACAAATGCATTTAGCGTGCCTCCTGGAAATTATAACAACTTTTCTTTGTATGTAAACTGTGTCCCCTAGGTGCGGAAGTAATTTACTGCATATCTTGATTTGTCTCTACATGCTTATCCCCCGATCTGTAAATTACAGTGTTACCTTGGGTTAAGTACTTAATTCGTTCCCAAGGTCCGTTCTTAACCTGAAACTGTTCTTAACCTGAAGCACCACTTTAGCTAATGGGGCCTCCCGCTGCTGCTGCACCGCCGGAGCACAATTTCTGTTCTCATCCTGAAGCAAAGTTCTTAACCCGAGGTAATATTTCTGGGTTAGCGGAGTCTGTAACCTGAAGCGTATGTAACCTGAAGCATATGTAGCCCGAGGTACCACTGTAATGGCATTGTCAATGCCAGTGCCGCTGGTAAATCCTTTTTCTATGCACCTGGGAAGAAGGCAAATACTGGGAAATTAACTCAATCACAAATGCTGAATACATATTAATGTCAATGAAATACCAATTTTCTGTAACCCACCCTAAACCATCTTCCCCAACAGAGCTCCAAGCAACCCCCAACTCACATTTCTGATGTGTACTGTCCTGTTTTTCTATGTACAACTGAGAGAGGGAGTTTGTGCATGAAGGAAGAGTTGTGAGCAACAGAGCTGTTGGATGGATGCTGCACCTTATTTATGTATTTATTTGTTACATTTACATACCACCTTTTCCTCCAAGGAACTCAAGGTAGCAGATATGCTTCTTCCTCTCCTCATCTTATCCTCACAACCACCCTGTGAGGTAGGTTGGGCTGAGAGGCAGTGACTGGCCAAAGGTCACCCAGTGGGCTTCTTGGTTGGGTAGCTACTAGAACTCTAATCTCTTCCAGGTCTTAGCCCTACACCAAACCAACTCCCTTCTGACCTTCAACCAGGTTGAAGGCTTTAATCCATGGCCCACACATGAAGGAACCTCCCCAGAAGATCATCTTAAGAGTCCTCTTGTCATTCACCTGCCCTTCCTTCTGATGGGTGGCTGGACTCATCTACATTTCCTCAGGGAAAATCTTCATGTCCTGACAGCGTAATAATTCACTCACCCTACAATGTCTTGAATTTTTAGGACTTGGCAGTGACTCCAGTAACAGCAGTCTTTGGCAGAAGCAACAGAAGCTTCTTGGACCCTGTTGGAGGGAACAGAGATCAAAGATGGAAGAAAAAGACTCAGCTGGGCCTGAAGCAGTAAGAGGTCTGTTTATCATCCAGGCCAGGAGCCCTGGGGAACCGTGGGATAGAACAGGATGGAAGATTCCAGGTGAGGACACCCTCAGCGCAAATGTGCAATGCCAGAAGTTCAGGCATTTCCACTACCAGGAGGCTGAGGGGCCCCGAGAGGTTTGCAGCCGACTTCACCATCTTTGCCGTCAGTGGCTGAAGCCGGAGAGATGCACCAAGACTCAGATGCTGGACCTGGTGATCCTGGAGCAGTTCCTGGCTGTCCTACCCCCAGAGATGGAGAGCTGGGTGAGGGAATGTGGAGCAGAGACCAGTTCCCAGGCGGTGGCCCTGGTCGAAGGTTTCCTCCTGAGTCAGGCAGAGGAGAGGAAGCAGGCAGAGCAGCAGGTGAGGTTGTCATCTGGACCAGGGGTCTCCCAAACTGTGGTCTGTGAACTGCTAGTGGTCCATGAGTTTTATTCAGTTGATCAATGTTAAATATTTATATTTACTTTTAATTGCGTCTTGGTTGCTTATTTTATTTCTTGTATTTTAATGCATAACAAATTGAATTCTGTGGAACACAAAAAAATGAAAGCATCCAAGGAAAGACTTCTAATAACCCTTCAGGTTTCTGCCTCTGCTGTTCCTTTTCCAATCCTTCTCCACAGTTGATGTCTCCAATTCTTATTGTTGTTTCAGGTTACAGGTCTATTTGCCAAAGCCAGCCTGGATTTCTCAGAGGCAGAGAGGGCTCCATCAGACACTGGACAGGGGCTACTGGGTAAGAACTCCCTTGTTAGAACAGCTACATTGGCTAGCAGTCTGATTCCAGGTGCAATTCAAAGTGCTGGTTATGAGCTATAAAACCCTATACCACTTAGGTCCAAGCTATCTGAAAGACCATATTTCCTTTGGGAATTGACTGTTTTTTAAGGAAAGGGCTTTTACTAGTGCTGTGCTGTTTTTAATATCTGCATCTTAATAGGTTTGTTTTTATATTGCTTTAATTCTCCTAGAGTTTAACCAACATTTTAATTATTCTCTTTTTATGTTTTAGCTTTTTGTATTTCATCTGTGTGGTTTAATTAATGTAAGCTGCCTAAAGTCCTGGTCTGGGGATAAGACAGGATATAAATAAATATAATAATAATAATGACTGATGGGATGTATCTCAATTGGGTTTATCTTGGTCAAGTGTTAAATAAATCCACAGGCTCCTTTAATCTTTTGGGGGAAGAAACTGGCAGCCCAGAGCCCCAAAGGGAAGAGATGTCCTTTCACACACATATAAAACAGAATATAAAGCTCTGAAATACAGTGGTACCTCGGGTTACAGATGCTTCAGGTTACATACGCTTCAGGTTACAGACTCCGCTAACCCAGAAATAGTACCTTGGGTTAAGAACTTTGCTTCAGGATGAGAACAAAAATCGCATGGTGGCAGCGCAGTGGCAGCGGGAGGCCCCATTAGCTAAAGTGGTGCTTCAGGTTAAGAACAGTTTCAGGTTAAGAACTGACCTTTAGAACGAATTAAGTTCTAAACCTGAGGTACCACTGTATGCTTAACAGATAAAAGAATTTCTAACACCCATGTGTATTTAGGGATGCATTGATTAACCTACGAGAGAAGCAAGTGCTCCTGGCTTATCGCCAGCTTTTTCTCTCTCAGGTGATGAAATGATACTGGCAAGACCTCATCAGCCATCTCTGCTTCGTGGTGAAGGGGAAGCAGTTGCCATTGAACTGGATCAGGTAGGGAGGACAGATCACAGGAGGCAGGCTGGAGGCAGGCTACTCGGTCCCCACCTCCCTAGGCCTGAACTGAAATCCCTGCTTCTTGGTTCTTCTGTCAGAACTGCCTGCAAGGAAGTCAAATATTTAAATCATTCCATGGAATTCAAATTGCCACATGATAAAATGCAATATAGGAAATAAAAGTACAGTGGTGCCTCGCAAGACGAAATTAATCCGTTCCGCGAGAGTCTTCGTCTAGCGGTTTTTTCATCTTGCGAAGCAACCCTATTAGCGGCTTAACGGATTAGCGCTATTAGCGGTTTAGCGGCTATTAAAGGCTTAAAGGCTTAGCGGATTAGCTGCTAAAAGGCTATTAAAGGCTATTAAAGGCTTAGCAGATTAGATAAAGGGGGAAAAGCGAAAAAATCTCTAGACTCGCAAGACATTTTCGTCTTGCGAAGCAAGCCCATAGGGAAATTCGTCCTGCGAAGCAACTCAAAAACGGAAAACCCTTTCGTCTAGCGGGTTTTCCGTCTTGCGAGGCATTCGTCTTGCGGGGCACCACTGTACAATTAAAAATCATACAACATCCACAGGGCAAAGTGTTTGGGAACCAATGTAATAGATAACACAAACTATTATCTATAGAGATTTCATTTCTGCAGAATAGCCCCTCTTCCTTGAAGAGTCTCATGGATTTTGGGAATCAATATATCTTAATGTAATCTTTCAACTATTTCCCTTTTTCTCAGAGTCCCGTGTCCTTTGAGGAGGTGGCTGTGTACTTCACTAAGGAGGAGTGGGCACTTCTGGATCCTGATCAGAGAGATCTGCATAAAGAAGTCATGGAGGAGAATTGTGGGATGGCAACCTTTCTTGGTAAGGGTCGAAGTTTCACTTGTCCAGGAGTGGAGAATCTTCAGCATTACAGACATTACAGGACTGCAACACCCATAATTTCTGTACTAGTTTAAAACTGTTTAGAAAGTGTAGCAATCTATCAACTTTTAGCATTATTCTTCTTTGCACGTTTCTTATACTGGATAATTTTTATTGATTAAAACATTAGCATTTTTACCTCAAGTTCTTACCTGTTTCTTATCTTTGTTGCAGCATGTGAAAAAAGCTTTTGTCAAAGTTTTAGCCTCACTACCCCTCAAAGGATCTTTATGGTGGAGAAGCCATATAAATGTTTTGGAGGTGCAAGGCGCTTAAATGAGAAGATAGGCCTCATGACACATCCAAGAATTGACACAGGGGAAGAACCACACCAGTGCTTGGAGTGTGGAAAGAGCTTCAGTGATATGAAAGCTTTCACTACTCATCAAAGAACCCATACTGTGGAAAAGCCATATAAGTGCTTGGAGTGTGGAAAGAGCTTCCGACAGAACATAACTCTCAGCTATCATCAAAAAACTCACACAGGGGAAAAACCCTATGAATGTTTGGACTGTGGAAAGAGCTTCATTCGAAAGATAAATCTCACTTATCATCAAAGACTTCACACAGGGGAGAAACCATATCAGTGTTTGGAATGTGGAAGGAGCTTCATTCGAAAGATAAACCTCACTTCCCATCAGACAATCCACACAGGAGAGAAACCATTTCAGTGCTTGGAGTGCGGGAAGAGCTTTAGACAGAATATAACTCTCAGTAATCATCAAAGACTACACACAGGAGAGAAACCCTATCAGTGCTTGGAGTGTGGAAAGAGCTTCATTCGGAAGACTGATCTTAGTTATCATCAAAGAATCCACACAGGGGATAAACCTTATCAGTGCCTGGTGTGTGGAGTGAGCTTTACACAGAAAAGGCACCTCACGTCTCACCAAACGATTCACACAGGGGAGAAGCCATATAAATGCTTGGAGTGTGGAAAGTGCTTTCGCCTGAACAGAGACCTCATTCCTCATCGAAGAATTCACACTGGGGAGAAACCGTATCACTGTTTGAAGTGTGGAAAGAGTTTCAATACAAACGCAAACCTCCGTTGTCATGAGAGAGTTCACACAGGAGTAAAACCATATAAATGTACGGAGTGCGGGAAGAGCTTCAGTGCAAAGAAAACACTAATTTCCCATCAAAAAATGCATACAGGGGGAAGTGATATGAATGTTTGCAGTGTGGAAAGAGTTTCCACGTAAATAAAGTTCTCATTTCTTTGAATTAACATGGGATAAACTATTCCAGTGCTTGGAGTGGAAATACATGAAATGATGCACATAACCATTTAAATATTTCTTGGGGACGTAGAGTACCCTCCTTTTCTTCCTTAAGCTACACCCCTCCCTCTTGGCCCCATTCATTTAAACTGAAGCAGCCCTGGGAGACCAGAGTTCAAATCCCCATGAAGCCATGAAGTTCACTGGGTAACCTTGGGCCAATGGCTCTCAGCCTAGTTCTACCTCACAGGGTTATATTGAAATACTTTATTGTCACTTGTACACCTTGTATACAGTGAGATTACACGAGCACCCCCCACTCAGCTCTCTTAGTCTTAATTTCCCTCGTTTACTGATGCATACCCACCAGACCCGAGAGTCAGTTGCCCTGTTGTTATCTTTTCATTCAGCAGCCTAACAGGCCACGGATAGAAGCTGTTCTTTACCCTGTTGGTGCGACTAATCCTGCTTCTACATCTTCTGCCTGAGGGCAGGAGATCAAGAAAGTGCCGACCAGGGTGTGAATCATCCCTGAGAATTTTCCTCACTCTCCTGAGGCAACGTTCTTCTGCTATTTCATCCAGCGGATTCACGGGACAGCCCATAATATCTTGTGCTGTATTCACCACCCTCTGTAGGCACTTCCTATCAGTTGATGTCAAACCAGCTTACCACACCATGATGCAGTATGAAAGGATATGTTGACCGGTAGAAGATCTTTCTATGTTGACCGGTAGAAGATCATCAGATGTTGATTGACATCATTCTTCCGCAATACTCTGAGGAGATGGAGTCTGTTGGGCTTTCTTAACCACCTGGGTTGTATTTATTTTCCAAGTAAGCTCTTCACTGAGATAAACTCCTAGGAATTTAAAGGAAGAGACTCTCTCCACACAGCCCTCCCCGATGTACAGCAAGGCTAGTTCTCCTCTCTTCCTCTGAAAGTCCAACACCATCTGCTTTGTCTTGCTGATATTAAGGTGCAAGTTGTTCCATAGGCACCATGTATATATATATTTTTTACCTCCCCTCTATACGCTAATTCGTCTCCACCTGTTATTAAACGCAGTGTGGTGTCATCTGCAAACTTAATAATTGCAGTAGACAGATAAATGCTACACAATCGTATGTATACAATGAATACAGGTAGGGACTTAGCACACATCCCTGTGGTGTGCCAGTGCTGATTTTTAAGGAATTAGATGTTACATGTCCAATCCTCACTGTTTGTGTCTGATCTATCAGATAGTCTTTAATCCAGTCACAGATGGTAGGAGAAAGGTTCATGTCAGTCAGCTTTTTTTCAGGGTTATTGTGAATATATAAAATTGGGAATAGGAGAACTATGAAGCCACTTCAAGTTCATTTGACGAAAGGTGGGCTATAAATGTAATAATAAATGAATAACAAAAAGTCCATTTCCAGCTTACCTGTCCTTGATTTTGAATTGGTGGTGGTGGTGGTATTTTTGTGTGTGTGTGTTTATATAGGAGGCTGGGTTTGGAATCAGGAAATTAAATGTGCAAAGAGGAAATGGAAAGGGCAAAGGAATGTTCTCTGGTTTCCAAGTGCAGAAAACATGCCAAAGGCAAGGAGAGGATGCGGGAGAGGAGAATATGATGTTTTACACACACACACACACACGATTTAATTTACCCACCCTGGTATTGTAAACTGGTCATCTCCCTCCCCAGGGGTCTCCTAACCACTTCAAGTTACAAGACAGGAGATTCCGACTAAACATCATGAATAACTTTCCTTCCTTGGAGATTTTTAAGCAGAGGTTGGATGGCCATCTGTCCTGGATGCTTTAGCTGAGATTCCTGCATTGCAGAGGATTAGACTAGATGACCCTGGGAGTCCCTTCCAACTCTTAAGATTCTATGAAGCTCCCTGAACAGGGATGAGGAAGAGGAAAATTGGAGTTCAGGCGCACAGACTCCAATCAAGGTGTGGCTTTCAAGGCAGGGCAGGGGAATGTTCACAGGATCAAATATGGGATAAATCATTAAAAAAAAAAAAATTAAAACAATGATTAAATAATTTGTTCTTGGCTGTTAAGACCCTAGTAAATTATTTACGTAAGATACTGCTATAAGCTTTTTCTTCTTCCCTTTTTGCTAAGCAACTTTTTTCTATTCAAATGAAATTATTTTGCAAAACAATCTTATGTGGTCGATTATGCAGGGTGGGGCTTACTTGCCCCCTCCCCAATTATTCAAGTTGGCACCCCTGGCTGGACCTGGGAGAGCAGGGTTCGCATCCCCATGAAGCTACCTTGGGCAGCCAACGTCTCTCAGCCCAGCCTACCTCACAGGGTTGTTGGGAGGGCGAACTGGGGACGTGGAGAAGCACGCGCACCACCTTGAACTCCTCGGAAGAAAAGGTGGTATATAAACGTAATGGCGGGGCGGGGGAAAGGGAGACACCCGCAAGGGGCCTCGAAGCAGCCGGAGACGAAGGACGAAGGAGGCAAAGGCAGCGGTTGAGGCAGAAGCGCCGGCATGTAGGAAGCCAGCGAAGGAAAAGGCGGCCGTGAGGCGTTGCTACGGGCTCGTGAGGCGTTGCTAGGAGGCGCCCAACGGCCGGGCAGCGTTGCTAAGGGCCCGTGAGACGTTGCTAGGGACGGCCTAGCGGCGTTGCTAAGGGTACGCGAGGCGTTGCTAGAGGCGCCCAACGGCCGCGCGGCGTTGCTAAGGGCAAGTGAGGTGTTGCTAGGGGGCATCCAACGGCCAACCACCGCTTGGACACTCTATGGCCTCCGCTATTTCTCGACTCGCGCCTGCTGCTGATCACTTCCGGGTCTCCCCGCAGGGTTTTCTCCGGGCAGGGAGGGGGAGCCGCCTGCAGAATTCAACGAGCGGCCGCTTCACGGGGGGCACCGGGAGGCGGAGACGGGTTTTCGCCTCATTAAATGCCCCCAAGGACTTGCGTTGCCAGGGGGTTGGGGACCAGATGATTCATTGCCTGTGATTCTGAATTGTAGGGTTTGGAAGGGACCCCCAAGGGTCATCTAGTCCACACACGCAACCCCCCCCCTCGAAATGCAGGCATCGCAGCTAAAGGATCTCTTGACAGATGGCCACCCAACCGCCTTCCTTGCGAGGGATTCCGTCTCACATGCTCCCTGCCCAAGGTACTGCCATGTCTGGCACATCTCTCCTCCTGGCGCCGGTCGGCACATCGCTGTCAGGGCAGGAGGTGATGGGGCGCCCCTGCTTCGTGGAAGAGGGATGCCAAGAAATAGGCAGGATACCAGACCATTCCTCCCGTGTTTTGATTAAAATGGGAGGCAGCTGTTGAGGAAGGGCCTGGTTTTCTTCCTACTTTTGATTTTCTTGCCACCTCCCCCCCCCCCAAAAAAAACCCCTTCATCAGAGAGTGCGGGGCTAGGCATTCTAAGGGTTAAATTCGGAAGCGGTGGGGGAGAGCCAAAGCCCCCACCCCTTTCATGTCCCTTGGAGTAAAACTGGTCACTGATCTCTCTGCTACCCCCACCCACCCACAAAAGTGCTACCTTTGTGGGATCTGGTGAGCACCCCTCCTGAAATTTGGGGGAAGGGGAGGGGGGGAGGATGCACAAGGGGCGAAAGAGAGGAGGGGGAGTCAAAAATGCCTTGGGGGCTGATTTCCAAAATCCAATGCCGGGCAGGAAAAGGAGAGGGTCGCCAGCTGTTGGGAAGGGGGACCTATTTGGACCCTAGCCCCATTTTACCCACAAAGGGAGGGGGCCTGTGCAGCAGATCCACTTAGGACCCCCATATATACACCAGGGGGTTTGATATGTGGGGGCTGGGGAAGAGGAGGGTGTGTAAAGCAGGTCTGCAATGCTTAGTTGAATGGATCATCCCATTGGATTTAGGGGAACCCCACCACCAGATCCCACAATGGGCCTCCCCCGCACCCCAACTGCCACCACTGGGGCCTCTGAATGACCACCTTCTCCATGGGACTCAGTGGAAGAAGCAGTAACAGCTTTTTCTAGAGATCCATTCTATTGTAACTTCTTTAAAAGAAAAGGGATGCTTGTTGTAATAATCCTAGGTAAACTGATATCTGACGTCAACCTGAATTCGCACAGGGGAGACGGTTTTGTGTATGCTACTAGGACCCACCGTAATTTTTATGATAGGAAACTGTTTTCAACTGTTTTTGATGTTGTGTGTTGTGTGTTCTGTAACCCACCCAGGGACCTTAGGCTGATGGGCAGGTAATACATTATATATACATTAAGCCCACAACTTATTTGGGGGTTGTGTTCTAGGAATAAGGCCTAAAGCCAAAATTGAAAAGAAAAAAAAATTGGTTCAGTGGTGGGTGGGATTGCCCAAGTCATTTTCCGCACCTATTATTTATTTATTTATTTTGCCACACTTAAGTTGTGGGCTTACTGTATATATAATGTATCACCTGCCCATCAGCCTAAGGTCCCTGGGTGGGTTACAGGGTACCTCGGGTTAAGAACTTAATTTGTTCTGGAGGTCTGTTCTTAACCTGAAACTGTTCTTAACCTGAAGCACCGCTTTAGTTAATGGGGTCTCCCACTGCTGCTGCACCGCTGGAGCACAATTTCTGTTCTCATCCTGAAGCAAAGTTCTTAACTCGACGTACTGTTTCTGGGTTAGTGGAGTCTGTAACCTGAAGCGTATGTAACATGAAGCGTATGTAACCCGAGGTACCACTGTACTTCGATTTCTAGCCAATAGTCCAAGTGTGAAGAATTGCATTTTCACACAACTCACTAATATAACGTGTGGAAGCATTGTGTAAAATATGTAGGAAAGTGGATCAGGCATTGTGTAACAACAGCATGTACCTAGGCTTGTCTCATGTGATCTCTGGGAGAATCAGTTGCTACAGACTTCCCATCACCTTTTTCTCTCACAGGTGATGGAATGATGCTGGCAAGATCTGCTTCACAGTCTCCTCTCCGTGGTGGCGTTGATGCTGTTGTGATGAAACCAGAGGAGGTAGGGGTAGGATCAGTGGGGGGAGCAGAGCTGTGGGCACCCAGGGTGCCTCTGTCCTCTACTCAACCCCCTCCCCAAGGTGCCCATGAGGGAGGCTGCGGATGCCGCTTGAGAAGGTTTAATTTCTGCAGGACTTTTCTGTATTTTGGCATTCAATCATATCAATCAGGAGGCCAATGTTTTCCTTTTCCCTCTGGGTCTCATGTGCTTTGAGGAGGTGTTTATCCGAGGAAGAGTGGGCCCTGCTGGATCTGGAGCAGAGGGCCCTGCACAGGGAAGTCATGGAGGAGAATTGTGAGATCACTGCCTCTCTCTGTGAGGTTCCCTCTTTGCATAGTTGACCATAATATCGTACAGAAAATGCAATATAAAGCATTTTTGCACATTTTGTATATTTTTCAGACTCAATCCAACAGGCTTTCTATATTTTTATTGTTTACAAGATTCATGGCTAACCTTGCCATTTAAACAGTAGGTTAAATAGGCCTAGCACATCCAAGGGTTCATTAATCCAGGATCCGTTGACTAGAAGAGAAGAAGAAGAGTTTGGACTCGATATCCCGCCTTTCACTCCCCTTAAGGTGTCTCAAAGCGGCTCACAATCTCCTTTCCTTTCCTCCCCCACAACAAACACTCTGTGAGATGAGTGAGGCTGAGAGACTTCAGAGAAGTGTGACTAGCCCAAGGTCACCCAGCAGCTGCATGTGGAGGAACGAGGAAGCGAACCCAGTTCACCAGATTACGAGTCCACTGCTCTTAACCACTACACCATGCTGGCTAGACAATTCAGTGCTTAGACTGCATGCAAATTACATGCTCCCATGCTAAATGACAGGTTTTCTTCTCGTATTTATCATATATCCACCCACCATTGCCCAAAAGAGTTCAGAAGAGAACACATAGGGTTGTTCTATGGTTTAGAGTCACAAGAACCCTGTTAGGTAGGCAACCTATCACTATCACTCAGCGATATCTGTGTGTGAGCTAGGTGCTGAACATGGATCCCCATGGACTCAGTCCAATAGTCTATAGAACTTCAACTATCGATTAAGGTATTAATGGCAGGGATATGAATAGTAAGGTCTGCTAATAATTTTCTGTTACTCCTTTATCGCAAGCATGATGTGTTTTGGTTCAGTGATTTGAGCTTCCAGTTACACCTCAGGCTCCTGATAGTGTCCTCTCTTTTTCAACAGATCGTGAGTGGGAATCCGAGAATCAGGAAGATCTACATTGGTTCTTGCTAGAAGCACACATGACTTTAAAGGCAGAGCAGCAGAGTATTAAAAACACAATAAAACATCAAACATTAAAAACTTCCCTAAACAGGGCTGCTTTCCGATTTCTTCTAAAAGTCAGATAGTTTTTTATTTCTTTGACATCTGATGGGAGCACATCCCCTACATCTGCATGTTATGAGCTAAGACTGACAGATGCTCTGGGTTACCATATCAATAAATCATCATCATCATCATCATATAGCCTCCAAAGCAAGGGGGGCGAGGGCTGCTGTTATCTCCTATCCCAAGGCTGCATTGGAGTCCTCTGGGCTTCCACTTTTGATTGGGACCCTAAATTGTGAGTCTAAAACACACACACGCACACACACCACCACCACCACCAACAACAACAGGAAAAGAGAGAGAGATCAGAAGCCCTCCTTCTTGAGGGGAGGGGGAAAGGAAAGAAAAAGCTTGAAAACCAGCCCGTTCCCGACCAACCAACCTCCTAATTCCTCCCTATTAGCCTCCTCTTTTTGAGTGACTTGTGGGGGCGTTGACCCTGCAGCCCGCGCTTCGAAGGGTTAAAGCGAACGCGACCCGCTTCCTAGAGAGGAAAGGAATGTGTGCGGGCGGGGGGCCGAGTCCTCCAGAGCTAAGTCCCCTCCTCCCCCAAGCTCTTCCCTTGATGCGATTCCTTTGGAGCAGAAGCGAGCGGCTGGTTCTTTTGCGCGATCGCTGCCTCGGCGGCCCCTTCTGAGGTCCGGTGAGCCCCCCACCGGCTTTGTGCATTTGGGGGAAGGCAATCCCCAGGGGAGGAAGGTGCACAGGAGGGGCTGCAAGATAGGACCGGGAAGAGGGGGCTTAGAAGACCCCCTGGGAAGCGGTGGGGAGGGGGCCAAGAGCTCAGCCCTGCCCGCCCAGCCCAGCACCCTGCCCATCGGTCGTGGGTGTTGGAGCTGAGATTCCTACGTTGCATTTCAGGGGGTTGGGCTAGATGACCCTGGGGTCCCTTCCGACTCTACAATGCCATGATTCTGCGATGGAGAGAATGGGCGGGTTAATGGGGCTTTATCCCCATTTCGTTCAACCCATAGGGAGACACAGGGCTGCAGACATGGGGTTCACACATACTGGGCAGGGTGGTGGTGATGGGCTTTTAGCTTTCTTAAAATATATATTTTATTTTTTTTAAAAAACACCCAATATGCCACTCTGACATTTGCAAAGGCAGAGGCAGCTGGCTAAGGCTTCTGCAGGAAGCAAGGTTGCTAAGCGTGCCTCCTCCTCTGTTGCTAAGCAGACGGGTATGTGGACGGAGTCTGGACAGAGGGGAAAAGAGAAAGAGCAGAAAAAGCTCCTTGTTGAGGGCTAGCCTGGTGCTGGACAGGGGCGGGTGGAGCCCACACAATTTTGTTCTTATATGCCTTTATAGTATAAAATGCAACTGTCTGAAATAAATGGGGAATTGGTGATGTTTCAATGCCCTGGTTCTCTTTTTCCCCATTGCTGGTGTGCTTTTAATTAGTAATTTACTTATTAATATGCAGCAACCCTGAAACAAATTTATGAAACCCATACTGCAGCTACAGCCAGTTAAATTTCCTATAGGCTCTGATTCTGTAATTAATATAGTAAGCCTTATTTATCCTAAATGTTTTCCCACTCAGTAAATAAAAAAAAAGCAATCTAGTAAACAGGGAGAAGGTTTGGAGGTTTGGGAATCAAAATCAATCATAGCTGTGGTTCTCAAACTTTTTCCCGCATGGAACACTTGAAAATCACCGAGGGTCTTGGTGGACCCCACTTAATGCTTTTTTCTGTCTGCTGCAACCACTGCAGTGAGCAGTTCTGGGTGCTGAATGATTTTAATTTGTATCTCAATTGCTTCTTTCGTTCCTTTTTTTAGTGTATTGTATTACTGTACTGAAAGGCAATAAATTTCTGTAGAATTCAAATTGCAATGGGAAAAAAAATGCAAGGTTTCCCCTCCCTTTGTAATGGTTGCCATTAATATGACTCTGAATTGATTTCAGAATGAATTGATTTTAGAATGTATTTCAATTAAATGATTATGATTTTATGTAAACTGTATTATTTTTACTGTTGTTAGCCGCTCTGAGCCCGGCTTCAGCTGGGGAGGGTGGGATATAAATAAATTATTATTATTATTATTATTATTAGGTCCCCAAGTATCTTAAAACAGTCTTGTTCCTCAGGGGAAAGCTTTCTGTCCTGACGGTGTGATAATAAAATCATCTGGGAATGGCTTGATTTTTCAGGACTTGGTAGCACTTTCAGCTAGGGCGGAAGTGGGAAGAGTCCCTTGGGGTCAATTGGAGAGTCTTCCTTGGAACACAGATGGAAGAGGAAGACTCTGTCGTTCTTGAAGACGGTAGAGGCCCATATACAATCCAGGTTGGGAGCAGTGGGGACTTCTGGGAAAGAACAATGCAGAAGATTCTGGATGAGGAGGACACCCTCAGCTCATATTTACAGCTCCCCGTTGGGCATTTCAACCACACAGAAGCCAAGGGGCCCCGAGAGATTTGCAGCCGACTCCACCGTCTTTGCTGCGAATGGCTGAAGCCAGAGCAACACACGAAGAATGAGCTGTTGGAACTGGTGGTCCTGGAGCAATTCCTGGCTGTCCTCCCCCCGGAGATGGATAACTGGGTGAGGGAATACGGAGCGGAGACCAGTTCCCAGGCGGTGGCCCTGGCTGAAGGTTTCCTCCTGAGTCAAGCAGAAGAAAAGAAGCAGGAAGAGCCGCAGGTGAGAGAGAGTTTCATCCTAATACTTTCAGCGGGGTCAAAATTGGAAGGGGGGAAATCTTAAAACAGCCTGTAATTAAACCTTTTTTTAAAAAGTAGAAATAATTCACAGCACCATGCCCCAGATTCCCCAAGGCCTTTTGCCTCTGTTGTGCCTTTTCTAATCCTCCCCATTGACTGACTTCAATCTCCTCGTCGTTTCAGGTAAAAGGTCTGTTTGCCGAACCAACCACTGACCTCCCTGCAGCAGAGAGAGCTTCGTCAGATGCCAAGCAGTGTTTCCTGCGAAGGAGGAACGTTCAGGGGAGCTGGGGAGCTGCAGCCTCACTCAGTAAGAATTAACTGCATCTCCCACGGGACGCTTTTATGTTCTCGTGAATCTTTCAGAGGGAGGCCCCCTTTCCGTAGCCTAAAGGTAAAGGGACCCCTGACCATTAGGTCCAGTCGTGGCCGACTTTGGGGTTGCGGCGCTCATCTTGCTTTATTGGCCGAGGGAGCTGGCGTACAGCTTCCGGGTCATATGGCCAGCATGACTAAGCCGCTTCTGGCGAACCAGAGCAGCACATGGAAGCGCCGTTTACCTTCCTGCCAGAGCAGTACCTATTTATCTACTTGCACTTTGACGTGCTAGGTTGGCAGGAGCAGGGACCGAGCAACGGGAGCTCACCCCATCGCGGGGATTCGAACCACCGATCTTCTGATTGGCAAGCCCTAGGCTCTGTGGTTTAACCCAGCCTTATCCACAGTTAAAAAATGAATCTATTTTCAATACTTGAGCACTTACACGAGTGCTTGAGTTTCTGGCTGAGAACCCAAATAGGGAGAATTGCAGTTTCCCACAAATGAAGCGCACAATGTTTAGAAGCATCCCAAATTCAGTGGTACCTTGGTTCTCGAACTTAATCTGTGCTGGGAGTCCGTTTGATTCCTGAAACCGTTCAAAAACCAAGGCGTGACTTCTGATTGGCTGCAGGACCTTCACTCAAGCAGAAGCTGTGTTGGACGTTTGGCTTCCGAAAAACGTTTGCAAACACTTACTTCCGGGTTTGCGGCATTCGGGAGCTGATTTGTTCAGCAGCTAAGCCGTTCAGGAACCAAGGTACAACTTAGTGCGATGGAGGAGATTACATTTTTGTAACGTCAACATGTACGTAAAACATGCGCCGCTTAACCGCTATCTGGTTAGGAGCATTCAGAATATCTAGGATAGATGCGCCATTTTCTAATGCCAACTTGTACTTGGAGATGTGTCCTTCTGTAGGACAAGCAGTTGCTATTGGCTTCCCACCATTTTGTCTCTCGCAGGTGATGAAATGAAACCAACAGGAGCTTCTTGGCTGTCTCCTCTTTGTGGTGAAGGGGAAGCAGGAGCTGTGGAACCAGATCAGGTAAGAGGGAAGAAGGTTCATTGAGGAAAAGAGAGGCTGGGTGTCATCCCATTATTATTATTATTATTATTATTATTATTCCGCCCTATATCCAAGGGTCTCAGGGTGGTTCACAAAATAAAATCAAGATATAAAATCACAAAATACCTACTCAAAATAAAAGCAACCCAATAGTCCCCCCCAAAAAAACACATTTTAAAAGGGCATAGGATGTAAATCGGATCAACCAAAGGCCTAGTTAAAAAGGAACGTTTTTGCCTGGCACCTAAAGGTGTATAATGAAGGCGCCAGGCGAGCCTCCCTGGGGAGAGCATTCCACAGACAGGGAGCCACTGCAGAGAAGGCCTTGTTCTCATGTTGCCACCTTCCGGATCTCTCAAGGAGGGGGCACACGAAGGCTCTGTCGACTGCTCACCTTCTTGGATCTGAACAAATGAATCTCATTTTCTTTGCATCTGTCAAAGCTGCCTACTGGAGGGGCTGCGGAGGCCGCTTAAGAGTGCAACTCAAAATTTTCCTTGTGTAGTCTTTTGAATTCTAGTAAAACAAAATCATTATGAGCTGCATAAAAAAGCAACTACCTCCCTGCCTTTCAGGGTCGAACGTCTTTTGAGGATGTTGCTGTATATTTCGCCAAAAAGGGCCCCCATGAAGTTTGCAGCCGACTCCACCATCTCTGCCATCAGTGGCTGAAGCCAGAGGGTCACACCAAGACTCAGATCCTGGACCTGGTGATCCTGAAGCAGCTCTTGGCTGTCCTCCCTCCGGAGATGGAGAGCTGGGTGAGGGAATGTGGAGCGGAGACCAGTTCCCAGGCGGTGGCCCTGGCCGAAGGTTTCCTCCTGAGCCGGGCAGAGGACAGGAAGCAGCAGGTGAGAGAGAGTTTCATCCTGGCATTTCCAAATGGCTCTTAATCTGAGGGGTTAGCCACACTTTTCCTGGATACTGTATCACCCACAAAGGAATGTGCCAAACTTGCCAAGTCTTTTTCCCTCTACCATGCCTTTCCTAATTCTGCTGCACATTTACTGTCTTTGACATCCTCACTGGTTAACCAATATGGAATATTGTGTTTGTAATAATTTAATTTCTTGTATTATTTCTTTGTTTCCAGGTTTTTGTATTAAGTATTTTTCTTTCCTTATGAACTCACTATTTCAATTTTTTTACTTTCTTTCAACTTTTTCAGCTGCGCATTCTGCTGTATTAGGTAGCCCCTTACTTGAGATTGAACTCAAAATATTAATTATTTTTTACCTTTCTCTACTAAATCCATATTGTTTAATATTTCTTCGTTCAATCTCCATCTATGTTGTGTTTTCTCTTGCCCCTGTAATATGACCTTTATTGAATTGTGGTCCGAAGTTCTCCTTGGTAATATCTCTACTTTTTTTACCCTTGCCCCTAATTCTTTAGATGCCCATATGGCATCTATTCTGCTTGCAGAATTTTTCCACAATAAGTAAATTGGCGTTCCATCAGATGTTTAAGTCTCCATAGATTTAGTAGATCCATGTTTTTGATATCAAAAACGGAATTGGGTAATTTCCCTTCCTTTTTTTCCAGTTTTATGTATTTTCCTGTCAAACTCTTAACAATGTTACTCCATTTAGGTCTCCCATTAATATTATTTTGCCATCATTTTGTTCAAACATATATTTCTCTAATGTTTTTTTAAAAATCCTATTTTCTTTCATTGGGTGCATATATTCCTACGATTAAGAAACGTTCCCCTTCCCAATTTCCACTGCTATTATTCTCGCCTCCTCATCCTTTTATCTTTGCTTAGGTTCCAATTTCTGGTTAATATACAAAACTACACCCCTTTCCCCCCTAATATCTGATGAAATGAATTCTTGGCCCCAACCCTTTGTTTACTATTAAACGTTTGTCTTGTCTCTAAAGGGGAGATCATTCCATCAGGCAAGCAGAAATGTTTGTGCTGATGGAACAAACACCTTAGTGTTACTTTGAATTTCACCCTCTTTTATTTCAGATAAGGAGTTTGTCTTCAGAAGCGACCACTGACACAAGAGAAAATCCCCTGCAAAGTGGTAACAATCAGGAGAGTGATGGACATCCCATCTCATTGGGTAAATATTATTAAATTGATCTCCCTATATTGATTATGTGAGAAATTCATGGGATCCTTTTGTACTCCCTTAAATCTTTGAGGAGGCAACACTTTCCCCCAACGTTGTTTAATCATGGGAAGACTGTTGTCTCCAGCATTTTTCAAACTTCAAAAGATAGATGTATTTTAATTACTTGAGAACTTAATTCAGTCCTTGGATTTCTGGCCAAGCGCCCAAGTTAGGAACACAAGTATTTGCACACGACTGAAATATACAATGTGTGCAGAGATGGCATGGAGAAAACGGAAACAGGTTTTTCTGTCGTAACACTAGAACCTACAGACATCCAATAAAACAGAATGTTGGAATATTCAGGAAAGGTTATTTAAAAGTACAGCATGCAGCATTTGGTTAAATGATGGACGGCATCAGTGAGGGCCACTGACTTGGGATATAATAATAATAATTTATTATTTATACCCTCCCATCTGGCTGGCTTTCCCCAGCCACTCTGGGAAACAGAATATTTAAAAAACGATAAAACATCAAACATTAAAAACTTCCCTAAACAGGGCTGCCTTCAGATGTTTCTTTCCTTGACATCTGATGGGAGGGCGTTCTACAGGGCCACCACCGAGAAGGCCCTCTGCCGGGTTCCTTGTAACTTCACTTCTTGCAGTGAGGGAACCGCCAGAAGGCCCTTGGCACTGGACCTCAGTGTCCAGGCTGAACAATGGGGGTGGACATGCTCCTTCAGGTATGCAGGACCGAGGCCGTTTAGGGCTTGAAAGGTCAGCATCAACACTTTGAATTGTGCTCTGAAACATACTGGGAGCCAGTGTAGATCTTTCAGGACCAGTGTTATGTGGTCTCCCAGCCACTCCCAGTCACCAGTCTAGCTGCCGCATTCTGGATTTATTGTAGTTTCTGGGTCACCTTCAAAGAAGATAAGACAAATTAATGGATGACTAGGCTCTCATGGCTGCTATCCATGTTGGCTATGCTCTGTCTTCATGTCAGAGGCCGTATGCTTCTCAACACTTGTTGCTGGAAGCCAAAGGAGGGAAGAGCTGCTCTTGTGCTCAGATACTGCTTGGGGGTTTCCCAAGGCATCTGGTTGGCCACTGTAAGAACAGGATGCTGGACTAGATGGGCCATTGGCCTGATCCAGCATGCTCTTCTTATGTTCTTAACAAGAGCCCTTTACACCCATTATGTTCTTAACAAGAGCCCTTTACGCTCTTAACATCCAAAATATACACGGTGGATGAAACGTTTTGTCATTCCAACATGTACTTGGATATGCATTGCTTAATGTGGGAGGCAAACTACTGGCTTCCTACCAACTTCATCTCTCGCAGGTGATGAAATGGCGCTGGCAACACCTGCTTGGCCATCTCCTCTTGGCAACGGATGGGAAATGGCTGTTGTGAACCCAGATCAGGTAGGGGAACTCATCTCTAGGGGAACAGAAGCTAGGTGCCACTTGGGCACATCTGCTCATTTCCCTGGGCCTCAACAAACCGATCACCTCGTTGCTCTGCAGGAGAATCCTCAGGAGTCTTCTGGAGTTTGGTGGCCAATAATCTTTTACGTTCTCTATACAGAGGCAACTGTTTCCTTTTCTTTCAGAGAGGAGAGCCAGTGTGGTGTAGTGGTTAAGAGCGGTGGACTCGTAATCTGGGGAACCGGGTTCGCGTCTCCGCTCCTCCACATGCAGCTGCTGGGTGACCTTGGGCCAGTCACACTTCTCTGAAGTTTCTCAGCCCCACTCACCTCACAGAGTGTTTGTTGTGGGGGAGGAAGGGAAAGGAGAATGTTAGCTGCTTTGAGACTCCTGAAGGGGAGTGAAAGGTGGGATATCAAGTCTGAACTACTACTCCTCTTTTTCTTCTTCTTCTTCTTCTTCTTCTTCTTCTTCTTCTTCAGGGTCCCGTGTCCTTTGAGGAGGTGGCTGTGTATTTCACAGAGGAGGAATGGGCTCTGCTGGATCCTGACCAGAGGGCATTGCATAACGAAGTCATGGAGGAGACCTGTGGGATGGTAGTCTCTCTCAGTAAGGCTCCCAGTTTGTTTAGTTTATTATTATATGATTTAGACTATATTATATAAGCAACTTAAATAACTTCAGTCAGGGTTTAGGCCCAGCTATGGCCCAGCTTTGGTTGCCCTGTGTGGTGATTTACGTCTGGAGAGAGACAGGGGGAATGTTTCCTCATTAATTCTCCTCCATCTCTCAGCAGCCTCTGATACCATCAACCATGGTATCCTTCTAGAGTGGTGGTCAGAGTGGGTTGCTCAGCTTTGCAGTGATTCCAGGTCTACTTGGATAGTCATTTCTAGAGGGTGATGCTAGGGGACTGCTCTTTGGTCCCCTGGAGTCTTCCTTGTGGGGTTTTATTTTATCCCCCATGCTGCTTAACACCCACATGAAACCTCTGAGTGTGCTTATCAGGGGTTTCGGAGTACATTGTCCACAATGTGCTCATGACACACAGTCCTACTTCCCCTTTACACCTGCAGATGAGGCAGTGGATGCCTTGTGCTGGGCCATTGTCCTGCCTCGCTATTGAACTGGATGAGAACCGATAAGATGGAGCTCAGTCCAGATAAGACTGAGGCACTGTTACTGGGAGAGGTTCCCTAGACCGGATGGGTGGGAGGCAGCCTGCTCTTGACGAGGTTACACACCCTCTGAAGGCAGGGTGGGAATGTAGGTTGTGGGTACTTCACTTCTGAATGCATTGCTCTGAATCACAGGGCCTCTCCTCATTTTTATCACACTTCTATCCCAACATTGCTCCAAGGGGTTCAGAATAGAGTGCATGGGGTTGTTTGGTGGTTTGAGTGGAGCTACCGTATTTTTCGCTCCATAGGACGCTCCTGACCAAAAGACGCACCAAGTTTTTAGAGCAGGAAAACAAGAAAAAAAAATCTGACTCAAATGTTGTACTAAGCTATTTAAAACAGCAAAGTGTGTGGCTCCTGTCCACTTTGCTGCTTTAAAGCGAGCCACGGTATATAATGAAGAGAATGGAAAAAGGACAGACATTCCATTATAATGCAGCTGTTTTCATTATCACTGGGAAATCAGTATTGGCAGCAGTCACAAAAACTAAAATTTGAGCATTTTACTGTTATTAATCAAGAATATTAATAGTCAGGGAGAGAAACCAGGGCTGTGCAAATGAGAAGTGCTTGGAGTATGGAGGAACAGCAAAGAGATCAAATGATTGCGCTCCAGTTCCTAAATCTCTGAAGTTTTCTCAAAACAGGCATGGTTGTTTTGAAAGGAAGATTCAAAATGGAGTGACTGAGCAAAGAACAGAGGAGGAAAAGAGGGCAGATAAATAGCTTCCATTCAATAACAAGAGAACACAATGTTTTTGGTTTAGTATAGGTGGACTGTACTTGTAAGAATTTGTATAATGAATTATAGATTTGGAGTGGAATATCAGTGCCTCTTTTCAGCAATAAAGATTAGCTGCTAGGAACATGGTCCACACACAAACACACAGGATGTCTGGTTATAGTTGTGCAGTTTAAACTGTTACTGAGCCAGATGCCTGCTCAGTTTTAGCTGAGCTCACCATTACTGGTTTGTGGAGATGCTTTGCATGTATTTATGACTATTTCTGCAAAACTGCGACTTGAAGAAATCCCCAAACTTAATATTTTTAAACTTCAAATGAAGCTCAGAATCCAGTTAGGCAATCCTCTGCAGTTGAATTAGGAGGCATTGAGAGACAGCAATTTGCTGCTCCCCACCCCCACCAAGCACCCCAGGAGCGTGGGGCAAAGAGCAGCCCAGGATCACACAGCCTTCCCTCTGCTTGCAAACCTTGTTGGGGCTTCAGGGGAAAGCAGAAGCTGCCGGCAGAGCACCATGGCTCCTCCCCCCACTGCAAAGAGCACCCCAGGAGTGCAGGGCAACAGCGATTTGGCTCCAGGGACCACACATTCGCTCCATAAGACGCACAGACTTTTTCCCTTACTTTTTAGGAGGGAAAAAGTGCGTCCTAGGGAGCGGAAAATACGGTACTTAGAGAGGATGATTGCTGAGTACAATTCAGTGAACTTCATGTCTGAGCTGGGATCTGAATTTGGGTCTTTTGGATCTAATCCAATAATACATAGGACACTGGGTGTCAGTCAAGGTATTAACAGAGGCAGATAAACAGATGGGAAGATTTACCTCCCAACTAAGACTTTTCCATTTTTGCATTCTTCCATTATTAAAAAAATTGTGTGTGGTTGTCAAGATTTGAGGTTCCATTGTCTTAAGAGTTCCGTTTCTTCTTTGCTTTAGGTTATGAATGGAAAACTGAGAATCAGGGAGAACTACATGGGGTGTTTGCAGAAAGAGACACATGTATGAAGAGGGAGCAACAGAGAAGGAAAACAGAAGGACAGAAGAGGAGGAATCATTCCCCTGCTTCTCAGGGCACTGACTCCAATGAAATCCCAGTCCAAGAAAAAACGCAAAACAGAAGAGAAACAATTACATGTTTTGTATGTTGGAGAAGTTTCCATTCTAAATCTAAACTTAAAACTCACTACAAAATCCACACAGGGGAGAAACCACACAAAAGCTTAGAATGCGCAAAGGGCTTGAATACAAGCACAAGCCTTGGTATTCATCAAAGGGTCCACACAGGGGAGAAACTGTATAAATGCTTGGAGTGTGGAAAGAGCTTCTCTCAGAAGAGAAATCTGACAGCACACCACAGAATTCACACCGGAGAAAAACCATTTAATTGTTTGGAGTGTGGAAAGGCCTTCCGTCGGAGGACACATCTCACTGCTCATCAGAGAATTCACACAGGAGAGAAGCTGTATAGGTGCTTGGAATGTGGAAAGACCTTTAACAGAAGCGGAAGCCTCACTACTCATCTAATAATTCACGCAGGGGGGGAAACATACAAATGCTTGGAGTGTGGAAAGAGCTTTTCTCAGAAGAGGAATCTCACTAACCATCACAGAATTCACCTGGGGGAGAAACCATACCAATGTTCAGAATGTGAAAAGCGCTTCTTCCGGAAGACACATCTCACTACTCATCAAAGAATTCACACAGGGGAGAAGCCATTTAAATGCTTGCAATGTGGAAAGAGCTTTTGTTGGAAGATCCATCTCACTTATCATCAAAGGATCCACACAAGGAAAACACCGCATAAATGCTTGGAGTGTGGAAAGAACTTTTCTCAGAATTCTCTCCTTGTTACCCATCAAAGGATCCATACAGGGGAGAAACCATTTAAATGCTCGGAGTGTGGAAAGAGCTTCTCTCAGAAGACAAATCTTGCTTCCCACCGCAGAACTCACACAGGGGAGAAACCATACAAATGCTCAGAATGTGGAAAGAGCTTTTGTCGAAGGACACATCTCACCACTCATCAAAGAACTCACACAGGGGAGAAACCATACAAATGTTTGGAATGTGGAAAGACCTTTAGTAGAAACAGAAGCCTAACACATCATCAAATAACTCACACAGGGGAGAAACCATACAAATGTTTGGAATGCGGAAAGAGCTTCTATTGGAAAATGCATCTTACTTATCATGAAAGAATTCACAGAAAGGATGCACCACATAAATGCTTGGAGTGTGGAAAGATCTTTTGTCAAAATTCTGACCTCGTAACCCATCAAAGGATCCATACAGGGGAGAAACCATTTAAATGCTTGGAATGCGGAAAGAGCTTCTGTCAGAAGATAAATCTCAGTAATCATCAAAGAATTCACACGGGGGAGAAACCCTTTAAGTGCTTAGAATGTGGAAAGACCTTTAGTACAGGCACAAACCTCACCACTCATCAAATAATTCATACATGGGAGAAACCATTTAAATGTTTGGAGTGTGGAATGGCCTTTAAGAGAAACAGAGGCCTCAGTATTCATCAAAGGATCCACACAGGGGAGAAGCCACATAAATGCGTGGAGTGTGGAAAAAGCTTTCGGCATAGTTCTGCCCTTGTTAATCATCAGAGAATCCATACAGGAAAGAAACCATATAAATGCTTGGAGTGTGGAAAGAGTTTCTGTCAGAAGACACAGCTCACTGCTCATCAAAGAATTCACACAGGAGAGAAACCGCATAAATGCATGGACTGTGGGAAGAACTTTTGTCGGAAGGAATCACTTGCTGCTCATCAGAGAATTCACACTGGGGAGAAACCATTTAAGTGTTTGGTATGTGGAAAGAGCTTCACACGGAAGATAAGTCTCGTTTCTCATAAAAAAATCCACGCAGGAGAGAAACCATAAATTCTTGGGAGTGTACAAAATGCTTCAGTAATAAGAGACTGCTCTTCAAAGAATTCACTCAGAAGGGGAGCTAGAGAAATGATCAGAGTATGGAATGCGATTCTGTCACAGTTTAATTCCTATTTCAGATTGGAGTTAAATTGGTGGGGGATGGGACATGGCCTTGGCAGAATCCTGAGGGCCATTTGGAGATAAATACAGATTGGAAGGCTGGATCCATTGTAGAATGTGAGAAGCCTGATAGAATGGCCTGAGATATAAATCCATTTATCAGCAATAGCAATAGTATTATGTTACAAACTTGTAAAAACAAAGTCATTTCTACAAAGCCTCTCTAGGGAGAGCGTCCTACAAATGAGGAGCCACTGTTCTCATGTTGCCACCCTCCAGACCTCTTGTGGAGGAGGCACACAAACTATGAACTAGCCCGAACCCTATGGTCATTGTCTGAGGCCCTTCTTCATATGCCTTCTCCACTAGAGGTCTGGATAGTGGCATCACGAGAGTAGGCCTTTTCTCCGGCGGTTCCTTGTTTGTGGAATGCTCTCCCTGAGGAGACCCGCCTGGCACCTTCGTTAAATATCCTTAGGAGCCAAGCAAAAACACTCCTGTTCACCCTGACCTGTGGCTGATTAAACAATCCATTCTATGGCCTTTTAAATGTATTGGGGTGGTGGTGGTTATTGTGTTGTTGTTGTTGGTTGTGTATTTAATAAATAAAGATAATAATTAGTTGAAGTATTTTACAAATCAGTTCACAGTTTTGAGGCGTTTCGAAACGGTACAGATAAAATACAAAATATAAAAATTGTAGACGGGAGGTTATCCAGCCCTTCAGTAAGGGAATGAACAAGGGCATTGGATTTCCAAAGCCACAATGCTGGCATCCGTCTGTCTCAGGAAACAATGGAGGAGTGCGCCTTTTGGGATGAGGTCAAGGTGCCGGAAGGCTGCAGTGCCTGCTGTGGCTGTGGAGCTCGATGCAGAAGAGACATGTTTTGTTGCAGCTGGGGCAGATGAAGGTGTCCAGTCCAGTCTGGTGCTTGTGGTACTCTCAGCAGTGCCCACATCAGCAAAGTGAAGTTGCCAGGTATGGGACCAGAGGATCCCTTGGTAATTGCCCCAAACCACCCAATATCTAAGCCAGTACTGCCTGCTTTGACTGGTAGCATCTCCAAGGCCTCGTGCCCAGCACATCCAAGTGCTTCTTCCAACATCCTCTAACTGGAGAAGTCAGGGAGTCACCTTAGGACCTGGTGACTCAAAATGACAAGGTCTCTTTATTGTATCATGTCGGTATCCTGCCATTGCTCCGGAAGAGAGTGGCAAGTGGTGGTTCTGTGGTTCTTCTGCAGAACAACCTTATGAGGTACTGTAGGCTAGGCTGGGAGTGAGTGAGTGATTGCCCAAGTCCACCCAGTGATTTTCATGTCTGAGCTGGGATCTGAACTTGGGTCTCCAGGGACCCAATGCAACAGTCCACAGCAGTGGTGCCCAAACTTTCTACTCCCAGGGCCCCCTTGAGATGGCTAAAAATTACTGAGGCCCACCAGTCACAAAATGGCGGCGGATTTTTGGCATAATTTTTGAATCTGTTCCACTTTGGCTTCAGGCCTAGTCATGATACAGAAACTGCTTTGGTTGTCCCTGTTGCGATTTATCAGAAGTTGATTCCAGTATTCTTCTGGAATGTCTCAGGGAGGTGGGGTTTTAGGGCACTGTGGTTCTGTTCCTATCTCTGGCTATTTCCAGAAAGTGGTCATGGCACCTTTCTGGTCAATGCCATGGGAGTGTCTCACAGGGCTGCATCCTGTCCCCCAACAATAAGAAGCCTCTTGGAGCTATTATCTATATGCAGGTGACACCAAGCTTTAGCTCTCTGTTGCATCTTGGACTGGTAGCTATAATCCCCCACCGTCCCACAAGAGAGAACCTTAGAATTGTAGACCCAAAGGATCATCTACTCTAAACCATTCAATGCTTCAATGAACCACAGCGATAGAATCCCTGACACCACCTTTAGGGTCTACAATGGCTCCCAGTATGTTTCCGAGCACAATTCAACTGTTGGTGCTGGTCTTGAAAGCTCTAAATGGCCTCAGCCCTGAAACCTGAAAGAGCATCTCCACCCCCATCATCCTGCCTAGACACCAAGGTCCTCCTTCGAGGGTATTCTGGCAGTTCCCTCTGTTAGAGGGGGATTTTCCACTGGTGGCAGATGACAGAGACTGTGACTCCATGAGACAGGTGTAAAACCAAATTAAATAAAGGTTTTTATTTCAAAACAACAAACAGCAAAGCTTCTGGGTGTTTTTCTCTGCAGGCAGAGTTCAAACTGCAGCTTTTCTCCTTTTGTAGTCATGGCCAGCTGCACCCAATCAGCCCAGAGCTCACAAAAACTGTTCTTAAAGGTACAAACATGTTTCTATGCAGAATGTCTCCCAACACCCTCACTGAGAGAAGTGAGGTTACAGGGAACCAGGCAGAGGGTCTTCTCAGTGGTGGCACCCGCCCTGTGGAACTCCCTCCCACCAGATGTCAAGGAGATAAAGAGCTGCACAATTTTTACAAGATATCTGAAGGCAGCCCTGTGTAGGGAAGCTTCTTAATGCTTAATGTTTTATATGGTTTTATATATGTTGGCAGCTGTCCAGAGTGTCTGGGGAAACCAAGTCTAGATGGGCAGGGTACTATTATTATTATAATTATTATTTTGATTGATTGATTGATAACCACTAGGTTAAATTGCTAAAGGGTTGGGAGATATGTGTGTGTGTGTGTGTAGACCAAATTACATTCTCTCTCACACACACCCATATAGTTGTGACTAATTTGGTTTTTAATTCTGTGGTTTACATTTTTCTGACGTAGTCTGGGACCACGTGGTGAAGAGCGGGTAACGAAAACAACAATAATTAAGGCACCCAACTCGAGGTGAGGTTGGAGTGGGCCTTCTACCTCGTTTATTTACACATTATATGTTTCTAGGCAGCTGTTTCATAAAATATTTCAGAGCAAGAGGCTAGGCTAGACTGGTCCACCAGCCGGGCTCTTCGCCTACGTCCCACAGGGATCCTGCAGAGTGGCCTCCTAAGGGTTAAAATGAGCTCAGCTGGATTCCTAGAGGGGAAGGTAAAAGGCGAGGCGGGCGGGGGAAGGGGCGGCCGGTCCTCCAGAGCGAAGGCCCCTCCCACCCAACTCTCCTTCCTGCCGGGACTTTCCCCATGGAGGGACGTGCCTTGGCCGCCCGCCCTCCCAAGCGCAGCGTCGGTGGCTCCTCGCGGGATCCGGTGAGCCCCCTTCCTCGCCCCAGAGGCTCCAGTTTGTGGGTCTGAGTCTGGAGGGCTGAAAGGCGGATGGGGGCGGGGACGACTAGAGGCAAGGCAGGAAAATACGACGGGAAGGGAAGGGAGATGCCCAGGTGACAACTGTTTAAAAAGGGAGGGGGGCACCTATAGGAAGAGCAAACCTGTTTCAGCCCATGGCTGAAGATGCTTGTGCATCTTCCTGGGAGTTGGGTGTGTGCACTGCAGAAGCTCATTCAAGCTCATCGCAGGAAGCAGCTGTTTAGCAGAAAATAAATAATAATAATACAGTGGTACCTCGGGTTAAGTACAGTGGTTCCTCGCAAGACGAAATTAATTCGTTCCGCGAGTTTTTTCGTCTTGTGGTTTTTTCGTCTTGTGAAGCACGGTGTCGGAAAAGTTTTGGAAAAGCTTCAAAAATCACCAAAGACTGGGGTTATGTACAGGTGGTACATAACCCCAGTCAAGCTTGCGAAAATCTATCACTTGCCCGATAACAAATGTTGGAAATGTAAAGAAACTGAAGGTACATTTTTTCACCTTTGGTGGACGTGCCCAAAGATTAAGGCTTTCTGGGAAATGATATATAATGAATTAAAAAAGGTATTTAAGTATACCTTCCCTAAGAAACCAGAGGCCTTTCTCCTGGGCATAGCCGGCCAAATGGTGGTAAAAAAGGATAGAACTTTCTTTATGTATGCAACAACAGCAGCAAGAATACTCATCGCAAAGTATTGGAAGACACAAGAACTTCCCACGCTGGAGGAATGGCAGATGAAACTTATGGACTATATGGAACTGGCTGAAATGACTGGTAGAATCCGTGACCAGGGAGAAGAGTCGATGGAGGAAGACTGGAAGAAATTCAAAGACTATCTTCAGAAACACTGCAAAATTAAGGACTGTTAGAGTGATGTTGGACTGAAAACAAGTGGTTTCCAGCTGCACAGGTTAAAGTTAAGGATAGATTAAGATTAAAGATCAAGATTAAAGATGTTTAAAGAAATGGAAATTTGATATTAAAAGGAAAACTTTAAAGTTATATGATATTAAGATCAAGGATTAGGTTTAAAAAGTTGAAGTTATATATTTTAACATTTTATTAAATTAAAGATTGGGATTAAAAAGTGGAAAAGAAACTGCTGGACAAATAATGTGGACTGGAATACAAAAAGAGGAGGTATGAGGAAGCCTAGAAAATAAGTAATTTAAAATTGGAAATGGAAAAGAGAGTTTGTTTTTAATTGTTGTGCTTTGTGTTTTTATTGTTAAGTTTTGTATTGTTTTTTGTGTGTGTTGTTTTTCTTGTTTTCTTGTTTAAAACTTTAATAAAAAATTATAAAAAAAAAAATCACCAAAGTCTTCAAAAACCTCAAAAAAGGCTACCACACCGCGTGCTATGAGTTGCTCCTCGAAGTCAAGTCGCAACTGTATTAACGGTTTTAAGAAAAAGGAAACAAACTTGCAAGACGTTTCCGTCTTGCGAAGCAAGCCCATAGGGAAAATCGTCTTGCGAAGCAACTCAAAAAACGAAAAACCCTTTCGTTTTGCGAGTTTTCCGTCTTGCGAGGCATTCGTCTTGCGAGGTACCACTGTACTTAATTCAGTAACCTGAAACTGTTCTTAACCTGAAGCACCACTTTAGCTAATGGGGCCTCCTGCTGCCACCGCGCCGCTGCTGCGCAATTTCTGTTCTCATCCTGAGGTAAAGTTCTTAACCTGAAGCACTATTTCTGGGTTAGCAGAGTCTGTAACCTGAAGCGTCTGTAACCTGAAGTGTACCACTGTAATAATATTTATATGCTACCCATCTGACTGGTTTACCCCAGCTGCTCTGGGCAGCTTCCCACAAATTAAAACAGCACAAATTGTCTTTACTACCCCAACACCAACACTTTATAGGTAAAGGTAAAGGTACCCCTGACCATTGGGTCCAGTCGCAGACGACTCTGGGATTGCGGCTCTCATCTTGCTCTATAGGCCAAGGGAGCCGGCATTTGTCCGCAGACAGCTTCTGGGTCATGTGGCGAACCAGAGCAGCGCACAGAAAAGCCGTTTACCTTCCCACCGGAGCGGTACCTATTTATCTACTTGCACTTTGATGTGCTTTCAAAGTGCTAGGTGGGCAGTCTTTACTAGCCCAACACCAATGCTTTATACACACTTATTTATTTACAAGATGTTACAAGCAGCTTTCCCTCTCTGAGCCCGGACGGTTTCTTTGCTTACGAAGCCCTTGCTGCGCCAAAGTCCGCAAGGCAAGAGTTCTCTTGCAGTTCTCTTGCAATGGAGTCCTGCAACTCTTCCTCAAAGGCGTCAGTTCCAATGCTTCTCTCCAGAGTGCTCTACGCTCTCTTCCCTTTCCCACTCTGAATGCTGTAACCTGAGCCCCCTACCTACCCAGCCTGACTGTGCCAGTTCTGTCCAGCAACACTGCCAAGGCAGTCACAAAGTGCCTTGCAGCTGCATCGTGGAGAATTAGCTCTTGAGTGGCTTTCCTTAACGTGCACGGGTTTCCTGCATGTATGTTTTCTTCAGCTCCTCTTTTTATCTTCACAAGAGCCCCATGGGGTAGGCTACACTAATGTAGTGTATGTACATAACCAACAGTTTCTTGTCTGTGTCAGGGACTGGAGTGTCTTTCCTCTCCTCTGCAAAGCCAGGAGGCCCCTGATTCGTGGGGCTTGGAGGATTTGAAACAGGTGAGTTGATGCTTAGAAGTGAACTATCAACTGGACTTTGATTTCAAATAGGACACCCCACCACCGAAATAGAGAGAGAGAAAGAGAATTCATTAGTTACACAACCGCACAAGGTCACTTACAGACATGGAAACATGGAAACCCCTGAAGTGTAAAGGGGATCTTTTCACAATGGGCATTACTGAAAAATTGTGTCCTTTTAATCAAAGGCAGGAGAGAGAGGCTGATTCAAAGGAAGCAAACTGCTTTTATGAAGAGAATTGAAAACAGTACATTAAAAGTCAACAAACAGTTGCAGACATTTGGTTACAGGCTGAAAATGGAGCCTGTAAACTCTAGCAGAGAACAGTCCTAGCCAGTGATACTTGAAATAAATTTAGGAGCGCAACTGGATAGAAATGTGGCGTGTTTTTCTCCACTGATGATACAGACAAAGAAAGGGAAAGAGAGAGAGGTGGACAAAACCCTGGTCCAGTTAGGAAAATATTGGGCCAGGGATATTGCAGTGAATAAGAGGAATAGAATATTCACATTGGAGAAGCAGTGTACTAGATCTCAGATACAGGGAAGCAATATGATTTTGTTTCCAGTAAACAATTGGAATATTTCTAAATGAATGTTAATATTTACAAGTAAATATTAAAGTAATCAACTAAGATTCATTCAGCAGAATGGCAGCTTTAATTCAAAACTTTTGCTAGGTAAGAAATCAGCAGGAAACAATAAAACAACATTCATCCCAATAATATTAAAGTCCAACAACAAGAGATGACTAAAACCATTAAACCTACAAGCACAACTCAAAGGAAGGTCAGAGTGTTTTCTTTCTATAAGGGTGGTGAAATATATTCTGTTGGTGTTATGCTGATAGTTGTGAAATGCCATGGATTTTCTTTCGTAGTGTACTGAAGCTTGTGCAGTAATAAATTTGTTAACTTTTAGGATACCAAAATCATTATTTTGTGCTACCTTACTTCATGTGTTCCTTCCTGGAGGAAGGAGGGTCCCTCAGCTCCTTAATCCAGCCTCGTATCTCTGCTTTTCAGGAGTCTGTAGCCCAGCTGGAGGCATCCTTGGAACAGTAAGAAAGATGGAAGACCAAGACTCAGCCGGCCTGGGTGGGGAGAAGACCCTCAGCTCAGATGTGCGGCGCCAGCAATTCAGAAAGTTCTGCTATCATGAGGCCGAGGGACCAAGAGAGGTTTGCAGCCAACTCCACCACCTTTGCCATGAGTGGCTGAAGCCAGAGAGATGCACAAAGACTCAGATCCTGGACCTGGTGATCCTGGAGCAGTTCCTGACCGTCCTTCCCTCAGAGATGGAGAGCTGGGTCAGGGAATGTGGAGCGGAGACCAGTTCCCAGGCAGTGGCCCTGGCCGAAGGTTTCCTCCTGAGTTGGGCAGAGAGCAAGAAGCAGGCAGAGCAGCAGGTGAGAGAGGGTTTCATCCTGCTACTTCCAAGGGGCCCAGAATGTGAATCAATCACTTCCTGGAAATCATCCATGGAGGAATGTCCCAAACTCCTCTTGATGTTTTGCCCTTTTCTCTAATTTTCTGCCCATTCACTGTCTTTGATATCTTCATTGTTGTTTCAGGTAAAGGGTCTCTTTGCGGAGGTGGCAGCTAATTTCCCTGAGAGAGAGAGTTCTTCACTCGATTTGAAAGAGTGCTTCCTGCTAAGGAGAAACGTTCTGGAAAGCAGTGGATGTGCTGCACTACTCAGTAAGAATGAACCTGAACTTCCTGAAATGTATGGGATCTTCTTACATTCTCCCGAAACTTTCAGGGGAAGATGCTTCCCCCCATCATTTTCCATAGATGAAAAATGAGTGGGTTCAGTATTTGAGGCCTCAAGCCGCGAGAACAAATAAATAATAATAATAATAATAATAATAATAATAATAATTTAATTGTATCCTTCCCATCTGGCTGGGTTTCCCCAGCCACTCTGGGTGGCTTGCAACATAAAGCACAGCCAAACATCAAACATCAAAAACAAGATATCCTATGCTAGCAATAAACAAACCAATAAATCAATAAAACCAATAATAATCATAATAACAACAATAAACAGTTTACAATTATACCAAATTAAAGTAACTGCCAACCTCAACATTTAACGAACCCAACAAAAATGAAAGAGGAACCAAAATTAGATCTGTTTAAAACATACAAAAACATTTTAGCCAATTGCCCCAACCCAAGAGTTGTTCCAGCAATGTCCCTCCAGCCTCCCAGGAGCCTTTGAGCTGTTCAGGGTGAGTGTGGGCCCCGTCCCCTAGGCCAGGTGGAATTGGGCCTTGCATTTTCATATATTATGTTAAGATAGCCAGTGTTAATGTTAATTAGATAATGTCAAGGTAGATAAAAAAATAAGTACAATGGAGGAGACATTTTGTAAAGTCAGTGTGTCCTACCCTGATACATGTCACTGAGCCCCTGAGACAAGCGCGTGCTACATCCGTCCCACCATCTTTGTCTCTCAGGTGAAGAAATACTGGTGGCAAGACCTGCTCAGCCGTCTCCTGTTTGCAACAGACAGGAAGCAGTTGCTATGGCACCAGATCAGGTAGGGGGAAGGGTCGTTGTGGGGAGAGACGTTAGGGGGCAGCCTGGGTTCCTCTGTCTTCTGCTCACCTCTGTAGGTCAATGTAACCTTCTCTCTTTGAGTTTGTCAAACTGCCCACTAGGGAGGCTGTGGGTGCCCCTCAAGAAGGTTTAAGTTCTGCAGGATAATACTCAAGTCATCTTACTTTGAGGCGTAGTCTGGATTTTGCTGGTAAATAACATAAAGATAAGGGACACGGGTGGCGCTGTGGGTTAAACCACAGAGCCTAGGACTTGCCGATCAGAAGGTCGGCGGTTCGAATCCCCGCGATGGGGTGAGCTCCCGTTGCTCGGTCCCTGCTCCTGCCAACCTAGCAGTTCGAAAGCACGTCAAAGTGCAAGTAGATAAATAGGTACCGCTCCGGCGGGAAGGTAAACGGCGTTTCCGTGTGCTGCTCTGGTTCGCCAGAAGCGGCTTAGTCATGCTGGCCACATGACCCGGAAAAACTGTCTGCGGACAGACGTCGGCTCCCTCGGCCAATAAAGCGAGATGAGTGCCGCAACCCCAGAGTCGGTCATGACTGGATCTAATGGTCAGGGGTCCCTTTACCTTTACTTTTAACATAAAGATTACCTACAATAAGACAACTATTTGCTTTTCTCTCAGGGTCCTGTGTTGTTTGAGGAGGTTGCTGTGGATTTCACAGAGGAGGAGTGGGCTCTGCTGGATGCTGACCAAAGGGCACTGCATAAAATAGTCATGGAGGAGAATTGTAGGAATGCTTTCTCTCTTGGTAAGGTTCTTTGTTTTCAGAGTTGATGACAATAGCATTTAGAGCCTAAAATAATGGGCCGGTTTGCACATTTCCTCTGTTTTAGCACCTCCGTTCCCTTTTTTCCAGTCTAGAAGGTTTTCTCTATTTTTGACTGTTTAATTTCCATTTAACAAAAAACCACAAGGAGGCAAAATGGTAAAATGGCAACAAAATGTATATAACAGTAAGCTGTAAGTAACATCAAGAGTTGCAATGAGTTCAAATAGAGATAGAAGCCATTGCAGAAGGAAGACACCTGCCATAGCCTACCTAACCTACCTAACACCACCTAACCTAGTTTTGTCTGCTGTGGCGCAGAATCTCTCCAATGTGTGAAGCTCAGATCACTGATGGGCTCGTTCCAAGATCCTTTAACTGTAAAATTCAATGATTGAACTACAGTCGTACCTCGGAAGTCATACACAATCCATTCCAGAAGTCCATTCGACTTCTGAAACATTCGGAAAGCAAAGCACATCTTCTGATTGGTTGCAGGAAGTTCCTGCAGCCAATCGGAAGCCCCCTCAGATGTTCAGGTTCCAAAAGAATGTTTGGAAACCAGAACACTTCCGGTTTTTGATCGTTCGGGAGCTAGAATGTTCGACTCCCACCGTGTTCGGGAGCCGAGATACAACTGTAATGAGCTTCTGCCAAAAAAGAATACACGGGATTGTTCCATGGTTTGACCATTCCATAACCCTGTGAGTTAGCCTAGTCTGAGAGAGAGTGGCTGCCTGAGATCCCGCAGGGAGTTTCATGTCTGAGCTGACAGTTTTGTTCTGGTCTCCATGGATCCAATAAAACAGAGTATAGAACCCTGGCTGGCAGTTATGGTGTTAAAAGTGGCAGATAAATGGATGATAAGACCTGCTTTGCAGCTAAGATCTTTCCATTCCTCCATTATCACAAGCTTTATGTGTCACTGCCAGTTAGTTTTGGAACTCCATTTGTACCTCAGGTTCTTAATAGTTTCCTCTCTTCTTTGTGGCAGGACATGAATGGAAAACCAAAAATGAGGGAGAACCACATGGGGTGTTTGCAGAATGGGACACATGTATACAGAGAGAAGCTCAGAGAAGGAAACCTGAAGGGGAAGAAAAGGGGAGGAGTAAGTCCCTTTCTTCTCATGGCAGCGTGAGCCATCAAATCCCAGTCCAAGAAAATACGCAAAAGAGAAAAGAAGCAAGTATGCGCTTTGTATATTGGAGAAGTTTCCCTTCTAAATCAAAACTAAAAACTCATTACAAAATCCACACAGATGAAAAACAATTTAAATGCCTGGAATGTGGAAAGAGATTTTCACAAAAGACACATCTCACTATTCACCAAAGAGTTCACACCAGGGAGAAACTGTTCAAATGTTTGCAGTTTGGAAAGAGATTCCGTCAGAAGACTGCTCATCAAAGAACTCACACAGGGGAGAAAGCATATAAATGTTTAGTGTGTGGAAAGAGCTTTCACCAAAATTATGTCCTTTTTACTCATCAGAGGATCCATACAGGGGAGAAACCTTTTAAGTGCTTAGCCTGTGGAAAGAGCTTCTGTCAGAAAATACACCTCACTACTCATCAAAGAACCCACACTGGAGAGAAACCATATAACTGCTTGGAGTGTGGAAAGAGCTTCACTCGGAAGACGAATCTCACGTCACATCAAAGAATTCACACAGGGGAGAAGCCATATAAATGCTTGGAGTGTGGAACAAGCTTTCGTAACACTTCTACCCTTGTTAATCATCACAGGATCCATACAGGGGAGAAAGCGTTTAAATGCTTGGAGTGTGGAAAGAGCTTCCGTCAGAAGAAAAATCTTTCTGCTCATCAAAGACTTTACACCGGGCAGAAAGCATATAAATGCTCAGAGTGTGGAAAGAGCTTTCATCGAAATTCTGCCCTTGTTACCCATCAGAAGATCCATGTAGGGGAGAAATTGTTTAGATGCTTGGAGTGTGGAAGCAGCTTCTTAAGGAAGACACATCTCACTACTCATCAGAGAATTCACACTGGGGAGAAACCGCATACATGCTTGGAGTGTGGAAAGAGCTTTTCACAGAAGATCCATCTCACCACTCACCAAATAATTCACACTGGGGAGAAGCCGTATAAATGCTTGCAGTGTGGGAGGAGCTTCACTCGCAAGTCAAATCTCACTTCCCATCAAATAATTCACACACGGGAGAAGCCTTTTAAATGATTGGAGTTTGGAAAGTGTAGAAGCAGTCTGAATATGGAATGTGAGTCTGAGACAGCTGAACTCCGCTTTCAGATTAGAGCTAAAGTGGCAAGGGATGGGGGATGGGGCATGGCTTGAGTAGAGTCCTGAGGGCAGAAGTGGTCCTAATTCAGGTGGCAGAAGGCCCCCCCCAGTTGGAACACCCAAGGCTGCCCCACTTGCCCTGCTGCTTTTGCCAGCGGTGTAAAGCGCCGTCACTTGTGGCGTTGATTTTGAGCTCTCACCCCAAAATGGCACAATCATATCTGTAATCAACACCAGTGGCAGTGATGCTTCTCTGCCAACATCAGAAGAAATAATAATAATTATAATAATAATAATTAATTAATAATATATTATTTATACCCCACCCATCTGGCTGGCTTTTCCCAGCCACTCTGGGTGACTCCCAACAGTATATTAAAAACATGATAAAACATCAAACATTAAAAACTTGCGGGCGCCACCACCAAGAAGGCCCTCTGCCTGGTAGTATATCCTGTTTCTTAGGAAATGCTGTTTTCATGTGTTTCCCCCCAAATTTGCTTCCGCTGAGCATACTCCTAGAAGGATTTTAACTAGTCTGGACAGGAAGAAGCTGAACAGAATTAGAATCCAGTCCCCACCCGCTCCCTGGTACCACTCCCAGAAAGCCTGCTTTAAGAAACATACATTGGCTTCCTCTTTTAAAAGTGTGACAACACTGGTAAAAAGGATTGTGTGATTTCCTCTGGGTTGCCAGGTCAAATGGAATTAGCACCCACCTTAAGTCCTCCCCTGTCTGGCTCTGCCATATCACACGGGTATATCTGAATTATGTGACATAGTCAAGTGAACCAGAGATGCTCTAGGTCCACATCAAAACTCACCCATCCTGGTGGGTCTTAGGTTAGGGCTGCACCCTGAGCTACTAATTCTTGGCCTAGCCTACCTCACAGGGTTGTTGTAAATATTAAAAAGGCACAGGGAATACAATGTACACAACCTTGACCTCCTGGGAGAAAAGCAAAATAGAACGATACAAAAACTCTAAATGTGCACTTTCAGGCACAGAGAAAACATTTAGTCCAGCCTGATAAATAAAAGAACTATCCTTGTGTTAAAGTTCAGTCATGGGGCAGGATTGTGTGTGCCCTTTTGTAATATGCATATTTCCTTGACAGCTGTTTGGTTAATTGATTTTATTTCTCACCAATATTGTTTTCCACCTATAAATTGTTCTCTGGTATGTCACTCATACATTCCTTATATTTCAGCTGTTGCTGAGCTTGCATATTTTCACCAGTTTTGAGCTTTGATATAAATAAATCTGTCCAATTTCTTTAATTGTTGTCCAGACTCTGCTTCTCTTTCCTTGCTGTTTTTTTTTTCCTGCCAGTGTGGTGTAGTGGTTAAGAGCGGTAGTCACGTAATCTGGGGAACTGGGTTCGCGTCTCCGCTCCTCCACATGCAGCTGCTGGGTGACCTTGGGCCAGTCACACTTCTTTGAAGTCTCTCAGCCCCACTCACCTCACAGAGTGTTTGTTGTGGGGGAGGAAGGGAAAGGAGATTGTTAGCCGCTTTGAGACTCCTTAAAGGGAGTGAAAGGCGGGATATCAAATCCAAACTACTACTCTTCTTCTTCTTCTTCTTCTTCTTCTTCTTCTTTGAAAAAAAGATTTTATGCAGAAACAAGGCAAATGTAAAAAGCACTAATAGTCAAACTACAAAAATAGAGACTGCAGAGCTTTCCAGCGTTCCGCAGGTGTCTCTGGTGTCTGAACACGAACATGAAATTTATTACGGTCAGAGACCAGCTTGAGAAACGCAAATGGAACTACAATCCCAATAGCAAAACAAACATTTAAAACAATATACAACAATGGATTTTAAGTTTAAAAGGGTGATAGACATATAAACACATAAAAACTTTAAAATAGACTACCTTAGAGAAAAGACCCAAAGTCACCCGTGGATCCAGGTTTGGGAATTTTCTTAACTCTGGTGTCTGTGGGTCTTGTGTCCATCTTAGAAATCTATGCCACCAGATGGCAAAAATCGCCTTCATGGTTACAACTTGTGACCAAACCATCTTCTGCCACTCCCTCGTTCAGGCTGCCCGCTTTCTTGGATTTCCAGTTTTCTGGAGTGACCAAGTCAGGCATACTCTTTTTTTACTTCAACGCTTCTCTTCCAAGACCTGTGTGTGTGCTGTTTGTGTGTGCAGCTCCCCCTAAATCAAGTAAATAAATAAAAATGCTAACTAGAAGTAGAAATTGCGGAAAGATTTTGAGAGTTTTTTTCTGAGCACTTGGGGGTCAAAAGAAAGTAATTTAAAACAACTGATGGCCGTCTGTCAGGGATGCTTTAACTGAGATTCCTGCATTGCAGGGGGTTGGACTAGATGACCCATGGGGTCCCTTACAACTCCACAATTCTATGAACTGTGGTTGAGACGTTTCTTTCTGAATCTGCTAGACCTAGGAAGATTAACAGGTGGGCTTCCTGCTCTCACCCCCAACATAAATCCTGGCTACGCCCACGTTAGTTTGCACCATTTATAAATGGTGGTTTCAAAGATCACCAGTGTTGAAGCAATGATTCTTCAACATCAACTTTGTTGGACTGATCATGATGTGTAGATGCCTGATTATCATCTTCCAAAGCAACTACTGTATTCTGAACTTAAAAATTGAAAGCGTAATGCTGGTGGTCAACGAGAGGTTTAAAGACTGTCTCAAGGCAAATCTTAAAAAAATGTAGTTATAAACACTGACAACTGGGAAACACTGGCCTGTGAGCTTCTTCCAGTACACTGATAGTAGTTCGCCTGTCCTCCCAAGTGATGTGTAAGGTTTTTCAGAGACACCGTTGATGGAATCTTTCGAGAAGTTGGAGATGGTGTTTGTAAGTGGTCCATGGTTCACAAGCGTACAGTAAGGTTGGTAGTACAATGGCTTTGTAAACAAGCATTTTGGTTTCCCTGCGAATGTCCCGGTCCTCAAACACTCTGCACTTCATTTGGGAGAAAACCGCACATTTATGTAAACACATTTATGAAACACATTTATATAACAGGTGTTAACGGAAAAATCCGAGGGCTCCCTTGGACAAAAACAAAGACACCAACCAGGATAACTTGGAGCAAAACAGCAGCCTGTAGGCTTGGCCTTTATTGAACTGTTGCAACAGGGTGCTCCCCTCACTTGCAGGTGAGAGGAAGGACCCACAAAAATGGTGTGCAAGACCTTATAAAGACTTTTGAAATTGCCACCCTGTAGATCAAGACCACCCCCAGAAACATACATCACAGAAAGGAGGGGTTGAGGGAGGAGTTGTGGTGGTAACCTGAGTGTCCTGTCACCTGGCTGGTTCCCCCTTTCCCCCTCCCCACGAGTACTTTCCAGGTGACAGAGGGGAGTTTGCAGTTTCCTGCCCCCAAAGGGAAGAGCTGATTATTGTCCTTTGTTCCACTCCATGCTGAATCCACTCCCATATGCAAGTTCTTTGTGATCTTGATTGTCTTCTGTCTAGGACCATCAGGGTTGGCATAGCAACTGGGCAGGGCTCCTGTGGATGTGCTGGGATGCTCAAGGGATTATGGCTGGCCTGTATCAAACCTTCCCCATTTTGTAGTCCTTCCTTCATGGAGTAAAATAAAAGTGGAACAGTGCCAATCCGATGTATGGTTGATTTTCTATGAATTTATAACAGAAGCGTAGCGTATGTAGTGTGTGTGTGTGTGTGTGTGTGAAGTTTGTACAAACTGAATGATTTGGGGGGGGAGGTTTTTCTGCGACACAGGCAAACCTGTTTAGGGAAGTTTTTAATGTCTGATGTTCTGTTGTGCTGTTGGGAGCTGCCCAGAGTGGCTGGGGAAACCTGGCCAGATGGGCAGGGTATAAGCAATAAAGTAGTAGTAGTAGTAGTAGTATCTGAGACGGACTAATATCTGAGACCTCCAGGTATAGGGCAGTATATAAATTCAATAAATAATATTGACAGACTGACTCTTGCGGCGGACAGCAGCATAAGCCAACATAAGCTCTTAAGTGAAAAAATCTGGAGGGGGAAAAACTGCCTTCGGCACATGACATCCCAGGATCCTATTCTGCAGCATGAAGCCTTTGCATAGTGTTTTGGACGCACCATTCTCACAGAGAGGAGGCTCCCTGCCTAATACAAATTCCTTGGAGGAGGATGCCTGGCAGGGAGATTCCTAGAGAGGACGCGAGGAGGAAGAGGCGGGGTTCGGGTGTCTCCAGAGCAACTTGCGAAGCCTCGCAGCCGCTTCCTGCCCCGCCTTCTCGAGTGGGGGGGGGCTCTGGCAAGGGCTGCCCCGGGTGTTTTCCTCCTGGTCGGGTCGGGAGAGCTTTGGGGTGATTCCTGGGAAAGTGAGGAAGGGAGAGATCCGGTCAGCAACTGGAAGAAAGGAGGGTTTGGGTGTGCTTCACATTGGGAAGGTGGAAAGTCTCATCTACTGGGCTCTCCCCTGTCCTCTGGTGCATTTCTGCACATTTCTGCATTTTAACCTGTATTTTAAATTGGGTCCCCCCCCCATTATGTTTTTACTGTAATTTTACTGTTGTTAGCCGCCCTGAGCCCGGCTCTGGCCGGGGTATAAATAATATTTATTATTATTATTATTATTATTATTATTATTATTACTGAGCCCTGTCCAGAGGAAAGAGATTCACAGGATCGTAGAATTGGAAGGGACCCCGAGGATCGTCTGGTCCAAGGTAGGAATATGCAGCTGTCCCAAAGGGAGATCGAACATGCAACCTTGGCATTACGTCTTAGCACCATGCTCTAACCGACGGAGCTGTCCAGGCTGACTTCTTAGAGAGTCGGTGCAAAACTTTGAATGGGATGAGAAGAAAGCAGGAGGGGGGAAATATATCTCCGCCCAGAGGAGTGGAGCCTCCATGTCTTGAGAATATATACCAGATAGCAGGCACTGCAGAGAAATGTTCTGTCTTTACATGAAACAAATATATAACAACAACAACAGCTAATTTTATTGTTTATACCCCAACCATCTGGCTGGGTTTCTCCAGCCACTCTGGGCGGCTTACAGTATATATAAAAACATAATAAAAACATCAAGCGTTAAAGACTTCCCCACACAGGACTGCCCCCAGATGTCTTCTAAAGTTGTATAATTCTAGAAATGTACATTTATTGCACAAGTGAGTTTGAAAGTTAATCAGTTGCCATTTCATTAGATTAGTGGCTGCTTTTCTTTTTTAAATATTTTTTAAAAAGATTTCTTAATTTACAAAAAATACATGTATTGTCTCTTTTTTCAAGTTGCGTTTTCTACAGATCAGTTTCATTTGCTGTGAGGCATTAGTGTTGTGTACGATGTTAGGGTAGGAAGAAAGGGGGGAAAGAGGGGGAGGGGCATGGTGAGTGGGGTCGGTGGTCGGGTGTCAATGCTTCAGTTCTTGTGTGGGGTTTTGTGTCGGCGTCGTGGCTGCTTTTCTTTAAACTAAGCGTCATGACAGTTGACAGTTGACCAAGGTTGCCAGTTTGATCCCTGTACAGGACAGCTGCATATTCCTGCATTGCAGGGAGTTGGACAAGATAATCCTCAGGGTCCCTTCCAACTCTGTAATTCTATGATTGTATAAAGCTGTATCACCTCCAGCGCCAGGGACTGGATGCCTCTAGATACCGGTTGCTTTTGTGCTCACGTGCTTCTTGCAGGCTTCCCACTGGAGAGAGCCAGTGTGGTGTAGTGGTTAAGAGCGATAGACTCGTAATCTGGGGAACCGGGTTCGCGTCTCCGCTCCTCCACATGCAGCTGCTGGGTGACCTTGGGCCAGTCACACTTCTCTGAAGTTTCTCAGCCCCACTCACCTCACAGAGTGTTTGTTGTGGGGGAGGAAGGGAAAGGAGAATGTTAGCCGCTTTGAGACTCCTGAAGGGGAGTGATAAAGCAGGATATCAAATCCAAACTCTTCATCTTCACTGTGAGAACAAGAGGCTGCACAAAATGGATCTTTGTCTTGACCCAGCAGCCAGGCTCTTCTTAGCTTTAGAGGACAGACCACTGGGAGGGATCTTCTGAGTCTCAACCAGAACAAATATTTCAAGGAAACTCGCCAACAAGTCTCATTTTTCTCTGGGTCTTAGCATTTAACTGCCTTTACTTCTGGAGGATGTCCTGGTTGATATTCAGATTCATCTACATTTCCAGGGAAAATCTTCCTCTCCAGAAAGGTATAACTCACTCACCAAACCATTTGTTCATTTTGCAGGAACCTCCATTTTGGACAGCCTCTAGCAGAAGAGGGAGAGGTCTTTTGGGCCCAGTCAGAGACTTCCTTAGAATAGAGATCAAGGATGGAAAAGGAAGATTCAGCTGCCCACGAAGCAGGAAGAAGTCCTTGTACAAACCAGGCTGGCAGCCCCAGGGAATTCTGGGAAAGAACAGTGCAGAAGGTCCTGGGGAAGGAGGACACTCTCGGCTCAGATGTGCAGCGCCAGCGTTTCAGACAGTTCTGCCACCAAGAGGCCAAAGGGCCCCGAGAGGTTTGCAGCCAACTCCACCATCTCTGCTGTCAGTGGCTGAAACCAGAGCGACACACAAAGAATCAGATCCTGGACCTGGTGATTCTGGAGCAGTTCCTGACCATCCTCCCAGAAGAAATTGAGAGCTGGGTAAGGGAATGTGGAGCAGAGACCTGTTGCCAGGCAGTGGCCCTGGCCGAAGGTTTCCTCCTGAGCCAGGCCAACGACAAGAAGCAGGCAGAGCATCAGGTAAAATATAGTTTTGTCCTGGTACTTCCAAGGGGCTCAGAATCCGAGGGACAGTGGGCTAACACTCTCTGTAATTGTCAAACCTTTTCTGGGATTCATCCACGTAGGAATGTCCCAACTACCTTTATTAATCCTTCTTCCCGTTTTCTGTCTTTGATCCCTTTATTGTTATTTCAGGTAAAGGGTCCATTTGCAGAAGTGTCTGAAGATTTCTCTGCACCGGAGAAGGTTCTGTCAGAGACCAAATGCAATCTCTTGCAAAGGGATAATGTTCAGGAGATAGACAGACATGCCACCTCACTGGGTAAAGACTAACTTCATCTCCTTCTATTGATTATGCTATAAATTCTTGGGATGTGTTTTTGTTCTTTGGAAACTTGGTTCAAAAGTGAATTGGCATCCAATACTTGAGAAATTAAACCAGTGTTACTGGCTTCACACTTACAATTGTCTTTCACAGGTGATGAAATGAGGCTGGCAAGACCTCCTCGGGCTTCTCCTTTTTGCGATGGTCAAGAAGCAGCTGCTGTGGAACCAGATCAGGTAGGTGGATCGATCAGTGTTGAAAGAGGCTTGGAACCACCTAGGGACCTTATTTTTCTGCTCGCCCCTAAACAGATTTCTCTCCTCCTCTTTTCTTCTTTCAAAGCAGCCTGCCTAGGAGGCTGTGAATACCATTAAAGAATGTTTAAGTTCCTCAGGATAATAATAATCTTTCTTTGGAGAATGTTATGGGTTTTGGTAGTCCATTAAGGGAACAAAAGAGAAGGCAAGTTGCACAACAGTACTGGGCCTGGTATGGGGGCAAGAAGTGAAGGACGCTGAGTGGGGTATTTGTAAACAATGACAGAGGTTTGAGTAAAGCAGGGGTGGAGTACTACTGTGAGGAAAATTGTGGTTTTTAACAATAGTAGAGGTTTGAGTACAGAACTGTGGGATATTTGAAGGAGCCAGTGTGGTGTAGTGGTTAAGAGTGGTAGACTCATAATCTGGTGAACCGGGTTCGCGCCTCCGCTCCTCCACCTGCAGCTGCTGGGTGACCTTGGGCCAGTCACACTTCTCTGAAGTCTCTCAGCCCCACTCACCTCACAGAGTGTTGTGGGGGGAGGAAGGGAAAGGAGAATGTTAGCCGCTTTGAGACTCCTTCGGGTAGTGATAAAGCGGGATATCAAATCCAAACTCCTCTTCTTCTCCTTCTCCACATCCTATATCTCTTCTCTCTCACATGAGGCAGCTGAAGAATGGGAGAGGGAGAAGTTTGAGTACAGCAAGAAGGAAGAGACACTGAAAGAGGCGGGGGAAACAATGACAGAAGTTTGAGTAAAGCTGGGGGTGGAGGGACAGAGAGGAGAATGATGGTTTTAAACAACAGATCTTTCAGTAAAGTGGAAGTAGAGGACACACAGGAAAATGGCAGTTTTAAACAGCAGAGTGAGCAGAAAGTAACACTGAGGGCGGGGGAAGTGGCACTTTAAAGAATAATTCAAATACCGCAAGAAGAGAGTTGGGAACAGATTTGTTGTGTTAGCTTTTTTGGTGTTGTCTGTGTTGTCCCCATCATTGATATTTCTCCTTGTTAAAACTGGTTTGGTTTTTTTAAAGGACCAACTGCTCTTTGTCTTTCCATCAGTGCTTTACTCAAACCTCTGCCTGTTTACCCCCCCCTTTTATTTGTCTATCTGCCCCTCGACACCCACTTTACTCAAACTTCTGCTGTTGTTTGAGTACGGTGAGAAGGGGGAGACCCTGAATGAAAAAAGCTGGCTGTTTTAAACTTCTCCCTTTTCCATTCTACAGCTGCCTCATGTGAAAGAAATAAAAGATGTGAAGCCCTCAAATATTCCATAGTACCTTCAAACAATGTATTTCACTCCTGGCATCATGCATTCCGTGGGATGTGGGTGGCGCTGTGGGTTAAACCACAGAGCCTAGGGCTTGCCGATCAAAATGTCGGCGGTTCGAATCCCCATGACGGGGTGAGCTCCCGTTCTTCAGTCCCAGCTTCTGCCAACCTAGCAGTTTGAAAGCACGAAGTGCAAGTAGATAAATAGGTACCACTCCGGTGGGAAGGTAAACGACGTTTCCGTGCGCTGCTCTGGTTCGCCAGAAGCGGCTTAGTCCTGCTGGCCACATGACCCGGAAGCTGTACGCCGGCTCCCTCGGCCAATAAAGTGAGATGAGCGCCGCAACCCCAGAGTCGGCCACGACTGGACCTAATGGTCAGGGGTCCCTTTACCTTTACCATGCATTCCAGATTCAGTGTAGCTATTTAGAAGAATTTATTTTTTTTTTTTTAAAAAACAACCCACCCATATATGTTCAACATCCGTCAATTGAACTAAATTTTTCTAACTGAACAAGCTAACTGACTGGCTTGCTCTTAAGATTCTATCCATCTTAAAGATGCAGTAACACATTTTAGCATGGGGGGTGTGCGCAAAGGGGGCTGCACAATAGAAGAAGGGATAAGGCATGGACATGGGAGTGTGTAAGAGAGTTGAGAAACATAGGAAGGAGGGTGGAGGAGGGGAAAGTGAAGTTGAAGACAGGGGTGCAAGGGGAGTTGCAATAAATGAGGGAGTGGAAAGGGAATTGATGGTGAAATAAAGGGCATGAAAGGATCTGAAGAACAGGAAGTGATGGTGGCTTCATAATTGGGCAGAAGCTGGAAAGGGTGCTTAACAGTTGCAACATGTGGGAGGAGGAAGATACAGGAGATTACCATGAGAGTGTTTTTTGTCTTCTTCTTTTGGGAATAAGAACAGTGAGTCTGTAAGTGATTGTGGAGGCCAGTTCTGGATCCACAAGTCCTTCCACAGAGGGGACATAGGTTTCTGGGCGGGAGTTGATCACAGTGAGGGTTTGCCAAGCGTGCCTTCCTCTTAGCATTTCCCCCCCTTTTGTTCTGAGTTTGAATGTCTTCAAAGTCCATGACACCTTTGGTAAAGGCTGTTCTCCAATTGGAACTCTCACAGGCCAATGTTTCCCAGTTGTTGTCATTTATACTACATTTCTTAAGATTTGCCTTGAGAGAGTCTTTAAACCTCTTTTGTTTACCACCAGCATTGCACTTTCCATTTTTAGGTTCGGAATAGAGTAGTTGCTTTGGAAGACAATCATCAGGTGCTTTTTGTGCAACAGTAGTTGCACACTATAGCTAGCTTAATAGTTGCTTGGGGTTAGAAGGAGAAGCTCAAGGGAGTTAATGGGGCGAATGGGAAGGGAATTCATGAGTGGAATGAGCATAGACACTGCTCCTAGCTATTATTATTATTATTATTATTATTATTATTATTATTATTTATACCCTGCCCTCTCCAGCCAAGGCCGGGCTCAGGGTGGCTAACAAGCAATAATAAAAACAAATTGAATGAATACAACTTAAAAACAAGATTAAAATACAACATTAAAATATTGAAACATTAAAATATTAAAATGCAGCCTCATCACAGGAGGAGAAAGGAAAAAAGAAAGAGGGGGAGGGAATCAAATTGGCTCCAAGCCAAAGGCCAGGTGGAACAACTCTGTCTTACAGGCCCTGCGGAAAGAAATCAGATCCTGCAGGGCCCTGGTCTCATGAGACAGAGCGTTCCACCAGGCCGGAGCCAGTGTTGAAAGGCCCTGGCTCTGGTTGAAGCTAATCTAACTTCTTTAGGGCCTGGGACCACTAGGGTGTTGCTATTTATGGACCTTAAGGTCCTCCGTGGGGCATACCGGGAGAGGCGGTCCCGTAGGTACGAGGGTCCTAGGCCTGAAGGGCTTTAAAGGTCAAAACCAGCACCTTAAATCTGACCCTGTACTCCACCGGGAGCCAGTGCAGCTGGAAAAGCACTGGGTGAATATGCTCCCATGGCAGAGACCCAGTGAGGAGCCTCGCTGCAGCATTCTGCACCCGTTGGAGTTTCTGGGACAGCTTCAAGGGCAGCCCCGCGTAGAGCGAATTACAGTAGTCAAGCCTGGAGGTGACCATCGCATGGATCACTGTGGCCAGGTCAGGGCGGGAAAGGTAAGGGACCAACTGCTTGATGCGGCGAAGGTGGAAAAATGTCGCCTTGGCTGTTGCTGTAACATGCGCCTCCATGTTTGGGCGTCAAGGATTACACCCAAACTCTTAACGGAAGGTAGCACTAATTGGGCCCCCGCAAGAGAAGGGAGTTGGTCCCTCATCCCCATAGTTATCTATAAAGTAGCAACTATTTTCCTTTCTTTCAGGGTCTAGGGTGGTTTGAGGAGTTTTCTGTGTATTTTACCGAGGAGGAGTGGGATCTGCTGAATCCTGACCAGAAAGCTCTGTATAAAGAAGTCATGGAGGAGAACTGTTACAGAACCCATTACAAAATCCACACAGGAAAGAAACCATACAAATGTTTAGAGTGTGGAAAGAGCTTTTGTCAAAGTTCGGACTTCATTACCCATAAAAGGATCCATGTAGGGGTGAAACCATTTAAATGCTTGGGATGTGGAAAGGGCTTCTGTCAGAAGACACTTCTCGCTACCCATCAAAGAGTTCACACGCAGGAGAAACCGCATAAATGCTTGGATTGTGGAAAGGACTTTCGTTACAGTTCTGCCCTTATTACTCATCAAAGGATCCACACAGGCAAAAAACCGTATAAATGCTTGGAATGCGGAAAGAGCTTCTGTCAGAAGATAAGTCTCATTTCTCATCAAAGAATTCACACAAGGGAAAAACCACATAAATGCTTGAAATGTGGAAAGAGCTTTCGTCACAGTTCGGCCCTAACTACCCATCAAAGGATCCATACAGGGGAGAAACCATATAAATGCTTGGAATGTGGAAAGACCTTTCGACACAGTTCTGCCCTAACTACCCATCAAAGGACACACACAGGGAAGAAACCATATAAATGCTTGGAATGTGGAAAGGACTTTTGTCAGAAGATAAATCTCACTAGTCATCAAAGAATTCACACAGGAGAAAAGCCATTTAAATGTTTGGAGTGTGGAAAGAGCTTTGGTCAGAGGGCTTACCTTACTTTCCATCAGAGAATCCACAAGGGGGAGAAACCACATAAATGCTTAGAGTGTGGAAAAAGCTTCATGCAGAAGAGAAGGCTCACTTCCCATCAGAGAATACATACGGGGGAGAAACCGCATAAATGCCCAGAATGTGGAAAGAGCTTCTGTCAGAAAGCAGATCTCACTATTCACCAAAGAATTCACACGGGGGAGAAACTACACAAATGCCTGGAGTGTGGAAAGAGCTTCTTACGAAAGACACATCTCACTACTCATCAGAGAATTCACACTGGGGAGAAACCGCACACATGCTTGGAGTGTGGAAAGGGCTTCAGTCAGAAGGCGCATCTCACTACTCACCGAAGAAGTCACACGGGGGAGAAGCCACACAAATGCCTGGAGTGTGGAAAGTGCTTCACAGAGAAAAGAGCTCTTACTTCTCATCAAAAAATCCACACAGGGGAAAAGCCACATAAAACTTTCAAGCATGAAAAGGTCTTTCCTCACAGTTGCGACCTTATTACTAGGCCTACCCAAGGCAGAACGGCTGGCAGTAGCAACAGCTGCAGCAACACAGTCCAGACTGATTTGCCCCCAGTCATATTAGTCCATCTTCCTCCTAGTACTGCTTGTGTTGGACAACATCAGCCACCTATCCCGATTCCTAACTTTCCTGAATCTTCTGGTCGCGGGGACAACCCTTCTCCTACTGCCGGGGTATTGTTTGAGGAGGCAGGAGGCCCTGGCAGCAGCAGTCTTGCAGAATCATCCACTTTAGTGAGCGAAGGGAGACAGCTTAGCCCACTGGTGGACATCAGCTTATCTGAGGAAGTGTCTGTATTAGATGCCCTCAGCTTGATTGAAGGTGAAGATCTGTTCCACTCCTCTTCCCTAGGCAGAGGTGCTTCTGTCTGGAACCCTGTGGAGCAGGAGCAGCAGGAACACACCCCACCAGTGCCGCAAGGGGGTACCTCCCACGGTTCCCCCACTGTTCCTGGGGTGGCGCTGACCCCCCAGACCGAAAGCAGCCAGCCCGATTCACCACAGAAGCGGCAGAGCATCGTGTGGGACCACTTTGAGGTGGGAGTGGATCCCAGCACCGCCGTCTGCAGCCACTGCAGGCGGGTCATGAGCAGGGGCAGAGACGCAGCACATTATAGTACCAGCAGCCTGCGCTTGCACCTGCAGAGGCAGCACCCGTCCATCGTGCTAGGAGCACAGGAAGCCAAGTCCCAGCCGTCGGGGAGCAAGGGCAAATGGGTGGCAACCTAGTGCCAGGAGTAAGGGCAAAGTCCTCTGCCAAATCTCTTGTCTCCCCTCAAGCCAAGACGCTTAGGCCGGCAACGGTGGGGAGGAGGTGGAACAAAGGGAGGTGGGCCACGAGGTGGAGGTTTTGAACACCAGACCTGATCGCAAAATGCATGGAAGACGCTTGTGATGAAATGGATTGGCATCAGAACTAAAACCATATGCATGTAACCAAGTGTTTGGTAAGAGCAATTTAAAGTAGTTCATAGGTAACAATAAATAATAAACATGGAATTAATAAACCTAATAAAACAATTTAGCCAAATATATGCAATGTATTAAAACTCTACTTGGCGTCAAATGCTTTTTGACTTTTAGGTCTTCTAGAGTGGTCCTCATTACATATCGGTATGTAAAGCCACTTTTTGGCTTGAATAATATCACATGTTGGAAAACAGTTTACAAATAATGGCAAATATATGTATCTAATAGCGTTTATTATATCTAACAATATTGATTCTGTATTTGCAGGTGTTGCACTGCATGGGTGTTGTTTGTTAAAATTATTTGCTACGTTAAATTATTCTTATCAGATAATTGGTTATGTGTATATGATTTTAGGTGTTATCCCAAACTGTTGTTTCAGAGCAACCTGATGGCTCTTGTGGACTTATTTTATGCACTATTGTGTCACACTACCTTAAACGGGAGAATGGTGCCCTCCCAGTGCTGGCATGCAGGGAGAAAGTGTGTTCCCTTGTAGGCAGGGTTGCCTTTCTCATATAAGCCCATGGGACTGCTTCGGTCTTCAGAATAGGCGCTGTTACCAGTGCCACATAATCCTCAGTTGTGAAAAATCAATATTTCAGTGCAGCAGCATCTACACATTGGAACTCCCTGCCTATTGACACCAGACAGATGCCTTTGCTGTACTCTGTTTCGCTCCTGTTTAAAACAATTTTATTTAGGCAAGCCTATCCAGACACGTAGATGTTGATGTCTTTGAATCCTTTTCACTCTTAATTTCAGTGATCTGTAAATGTTTTCTGTTGTTTTGAACTGTTTTCATTGATACTTTTGATATTTCTTGAAACCCACCAAGAGGTTTTACTACAGTTATACGATTTTTGTTAAATAAAATAAAAACCAGCCGGGGACCACATGCCACATGGCCGGAGACAAAAGTGATGTGAGTTTTGTATTCCAGCCACAAAACAAGCCAGAGAATTCTTCTCCCACTTGCGTCCATCTTGGCATACAAGAGGCACCAACACAATTTAGTGACCTATTCCAGCCAGGCAAAAGCACTTGAGAGGTATGTGTGTGGGAATGTTGTGGATAGTAGGAGAGGATATATTGATTATATATTATTCTTCCACACTCATGCTAGTGGGTTACATATAGCAGAGCTCATTCCCCATTTACACAGCAAGAAGCTAGTTTGCAGATTCATATGAATCTCTAAGCTATCCAATCTGGCATGCCCAGATTGGCGTATATTCCTGGTAAGACCCCTTTGATTCCTGCCTAAAAGAATAAAGACACAAGAATCTTCCTTGTAAGTAATGAATAGTTTACTTACATTCTGTTCACAGTATGCTCTCTGAAGACATGCTTTAGCTTGTAGTTACAAAAGAAGACGTGGATTTATCCCATATGGGGATTTATCCCATGTGCTGCTGGCCAAGATCCCATTTTAGTTTTTGGGCTGTGTGTCCGAGACAGTCAATCTCTTGGGCTTGAAGCTTTGGGGGGCTTTGGTTCCTAAATACAATGTTGATAAATAAGAATAATAAACAACTTGAATCAGATCCTGCTTTTGTAGCATGCGTGCACAAAGACATATATAATTATATATTTATATATGTATGTGTATATAATTTTATTGTTTAATATTCTTGCTTATTCCCAGATGGGGTGCCTACTTCCCCATTTTCATTTTCTAGTTTTTCCTACACATCTTTGTTCTTCCGCATCCGTACCATAGGATCTGACATTCATCTCTCAGGTCTTTCCAGAAGCTGCAAAACACAGAAATGTTCCTTATGGTTGCTATGCTGCAGATTGATTTCCAGAGGAGAGTTAAATTTACAAATGCATAGTTTATTTCCTTTGTCACATAAAACATTCCTTGCAATTAGCATTCGGTATTTTGCACTTACGCATCTGTGTAATAATTTTAAGGGGTTTTCCCTAAGGAAACTGGAGATTTTAAGGGCCTAAGCTGATTTTATTTGAATTTTATCGTTCCTACGCTGTTCATTGTAGATATTAGTTAAACCAAACCCTGTGGAACGCCCTCCCACCAAATGTCAAGGAGATAAAGAACTACACAACTTTTAGAAGACATCTCAATAAATAATAATAATAAATAATAAACCATTAAAAAGCTCCTGTGTCAGGTGGTTTTTAATGTTTGATGTTTTATTATGATTTTATATGTGTTGCAATTTAAAATAATGCATCCGATAGAAAAAGTGGACAGAAAAGTGTTTCTGTCCCCCAGTCATTAACTCCAGAACTTGAGGAGATAAGATGCTGCTTCTTCATACAGAACATGAACTACAGAATCTGCTCCCACAGGAAACATGGTGGCTTTAAAAGAGGATGAGGCCCATTCATGGAGTATGAGGCTAGTCCTAGATTTTGCAACTCCTGCCCTAGAGAAGCCATATTGGCTGCCAGCAGGTGAAGACCTCCATATGCCCACAAGCTTCTGGGAACTGGCTGTTTTTGAGGAAAGGACTGGTGTTGTCGTCGATTTATTACTGTTAATATCAATACTTTAAATAATTCTTTATATCCATATATATTTTAACTCTCTTGGAGTTTAATCACTTCTTTTTCTATTTTATCAGTAAGCTGCATTGACTTCCAGTCCTGGAAAAAACACAGGCCATAAACATAATATTAATATAAATGGTGTGGCAGCCATATCCTGTTGAGCAGTCAGACACATAGGCAGCAAACCTATGGTTACCAGATTTTTTTCAATGAATCCGGGGACACTTTTTTGTTTTAAGCTGAGTAGCAGCAGGGAGTCAGTAGTGGGGATGGTGAAGCAAAAGACCCTGGGCCCAAGCACACATGCATATTGTATAAAGGTGCAAAGCCCTTCTTTCGCACCCTGTGAAACATCAGTGCGCAGAGTTTTTTAAAAAACTGGGCAATGGCCAACCACCCGCAACTCCTGAGCCTCCCCCATCAGTCAAAACATAGGGGGAAGGGGACAGGAGATCTGTACTGCTGGACATCCCTGGTTCCCCTTTGGCAGTGGCAGCAGCAGTGGCAGTCAGCAGCCCAGAGTCAGCCTGGTAGCGCAGTTGGCTGCCACGGCGCCCGCCATTTTTCCTCGCCGTATGTTCCAGCAAGGAAAAATGGCGGGCACCATGGCAGCGGACAGTGAGCAGCTCCTGAAGCCAGCCAGAGCCAACTGCGCTACCAGGCTGGCTCCCAGCTGCTGAGCATGCTGCTACCACGTTTCCCGAGGACAGATTTGCACATCTGGGGACATTCTGGGGACGGAATTTGTCCAGGGACAGATTTGCAAATCCGGGCTAAGCAAACCCACCCCATTGCTTAAGCTTACATTTCAATATCCCCGAAACGCTGAAAGCAAGAAAAGGAGAAGAAGCCTTGTATGGAAATTGCAGAGTGCCTAACAGTTTCTGTGAAATGCTGAGCTCTTTGCAATAACAGGAAGTAAGCTTAAACAAAATTTTAAAAAATTCCTTCCAGTATCACCTTAGAGACCAACTAAGTTTATTATTAGTTGGTCTATAAGGTACTACTGGAAGGAATTTGTTTTTATTTTGTTTTGACTACGGCAGACCAACACGGCTACCTAACTGTAACAGGAAGTAAGCTTATAAGGAATAAAAGAAGGGTGCTGTCCCAAATGATTGGTTAAATTTTGCTGCAGTATATGAATATTCAATGCTAGATGCTGAAAGGCAAAAGGGTATAAAAGCCCCTGGAACCTGCTGCTCGAGGCTGAGACTTTGGAACTCACTATTCTGAGCCACTTTGCTGCCGGTTACAAATAAAGGAACTCTTTATTTTCTCTATTGCTGCATGTGAGTTTTCAATCAGCCTAGCAGTTTTGCAACAATGGTAAGGAGAATGTCCACGGGTTCTGGCCAAGCTGGCTCTGCTTCAAATATGTGTCCTTTGGGGTGGGGAGGAAGGGTTCTAGATGTCACTTGCTGGAAATCAACCTTCTTAAAGTCCAGAGTGCATCTCTGACTCCGCTCAGCATGAACCCCAGGAGGACAGGGTCACTTTCTACCGGGAAATGGTCACTTCCTCACAAAGATCCCAGTACAGTGGTACCTCGGGTTAAGTACTTAATTCGTTCCGGAGGTCCGTTCTTAACCTGAAACTGTTCTTGACCTGAAGCACCACTTTAGCTAATGGGGCCTCCCGCTGCGGCCGCACCGCTGCTGCATAATTTCTGTTCTCATCCTGAAGCAAAGTTCTTAACCTGAAGCACTATTTCTGGGTTAACAGAGTCTGTAACCTGAAGTGTCTGTAACCTGAAGCATATGTAACTAGAGGTACCACTGTACTTAGGCTGTTTTTTTGGGGGGGGTGAGTTATTGGGTAGTTTTTGTTTTGATAGTGTATCTTCTGTTTTTATATTGTGATTTGATTTTGTGAACTGCCCTGAGACCTGCGGGTACAGGGCGGTATACAAATTAATAATAATAATAATAATAATAATAATAATAATAATAATAATACTTCAGATTCTCCATGTAGGTTTGGACCAGGTCCAAGAGAGATGACATCCTTGTTACTTCTTTCTATGATTATTAGCTATTTTTAATAGTTCTTTCTATTTATATATCCTTATTAGAGTAGAATTACTTTTTAAGGATTATGTTAGGTTTCCTGTTTTATGTGAAAGCCACCTTCACTCACAGTCCTGGGGGAAAGGAGGCATATGCTATGGCTCTCAATGGTCACTGCATCCTGCATGGGGCACCTGCTGGAGGAGAGGCTCCTGTACTCGGGGCCTGATCCTGCAGGGCTTTCTACACAAAATGGGGACTCCTCTCCTCGCTTTTCGCCCGGAGCAGCCAAGAGGTTCCTCCCGCTCAGCTCCGCAAGGGTTAAGACGAAACCACAGAGTCAAGATTCCCAGAGCGGAAGGGGAGTTCTGCGGAAGAGGAGGAGGAGCTTCCGCTTCCTGTTCCGGGCCTGTCCCTCCTTCCTGTGGGACGCAGCTGCTTTGCCTGGAGGCGCCTCTTTCCTCCTCTTCTTCCTTGCGGAGGAGCTTCTCCCGTTCTTTCTCCGCAGGGGAGGCTGCCTCTCCTGCCGCCTCCAGGTCAGATGCGGGGAAGGAGAGACGGAGGAAGGAGGAGGAAGAGGAATGTATGTATGATGTTTTGGGGGCTGGTCTTGGGCAAGAGGGGGGGCAATTTCAAAAGTCTTTATAGGGGCTTCGGGGTTCATAGAATAGAATCATAGAGTTGGAAGAGACCGCAAGGGCCATCGAGTCCAACCCCCTGCCAAGCAGGAAACACCATCAGAGCACTCCTGACATATGGTTGTCAAGCCTCTGCTTAAAGACCTCCAGAGAAGGAGACTCCACCACACTCCTTGGCAGCAAATTCCACTGTCGAACAGCTCTTACTGTCAGGAAGTTCTTCCTAATGTTTAGGTGGAATCTTCTTTCTTGTAGTTTGGATCCATTGCTCCGTGTCCGCTTCTCTGGAGCAGCAGAAAACAACCTTTCTCCCTCCTCTATGTGACATCCTTTTATATAGTTGAACATGGCTATCATATCACCCCTTAACCTCCTCTTCTCCAGGCTAAACATGCCCAGCTCCCTTAGCCGTTCCTCATAAGGCATCGTTTCCAGGCCTTTGACCATTTTGGTTGCCCTCCTCTGGACACGTTCCAGTTTGTCAGTGTCCTTCTTGAACTGTGGTGTCCAGAACTGGACACAGTACTCCAGGTGAGGTCTGACCAGAGCAGAATACAGTGGCACTATTACTTCCCTTGATCTAGATGCTATACTCCTATTGATGCAGCCCAGAATTGCATTGGCTTTTTTAGCTGCCGCGTCACACTGTTGGCTCATGTCAAGTTTGTGGTCAACCAAGACTCCTAGATCCTTCTCCCTCCTGCGTGTGGTGAGTGGAGACCATGTTGCAACACTTTATTTCCCTTAATAAAGATCAGGCTTTCCAGCCGCTTTACTATCAATATATTCTGCTTGGGCTCTGCTTCCTCTTCGACCGTATAAGAGATCTCTTATACGGGCTCTAGATACCCCAGGAGGATATTAGAAGTATTATACTTATGACAACACCTTACCTTGGAGTGCTTACAAAGAAGGGAATGGTTTTCTTCTTCCAGGGATTGGTGAGCTTCGATGAGGTGTCTGTGGATTTCACCAACGAAGAATGGGCCTTGCTGGATCCGGGCCAGAAAGCTCTGTACAAGGAAGTCATGGAGGAGATTCATGAGATGATGACATCTGTGGGTACGGATCTGTTTCTCCTTGATCCATAGCTAGCAAAGGTGTGAATTATTGTTGGTGTACCATCAATGAGATCACTAGAAAGCACTTTGTAATTTCTCCTGGACAAAGGAACATTCGAAGACCCCTGTTGGTTCAAAGCAAAGGCCCGCGTAGTCCAGGATTCTGTTCTCATGCTTGCCAACCAGATGCCTATAGGAAGCCATCAAAGAATGGACCCATTGGTTATGAGTTACCTGCATTGATTTCCCTTTTTTTCTGGCCAGGGAGGTCTCTTGTTGGATTGGGTGAGGGGTGAACAACTGCATGTCACGGAAACAGAAGGCTGAAGAGGTCTGCTGTGTGCTGGTTGCGATTTATTGCATTGGGGAACAGTCCTAGTCTGCCTAGCTGCATAGCTTGCAAAGCAGTGTACAGGGCAGAATGGATAGAGTGGCATGGATCTGAACCTCCTCTCTGTCCCCAACGACTCACAGGGAGAATCGGAGGACCCAGCTGATTTGGGAACTGAGCCTACACAGGAGGGTTGTGCACGAGAGGGGGAGGTCCTCAAGCCTGTTGGGGAAATGGCACCCAACACCCAGCTTACTGTTCTGGCTCCCAAACATGTTCTAAGACCCTTGTCCAGTAAATGTGCACTTGTTATCCTGCAGCACAATTATTTCTGGATTCTGCTTGTGGAAGGGAGAGGAAAGAGTCGTGATGGGTATCTTATTCTGCCACCTGAGTAGAATGCTCACAAGGACCTCTTTTCCCCCATAAGACAGGTGTAGGGACGCCTGGCTCCCTCCCAGAAGTTGCTGGATCCCAAAATCCTCTCTGTTGACTGTCCATGTTTGCTGGAGCTGTTGGGACTTTTTTCAGCAGCATTTGGAGAGCCAAAGGTTCCCAATTCCTCCCTTAAGGACTTTCAACTTTAAAAAAACCAACACACCCAACACTCTTTATCCTGTTTCTCTACATCAGTGTTTCCCAACAGGGGCCCCAGGATTTTCCATCGGGGTCCCAGGTGAAAATTATATAAATTGGGGGGCTGTACCGCATGAGGCTAGGGAGCGACAGAGGGAAGTGAGAAGAAAATGGAAAAAGCCATTAATCATTCTGTTTTAGTTTCAAAATCCTGATTGGCTGGCTATCCTCTCGGCCAATCACAAGCAAGTAAGGGGGTGGCCCACCAGGGCAGCGTAGCGCTGCTTCTTCTGTTTTCCTTTGTGCATTTTCTTAGAGCAGTCCTGTTTTGTTTCAAGCTGGAGATGGCCACCTCTGAGGCTCTTGTTTTGACCACTGCTTGTAGCTGCCACCAGTGCTTGGCCAGGTGGCAGCCTGGGCCTGATTCTGAAAGACGCAGGGTGCAATCGACACCAGCGCCTAGGAGATCGGGGCACAGGGCCTGTCGGCCTAGCCGAGTGGATTTGTCTGGTGCTGCTGACTTGCATCTAGAAAACTGCTAAGTGTCTACTTTGAACAAAGCAGTACTGAGTTCAGTGGGCCTTATCCCCAGGTAAGGGTGTGTGGGGCTATAGTGGTTTTTCTAGGCAGCCAGGGCTCCTCCGGATGACTAGAGCTTTTGCACCAGGTCAGTGAGGACCACTCGCTTTTAAAATTCTCCCAGATATACAGAACTCCCTGTGCTCTTTTTGCAGACTCTCCAAGTGTCCCTATTTCCAAGGACAGTCCTGGATTTACAGAAGCTGTCCCAGTTTCTGATTTGATTCCGGAATGTCCTGCTTTTCCTTAGGGTCTCCCTATTTTCGCCAGAGAAATGTTGGAGGGTATGGAGTTAGCCAACCCCTGAGCCATCTGAAGGCAGCCCTGTGTAGAGAAGGTTTTTAAAATGTTTTATTAAGTTTTTATATATGTTGGAAGCTGCCCAGAATGGCTGGGGCAACCTGTCAGATGGGCAGGGTATTAATAGTAAAATGATTATTATGGAATAGGACGTACCTATTTTCATCAGAGATAAGTGGGAAGGTATGCTTTTGGACTGTTGTTTGTAGGTTTCTCCCTCTGTGTCAAATAAAGGTGAAGAAAAGGTAAAGTACACCTTGATGGCTAAGTCCAGTCAAAGGCTACTTTGGGGTTGCAGCGCTCATCTCGCTTTCAGGCCGAGGGAGCCAGGGTTTGTCCACAGACAGCTTTCTGGGTCATGTGGCCAGCATGACTAAACCGCTTACAATCATTTTTTCCCCTTTAAAAATCCTGATTGACTGAATATCTGCTCAATGATGCACAGGCAAGTCAGGGGGCAGCCTAGCACTACTTTCATTTATTTTTTCCTTTTTGCATTTCTTGGAGCAGTCCTGGTTTGTTTTCAGCTGGAGAGGGTGATCCTTAAGGCTTCTGTTTTGACCACTGCTTGTTGCTCCGCCAGTGCCAGGCCAAGTGGCAGCCTGGGTCTGACTGCGCAAGAGGTGGGGTGCAGTCCTCCCCAGTGCCTAGCAGATCAGGCCGCAGGGTCTGTCGGCAGTGTTGGTCTGGCTCTGCAAGACGCGGCACGAAATCCACCACAGCGCCTAGCCAAGTGAATTCGTCTGGCGCTGCTGACTTGCATCTAGTAAATAACTCAGTGTCTACTCAGAACAAAGCAGCACAGTGTTAAGTGGGCCTTACTCCCAGGTAAGGGTGTGGGGCTACGGTGTTTTTTCTAGGCAGCCACTGCTCCTCCGGATGACTAGATCTTTTTGCACTAGGTCAGTGAGGACCACTTGCTTTTTAAAATTCTCCCATATATACAGAACTCCCTGTGGTCCTTTTTGCAGACTCTCCAAGTGTCCCTATTTTCCAGAAACAGTCCTAGATTTACAGAAGTCACCCCAGATTCTGATTTGATTCCGGAATGTCCTGCTTTTCCTTAGGACGTCCCAGAGAAATGTTGGAGGGTATGGAGTTATGCAACCTCCAAGCCATCTGAAGGCAGCCCTGTATAGGGAAGAGTTTAAGTTTAATGTTTTATTATGTCTTTATATATGTTGGAAGCTGCCAAGTGGCTGGGGCAATCCAATCTGATGGGCGGGGAGTTGTTGTTGTTGTTGTTGTATAGTCGTGTCCGACTCTTTGTGACCCCATGGACCAGAGCACGCCAGGCACTCCTGTCTTCCACTGCCTCCCTCAGTTTGGTCAAACTCAGGTTCATAGCTTCGAGAACACTGTCCAACCATCTCGTCCTCTGTCGTCCCCTTCTCCTTGCGCCCTCCATCGTTCCCAATATCAGGGTCTTTTCCAGGGAGTCTTCTCTTCTCGTAAGGTGGCCCAAAGTATCAGAGCCTCAGCTTCAGGATCTTTGCTTCCAGTGAGCACTCAGGGCTGATTTCTTGCAGAATGGATGGGTTTGATCTTCTTGCAGTCAATGGGACTCTGAGGAGTCTCCTCCAGCACCATAATTCAAAAGCATTCATTCTTCAGCGATCAGCCTTCTTTATGGTCCTGCTCTCACTTCCATACATCACTGCTGGGAAAACCATAGCTTTAACGATACGGACCTATGGCGGCAAAGTAATGTCTCTGCTTTTTAAGATGCTGTCTAGGTTTGTCATTGCTTTTCTCCCAAGAAGCAGGCGTCTTTTAATTTCGTGACTGCTGTCACATCTGCAGTGATCATGGAGCCCAAGAAGGTAAAATCTCTTACTGTCTCCATTTCTTCCCCTTCTATTTGCCAGGAGGTGATGGGCCCAGTGACCATGATTTTAGTTTTTTTGATGTTGAGCTTCAGACCATATTTTGCGCTCTCCTCTTTCACTCTCATGAATAGTTTCTTTAATTCCTCCTCACTTTCTGCCATCATCTGCATATCGGAGGTTGTTGATATTTCTTCCGGCAATCTTAATTCTCGCTTGGGATTCATCCAGTCCAGCCTTTCCCATGATGCATATAAGTTAAATAAGCAGGGAGACAATATACAGCCTTGAGGTACGCCTTTCCCAATTTTGAAGTAACTGTAGCTTCTTGTCCCACATGGATGGGGTATTATTAGTAAAATTATCATTATTATTCTGGAATAGAACGTATCTATTTTCATTGGAGAAATGTTGGACGGTAAGCTTTTGGACTGTTATCTGTAGGTTTGCTGCTCTGTGTCAAATAACTGGGATCAAATAAGTGTTGTTTACTTTTTATAATACAGTACAAGGGAGATCTCCCTCTGGAGGTTCTGGACTCTCCTTCCTTGGAGGTTTCTAAGCAGAGGTTGGATGGGCATCTGTCATGGATGCTTGAGCTGAGTTTCCTACGTTTGTATGGGTTGCACTAGAAAGATGACTCTTGGGGTCCCTTCCAGCTCTATGATTCTTATGTTTATCTGCTTCAACAACGTTTCATTATGCTCCTATTATTTTATGTAGCTGTATTTTGTATAAATCATAAAAATATTATGATAAATAAATTATAAAAGAGGTTCTATTTACAAACAAAACATTTCAGTAGTTACCTTTCTACCGGTAGGAAGGGGTTGGGGGCCACAGGAAGGAAATGAGGTCGGAAAGGGGCCACGGTTGGAAAAAGATGGGGGAACTCTGCTCTGCATCATGTTTCTAAATTTAAGAAAGGGAAGGGCAGGCTGCCATTTAGATGAGGAGGATTTTCTGTGGATGATGCAAAATAGAGATGCAAGCAGCCCCAAATCAGCATTAAAAGTCCTGTGTGGATGAGGCCTTAAACCAGGGGTCGGCAAACTTACTGAGCCTGGGCCAGTTCACTCCTGTGGAGATCTCAGCATGGGCCAGATTGGGTGAGCGCACACCCACAAACACTATTTCTGGTGTGGAGAAGGCGTCTGCAGCTTCCTGTTGGTTGCAGGAGTTTCCTGCATCCAATAGGAAGCCCCGCCAGCACTGCGGAAGTGAGTCACTGCGATGCGCTGGTTTAGCGCAGCGTGCGGAGACTTGCAGCGTGAGCAGCAGGGTTCGGGGGTGGCTCGGGGGCTGGTTAAACGACCCCCCTGGCCAGATGTGGCCCAGGAGCTGTAGATTCCCGACCCCTACCTTATACAGAGACATCATTTTACCACTTTTCCTTTTTAATCCATTAGGAGATGTTTCGGAGTTCCTGACTGAAGGAGAACAATCAGAACTGTCACGTGAAGGAGTTGAGGAGCAGAAGGAGCAACGGAAACTGTGGATTCAAGTTGGAACCCACAGAAAGGAGGGGACCCAAATGCAGAAGGTGGGGAGAGAATCCACTGCTTCTCAGGTTAATGAAAATCAGATTTGCAGAGAGAAGCATGAATGTACTGTGTGTGGAAAGAGATTTCCCTATCGCTCAACGCTTACTTCACATCAAAGAGTGCACTCGGATGAAAAACCATATAAATGCTTGGAGTGTGGAAAGAGTTTTAGTCAGAGTGGTAACCTTACTTCACATCAAAGACCTCATACAGGGGGAAAACCTCACAAATGCTGGGAGTGTGGAAAGAGTTTTAGTAATAGTGGCTCCCTTACTTCGCATCAAAGGACTCATACAGGGGAGAAACCTCATAAATGCTTTGAGTGTGGAAAGAGCTTCAATCAGAGTAGCTCCCTTAGTAGGCATCACGCAATCCACACAGGGGACAAACCGTATGAATGCTTGAAGTGTGGAAAGTGTTTCCGTCAGAGGAGCAGCCTCACTAGACATGAAAGAACTTATACAGGGGACAAACTGTGTGAATGCTTGATGTATGGAAAGAGCTTCAGTCATGAGAGCATCCTCACTAGACATAAAAGAACTCACGCAGGTGAAAAACCTCACAAATGTTTGGACTGTGGGGAGGGCTTCAGGCACAAAGGCACCCTCACAAAGCATCAAAGAATTCATACAGGGGACAAACCTTATGAGTGCTTGGAGTGTGGAAAGAGCTTCACTCGCAAAGACTCCCTTACTTTGCATCAGAGAAGTCACACAGGAGAAAAGCCTTATAAATGCTGGGAGTGTGACAAGAGCTTCCGTGAGAGTGGCGCCCTTACTCGGCATCAAAGAACTCATACAGGGGAAAAGCCTTATACATGTTTTGAATGTGGAAAGAGCTTCAGTCAGAGTTGTCACCTTACTGATCATCAAAGAACTCATACGGAGGAGAAACCTCATTAATGCTTTGAAAGATGCTACAACAGCAGCAAGAATACTTATTGCAAAGTATTGGAAGGCACAAGATTTACCCACCCGGGAAGAATGGCAGATGAAGCTGATGGACTACATGGAACTGGCAAAAATGACTGGCAGAATCCGAGACCAGGGAGAAGAGTCAGTGGAAGAAGATTGGAAAAAATTTAAAGTCTATTTACAGAAACACTGTAAAATTAATGAATGTTAGAGGGATGCTGGAATGAAGTTATATGGCTTTAGCAGAAATGTTATAAAGAATTAAGTAAAAATAGACTGTTAATGGGCTAAAGGGGGGAAAAATAAGGTTAGATTATGTTAAGATAAATTATGAGACAAAAACTGAGAAAGATGGAAAGGATTTGCTGAAATAGCTAACTGAACTAGAATACAAAAAAGGGAGGTGTGAGGAGGTCGTCGAAACAAGTAAATGAAAGATAAGATATGGAAATATTGGATGCGTTTTTAATTGTTTTTGTTTTGTTAAGATAAGTAGTGTTTTCTGTTTTATATGTATTGTATTGTATTGTTTTGCTTTGTTTAACTTTTTTTTCTTCTTTCTGTAATTTCTAAACTCTTAATAAACATTATTTTTTTAAAAATGCTTTGAAAGAGCTTCAGAGACATTAGCTCCCTTAATATGCATCATACAACCCACACGGGGGACAAGCCATATTACAAATGTTTGGACTGTGGGGAGAGCTTCCGATATAGTGACTCCCTCATGAAGCATCAAAGAATTCATACAGGGGACTGTATGCAGTGTTGAAAGAGTTTCAGTTGCAAAGACTCCCTTAGGTAAAGATAAAGGGACCCCTTACTGTTAAGTCCAGTTGCGAACGTCTCTGGGGTTGCGGCGCTCATCTTGCTTTACAGGCCGAGGGAGCTGGCGTTTGTCCACAGACAGCTTTCTGGGTCATGTGGCCAGCATGACTAAACTGCTCCTGGCGCACGGAGGACCGTGACGAGTGCCAGAGCGCACGGAAACACCGTTTTCCTTCCTGCTGGAGTGGTACCTATTTACCGTAATTTTCGCTCCAAAACATGCACCTTTTTGCTCCTAGAAAGTAAGGGAAAATGCCTGTGCGTGTTACAGAGCAAATGCACTGGATCGGAGCCATGGCTGCCGTCAGTCAAGCAAAGCGGGAGCCGCTTGCAGGGCTTTGCACGACTCTAGCTTTGCTTGCTTTACAGCCAGGAGGAGGGGGAGGAGCCGAGGAGGAGGGAGGGAAGGAGAGCCGTGGCAGCAAAGCGGGCAGCAGCCGCTTACGCGGGAGGAGGGACAGACAGGAGCCATAGCGAGCCGGAAAAAGCGCCGTGTAGCCAGCAACAGCTGCTGCAGCCTCAGCTAGCAAAGGTCCGTGCGCTCTCTAAACGGAGCAATGAGGCTGCAGAGGGACGGCAGGGCACAGGAGGGCTCTGAGCCACGAGCGCAGTGAAAACCAGTAAAAAAGTTTTTAAAAAGGCTGCTGGGGACAGGAGGGCACGGGATGAGGGAGAGGGGGAAATTACGATTCTCCCAGCGTCTCAGCTGATCCGCTGAGCAGAACTTGGGCCATTAGCTGTGTAAAGCAGCAAAGAGGGAGAGAAGGAGCAAAGTGGGAGAGGAAAGGAGCTGCTTACACTGCTGTAAGTGGCTGCTGTCTGGTTGGCTCCTTTAAAGCAACAGTGCTCTTTCCCTCCCCCCTCCCCGCTCAGCTCGCCGAAAAGCTCCTTTTCCACACACCCCACGCGAGCTCCTTCTCCCCTTAAACCCCTCTCCTGCATCATTAGCAGCATCCTTCTCCACACACCCCATGCGTGTTCCTTCTCTCCTTAGACCCCTCGCCTGCATTAATAGCCGCATCCTTCTCCACACACCCCACGCGTGTTCCTTCTCTCCATAGACCCCTCGCCTGCATTATTAGCCGCATCCTTCTCCACACACCCCATGCGTGTTCCTTTTCCCCTTAGACCCCTCGCCTGCATTATTAGCCGCATCCTTCTCCACACACCCCACGCGTGTTCCTTTTCCCCTTAAACCCCTCTCCTGCATTATTAGCCGCATCCTTCTCTACACACCCCATGCGTGTTCCTTTTCCCCTTAGACCCCTCGCCTGCATTATTAGCCGCATCCTTCTCCACACACCCCACGCGTGTTCCTTTTTCCCTTAGACCCCTCGCCTGCATTATTAGCAGCATCCTTCTCCACACACCCCACGCGTGTTCCTTCTCCCCTTAAATCCCTCGCCTGCATTATTAGCAGCATCCTTCTCCACACACCCCACGCGTCACTTGAATGCTTTCCCTTCCCTCCCCACTTAAAACATGGTTACAAAGCACGGATCCACATGGATCCTCAGGATTTTTGCACTGGGTCACCCCAAGTTCACCATCAGATCACATAGCATATCCATGGCTACAGCCTGCACCAAAAAACACACACGCACCCACTGTTTCATGGGGCTGCAATGGCGCAAAAATGTGGTTACAAAGCATGGATCCACATGGATCCTCAGGATTTTTGCATTGGGCTACCCCAAACTCACCGTCAGATCATGTCTGTGGCCACAGCATGAACCACAAAAATCATACATCCACTGTTTCGTTTAGAATATTTTTTTCTTGTTTTCCTCCTCTAAAAACTACGTGCGTGTTATGGTCAGGTGCGTGTTATAGAGCGAAAAATACGGTATCTACTTGCACTGACGTGCTTTTGAACTGTTAGGTTGGCAGGAGCTGGGACCGAGCAACGGGAGCCCACCCCGTTGCAGAGATTCGAACCGCCGACCTTCAGATCAGCAAGTCCAAGAGGCTCAGTGGTTTAGATCACAGCGCTACCTGCGTCCCTCAAAAAGACTCCTTTACTTTGCATCAAATAACTCACACAGGAGAAAAACCTTATAAGTGTTTGGAATGTGGAAAGAGCTTCATTCAGAGTTGTCACCTCACTAGCCATAAGATAATTCATACAATGGATAGCCCTTACAAATGTTTGTAGTGTGACAAGAGCTTCAGTTGGCAGCGGGAGGCCCCATTAGCGAAAGCGCACCTCAGGTTAAGAACGGTTTCAGGTTAAGAACGGACCTCCGGAACGAATTAAGTTGGTAACCTGAGGTGCCACTGTAATTACTCCCTTCCCACACCTCCCTGTTCTTCACGCCACTCTCTTGCCTGCTGTGAAAAGTGCTGTGGAGATTTTGTAGCTGGAATCCACCACCCCAAGATTTAAGAGTCCATTCTTTGCTGACTGAGCTGTCCATGAGATCCGTCCAGTGGATGTGTATTTAGATCAGCTGGGTATTTTGGTAAGCTATATGAGAGAGCTGGTGGAGCCAGTGTGGAATTCAGCAACAGTTAAGTTGGATATGATTTTGACTTGGCCTATTCTTTTTTCTGAGTAGACAAACATAAGTTTAAAAGTTAAGTTTTATATTAATATTTTGTGTTTCCACATGAATCATTTGCATATTCTGTTGTTTATTTTTCCACATTTAGTGTGTAATTTGCGCTGATTTCTGCTTGATCCCCTTTCACTCATATCTTTCATAGGTTAAAAGGCATTTCCTGGTCTTCTGTTGATTTATTTAAAATAAATCTCTCGAAACACGTTTTAGCCTCTCAGGTCCTGTTTGTTCACCACACTCTTGCCCATTTGGGCAAATTAGGAACTTCATTTTCAATGTTTTCATGAATTCTTGACCACCATGCATCCAGGTAAGGTAGGGGAAAGGTAATCAGAAGAAAGATGTTGGGGACCTCTGGAATTGGTACTTCCTAGTAACAGAGGGACCTGAATCTGCAGCCTCTGAGGAAGGGGGTTTTGCTCATGAAACCTTGAACATGACCTCAGAAGAGCCTAGCTGGTGGATCAGGCCCTTAACCCACCTAGGCCAGCACCCTATTCCCCCAGTGCCCAAGCAGATGCCTCTGGGAACTTTGCAACCAGCAGCGAGTACAACATGCCTCTTTAGGTGATTCCCAGGAACTGGCAATGAGGAATATACTGCCCAAAACAAGTGGAAGCAGTGCACAGCCATAATGGCTGGTGGTCAGTTGTAAAAGCACGTGAACGTAATAGGCCGCATGGTAACAATCACAAGTTATTTACTAGAAACTACTTATCAAAAATTAGATGCCACTTCTCATAATGTCAAAATCAACATTGTGACATAATATAATAAAACGTAACTTTTCAGTTGACCACAAAGTCCTGTATGTTCAAAATACAAGTCCTATATTGTCAGTGCCGTGGTGCATTCTTTCTTAATTTCTTCATCTCTCGTATTTTTCTGTCTGATGTATTCCTTAGAAGAGTGGCGTGAAATAGTCTTCTAAGTGTCCAATAAAGATAATTGGGTTGGCAGACAAAAGAAACTGGCACTGATGGCTATGAATTTGCCTAATTCTCTCTTAATTGGTGGCTATTACTGCATTTTGCATTAGTGAATTGCAGAGTTTAACAGTGAAGAAGTGCTTCCTTTTGTTTGTCCTTAATCTGTGCACAATTAGCTTCATTGGATGGCCTGGAAAGGCAGTATTCTAGAGGGAGAAACACCTCCCTCTCTCCTATTTCTAAAGACCATGAATACCTTGTATCATATTTCCCCATAATCGCCTTTGTTTCAGATTAGTAATTGTTTCAGATTAGATTAGCGAAGGTGTGAACCCCTGTTGGTGTAATATCAATTAGAGAGGGTGTTCTTAATTTCCCCATGACAAAGAATGTATGAAGAGCCCTGTTGGGTCGAAACAAAATCCTATGTAGTCCAGCATTCAGATGCACACAGACACACTTGTGAAATGTGATTTTACAGACGTCAAAGATTAGACACATTGATTAAGAGTGACTTACCTTGATTCTCATTTTTCTGGCCAATGATGTCTCTGGTTCCGATTGGGTGGGGGGTGAACTTGCTTTTTCGATAGGATTGTTCTTACAACTGCAAGGCGTGGAAACAAAGGCTGATGGGGTTTCATGTGTGCTGGTTGCAATTTACTGCTTTTGGGTCAGGCATAGGCTGCTTAATCACATAGGTTACTTAGTAGTATACACGACAAAATGATGGTGTGGCAGATATTATGCATTACTATTCATTGCATTTAGTTGCTTTTTCAAGGAAGGTCATCTCAAAGCAAGTTACCGTAGGTTGCAAAGATTAAGGCCACAATAATTCTTTAAGTTAAAGGCCAAAAGCCTGGCTGAAAAGAAATGGGAAAAGTGTATTTCTGAGGTTTGATGGCTCATAATACCACTTTCTCTAGGAGTAATATCATAAAATTATATATCAATGGAGGTTTCAAGTTTTATCCTTCTGAAATGTCCAGACTAGGGGAGGGTTCTTGGTGGGATATATTTGTGCTGCCTGTGGTTCACCCACCTCCTTTGTCCTAACCTCCCGCCCAAGGAATCTTCAGAAGGGAGTTGCTGCCGAGGACACTGTGTGCTTTTTAATGAACTGAATAGAATGAAAGAACCTGCAGCACAAATATAAGATAAGGGACAACTGACTTTCTAGCAGTGCATGTGAAAAGGATTCAGGAGTCTTAGTAGACCACAAGCTTAACATGAGTCAACCGTGTGATGCAGCAGGAGCAGGAAAAAAAATTCTATTCTAGGCTGCATCCACAGAATTAGTGTCAAGGGAAGTAATAGTACCACTCTATTCTGCCTTGGTCAGACCACACCTGAAATACTGTGTCCAATTCTGGGCACCACAATTTAAGGATTTTGACAAGCTCGAAAGCCTTAGGAAGAACACTTGAAGAAGCTGGGCATGTTTAGCCTTGGGAGGAGACTGAGAGGAGATATGATAGCCATCTTCAAATATTTTAAAAAGCTATCACATGGAAGAGGATACAAGCTTGTTTTCTCTTGCTCAGAAGGGTAGGACTTGAACCAATGGCTTCAAGTTACAAGAAAGGGGATACCGACTAAATGTGAGGAAGAACTTTCTGACAGTAAGAGTTGTTGGACATTGGAACGGTCTCCTTTAGCGGAGATTCCTGCATTGCAGGGGGTTGGACTAGATGACCCATGGGTCTAATCCAACTCTGCAATTCTATAATTCTGATTCTAATGCTCCTTCCTTTCAACTTGTTTTATTATATATTTTAAGTAAGCATGTTGAGATCAAATTGTTATTGTGCATTTTAACGTATATGTGTGCATTTTATATAGGTGCAAGCCTCCTAAACACGACACTATTGATTTACTTTGAGACATTGTAACTTGCTCATCAGCAAAATAGGCTCCCAGAATGAGGAGAAAGGGAAAAAGCCAAGTTACCTGTTCAAAACTGGTTCTTCTTACAGTGACAAGCTGTCACAGATCAGTGGAGGGAGGTGAAGACCTGGTTACTTCTTTTATGATTACAGTATTTGGTTTATTTTAAAATAGTTATTCATATACATATATTCTCACCATATGAGAGTTTAATGCCTCTTTAATCTGTTCAGTGGTAAAGATTATCTTTTCTACGATCTCCTACTCTCAATTTGGAGAAAAGGTGGGGCATTAATAATGATGATGATACAAAGGCTGCCCATTATTATAATAATAATAATAATAATAATAATAATGATACTCCGGCTCTCAGTGGTCACTGGATCCTGCATGGGGCACCTGCTGGAGGAGAGGATATTGCCCTCGGGGCCTGATTCTGCAGAACTTTCTAGAAAAAAATCGGGACTCCTCTGCTCGCTCTCCGCCAGGAGCAGGCAAGAGGTTCCTCCACTCGGCTCTGCAAGGGTTAAGACGAAACCACAGAGCCAAGATTCCTAGAGCGGAAGGGGAGTCCTGCGGAAGAGGAGGAGGAGCTTCCGCTTCCTGTTCCGGGCCTGTCCCTCCTTCCTGTGGGACGCAGCTGCTTTGCCTGGAGGCGCCTCTTTTCTCTTCTTCCTCGCGGAGGAGCTTCTCCCGTTCTTTCTCCGCAGGGGAGGCTGCCTCTCCTGCCGCCTCTACGTCAGATGTGGGGAAGGAGAGACGGAGGAAGTTGGACGAGGAGGAGGAATGTATGTATGATGTTTTGGGGGCTGGTCTTGGGCAAGAGGGGGGCGATTTCAAAAGTCTTTATAGGGGCTTCGGGGTTCTTCTCCCTCCTGCGTGTGGTGAGCGGAGACCATGTTGCAACACTTTATTTCCCTTAATAAAGATCAGGCTTTCCAGCCGCTTTACTATCAATATACAGTGGTTCCTCGGGTTAAGAACTTAATTCGTTCTGGAGGTCCGTTCTTAACCTGAAACTGTTCTTAACCTGAAGCACCACTTTAGCTAATGGGGCCTCCCGCTGCCGCCACCACACGATTTCTGTTCTCATCTTGAAGCAAAGTTCTTAACCCGAGGTACTATTTCTGGGTTAGCAGAGTCTGTAACCTGAAGCGTATGTAACCCGAGGTACCTCTGTACTCTGCTTAGGCTCTGCTTCCTCCGACCGATAGAGATCGCCTGAGAGAGATCTCTTATACGGCCTCTAGATACCCCAGAAGGGTATTAGAAGTATTATACTTAAGACAACACCTTACCTTGGAGTGCTTACAAAGAAGGGAATGGTTTTCTTCTTCCAGGGATCGGTGAGCTTTGATGAGGTGTCTGTGGATTTCACCAACGAGGAATGGGCCTTGCTGGATCCGGGCCAGAAAGCTCTGTACAAGGATCTTTTTCGCCTTAATCAGTAGCTAGCAGAGGTGTGAATTATCGTTTGTGTGCCATCAATGAGATCACTAGAAGGCGCATTGGTAATTTCTCCTGGACTAAAGAACATTTGAAGAACCTTGTTGGATCAAAGGCCCATGTAGTCCAGGATTCTGTTCTCACTGTTGCCAATGTGGGAAAGAGGACTAATGTGTTTCTGAGTGTCAGAAGAGGAAGAATATGCACGGAAGTCCTTTGCAGATTTACTCCTAAGTAAGCTCCACTGAGTTCAATGGGTTGTACCTTCCTGTTAATAATGTGTGAACCGTGCCAGCCTTAAGAAAGGATAGAGGAAGCAGACAGATTAATTTGGAAACAGAAAAACATGTTTAAAAACTGTTGGGGACTGTTGCAGAGGGGATGCCCCATTTGAGCTTCTCCAGGGGCAGGAGACTATCTAGGGCAGGTGAATCCCTGGAGGCTCCTTTTACTTTTACTCTCCCTCCCAAGGAACCTGCAGCTTGTTTTGTCTTCTGAGCTCCTCAGGAAGGATGAAGGAAGCTGATCCTGCAGACTTAGCGAGGATGGAAGGGGGAAGATGGACGGTTGACCTGGTCAGGCTGTCTCCCACCACCTTTGAATGTTCCCTCCCAGGACCTCCAGAGGGATCTGGTGAGTTGCAGGGAATGGAGAGGGGGATCTGGGGAGATGTTTGGAGTGAGGAAACTCCCCTGGCAAGAAAACCAGGAAGGCTGCAGGGCAAGACTACTGGGCTGTGAAAGATAAAAGGTAGAAAAGGAAAGGAATGTTTTTCAGTGGTGGCATGGGCACGGGATTTTTGGTGGGTGGGCAGAACTGGCGTGATTGGTCAGTTAGTTATGTATTTCTAATGTTTTACTTAATCTGGGGAGCTGCCCCCCCAACCCCTCCTTGGCTACACCCATAAATGGTGGTGTGAAGAAAATTCTTTTTCAGTCAGTTCCGTAGTATGTTATGTTGGGTCCTGAATCTTCTGACACTCGCTGGTAGCTGCAGCAATTGCCAGATGAGGGACTGAATGGGCTTCATCTGAGTATTCAGACAGATTTTTTAGGTTTGCAGCAGCCAAGCTGCCCTGTCAGCAGTGAGAGACTTGTGAGTCATGGCGGCGGTCCCTCTCTGCTGCCCTATATGTGGCCTCGGGTGGGACGTGCAGGGACCAGGATGTGACTGCAAAGGATATGTATCTGGAGCCTGAAAATGCACCGCTGATTGTTCCTTGACACCTGAGACAAGATAAGGACCACTTGCTTTTTAAAATACTCCCATATATACAGAACTCCTGGTGTGCCTTTTGCAGACTCTCCCAAGTGTCCTTATTTTCCAGGGACAGTCCCAGATTTACAAAAGTCATCCCAGTTTTCAGATTTGATCCTGGAATGTCCCACTTTTTCTTAAAAGGTAAAGGTACCCCTGACCGTTAGGTCCAGTCACAGACAACTCTGGGGTTGCGCGCTCATCTTGCTCTATAGGCCAAGGGAGACGGCGTTTGTCCGCAGATAGCTTCTGGGCCATGTGGCCAGCATGACTAAGCCGCTTCTGGTGAAACCAGAGCAGCGTACAGAAACGCCGTTCCATTTACAAACAAAACATTTAAATAGCTACCTTTCTACCAGTAGGATGGGATGGGGGGCCACAGGAACGAAACAAGGTCAGAAGGGGGCCAAGGCTGGGAAAAGGTTGAAACTCTGTTCTACATTATGTTTCTGAATTTAAGAGAGGTTAGGGCAAGGTGCAAGTTAGATTAGGAGGATTTTCTGGGGATGATGCAAAATGAAAAATAGAGATGCATCAGCTTAAAGTCAGCATTAAAAGTCCTCTGTGGATGAGGCCTGATAGAGACACAGCATTTACCAGTTTTCATTTTTAATCCATTAGGAGATGTTTGGGGGATCCTGACTGAAAGAGAAACATCCAAAGTGCCTCGTGAAAGAGCGGAGGAGCATAATGCGCAATGGAAACTGCGGGTTCAAGTTGGAACCTACAGAAATGAGGGGACCCAAATGCAGAAGGTGGGGAGGGAATCCACCGCTTCTCAGGTTAATGAAAATCAGATTTGCAGAGAGAAGCATGAATGTGCTTTGTGTGGAAAGAGATTTCCTTTTCGCTCAACGCTTACTTCACATCAAAGAGTGCACTCGGGTGAAAAACCATATAAATGCTGGGAGTGTGGAAAAAGTTTTAGTCAGAGTGGCTCACTTACTTTGCATCAAAGAACTCATACAGGGGAGAAACCTCATCAGTGCTTTGAGTGCGGAAAGAGCTTCAGTAACAGTGGCTCCCTTAATATGCATCATACAACCCACACAGGGGACAAACCAAATTACAAATGTTTGGACTGTGGGAAGAGCTTCAGGTCCCGTAACTCCATCATGAAGCATCAAAGGATTCATGCAGGTGAAAAACCATACAAATGTTTGGACTGTGGGGAGAGCTTCAGGCACAGTGACTCCCTCACGAAGCATCAAAGAATTCATACAGGGGACAAACCGTATGAGTGTTTGGAGTGTGGAAAGAGCTTCAGTCGCAAAGACTCTCTTACTTTGCATGAAAGAAGTCACACAGGAGAAAAACCTTATAAATGTTTGGAATGTGACAAGAGCTTCATTTGTAGTAGCCACCTCTCAAGACATAAAAGAACTCATACAGGGGATAAACCTTATAGATGCTGGGAGTGTGGAAAGAGTTTTAGTCAGAGTGGTCACTTTACTTTGCATCAAAGAACTCATACAGGTGAGAAACCTCATCAATGCTTTCAGTGCGGAAAGAGCTTCAGTAACAGTAGCTCCCTTAATATGCATCATACAACCCACACAGGGCACAAACCATATTACAAATGTTTGTACTGTGGGGAGAGCTTCAGGCACAGTGACTCCCTCACTTCCCATCACAGAATTCATACAGGGGACAAACCTTATGAGTGTTTGGAATGTGGAAAGAGCTTCAGTCGCAAAGGCTCCCTCACAAAGCATTACAGAACTCACACAGGAGAAAAACCTTATAAATGTTTGGAATGTGACAAGAGCTTCGTTAGTAGTTGCCACCTCACAAGACATAAAAGAACCCATACAGGGGATAAACCTTATAGATGCTGCGAGTGCGGAAAGAGCTTTAGTGACAGTATCCGCCTCACAAGACATAAAAAACCTTCCAAGTGTTTAGAATGTGGAAAGAGCTTTTATTGCAGCAGCCACCTTACTAAACATCAAAGAATTCATACAGGGGACGAATCTTACGAATGTTTGCAGTGTGGGAAGAGCTTTTGTCACAGTAGTTCCCTTACTCGGCATCAAAGAACTCATAGGAAAACATCTTAGAAGGGGTTGGAGTGGGGAAAGATCTTCAATCACATCAAGATCTCCTACAGGAAGCAAACCAAAGATTGTACTCTGTGTTAGAAATTGCTTCTTTATCTTTGCTTGCTTTTAATCTTGCTTACCTCCCTCTGTTTAATCATAGTCGTTTGCTTGTTCTGAGGCCTTTTGAGCCTAGTCTGCCTCCTAATGTCCACAGTTGAGTAACAGGGTTTTGTATTAGATTTTCTTGGTTTATTGGCTTCTCCTTCCATCATGGCAGTCTGAACATAGGAGGGTGAAGAGTGGGCTTGCATTAGACAAGGAAAGAGAGATTGTGTAGATGAGGCAAAATAAAATATAGAGACACAAGCAGTTTCAAGTCCTTAAAGTCCAGTGTGGATGAGGTCTTTACACAGTCTTTTACCAGCTTTCTTTTTTTATTCACCACCACAGCAATGATTTGTACCCTGCCCATCTAACAGGGTTGCCCCAGCCACTCTGGGCAGCTCCCAACATATATAAAAACATCTCCCATTAAAAGGTTTCCTTCTATAGGGCTGCCTTCAGATGTCTTCAAGGTTACTCATCTCTTTGACATCTGATGGGAGGCCCTCTGCCTGCTTCCCTGTAGCTTCTCACATTGAGGGAACCATCAGAAGGCCCTTGGTGCTGGACCTGTGGTCCTGCTGTGGCTCCAAAACTTGTTGATGTAACGGAGTGCTTTCCTAATAAAGAACAAAACTACAAATTGCTTCCAGTAGCACCTTAGAGAACAACTAAGTTTGTTATTGGTATGAGCTTTCATGCGCATGCTCACTTCTTCAGATACAAAGTGTGCATGTACACGAAAGCTCATACCAATAACAAACTTAGTTGGTCTCTAAGATGCTACTGGAAGGAATTTTTTCATTTTGTTTCGACTACGGCAGACCAAACACGGCTACCTACCTGCAGCTACACATTGCTTGTCCTGTTTGGGCTGTGTGCCCAAGACAGTCAACCCCTTGGGCTTGAAGCTTTGGGGGGCTTTGGATTATAAACACAATGTTAATAAATAATAATAATAAACAACTTGAATCAGATCCTGCTTTTGTAGCATGCGTGCACAAACACATATAATATATATATATTTATATATGTAAGTGTATATAATTTTATTGTTTAATATTGCTTATTCTCAGGTGGGGTGCCTACTTCCCCATTTTCATTTTCCAGTTTTTCCTACACATCTTTGTTCTTCTGCATCCTTCCCATAGGATCTGACATTCATCTCTCAGGTCTTTCCAGAAGCTGCAAAACACAGAAACGTTCCTTATGGTTGCTATGCTGCAGATTGATTTCCGGAGGAGAGTTAAATTTACAAATACAGAGTTTATTTCCTTTGGCACATAAAACATTCCTTGCATTTAACGTTCCGTATTTTGCACTTACGCATCTTTATAATAATTTTAAGGGATTTATCCTAAGGAAACTGGAGATTTTAAGGGCCTAAGCTGATTTTAGTTGTATTTTATCGTTCCTACACTGGTCATGTAGGTGTTGGTCAAACCAAACCCTGTGGAACTTCCTCCCATCAGTTGTCATTGAGATAAATTGCTACACAACTTTTAGAAGACATTTTAAGGCAGCCCTGGGTCGGGAAGTTTTTAATGTTTGATGTTTCATGATGCTTTTATATGTGTTATAATTTTAAATAATGCATGGGTTAGAAAAAGTGGTTAGAAAAGCATTTCTGTCCACCAGGTGTTAACTCCAGAACCTGAGGAGATAAGATACTTCCTACAGCACATGAACTACAGAATCTCTTCCCCCAGGAAGCATAGTGGCTTGGAACGGGGATGAGGCCCATTCATGGAGGATTAGGCTAGTCCCAGACTTTGCAACTCCTGCCCTAGGGAAGTCAGATGGGCTGCCGGCAGGTGAAGACCTTATGCCAAATAAGCTTCTGGAAACTGGCTGTTTTTGAGGGAAAGGCTGGTGTTGCTGTCCTTTTATTATTTTTAATATCAATACTTAATAGTCCTTTATATCCATATATATTTTAACTCTCTTGAAGTTTAATCACTTTTCCAATTTAACGGTAACCTGCCTTGACTTCCCGTCCTGGAAAAAGACAGGCCAAAAACATAACATTAATACAAATGGTAATGATGATGTCGGTGGGTTCTGGCCAAGCTGGCTCTGCTTTAAACATGTGTCCTTCGGGGGGGGGGCGTGTTTCTAGATGTCGCTTTCTGGATATCAGCCTTCTTAAAGTCCAGAGTGCCTCACCGACTCCACTCAGCTTTCCCTTGCCTTTGCCTCATGAAACCCAGGAAGACAGGATCCCATTTTACTTGGAAATGGTCACTTCCTCACAAAGATCCCAGTACTTGTTTTTTTGGGGGGGGTGTTATTGGGATATTTTTGTTTATGTATTTTGTTTTTATATTCTGATTTTATATTGTGAGCTGCCCTGAGATCTGCACATATAGGGTGGTATGAAAATTTAATATATATAATAATAATAATAATAAAAATAAAAATAAAAATACTTCGTGGGTCAGTTCCTCCCTATAGGTGAGGACCAGGTCCAAGAGAGATGACCCCCTTGTTGCTTCTTTTTATGTTTATTAGCTATATCTTCAATAGCTGTATCTATCTATCTTTATTAGAGGAGAATTCCTTTTTAAGGATTATATATGTCTTCCTGCTTTATCTGAAAGCTACCTTGACTCCCAGACTTAGGGAAAAGGAGGCATATACTGTACAATAACAAAAAATAATAATGATACTATGGCTCTCAGGGGTCACTGGATCCTGCATGGGGAACCAGCTGGGGGAGAGGATCCTGCTGCCCTCGGGGCCTGATCCTGCAGGGTTTTCCAGACAGAATCCGGGAGCCTCTCCTCGCTCTCCGCCCCAGCAGCCAAAAGGTTCCTGCCACTCGGCTCCGCAAGGGTTAACAGGAGCCACAGGCCCGAGATTCCTAGAGGGGAAGGGGAGTCCGTAGCCAGAGGAGGAAGGGCTTCCGCTTCCTGTCCTGGGCCAATCACAAGCAGGGCGGGGGGGGTGGCCTATCGCTCCGCCCCTTGTGCATTTTCTCGGAGCAGTCCGGGTTTGTTTCGACTTGGGGAGGGCGATCCCTGAGGCTCCAGTTTTGATTACTGCTTGCAACTGCCCCAGTGCATCACTCTGGCTCTGCAAGGCACGGAGGGGGGGGAGCCACCCCAGCGCCGAGCCCAGTGGATTCGTCCGGTACTGCTGCCTTGCATCTAGTAAGTAGCTAAGTGTCTACTCAGAAGAAAGCACCACTGAGTTCAGTGGGCCTTACTCCCAGGTAAGCTGGGGGGGGGGGCTATAGTGTTTTATCTATTGTCCTGCTGTGAGTGCTGAAGGCCATTCCCTGTGGGATAGGAATTTTATGGTTTTAAATATATGGCAATGTTCATAGGTGTGCCAACCAAGCACATACATAGATCAGCACAGGAAGGCCAACCTGGAGCCATTTTGATTCCTAAATTGAGCAAATGTTTTCTCTGCAATGTCAAAGTGGGAAACTTCCCCATTGTCTCTTTCCTCACAAATCCTGTCTTAAGAGTATGTCTGTATTTGAATAGGGTGTGAGTCTGTGACCTGGCCCAGGAACTAAGTATTTATCATTACAAAAGACTGGCCAGGATACCCAGGAAATCCAATCAAGTAACCTGCCAGACAGGAGATAAACGAAAACAGGAGAAAAAACAATATTAAAATTTCTGTTTTAGACCACCTTTTCTGTGATGTAGGTGTGATGTATCTGAGGGGTGGTCTTAAGTTACACCCCTTCTGTGATGTATGTATGATGTTTCTGGGGGTGGTCTTGATCTGCAGGATGGCAATTTCAAAAGTCTTTATAAGGCCTTGCACACCATTTTTCTGGGTCCCTCCTTTCTCCTGCAGGTGAGGGGAGCACCCTGTTGCAACAGATCAATAAAGGCCAAGCCTACAGGCTGCTATTTTGCAGGTTTAGTTGTTGTTTTAAGACTATCCCTGCCTCCGGGTCTGGCCTTGACTGGGAGGATACTGGAATCAGCAAGGGAGACCAACATGACCTAAAGGTGCTGCTGTGCAATGCCAGGTCAATGATTCACAACACCACTGTCACCCACGACTTGATCATGGATGGAGGACTTGACCTGGCATGTGTAACTGAGACGGTTGGATGAAGCAGATGGGCCTGTTCTTGCCGCTGCTTGTCCACCGGGTTTCTCTTACGCACAGCAGCCCAGGTTATATGGGTGGAGAGGGGGGTTGCAGTGATTTTTAGGACGTCATTAGCTTACACCAGGCGTCTTACTGGGAAGACACAGTTTTCTGAGTGCATGTTCTGGAAGTTGGGCAATAGGGACAGTACAGGATTTCTTTTGGTGCACCAACCTCCCTGCTGCACCAAGTATTCCCTGCCCAAGCTGCTTCAGGTAATGGTGGATGTTCTCTGGGAGACACCTAGTTTGGTTGTCCTAGGGGATTTTAACATCCATGCCGACACAACCTTACAAGGGGCCGTGTGGTGTAGTGGTTAAGAGTGGTAGTCTCGTAATCTGGGGAACTGGGTTCGTGTCTCCGCTCTTCCACATGCAGCTGCTGGGTGACCTTGGGCCAGTCACACTTCTTTGAAGTCTCTCAGCCCCACTCACCTCACAGAGTGTTTGTTGTGGGTGAGGAAGGGAAAGGAATTTGTTAGCCGCTTTGAGACTCCTGAAGGGGAGTGAAAGGCGGGATATCAAATCCAAACTCCTCCTCTTCTTCTTCTCTGGACTTTGTGGAAAGCATGGCCTCCATGGGGCTGTCCCTGAATAGGTTTGGCCCAACTCATAGTCGTGGACATGCCTTAGACCTGGTGTTCACCTCTATGGATGTGGGTGATCTGATACTAAGTAAAAGCGAAACAAAAGAAGTGCCATGGTTGGATCACTTCATGGTGCAACTGGACTTCTCCGCGACCCTTCCCCTCTGCAGGGAGGTGGGACCGATTCTGATGGTCCTTCCCCACCACTTAATGGATCCAAATGGTTTCCAGAGAGAGTGGTAGGGGATGTTTTATCCCATGTTGATGGCCTTTCAGCTGATTCCCTGGTGGCCTGCTGGAATGCAGAGTTAACTAGGACTATCGACTGTCTGGCTCCAAAGGGCCCTCTCTGATTGCATGGAGCCCAGACAGCCCCATGGTTTCCCCAGAGCTGCGGGTCATGAAACATTCTCTGAGATGGCTAGAGCACCAGTGGTGGAAAACGCAGTCTGAATTGGACCGGACACAGGTTAGAGCTCCACATCGAGCCTACCAAGTGGCAATAGTGATGGCGAAGAGGACTTTCTTCACCGCCTCTATTGCATCTGCAGTAAACAGTAGCTGGAGACCCTTTCAGGTGGTTCGCAATCTAACAGAACAACTTTTGCCGTTGGGGCCTGGTAAGGACCCCACAATTTCCTGCAAAGTACCGGTATTTTACAAATAAAGTGGCTCAGATTCGGAAAGAGGTAGACTCCACCATGGGAACAGGGCCGGGGTGGGAAAGTGCTGGAGTCCTGTCTAGCCAAGTTGCATGTGATCAATTCCAGTGTTACCTCTGAGGATGTGGACAAGCTGCTTGGACAAGTGAACCAACCACCTGTTGATCCTTGCCTATCCTGGCTCATAAAAGCGAGCTGGGAAGGGCTGGGTGATGGGCTCTGCGGTGTGGTGAATGGTTTCTTCTGTGAGGGAGCCTTCCCAGACCCACTGAAAGAAGTGGTTATTAAACTGCTTCTTAAAAAAATATATTTGGACCCGACCAATATAGCCAACTATTGCCCAGTCTCAAATCTTCCATTCTTGGGCAAGGTGATTGAGCAGGTGGTTGCATAATAATCATAATCATAATAATTTATTTATACCCTGTCCATCTGGCTGGACAACTCCAGGCATGCCTGGAGGATGCAGACCATTTGGATCACTTCCAATCAGGATTCAGGCCTCATCATGGGACTGAAACTGCCATGGTCGCTCTGGTCGATGATCTCCAGTGGGCTAGGGATAAAGGTGAAAGTTGTTTCCTAGTTCTGCTGGATTTCTCAGTGGCCTTTGATACCATCAACCATGACATCCTTCTGGACCGTCTAGAGGGGCTGGGAGCTGGGGGCACTGTTATACAGTGGTTCCGCTCCTTCCTCCTGGGCCGTGTTCAGAAAGTGGTGGTGGGGGATGAGTGTTCAGACCCCTGGGCTCTCACTTGTGGGGTGCCTCAGGGTTCTGTCCTCTCCCCCATGCTTTTCAACATCTACATGAAGCCGCTGGGAGAGATCATCAGGGGGTTTGGGCTGTGTGTTCATCAGTATGCAGTTGAGCTCTACCTCTCTTTTAAATCAGAAGCAGAGGAATGGAGAGTGGAAACAAGGAAACTCTGTGGCAAGAAAAATCCTTTCAGACTCCATTTACTTCTGCCTCCCTCCCAGGAACCTGCAGCTTGTTTAAACTTCTGAGTTCTGCAAAATAGTTTCAAAGATTTGTGATCCTAGAAATGACCTGAGCTGGGGCTCCCCACCTCTAGTACCCATTAAGGCTGGGATAGGTCAGCTGAGTTCCAGGGGGTTTGGGGGGGAGGGAATGAGGAGAAATGGATGGACCCTCCTCCAAGTGAGCAGAAAAGACAGAGGGGGGAGAAAAGGCAAGAAGGTCTTGACTGGAGGAAGGGAGGGGAAGAGGACCAATGTGTTTCTGAGTGTCAGAAGAGGAAGAATATGCACAGCAGTCCTTTGCAGATTTACTCCTAAGTAAGCTCCACTGAGTTCAAGGGGATCTATTTTTAGGTCACTACTGTGTGAACCATGCCAGCCTTAAGAAAGGATAGAGGAAGCAGGCAGATTAATTTGGAAACACAAAAACATATTTTAAAACTGTTGGGGACCGTTGCAGAGGGGATGCCCTATTTGAGCTACTCCAGGGGCAGGAGAATATCTAGGGCAGAGGAATCCCTGCAGCTTCTCTGAGGCTCCCTTTGCTTCTCTCTCCCTCCCTCCCAAGGAACCTGCAGCTTGTTTTGCCTTCAGAGCTCCTCAGAAAGGATGAAAGTGTCTGATCCTGCAAACATAGCGAGGATGGAAGGAGGAAGATGGACGGTTGACCTGGTCAGGCTATCTCCCACCACCTTTGAATGTTCCCTCCCAGGACCCTCAGAGAGATCTGGTGAGTTGCAGAGAATGAAGAGGGGGATCTGGGGAGTTGTTGGGCGTGAGGAAGCCCCCCTGGCAAGAAAAACGAGGAAGGCTGCAGGGCCAGAGCTCTGGGTTGGCAGAGATAAAAGGTAGACAGAAAAGGAAAAGTTTTTAATGGTGGAGTGAAAAAATTCATTTTCAGGCAGCACTCCTCCTTTCTTCTCTGGTAGGGATCAGGAGAAAGACACCCCACTTTTACCATGGAAACTGTGACTGGGAGCTCCACGCATAATGAGGCTTCCACAGCCTCCTTAGGATCTGCTTTCAGGTCACTAATATGCCTACCATTCCCTGAGGGCTGGAAGGAAGACCTGCGCTCTGCTGCAAGGCCCATTTCCACCTGGCCTAGGGGGCGGAGCCCAGACTCACCTTGAACAACCTAAAGAGGCTCCTGGGAGGCCCTGGGACATTGCTGGAACAACTCTTGGGCTGGGGGCAAATGGCAAAAATGTTTTATAATGTTTTAAACAGTTCTAGTTTTCGTTCCCCTGTTTTGTTTTTGTCAAGTTGGTGTTAGTTAAATGTTTAGGGATGCAGGCGACGCTGTGGTCTAAACCACTGAACCTCTCTGGCTCGCCAATCAGAAGGTTGGTGGCTTGAATCCCTGTGACGAGGTGAGGTCCCGTTGCTCTATCCCAGCTCCTGCCAACCTAACAGTTCAAAAGCACGCCAGTGCAAGTAGATAAATAGGTACCGCTGCGGCAGGAAGGTAAATGACATTTCTGTGTGCAATGTTTTCAATCACGGTGTCCCGTTGCTGTTTAGTCATGCTGGCCACATGACCCAGAAAGCTGTCTGTGGACAAACACCGGCTCCCTCAGCCTGAAAGTGAGATGAGTGCCACTACCCCATAGTCGCCTTTGACTGGACTCAACCATCCAGGGGTCCTTTACCTTTACTTTAAATGTTTAGTTGGGGTTGGTGGTTATTTTAGTTTGGGTATAACTGTAAAAACTTTTCCCTCCCAGGACCCCCAGAGGGATCTGGTGAGTTACAGAGAATGGAGAATGGTGAATCCCTGGAGGCTCCTTTTACTTTTACTCTCCCTCCCAAGGAACCTGCAGCTTGTTTTGTCTTCTGAGCTCCTCAGGAAGGATGAAGGAGGCTGATCCTGCAAACTTAGCGAGGATGGAAGGGGGAAGATGGACGGTTGACCTGGTCAGGCTGCGTCCCACCACCTCTGAATGTTCCCTCCCAGGACCTCCAGAGGGATCTGGTGAGTTGCAGGGAATAGAGAGGGGGATCTGGGGAGATGTTTGGAGTGAGGAAACTCCCCTGGCAAGAAAACCAGGAAGGCTGCAGGGCAAGACTACTGGGCTGTGAAAGATAAAAGGTAGAAAAGGAAAGGAATGTTTTTCAGTGGTGGCATGGGCGCGGGATTTTTGGTGGGTGGGCAGGACTTTTGTTAGGGAGGCAGAACCGGCGTGATTGGTCAGCTAGTTATTTATTTCTAATGTTTTACTTGATTTGGGGGGCTGCCCCCCACCCCTCCTTGGCTACGCCCATGAACGGTGGTGTGAAGAAAATTCTTTTTCAATCAGTTCCATAGCATAATGTTAGGTTGGGTCCTGAATCTTCTGACACTCGCTGGTAGCTGCAGCAATTGCCAGATGAGGGACTGAATGGACCTATTATGTTTTATTGTAATTTTACTGGTGTTAGCTGCCATGAGCCCAGCTCTGGCCAAGGAGGGCGGGGTATAATAATAATAATAATAATAATAATAATTATCATTATCATTATCATTATTATCATTACAGACACGGCATTTTACCAGTTTTCCTTTTTAATAATTTAGGAAATATTTGGGGGATCCTGACTGAAGGAGAACCATCAGAAGTGGCATCTGAAAGACTTGAGGAACAGAAGAAACAATGGAAACTGCGGCTTCAAGTTGGAACCTACAGAAAGGAGGGGACCCAAATGCAGAAGGTGGGGAGGGAATCCACCTCTTCTCAGGTTAATGAAAATCAAATTCATATAGAGAAGTATGAATGTACTGTGTGTGGAAAGAGATTTCCTTCTCACTCAACTTTTAATTCACATCGAAGAGTGCACTCGGGTGAAAAACCATATAAATGCTGGGAGTGTGGAAAAATCTTCCGTCGGCGTGACTACCTTAATCTACATCAAAGAACACATACAGGAGAAAAACCTTATAAATGCTGGGAGTGTGGAAAAAGCTTCCGTCAGAGTAGTCACCTTACTTCGCATGAAGGAATTCATATAGGGGACAAACCTCATAAATGCTGGGAGTGTGGAAAGAGCTTCCGTCAGAGTGGTGGTCTTACTTTGCATCAAAGAACTCATACAGGTCAGAAACCTCATCAATGCTTTGAGTGCGGAAAGAGCTTCAGAAAAAGTAGCTCCCTTAATATGCATCATACAACCCACACAGGGGACAAACCGTATGAATGCTTGAAGCATGGAAAGAGCTTCCCTCAGAGAAGCATTCTCACTAAACATAAAATAACGCATGCAGGTGAAAAACCATACAAATGTTTGGACTGTGGGGAGAGCTTCAGGTACAGTGACTCCCTCACGAAGCATCAAAGAATTCATACAGGGGACAAACCGTATGAGTGTCTGGAGTGTGGAAAGAGCTTCAGTCGCAAAGACTCCCTTACTTTGCATGAAAGAAGTCACACAGGAGAAAAACCTTATAAATGTTTGGAATGTGACAAGAGCTTCATTCGTAGTAGCCACCTCTCAAGACATAAAAGAACTCATACAGGGGATAAACCTTATAGATGCTGCGAGTGTGGAAAGAAATTCAGTGACAGTGGCACCCTTACTAAACATCACAGAACTCACACAGGGGAAAAACCTTATAAGTGTTTGGAATGCGGAAAGAGCTTCTATCAGAGTAGGCAACTCACTAGCCATCAAAGAACCCATACAGGGGATAAACCTTATAGATGCTGGGAGTGCGGAAAGAGCTTTAGTGACAGTGCCTCGTTCACAAGACATAAAAGAACTCATACAGGGGATAAACCTTATAGATGCTTTGAGTGTGGAATGAGCTTTAGTCACAGTGAAACCCTTACTAAACATCACAGAACTCACACAGGGGAAAAACCTTGTAAGTGTTTAGAATGTGGAAAGAGCTTCTATTGCAGCAGCCACCTTACTAAACATCAAAGAATTCACACAGGGGACAAATCTTACGAATGTTTGCAGTGTGGGAAGAGCTTTTGTCACAGTCGCTCCCTTACCCGGCATCAAAGAACTCATACGAAAACATCTTAGAAGGTTTTGGAGTGGGGAAAGATCTTCAGTCACATCAAGATCTACAGGAAGCAAACCAAAGATTGTGCTCAGTGTTAGAATTTGCTTCTTTAGCTTTGTTTGGTTTTAATCTTGCTTACCTCCCTCTTTTTAATAATAGGCTTTTTCTTGCTCTGAGGCCTTTTGAGTCCAGACTGCCTCCTAATGTCCACTGTTGAGCAGCAGTGATTTGTGTTAGATTTTCAGTCTGAACGTAGGAAGGCAAAGAGTGGGCTTGCATTAGACAGGGAAAGGGATATTGTGTAGATGAGGCAAGATAAAATATAGAGACACAAGCAGTTTCAAGTCCACCTTACAGTGTGCACACCAATCTCTGACTTTTGTCCTCTGGGTTTCGTTTCTAGGGGGTTTCCTGTTGTTATTCTGCCTCTCACAGCTACAATAAACCTACCATTAAAATTATGGACTGGTCATTTCTTCATCAGAGGGCAAACGGGCAAATTTAGCAGGGGATCAAATACTTTCCCCTCTTACTGTATATAAAAACACCTCCCATTAAAAGGTTTCCTTCTATAGGGCTGCCTTCAGATGTCTTCTAAAGGTTATTAAGGTTACTCATCTCTTTGACATCTGATGGTTGGGCATTCTACAGCGTGGATGCTACAACTGGGAGGGCCCTCTGCCTGGTTTCCTGTAGCTTCTCACAGTGCGGGAACCACCCTTGGTGCTGGACCTCAGTGTCTGGGTTGAATAATGGGAAAGGAGATGTTCCTTCAGGTCTACAGCCCATTTAGGGCTTTAAAAGGTCAGTATCAACAAGTTTGAAATTTGCTTGGAAACTTACTAGGTCTTTCAGGAGATATTTGGAGGAAAGAAGCGTGGAGCAGGAAGAGGAACATTATTAAGGGGTTCACAATGTAGCCAACAGACAGGAGGGGAGAGAAATGAATGGTGCTTTTCTGGTTGAAGAAAATTAAATTCACAGAGAGGATACAAAGTATGACTGTTGAAGGTGTGGAAAGAGATTTCCATATCATTCAATGCTTATTTCACATCAGAGTGCACTCGGTATTAAAAACCATATAAATGCAGGGTGTTTATATCTATCTATCTATCTATCATCTATCTATCTATCTATCATGTGGCTCTGGTTAACCCTTGCCGCTCGGCTCCGCAAGGGTTAACCAGATAACCAGATCCACAGAGCCGAAATTCCTAGAGCGGAAGGGAAGTCCGGCGCCAGAGGAGGCGCTTCCGCTTCCTGTCCCATCCAACCTTCCTTTTTTTTTGTTGGGGGCGCTGGGTTTGCCTCTGTCCTCCTCGTCCTCCCGGGGGATCTTCTCCGGTTGTTTCTCCGCCGGGAAAGCGGCCTTTCCTCCTGCCGCCTCCGGCTCAGATGCGGGAAGGGAAGGAGAAGGGAAGGGCTGGGACTCCCATAGGGCAGAAGAGGAGCCTCCTCGGAGGGCGAAGGCCAGGCGGACCCCGCGCAGCTGAACCCGAGAGAGTGAGAGAGAGGGGTTTTTTTAGTAGGGAACGAAGGCCCTGCTCCCCTGCACTGAAAACATTTCATTTTAAAATTAATTGCTGGTCCTTAATGGTGTGTCCTGGACAGTAGCAGCTGTAGTTATTAAATGTTTTCAAAATATCTAAGCTCTTCCTCAGAAAAGTGCCCCTCTGCATTGAAAATATTTCATAGAAAAATGTCGGTCCCTCAGAATGTATCTTGTAATTATTTTAACTCATATTCAAAATATCTAAACCCTTTTTCAGAAAAGTATGCAGATGGCACACAGATGAAAATAAAGATAGAACACAGCTAAAATTCACAGAACCATGCAAAAACTGACATACATAAAGGCATTGGTTTTAAATAATAAATACTGTCTCTCTCTCTCTCCCCCACCCTCCCTTCACTCCACTCTCTTGCCTGCTGTGAAAGGTGCTGGGCAGGTTTGCACATTACTTTGTGGCTCGAATCCACAACCTGAGATTAAGAGTTTAATGCTCTACTGACAGTTATCTCAGCTGTCCATGAGATCCATTCTGCCCTTCCCTATTGTTTTTCTGAGTAGACAAACATACGTTTAAAAGTTAATTTTTATCTTAATATATTGTGTTTCCATATGCATCATTTCAATATTCTTTCAGTTATTTTTCCACATTGCCTCAGCGTGTAATGTGCTGCTGATTTCTGTTTTATAATCTTCCGCTTGGGCAAATCCGGAACTTCATTTTCAATGTTTTCATGAATTCTTTGGCGACCTTCCCTTTCGTAGACACTGCAGTGGCATCAGACCAACATTGTGGAATTTCCCTACATTACTCAGGAGAAGAGGTGGCCACCATGCGTCCAGCTAAGGTAGGGGAAAGATAATCAGGGAGAGATGTTGGGGATAGGTGGAGTGGGTCTGTACTTGTTACAGAGAGCGTTCTTGCAGGGGCCCGAATCTTGCACCTGTGCTTCTGAGGCTTCTGCCTCTGAGGAAGTGGGTTACTTGACTGAGTTTTACTCATGAAACCTTGAACATGACCTAGGAAGAGTCTAGCTGGTGGATCAAGCCATTAACGCACCTAGTCCAGCATCCTATTCCCACAGTGACCATTTGTAAGCAGGAGCTGAGTACAACATGCCTCTTCAGGTGATTCCCAGGAACTGGCAATGAGGAATATACTGCCCAAAACAAGTGGAGGCCGCGCACAGTCATCATGGCTGGTAGTCAGTTGTAACCTTATCTGCTATGAATTTGCCTAATTCTCTTTTAACTTGGTGACCATTACTGCATATTGCGTTAGTGAATTGCTGAGTTTAACATTGTGAAAAATGCTTCCTTTAGTTTGTCCTTAATCTGTGCACAATTAGCTTCATTGGATAGCCTTGGACTGCAGTATCATCCTAGAGGAAGAAACACCTCCCTCTCTCCTATTTCTAAACACCATGAATACCTTTTTACATCTCTATCATATTTCCCCATAAGCCCCTTTGTTTCAGATTAGTAATTACTCATATTTTTCCAACCCGTTAATTATTTTGTTTGTTCTTTTCCCAACGTTTTCTGAATGCAATATTATTTTTGAGGTCATGCAACTGGATCCATACAGTTTTATAAGGGCAGCTGCACCACAGATTTGTATATCAGCACTATGATATTGGCAGCTTGGTTTTGAATCTTTCCCTAAAACGGCATCGACCCATTTCACTACTTTCACACCCTGTGCCAATATCTTTACTGAGCTATCAGCTATGATCCCAAATGTCACATTCCTTCTCAGTCATCACCAATTCAAATCCTATTTGCAGATGTGTTAAGTTAGGATGTTTTTTGCTTGAAGGTGCACTATATAAATTTGCTTACGTACATTTGGTTATGTCATTGTCTTTAATAATGTTTTCCACCAGTTTCCCCAAAACAAACATGAAACTAACTAACCTGCAGTTTCCTGGAAACTAAATCCCTCTTGGAGGAAAGGAAACTGGGCAATCTCACAGACTCGTTACATGTTTTTGTTAGAATACTTGACTTAGAATTCTTAAACTAATGGGTAAATTCCATCGGCTTTGGGTGATTTCTGAACACTTAAGATCTCCAGTTGCCCATTGCAGAAGAGAGGTTTCCATACCTTACCCTGGATGGACTACGAAGAAGGGAATTGTTTTCCTTTTCCAGGGATCAATGAGCTTTGAGGGGGTGTCCTTGCATTTCACTGACGATGAATGGTCCCTGCTGGATCCAGGCCAAAGAGCGCTGTACAAGGAAGTCATGATGGAGATTTATGAGATGGTGGCTTCTGTGGGTAAGGATCCTTTCCCCCTGGATCAATAGCTAGTGAAGGTGTGAACTCCTGTTGGTCACTAAAGGGAACGTTCTTCATTTCCCCTGTACAAAAGAACATATGAAGAACCCTGTTGGGTCAAAGCAAAATTCTACATAGTCCAGCATTCGGATGCACACAGTCACACTCCTGGTATATGATTTTATAGACATCAAAGAAAAGACATATCGGTTAAGAGTTACTTGCTTTGATTCTCTTTTATTCTGGCCATTGAGGTCTCTAGTTCTGATTTGGTGGGGTGTGAACTTGCTTTTTGGATAGGATTGTGCTTACAACTGCATGGCATGGAAACAAAGGCTGAAGGGGTCTTGTGTGCGCTGGTTGCAACTTACTGCTTTTGGGTCAGTCATAGACTGCTTAATCACATAGCTTGCTTAGCAGTATACACGACAGAATGATGGTGTGGCAGATATTATGCTATTCATTGCATTTAGTTGCTTTTTCATGAAAGGTCAATTCAAAAGCAAGTTACCATAGGATGCAAAAATTAAGGCCACTATAATTCTTTAAGGTAAAGGCCCAAAGCCTGGCTGAAAAGAAATATTAATGCCTCCCTCCTAAAATTAGCCAGTTATTGGCTCCTGGGGAGCCTCCCTGGGCAGAGCATTGCCTAGGCGGAAGCCACCACTCCAAGCCCCATGCTTGTGTTGGCACACTTGGCACCTTGCCAGAAGAAGGGCACAGTGAGAAGGACCTCAGATGATGAATGTAGGGTGTGGGCTGATTCCTGAAGGAAAAGGGAACTGAAGATGAAAACTGACTGGTACTCAGTGCAATCCCTGTGGCAGTAGCAAGAAGCTTCAGCCTTCCTTATACCACTGAGCCACAACTTAGCTGTTGCCCATGTTGGCTGGGGCTGATAGGAGCTGTAGTTCGGCAGCATCTGGAGGGACAAAGATTCTCTGTTCCTCTCATAAGAACTGGGTACATTTTAAAACCTTTTTAAAATTATTATTATAGAAAACCCTCTTTATCCACCCAAACTTGAGAAAGGGAAAGGTGAGGTGTCTGTTGGATGAGGATGATATGTGGATGATGTAAAATAAAAAAAAGTACAGACACAAGCAGATTCAAGGCCACATTAAAGTCCAGTATAGGCGGGTGTGCATTTTGCAGCATCTTACCAGCTTTTCTTTTTAAACCACCAGGAGATGTTTGGAGGATCCTGGCTGAGGGGGACCCATCTGAAGGGCCACCTGAAAGAGCTGAGGAGCAACAGAAGTTAAGGATTCAAGATGGAACCAACAGACAAGAGGGCAGACGAACGCAGAAGGCGGGGATGGAACCCACTGCTTCTCAGGTTAACGAAAATCAGATACCACACACAGGGGACAAACCTAAAGAATGTTTGGAGGGTGGAAAGAACTTCAGTGACAGAGCCTACCTTATTTTTCATAAAAGAGGTCATACAGCGGAAAAACCATATAAATGCTGGGAGTGTGGAAAAAGCTTCAGTCGGAAAGAACACCTTAATCTGCATCAAAGAATTCATACAGGCGAGAAACCTCATAAATGCAGGGAGTGTGGAAAGAGCTTCAGGCACAGAGACTCCCTCACTAGGCATCAAAGAATTCATACTGGGGAGAAACCTTATAAATGTTTGGAATGTGGAAAGAGCTTTATTCAGTGTAGCGTGCTCACAAGACATAAAAGAACTCATACAGGGGATAAACCTTATAGATGCTGGGAGTGTGGAAAGAGCTTTAGTGACAATGGCACCCTTACTCGCCATCAAAGAACTCACACAGGGGACAAACCTTATAGATGTTTGGAGTGCGGAAAGAACTTCAGTCGTATAAAGTCCCTTACTTTTCATAAAAGAAGGCATGCAGGGAGAAAACCTTATGAATGCTCGGAATGTGGAAAGAGCTTTAGTGTGCGTAGCCAGCTCAAAAGACACATGAGAATTCATACAGGGGAGAAACCTTATAAATGTTTGGAGTGTGGAAAGAGTTTCAGCCGGAGTGGCCACCTTTTGCAACATCGAGGAACTCATACAGGGGAAAAACCTTATAAATGCTTGGCATGTGACAAGTGTTTTAGTCAGAGTGTTCACCTTACTCAGCATCTAAAAACTCATACAGGGGAAAAACCTTATAAGTGTTCAGAGTGTGAAAAGAGATTCAGTCAGAATAGTCACCTCACCATACATAAAAGAACACATACAGGGGAGAAACCTTATAGATGTTTGGAGTGCGGAAAGAGCTTCACAGTCAGTTCGTCCCTTTCTAAACATCAAAGAATTCATACAGGTTACAAACCTTATGAATGTTTGGTGTGTGGAAAGAACTTCAGTCGCCTAGATTCCCTTACTTTTCACAAAAAAAGGCATTCAGGGGAGAAACCTTATAAATGTTGGGAGTGTGGAAAGAACTTCAGTGGCTCCCTTACTCAACATCTAAGAACTCATACAGGGGAAAAACCTTATAGATGTTTGGAGTGTGACAAGAGTTTTAGTCAGAGTGGTCACCTTACTCAACATCTGAGAACTCATACCGGGGAGAAACCTTATAAGTGCTCGGTGTGTGAAAAGAGCTTCAGTGGCTCCCTTACTCAGCATCTAAGAACTCATACAGGGGAAAAACCTTATAAATGTTTGAAGTGTGAGAAGAGTTTTAGTCAGAGTGGTCACCTTACTCAACATCTGAGAACTCATACCGGGGAGAAACCTTATAATTGCTTGGAGTGTGGCAAGAACTTCACCTACAGGTATTCCCTTAACTCACATCAAATAATCCATAGAAGTGAAATATCTTAAGCTTGGAAGGTAGAAAAATATACAGTGATCTCAAGAGCTCCTAAGAGAGCAAACCAAAGAGTCTACTCAGTGTTAGAATCCCCTTCCTTATCTCCAGTTTTTACAATAGACTACAGTAGACCTTTGGAGCCCAATATGCCTTCCATTCTAGAGGAGAAAGGGGCTTTTGCTTTCAACCTGTTTTTTCAGTATGAAAGCAGTTTGTGGGCATTCTTCTGTAACCCAGTGTGAGGGATGGGCAGGGGTTTGAGTGGTGGGTAGGACGGGTAGTGGAAGATTTACAGGGAGGTTCAGCGCCACCCCTGAGGCAAGAGGTGGTCGTAGAGGAAGAAGAGGAGTTTGGATATCCCACTTTATCACTACCCTAAGGAGTCTCAATCTCCTTTCCCTTCCTCCCCCACAACAAACATTCTGTGAGGTGAGTGAGGCTGAGAGATTTCAGAGAAGTGTGACTAGCCCAAGGTCACCCAGCAGCTGCACGTGGAGGACTGGGGAAGTGAACCCTGTTCACCAGATTACAAGTCCACCACTCTTAATCACACTGGCTGAAGGCAGGGGAGGGGTTGCAGTCTCTGAAGTGGAAGAGGTCCCAGAAAGAGCCCTGCCATTGGACTCTCCTCCATCCCCTCACCCTGTCTCCACTTACAATGAGGGGCATTAAGCAATAGCAACAAGGACCGTCTCTTTCCATATGAAGATACCTGGACCCTGAGGTCATCTTCTGAGACCCTTCTTAAAGTGCTGCCTCCATTGAGAGGCCTGGAGTGTGGCAACATGAGAACGGGCCTTTTCTGCAGTGGCTCCCCGTCTCTGGAATATTTTCCTCAGGCAGGTTCACCTGGCGCCTAGGCAATAGGCAAAAGCCTTTCTCCTTAACCAGGTTTCTGGCTGATTGACATCTAATGCCCTTTTAGAATGTGGGGTGGTTTTTTTTTGGGGGGGGTTGTTTTTGTTATGATTATATATTTCACATTTTTGGGTTGTGATTGTATCCTGAGTTCCTCCCATGGCTGGAAAGGGGTTCATTTAACCTTCCGTTTGCTAGTAAAACTGAATTACTTTGTCACAAAATGACATATGTCTAGAAATCATTTCACCAACATGAAAAGTTTGGAAAGCTCTGTGTTAGTAGAAGAACCTCAGGTCTCTTGTGAGTCTGTGCATTGGTATATGGCCCCTGTTAGTCCACCATATTTTTTCTTTCAACATTAGCAGAAGTGTTAATTTATCCCTTGCTGATGTAACCTAGTTCTTTGCCAATAGAGAATTGAATTTCCTATTGTTTGTCCACATTGGGCTGGGGCTCTGGGTTATGAACAAAAATTTAGTTAATTAATTAACACCTTGGAAGAGACCTTGCTTTTGAATCTTGTATGTATAAAATTTTATTGTTCCATATTTTTGCTTAGTTCCAGGTGGGGTTGCCTACTTCCTCATTTCAGTTTCCCAGCCTTTTTTATCTGCATCTTACCTATAGGCTCTGATATTTATCTCTCATCTCTTCTGAAATTACAAAATAATAATAAAATAGATTGATTCCTTGTAGCAGCTATGCTGCAGATTATTCTTCTGAGTAAAATTTACATATCCATGTTCTAATTTATTTTTTGCACGTAATCATTTGTTACATATGCTGTTCCGTATTTCACCCTTCCCCAAGATTTATTCATGTGCTGTGAATTTTCCTTTGATGTAACCAGGCTGATATGCTTCATAGATGGAAATGCTTTACCTGGTATTCTGCTGACATATATTATATCTTTCCAAAGAGCGTAGCCTCTCAGATCACCCTCTTCATGGAAGAAAGGTCTCCCTCAGCCCCTGTCAGGAAGGCCAGAAATATTCTGGATATTTGATAGCTCCTCTAATTGTTTCATTGTCCAAGACATTGCTATTTGTTTCTGTTTCCAGTTGTCATGAAGTCTGGGTTGATTCTGTTTTTACTGCGTTTAGCCCCTTACGAATAAATGCTCATTAAAAACTGCCGTACCTTGGTTCTCAAACTTAATCCATTCCAGAAGTCCGTTCGACTTCCAAAAATGTTCAAAAACCAAGGTGCGGCTTCCAGTTGGCTGCAGGAGCTTCCTGCACTCATTGGAAGCTGTGTCAGACGTTCAGGTTCCAAAGAACGTTCGCAAACTGGAACACTCACTTTTGGGTTTGCGACATTTGGGAGCCAAAGCTTTTGATAACTAAGCTGTTCAAAAACCAAGCTATGACTGTATAATAAACCTCAGGACTTTGTCAAGAAACCACAACAGGGTAGAAGGTTCATTAATTTTCCAGACTTTTTTTATATGTTGGTCAATGGCACACAGTTTCAGACTGCATGCTTCTTCACCTTCATGAGGGTTTCAAGTTTTATGCTTCTGAAATGTCCAGACTAGGGGAGGGTTCTCGGTGGGATATATTTGTGCTGCCTGTGGTTCACCCACCTCCTTTGCCCTAACCTCCAGCCCAAGGAATCTTCAGAAGGGAGTTGCTGCCAAGGACATTATTTGCATTTTAATGAACTGAATAGAATGAAAGAACCTGCAGCACAAATATAAGATAGGGGACATCTGACTTTCTAGTAGTGCATGTGAAAAGGATTCAGGAGCCTTAGTAGAACACAAGCTTAACACGAGTCAACCGTGTGATGCAGCAGGAGCAAAACAGAAATTAATGCTATTCTAGGCTGTATCCACAGAATTAGTGTCAAGGGAAGTAATAGTACCACTCTATTCTGCCTTGGTCAGACCACAACTGGAATATTGTGTCCAATTCTAGGCACCACAATTTAAGAGTTTTGACAAGCTGGAAAGCCTTAGGAGGAGCACTTGGAGCTGGGTATGTTTAGCCTGAAGAGGAGACTGAGAGGAGATATGATCTTCAAATATTTTAAAAGGCTATCACATGGAAGAGAGCAATCCTGTTTTATCCTGCTCTGAAGGGTAGGACTTGAACCAAAGGGGATACCAACTAAACACGAAGGACTTTATGACAGTAAGAACTGTTGGACATTGGAACGGTCTCTTGGTCTCCCTTGGGAAGTTGTGGACTCTCCTTCCTTGGCGTATTTTAAGCAGTGTTTGGCTGGCCACCTGTCATGGATGCTTTACTGAGATTCCTGCATTGCAGGGGGTTGGACTAGATGACCCCTGGGTCCAATCCAACTCTGAAGTTGTATTATCCTGATTCTAATGCTCATTCCTTTCAATTTGCTTGTTTTATTATATATTTTAAGTAAGGATGTTTTAAGGATGTTGAGATCAAATTATTGTGCATTTTAACATACAGTAGTACTTCGGGTTGAGTACTTAATTTGTTCTGGAGGTCCATTCTTAACCTGAAACCGTTCTTAACCTGAAGCACCACTTTAGCTAATGGGACCTCCTGCTGCCGCTGCGCCGCCGGAGCACGATTTCTGTTCTCATCCTGAAGCAAAGTTCTTAACCCGAGATACTATTTCTGGGTTAGCGGAGTCTGTAACCTGAAGCATATGTAACCCGAGGTACCACTGTATATATATGTATTTTATATAGGTGTAAGCCTCCCAAACGTGACACTATTTGAGACATTGTAACTTGCTCATCAGCAAAATAGGCTCCCACAGTGAGGGAAAAGGGGAAAAACCAAGGTACCTGTTGAGAACTGGTTCTCCTTACTGGTAAAGTTCAGGGAAAGGAGGTGAAGACCTGGTTACATTTTTTAGGATTATTTGCTGTATTTTAAAATAGTTATTCATAGCCATATATTTTCACCATATGGAAGTTTAATCTCTTTAATGGTAAATGCCTCTTTAATCTCTTTAATGGTAAAGATTATCTTTTCTACGATCTCAGACTCTTAACAGTAACAATAACAATAATAATAATTGTATGGTACTAAGGCTGCCCATGGTCACTGGATCCTACATGGGGCACCTGCTGAAGGAGAGGATCGTGCACTCGGGGCCTGATCCTGCAGGGCTTTCCAGACAAAATCGCGGCGCCTCTCCTCGCTCTCCGCCCGGAGCAGCCAACAGGTTACTGCTGACCGGCTCCGCGAGGGTTAAAGGGAGGCACAGCGCTGAGATTCCTAGAGCGGAAGGCGAGTCCTGCGCGAGAGGTGAAGGAGCTTCCGCTTCCTGTTCCGGGTCTGTCCTTCCTGTGGGAGGTGGCGAAGGGAGGTGGCAGCTTTCTCTGGAGGGACTTCTGTCCGGATCCAGGAGGATCTTCTCCCGTCTTTTCTCCGCAGGGAAGGCGGCCTCTCCTCCCGCCCCCGGGTCAGATGCGAGGAAGGAGAGACCGAGGAGGAGGAGGAGGAGGGAAGAGCTGGGACTCCCAAAGGGCAGGAGAAGAGCCTCGGAGGAGGAGAAGGAAGGCAAGGCGGACCCCGCGCAGCTCAAGCCGAGAGAGAGAAAGGTTTTTAAATAGAGAATCAAAAGTGTTCCTCTGCACTGAGAATATTTCATAGAAAAATGTCGGTCCCTCAGAATGTATCTACTAATTATTTCATTATTTTATTTTCAAAATATCTAAACCCTTTATCAGAAGAGTATGAAGGCGGCACACAGGTTAAAATAAAGATAGAGCACAGCTAAAATTCACAAACCCATCCAGAAACTATTATGCACAAAGGCCTCATTCTTAATAACAAAGAAAGCTAAATAATAAGTCCTGTTACCCTTACAGTTCGTCGCTTCTTTCCTACCTTTCTGCGTCCCTTTTGCCTGCTTTGAAAGGTGCTGGGCAAGTTTGCTTTTGACACACAAAATTTGGGGTTGCAGGGAGAGATCGTGGGGAAGGATTTTCAGAAATCTATTAGGTGTGGGCAATTTCTTTCAATTATAGTTTTCTCTGTGCGTCTCCTTTTCCCCAGCATTAAATTTAGTCACCAGACATTGACATCTTAAGAAAAGAAAGGACCTCTTGCAAATTTGCCGGCATTTTAGTGCAGATTTCTACTAATGAACACATAGTTCCCCTAATATTTATATTTGTCCTAATATAATGCATTTCTGTATATAATTTTTCCTAAAGTAATGCTTTTCTATGTGCTCTTTCCCTTTATCCCCTGGCACAGCAAATCCAGATCTTTCTCCCTCTTTCCCTGCCACCGTCTACTACACAACCTTGTGTTTCCTTGTATCCTAAAAGAGCTGGGGGGGGGGGTCAAGGTACACCCTAAAACAATGGAAAACGTTATGCAGCTGTTCCTCATGTAACTTGGGATAATTTTACGTGGCTTGATTCTCTGGAATTTTCTGGATCCTATATCCTAGATACAAGATTTATCTCTAATACCACTTACCTAAGGCCTGCAATTTCACTCTGGATTGGTAGCTGGGTTTTTTTTGTCAGTTCAGTGGCTGTGTATTTTGGTGGAGTTCAGGCAGGCCTATGGAGAATTCAGCAACGGTTAAATTGTAGATAATTTTAACCTTGCCTATTCATTTTCTGAGTAGACATAAGTTTTAAAGTTAAGTTGTATATTTATAAATTTACAACTCCAGAACCATCATTTGCATATGCTGTTGCTTATTTCTCCCTCATTTATGCGCTTCCTCAATGTGTGATGTGCTGCTGATTTCTGTTTGATAATCTTTTGCTCATACCTTTCATAAGTTCAAAGGTTTTTACTGGTCTTCTGTTGAGGTATTTAAAATAAATCTCTCCAAAACTCTAGCTTCTCAGGTCCTATTTGATTGCCACTCTCTTGTGCATTGGGGCAAATTTGGAATGTCATCTTCAGTGACCACCAGTTCCCTTTCACAGGCTGTGCAATGGCATTGGAGCAACACTGTGGATCCTCCCTGCTTTATCCTGGAGAGGAAGCGACCACCATGCATCCAGTTGAGGTAGGAGAAAGGTCATCAGGTAGAGATGTTGGGGATAGCTGGAGTGCGCCCTTCCTTGTAACAGAAGGCCTGACTCTTATCCCTGTGTTTCTGAGGGTGCTGCCTGAGGAAGTGGGTTGGCTTGACTGAGATAGATAGATAATTTATTACGGTCGGAGACCAGCTTATAAAACACACTTGGGGGTACAATCCCAGAAGGAAAACAAACATTTAAAACAATGTACAACAATAAATTTAAATTTTATAAATGCGATAAGCGTATAGACGCTTAAAACTTTAAGATAAGCTACGCAGAGAGATGACCCAGAGTCACCATGGAACTGAGTTTGGGGATTTTCTTAACGAACTAGTTTGAGTTGGGAGATGGTCTGCGCCTACAGATCTGTACACAGAATCTGGCAACCATCTGGGTTGTCTTGCCTAACTGGAAAAGTTTAAATTTTTGCTTTTCTGGGAGGTCAGCGAGCCTCACCAGCAGGGGACCAATGGTCTCACTACGTTCCTCTTCATAAAAGAACAAGTGCTCTGGGCTTTCTATATCCCCCAATGAACAGGCGCAAAGTCTCTGAGCATATGGGTCATTTTTAAAGGCTCCTTCCAGGACCGGCGATGGCAGAGCTGAGCTTCTGGCGAGTGTAAAAGCCCTTCTTGCATTTTTGGATATGAGAAAGAAGAGATATGCTGTCAGTGCGGCTGTATATATCTCGATTTCTCCAATTTTATAGTCGGGGCACCTTGAGCAGTCCTGTTGTCTCTCCGTGTCTAAGATTCTTGGCCTGACCGTAGCTTTTGCCTGGCCCAACCCCAGACTTAGAAGGGCTTGAGGGGCAAAACCCAGTTTCTGAAGGGTGTTGAGGACTGCTGTCTGCCAGCCTGGCTGGAACTGGTTGCAGAGGATCAATGGGGCTATTCCTTGGGGGAGCAGATTCAGGGCTTGACTGAGTTTTGCTCATGAAACCTTGAGCATGACTTAACAAGAGCCTAGCTGGTGGATCAGACCATTAACCCACCTAGTCCAGCATCCTGTTCCCCCAGTGACCGAACAGATGACTCTGGGAAATTTGCAACCAGGAGCTCAGTACAACAGCACTCCTCAGGTGATTTCCAGGAACTGGCAGTGAGGAATATACTGCTCATAGCAAGTGCAGGCAGCACACAGTCATCATAGCTGGTAGTCAATCATAACCTTATCTGCTATGAATTTGCCTAATTCTCTTTTAATTTGGTGGCTATTACTGCATGTTGCGTTAGTGAATTGCAGAGTTTAACATTGTGAAAAGTGCTTCCTTTAGTTTGCCCTTAATCTGTGCACAATTAGCTTCATTGGACGGCCTGGGACTACAGTATCATTCTAGAAGGAGAAACAGCTTCCTGTCTCCCATTTTCCCATTCTTTGCATACCTCTGTACGTCTCTTATCCTGCTCCTTCTTAAGCACTTTTGTTCCAAATTAGGAACTCCTCGTATATCTCCAGCCCCTTGCTTATTTTCTTTGTCTCCCCCCCCCCCCCCAACATTTTCTGGCTCTAGAAATTATTTTTGAGGTCAGGAAACTGAAACCATATTCAAATTTCTAAGGACACCTACACCATCTGCATGATGTATATCTGCATGATGATATTGGCAGCTTCATTTCAAATCACTTTACCAATGGTCTCTAACACAGAGTTGATCCATTTCACAACTTACACACACTGTGCCAATTTCTTTACTGAGCTATCTGTCTCTCCTGCTCATTCATCACCAACTCGGATCCTGTGAGTATAGTTAAAGTAGAATTATTTTTCTTGAATGTGCATTACTTAAACTTGCTTACAAGTTTGAATTGCAGTTGTACCTTGGTTGCTGAACGCCTGGGAACTCATACGTTTCGACTACCGAACGATTGAAAATTGGGAGTGTTCCGGTTTTTGAACACTTTTCGGAAACTGAATGTCTGGTGCTGCTTCCACAGCTTCTAACTGAGTGCAGAAAGCTCCTGCAGCCCTTTGGAAGCTGCACCTTGGTTTTTGAATGGTTATGGGAGTTGAACAGACTCCTGGAATGGATTCTGTTCGAGAACCAAGGTACAACCAAGGTGCTTAAACACCTTGAATTATGTTTCCTGTTCAGTGTTCAGTTTAATTTGAAGACATCCTGTTGGAGCTCTCTGCAGTACTCTGTTGTGAACAGCTAGGTTGGCTACCTAGCTGCTCAGCACTGACTCCAGGTAATATATAAGCTGTTTAAAAAGCACTCATCCCAATACTGATCCTTAGCGGCCTTCACTTCTAGCATTCCTTCCTTGTGAGAATTGGCCATTTCTTCCCATTCTCTTCTTTCTGTTCTTTAAGCCGTTGCTGATCCATAAGGCAGGCTCTCTTCTTATTCCATGACTCACCAAGATGTTGGCGAGAGACTGTACTAAAAGAATTTGGGTGCGCTGTCAGTTGCATACCGTCTAGACACACTCAAAAGAATCAAATGGCTCGTGAGTCACTCTTGCAGAAGCCATGCTGATTCGGCTTTAGCAAGGCTTGTTCTGCTATACATTTGGTTATCCTGTTGTCTTTAATAATGTTCCCCATCAGTTTTCCTGTAAGAGACCTTAAACTAACTAAGCTGGTTTCTGGAAACTTTTTTTTTTAATGTCACTACCTTTGCTTCCCTCTTGAAAGACAGGAAGATGAGCAATCTCACATCCAAGTTACACGTTCTTGTTAGAAGATTTGACTTCTTTAAGAACTAATGTGGTGTTTCTCAAATTTGGGTCTTCACCTGTTGTTGGACTACAATTCCCATCATCCCCAGCTAGTATGACCAGTGCTCAGGGATGATAGGAGCTGTAGTCCAACAAAAGCTGCAGACCCAAAATTGAAAAACACTGAGCTAATGGGTAGATGAGATCTGCATTTGCTGATCTCTGAACACTAAAGGTAGAATCCATCTCCCATTGCAGTGGGAGTGGAGGAGAGATGCTGCCCACACCTTGCCTTGAAGTATCTCCAAGGAAGGGGATTTTTTTTTCCTTCCAGGAATCAGTGAGCTTCGAGGAGCTGTTCTTTACTTTCACCAACGAGGAATGGGCCTTGCTGGATCCAGACCAGAGAGCTCTGTATGAGGAGGTGATGCTGGAGATTCATGAGATGGTGGCCTCTCTAGGTAAATATCCTTTCCCCCCTTAATCAATAACTATGGAAGGTATAAATTCCTGTTGGTGGTACTATCAATTAGCTCACTAGAAAGAGTGTTGGGATTTTCCTCTGGGCAAAAGAACATTTGAAGAACCATGCTGGATCAAAGCAAAGGCCTATGTGGTCCACAATTCTGTTCTCACAGTAGCCCAACCAGATGCCCAGAGGAAGCCCAAAAGCAGGACATGCATCTGATATAGGCATCAGAGAATGGACACATTGGCTATGAGTTACTTACCTTTCTCGCCCTGATCTGGCCACAGTGATCCATGCGACGGTCACCTCCAGGCTTGATTATTGTAACTCTCTCTACGCGGGGCTGCCCTTAAAGCTGATTCAGAAACTCCAGCGGGCGCAGAATGCCGCGGCGAGGCTCCTTACAGGGTCCTTGCCGCAGGATCACATTCACCCAGTGCTTTACCAACTGCACTGGCTCCCGGTGGAGTACAGGGACAGGTTTAAGGTGCTGGTTTTGACCTTTAAAGCCCTATGCGGTCTAGGACCCTTGTACCTACGGGACCGTCTCTCCTGGTATGCCCCACGGAGGACCTTAAGGTCCACAAATGACAACACCTTGGAGGTCCCAAGTAGCAAGGTGGTTAGATTGGTCTCAACTAGGGCCAGGGCCTTTTCAGTGCTGGCCCCAACTTGGTGGAACACTCTGTCCCAAGAGACTAGGGCCTGGCGGGACATGACATCTTTCCGCAGGGCCTGCAAGACAGAGCTGTTCCGCCTGGCCTTTGGTTTGGACTCAGTCTGACCCTTATGTTTCCCTCCCCTTATGGATTTGATCTGTGGGCTACTATTAAAATGAGGCTGCATTTTAAATTATATTTTAACCTGTATTTTAAATTGGTTTGTGTTTTTTTAATTGTAATTTTACTGGTGTTAGCCACCCTGAGCCCGGCTCTGGCTGGGTATAAATAAAAGATGATGAAGATGATGATGATGCAAACCCCTGCAAATCTTATTTTGCCCCTGAGCAGGGTTGCTGCCAAGGGCCTCCTTGTGCCCATAAGACAGGTGTGCAGACCCCCTTGTCCCCCGCCAATACAATGCTGAATCACGGTTCTGAATCACCCTGTCTCTCCCTGGACTTGCTTGCTGAGGCTGAAGGGTGCTGCAGTTTAACATGCAAAGGTTCTTCACTCCTGCCATAGGGACCAGACAATTTGTTTGCAGGTTTTTTTAAGTCTCTAGCCCCTGTGGCAAGAGCAGGAAAGACTGGCAGCTTAAAAAACCACTCTATTTTGTTTCTCCACACTATGTTTCTGAATTTAAGAGAAGCAAGGATGGGCTACTGCTTGAATGATGAGGAGGATGTTCTGGGGATAATGTAAAATAAAATAAAAATACAGACACAAGCCGATCATCATCATCATCATAATTTATTATTTATAGCCCACCCATCTGGCTGGGCTTCCCCAGCCACTCTGGGCAGCTTCCAACAGAACACTAAAATACAATAACCTATTAAACCTATTAAAAGCTTTCCTAAACAGGGCTGCCTTCAGGTGTCTTCTAAAAGTTTGGTAGTTATTTTTCTCTTTGACATCTGGTGGGAGAGCGTTCCACAGGGCGGGTGCCACGACCGAGAAGGCCCTCGATTCAAGGCCACATTAAAGTCCAGTATGGGCAGATGTGCATTTTACCAGGTTTTCTTTTTAATCCATCAGGAGATGTTTGGGGGATCTGGATTGAGGGAGAACCGTCAGAAGTGGCACGTGAAATTGCTGAGGAGCAGGAGGAGCAACGGAAGCTGTGGGTTCAAGATGTTACCAACAGACAAGAGGGGACAGAAATGCAGAATGCTGGGAGGGAATCCACTGATTTTGAGATTAACGAAAATCAGATAATTCACACAGGGGAGGAACCTTATGAGTGTTTGGAGCTCGGAAGGAACATCAGTTGCATAGACTACCTTACGTTTCAGGAAATATGTCATACCGCCGAAAAACCATATAATTGCTTGTTGTGTGGAAAGAGCTTCCGTCAGAGTGGTCACCTTAGTTTGCATCAAAGAACTCATACGGGCGAGAGACCTTATCACTGCAGGGAGTGTGGAGAGAGCTTTAGGCACAGTGACTCCCTCATAAAGCATCAAAGAATTCATACAGGGGACAAACCTTATAAATGTCTGGAGTGTGGAAAGAGCTTCAGGCAGAATATCCACCTCACTAGACACAGAAGAATTCATACAGGGGAGAAACCTTACAAATGTTTGGAATGTGGAAAGAGCTTTATTCAGTGTAGCGTGCTCACAAGACACAAAAGGACGCATACAGGGGAGAAGCCTTATAGATGCTGGGAGTGTGGAAAGACCTTCAGTGCTAATTGGTCCCTTTCTAAACATAGAAGGACTCACACAGGGGAAAAACCTTATAAATGTTTGGAGTGTGACAAGAGCTTCAGTTGGAATGGTCACCTTATACAGCATCTAAGAACTCATACAGGGGGGAAACCTTATAAATGTTTGGAGTGTGGCTCGAGTTTTAGTCAGAGGGGTCACCTTACTCAGCATCTGAGAACGCATACAGGGGAGAAACCTTATAATTGCTTGGAGGGTGAAGACAGCTTCAGTCATAGAGATTCCCTTAACTCGCATCTAACGAGTCATAAAAGGGAAACATGTTACACCTGGAAGGTGGAAGGAGATTCAGTGATCTCAAGAGTTCCTGCAGAGAGCAAATGAAAGATTCTTCTCAGTGTTAGAATTCCCTTCTCTCCAGCTCTTACTTGTTCTGAGGCCTTTGGAGCCCAGTATACCTTCCATTTTAGAGGAGAAAGGGTTTTTGCTTTCAACCTGCTTTTTCAGTAGGAAACAGTTTGTGGCCTTTTTTTCTGGAAGGAGTTCAAGTGGTGGGTAGGATAGATAGCGGAAGGTCCCAGAAAGAGCCCTGCCATTGGACTCTCCTCCATCCCCTCACCCACGGTCTCCACTGACAACGAGGGGCATAAAGCAACAGCAACAAGGGTCGCCTCTTTCCATAAGCACTTACCTGGACCCTGAGGTCATCTTCTGAGGCCCTTCTTCATGTGCCTCTTCCATGAGAGGCCTAGAGTGTGGCAACATGAGAACGGGCCTTTTCTGCGGTGGCTCCTCGTTTGTGGAATACTTCCCTCAGGGAGGTTCACACACTAGGCAAAAGCTCTTTAACTAGGCCTCAGGCTGACTGACATCCAATCCCCTTTAAAAAAAAATTGGGGGGGGGGTGTTTGATTACCATATTTTTTGCTCTATAAGACTCACTTTTTCCCTCCTAAAAAGTAAGGGGAAAGTGCATCTTATGGAGTGAATGCAGGCTGCACAGCTATCCCAGAAGCCAGAACAGCAAGAGGGATTGCTGCTTTCACTGCTCAGCGATCCCTCTTGCTGTTCTGGCTTCTGAGATTCAGAATATTTTTTTTCTTGTTTTCCTCCTCCAAAAACTAGGTGCATCTTGTGGTCTGGTGCGTCTTATAGAGCGAAAAATACGGTATATATTTTGTGTTTATATATTGTGATTTTATCCTGTGAACTGCCCTGAGACCTGCATGTATAGGGCAGTATACAAATTTAATAAAATGATGAGTGTAATAATAAATAATAATAGCTGGAGCTGTCATACAGGAAAAATTGCCAACTGCTTATGCACACCAGATCAGGCGTGTTTGTGTAATTTTATAAATGAGTGCTGTTGTTTCCCCCACATCCGGATGTTGAGAGATAGAGCACCAGGTGCACTGCATAACCTAGCAACAGTCAGAGGCCAGGGGTCTGCCTGCTGACTCGTCCATCCTTTATCTCAGGGATGTGTGTATGTGCAGAGACATGTATAAAAGTCATTGCTGCATTGCATTCAGGTGGGGAGAAGCTATGAGAGTCTGTGAGCGGCTGTATCAAAGTAAAATCCAAAAAATCATTTATACATAGCACACCTGAGCCCCTTAAAGAGGACAAGAATATCTAAAATTCTGCAAGTTAAATGCCAAAAGCATTGTTGAAAATAAATATCGTTGCCTCTTCAAAATATCCTCCTGGGTGATGGGAGCCACCACTAAAAGTCCCATGCTTGCCACCTCTCTGCATCTCGCTTGGAGGAATGCAGAGTGAAAAAGGCCTCAGATGATGAATGCAGGTTGTGGGCTGATCCTGAAGGACGGTTTTATATGCTCAGAGCATCATGCAGCAGTTGGGAATCTGGCCGCCACTTTCTGAGCCTTCTTCACAAAGAGCTTCACATATAATGTATTGCAGAAATCTAGTCAAGAGGTAGGTAGAAGAACCTGAGGTATATCGGCACACCTATTAGCACACCTTTCTTTATTTTTTAACACTAGCAGAAGTGTTCCATATATCCCTTGCTGATGTAACCGAATGCTTTGCCAATAAAGAGCTGAACTTCCTATTGTTTGTGCACATTGGCCTGGGCTCTGGATTATGAACACAACATTATTTAATTATTAAAAAACTTTGAAGAGATTTATTAAGCTGGAACGTTTGCAGAGGAAGGCAACTGGGATGATGAAGGGTCTGGGAAACGCCTTATGAGGAGCGCTTGAAGGAGTTGGGTATGTTTAGCTGGGAAAAGAGAATGAGATATGATAGCCATCTTTAAATATCACAATGCCTGTCACATGCAACAGGGAAGAGGCTTGTTTTCTCCTGCTCTGAAGGGTAGGACCCAAACCAATAGCTTCAAGTTACAAGAAGTGATATCAACTAAATGGTATCAACTAAAATAGAATGGGGAAAATTTATTGATTATTTGAGGACACATTGTAAACAAAACGTTAGTGGGATTGATAAAAACACGTGCAGTAAGAGATAATTAAGGGGAGGATAAGGGAAAAATTATAAATTTATTTGAACTGGAAATGCAGTAACAAAAAGATACGAAATAAATAACTGCAGAAGGGAGGGGAGGGAAGTCAAAAGTTAAAAATAAAATTTATTTTTAAAAAAGAGTCCAGAAATTGGGCAGGGGCACAGGGTGAAAATGCAGGGGAACAGGCCATCAATTGGTGGTCTCTGCCACCCTTGAGGCAGGAGATGGGTGGTGGTGGTGGGGAGAAGTCTGGGGAATCGGAGGTGGAGAGGAATTTCAAGGAGGCTCAGAGGCGGAAGACAAAAGTCCCAGATAAGAGTCCAGCCATCACAGTCCCCTCCATCCCCTCCCACATTGTCTCCACGGTCAAGGAGCGGCTTAAAGCAAGAGGAACAGCTGGAGTTGTCATGCAGGAGAAGCCGCTGGTCCATGGGGTCACGAAGAGTCGGACACGACTAAACGACTAAACAACCACAAGACCTAAAAATTCTTATAACAGTATTTTATTGTTCTACACCAGTTGTGCAGCTATTTCAACAAATGGTTGTTTAATTATAGTTCCACAGACAACAGTATCACTTAACCTCCAGATTCCAGCATCGTCTTATACTGGTATTCCATCTTTCTGTTATGAAAATGTCGCAGGACCTGCATTTTTCACTCCTACCACCCACTGCGGAAAGGATGTATAGATTTGTCACAAAAAAACAATTTTAAAGGGAAAAAAATAAAAGCATTCCCCTGAAAGTCTGACATTTCGTTTTAGAAGGGGAATGTTTTATTTGGCCTGATTCAATGGTCATGCCTTTCAACTTGCTTGCCTTTTTGTATATTTGAACTAAGGAAGTCTTAATGTTGAGATGAGATGGTTATTGTGTATTTTAACATGGTAGGGAATATTATGAAAATGATATACAGGTGGTACATGACACCAGTCAAGCTTGCAAAAATCTATCATTTGCCCGATAATAAATGTTGGAAATGTAAAGAAACTGAAGGTACATTCTTTCACCTTTGGTGGACGTGCCCAAGGATTAAGGCTTTCTGGGAGATGATTTATAATGAAATGAAAAGGGTATTTAAATATACCTTTCTGAAGAAACCAGAGGCCTTTCTCCTGGGCATGGTCGGCCAAATGGTGTTAAAGAAGGACAGAACTCTCTTTATGTATGCCACAACAGCAGCAAGAATACTTATTGCAAAGTATTGGAAGACACAAGATCTACCCACTGAAGAATGGCAGATGAAGGTGATGGACTACATGGAATTGGCGGAAATGACTGGCAGAATCCGAGACCAGGGAGAAGAGTTGGTGAAAGAAGATTGGAAGAAATTTAAAGACTATTTACAGAAATATTGTAAAATTAATGAATGTTAGAATGATGTCAGAATGAAGTTAAGTGGTTTAAGCAGCAATGTTATAAAGGTGTATGTAAAAATGGATTATTAACAGGTGAGAATCCAAAGTTATAATATATTAAGTTAAAGGATTAAGATAAAAACAAAGAGGGAAAGAAATTGCTGAATTAACTAACTGAATTGGAATACAAAAAAGGGAGGTGCGAGGAGGTCAGGGAAGCAAGGAAATGAATGTACAGTGGTGCCCCGCAAGACGAATGCCTCGCAAGACGAAAAACCCGCTAGACGAAAGGGTTTTCCGTTTTTCGATGCGCTTCGCAAGACGAATTTCCCTATGGGCTTGCTTCGCAAGGCGAAACATCTTGCGAGTTCTTGCGATTTTTCGCTCCCCCCCCCTTTTTCTAAGCCACTAAGCCGCTAATAGCCTTTTAGCCGCTAAGCCGCTAAGCCTTTAATAGCCGCTAAACCGCTAATAGCGCTAATCCGCTAAGCCGCTAATAGGGTTGCTTCGCAAGACGAAAAAACCGCTAGACGAAGAGACTCACGGAACGGATTATTTTCGTCTTGCGAGGCACCACTGTAAGGTGGAAAGATTGATGTGGTTTTTTTTAAAGTGTTTTTTATATTTTTTTCTGTATTTTGTATTTTTCTTTTATTCTTATTTCTGTCCTTTTTTCTTTTTTTAATTTATGTAATTTTTTTTCCTTTGAAACTTTAATAAATATCATTAAAAAAATATATTTTAACATACATGGTATGGTATGTATTTTATATAGTTATAAACCACCTAAACGACATATTCTTTATTAACTTTGAGCCTTTGAAACCTGCTCCTCAGCCAAAAAGGCTCCCAGAGTGAAAAAAGAAAAGGGGGGGAGGGGAGGTTCCCGCCTGTCGGCTCCGCAAGGGTTAAGCTGGGCCATAGAGCTGAGATTCCTAGAGCTGAAGGAGAGCCCGCGCCAGAGGCGGAGCTTCCGCTTCCTGTCTCTGCTATTACTTCCTCTGTTAGGCGCTGGGTTGGCGGAGGAAGGCGGCTGCTTTTCTTGGAGGATCTTATAGACTCCTCCCAGAAGATCTTCTCTCCTCCTTTCTCCGCAGGGAAGGCCGCCTCTCCTCCTGCCGCCTCCAGGAGAAGGACCGAGGAGGAAAGACGGAGGAAGGAGGAGGAAAGAGCTGGGATTCCCATAGGGCAGAAGAGGAGCTCAATCAGAGAGAAAAAAGGTTTTGCAATAGAGAACAAAAGTGCTCCTCTGCACTGAAAATATTTCATTTTAAAATAAATGGCTGGTCCTTAGGAATGTATCCTGGACAGCTGCAGCTGTAGTTATTTTATATTATTTTCAATATTTCTAAACCGCTTTTTTCAAATAAAAAAAATCTCACAAGTGGAACGCAGATAAAATTAAAAGAGAGGAACTGGTCTGTGACCATAATAATAAATTCATTCATTAAAAGAGAGAACGCAGCTAAAATTCACAGGCCCATGTGGAAACCAATATGCCTAAAGCCATCATTTCTAAAAACAAAAATAGCTAAGTAATAAATACATTTACTCCCACTGTTCTTTGCTTCTTTCCTCCCTCTCAGTTTCTCTTTTTGGCTTTGAAATATGCTGGGAGAAAGTATGCGAAATGGTTTTTTAAAAATCCTATAGGCATGGACAAACCTTTCAATTTTATTTTTATCTCCGTGATTCATTTTCCCCAGTTAAACTTAAGTTGCTTTTAGTTGCCCACGTTTTGACATATGAAACAAAAGGACCTCTTGAAAATTTAGTTAGCATTTTAGTTTCAATTTTCCTCTTATATTTGCCCTAATGTAATGCATTTCTGTATATAATTTCCCCTAAAATTATGCATTGCTGTGCGCTCTTTCCCTTTGAACAGGTGTAGAAAATCTTTTATCACCCAGCAGGGCAGATCCAGATCTTTTTTTCTCCCCACACTCAACTGTAGACTAACTTTGGTGGGTGGGTGACCTTCATGGGGTCAAGGTACAGCTTAAGAATGGAAACCTTAATGCATCTGTTCCCCTTGTAACTTACAATATTTTTCTTCTGGCCTGTTTTTCTGTTTGAAATTTTCTGGATCCTATATCCAGGATACCAGATTAGAGTCTAGTACCACTTATCTAAGGCCAGCAGTTTCACTCTGGACTGGTAGCTGTGTTTTTCATGTCAGTTAAATGGCCGTGACTTTAGGTCAGCTGGTGGAGTTAGGACAGGCCAGCATTGATTAAGTTGTAGATAATAATGAGCTTGCGTATTCTTTTACTGAGTTGACGTAAATTGTATATTCATATTTTGAATTTCTGGAACCATTCTTTGCATATGCTGTTGTTTATTTCCCCCTCATTTCTCCACATTTTCTCAATGTGTAATGTGCCATTGGTTTCTCTTTCGTAATATTGCAGTTGGAAATTTGTAATGCGTTTACTGGTCTTGACATATTTAAAATAAATCTTTTCAAACACACGTTACGCCAGGCATAGGCAAACTCCAGCCCTCCAGATGTTTGGGACTACAATTCCCATCATCCCTAGCTAACAGGACCAGTGGTCAGGGATGATGGGAATTGTAGTCCTAAACATATGGAGGGCTGGAGTTTGCCTATGCCTGTGTTATGCTTTCAGGGCCTGTTTGCTAATTTGGGCAAATTTTATCTTCAATGTTTTCATTCAGCCACCACTTCCCTTTCACAGGCTGTACACTCTCATCTGAGCTACAGTGTGGATCCTCCCTACGTTACCCTGGAGAGGAAGCGACCACCATGTGCCCTGCTCAGGTAGGGGAAAGATCATTGGGGGGAGATGTTGGGGATAGCTGGAGTGCGTCCTTCCTTATTACAGAGGGACTCTTTGCAGGGGCCTCTGACACCTGTGCTTCTGAGGAAGTGGATTGGCAGCTTCGTTTTTCTGTATTTCTTATTGCCAGCAGGGAAACCTATAGTTTGTTCAATGTTTTTCTAATGGTCTTCTCGGTAGTGGCGCCCTCCCTGTGGAACGCCCTCCCATCAGATGTCAAGGAAATAAACAACTACCAGACTTTTAGAAGACATCTGAAGGCAGCCCTGTTTAGGGAAGTTTTTAATGTTTGATGTTTTATCGTGTTTTTAATCTGTTGGGAGCCGCCCAGAGTGGCTGGGGAGACCCAGCCAGATGGGTGGGAAAGAAAGAACGAAGGAAAGACAGATGTTTTATTGTATTTTAATGTTTTTTGGGGGGTTGCCCACAGTGGCTGGGGCAACCCAGTCAGGTGGGTGGTAAATAATAATAATAAATAACAACGTCATTTCGTTTGTCCTTAATTTGTCCACATTGAGTCTCATTGGATGGCCCTGGATTACAATATTATCACAGAGGATTGATAATATATCTCCCTTTTCTTTGCACTATGCATAACTCTGTACATCTAAATTAGAAGATCTTTTTATTTCTTCAACTCCTTGATTATGTTGGTTGCTCTTTTCCCAGCATTTTCTGGGTCAGCAATTCTGTTTTTGAGGTCAGGCAACCAGAACCATACAGTATTGCAAAGGCAGATGCATCATAATCTGTATACCTGCACAACGATATTGGCAGCTTTGCTTTGAATCTTGTCCCTAACACGGAATGGACACATTTCACAGCTTCCACAAATTGTGTCTTTGCTGAGCTATCTGCAGTGGTGATTTCTGAGCACTGCAGCTAAAATCCCCACTTGCCCCACTGGAGTGTGAGTGGAGGGGAGATGCTGTCCACACCTTGCCTTGGAGTGTCTACAAGGAAGGGAATTGTTTTCTTCTTCCAGGGGTCTGTGAGCTTCAAGGAGGTTGCCGTGAATTTCACTGACGAGGAATGGGCCCTGCTTGATCCAGGTCAGAGAGCTCTGTATGATGAGGTCATGCTAGAGATCCATGAGATGGTGGCCTCTTTGGGTAAGGATCCTTTTTTCCTTAATCAGTAGCTACAGAAGGTATGGGTTCCTGTTGGTGGCACTATCAACTAGCTCACTAGAAGGAGTGTTGTTAATTTCTCCTGGAGAAAAGAACATTTGGTTCAGAGCAAAGTCTTACTTAATCCAGGATTCAGTTCTCACAGTGGCCAGCCAAATGCCCATAGGAAGTCCACAATCAGGACTTGCCTCTGATATAGTTGTCCTGGGCTTATTGGCTTGAGTTATCTCGGGATGCGAACGGGATCCATTCCGGAGCCGTGTTCGCATCCTGAATAGAACGTAAGACACGTCTGCGCGTGTGCAGGTCACGTTTTGCTGCTTCCACACATGCGTGTGACGTCATTTTGAGCGCAACCCAAAAGCGCTCAACCTGAAGCACATTCAACCCGAGGTATGACTGTATTCTCTTTTTTTTCTGTTGAGGGAGGTCTCTTGCTCAGTTTGGGTGGAGGGTGAAAATGCCATTTTGATAAAACTGCGTTTACAACTGCATGGCATGGAAACAAAAGACTGAAGGGGTCTCCTGTGTGCTGGTTGTGATTTATTGCTTTTGGGAGAGTCCTGGATTGTTGAATCGCATAGCTCGCTAAGCGGTATAAATGACGGAATGAAGACAGGTATTATTATTTTATATAATTCATTGCATTTAGTTGCTTTTTTATGAAGAGTAAACTCAAAGCAACTTATTATATGATAATCAGCAGAATTAACATTCCCCCTTTTTAAACGCACGCACAGCAGATAGCTTGCTTAGACTCATTAGAGTCTCTGTAAATATTTCCTGGTATTCCCCCATTTAATTCCTCCTAAAATAAGACGCTACACAGTCTTCTGCAAAGTATAAAACGTTTACTCACAAGTAATCATCTGTTCACACAAAGCTTCCCAGAAGGCAGACTTAAAAGGTTAGAACATAGTTTAAATGTGGTGACTATCTCCTTATGGGAGAAAGGCCCCCTTTTCTTCTCTTGGCCTGGAGCCAAGGTTGCATTTTAGTAGTGCTGTTGTTCAGATGGCATCAATAGAGACAAGAGAGACAAGATGATCACCAGCCTGCGGTTCTGGTTCATTCTGCTTCAGGAGAGGCCATGCCCATCTCAAGTTACACATAGGAAGTTTCGTCTCAGTCCTGGAAAGCAGGAAGTTCCGGGTGAAGGACCAAGACAACCTTCATGCCTACTCTAGCAATGTTGTGTATGACTGCACCTGATTCTTACATCCCACAATTATCCCACCTCCATACGTTAACTTTTAAATGTTTGAAATTCCAAGTTCTTCTCTATATCTAGGGAGGGCTACTCCTTGGATGAGGAGGACATTTTGTGGCTTAAATCATAGAGCTGGAGGGGCCCCCAGGGTCATCTAGTCCAACCCCCTGCTATGCAGGAGCCGGGGCACAAGGATCCTTGACAGGCGGCCACCCAACTTACAAGGGAGTCTGTACCACTCTTGAACAGCTCCTACCACCAGCTCTCTCCAGGGTGCTGGGGACTGTAATCCAGCGTCAGGCTTTCCTAGCTGGCGTCTGAATCTGCTCTCTTGCCCTCAGCGCCACACAGAGAGATAAATGGAAGAGCCAGCTGATTTGGGAACTGAGGTACACCAGAGGGGTGTGTGGGAGAATGGAGAGGTCCTCAAACCTGTTTGGGAAATGATACCGAATTACCCTACAATTCTAAAACCGTTCTCCAATAAATGCTTTCCCCTTATGTGCAACATAATTATTTCTGGATTTTGCTTGTGGAAGGGAAAGGAAAGAAGGGTGAGAGGAGTAAGGGACCTCTGGCCAGGCCACCCCCTGCAAATCTTATTCTGCCACCTGAGCAGGCACGTTCCCAAGCTTCTCCTTGCACCCATAGAGCCAAGAGCATCTCCACCCCCATCGTTCTGCCTGGACACTGAGGTCCAGTGCCATGGGCCTTCTGGCAGTTCCCTCCCTGCGAGAAGCCAAGTTTCAAGGAACTGGGCAGAGGGCCTTCTCGGTAGTGGCACCCACCCTGTGGAACGCCCTCCCACCAGATGTCAAAGAGAACAACGACTACCAGACTTTCAGAAGACATCTGAAGGCAACCCTGTTTAGGGAAGATTTTAATGTTTGATGCACTATTGTATTTTAATATTTTGTTGGAAGCCGCCCAGAATGGGCGGGATATAAATAATAAGTTGTTGTTGTTGTTATTATTATTATTATTATTATTATTATTATATTATATGACAGGTGTGAGGACCCCTTGCCCTCCCTCAGATGGTGCGGATGGTACTTGTAGTTCAGTAACATGGAGGGCCAAAGGTTCCCCATTGAAGCTGCCACTTTGATGAAAAGGATGTTTTGTGGATGGTGCAAAATAAAGAAATACAGACACAAGCAGTTTCAAGTCCATGTTAAAGTCCCGTATGGGCAGATGTGCATTCATACAGAAACAGCATTTTACCAGTTTTCCCTTTTAATCCACCAGGAGACGTTTGGGGGATCCTGGCTGAGGGGGACCCATCAGAAGTGCCGCCTGAAACAGCTGAGGAGCAAAGGAAGCTGGGGGTTCAAGATGGAACCAGCACACAAGAGGGGAGACAAATGCAGAAGGCAGGGAGCGAATCCGCCGCCTCTCAGGTTAACGGAAATCAAATCACCAGAGAGGAGAGGAAGTATGAATGTAAAGTGTGTCGAAAGATGTTTGCTTCTCGCTCAAGGCTTACTTCCCCTCAGAAATTGCGCTCAGGTGAAAAACCACATGAATGCTGGGAGTGTGGGAAAAGCTTCAGTCGGAGTGTCCCCCTTGAGCTCCATCAAAGAACTCGTACAGGTGAGAAACCTTATAACTGTTTGGAGTGCGGGAAGAGCTTTGGTGACCGTAGCAGCCTCACTAGACATAAAAGAACGCACACCGGCGAAAAAGCTTACAAATGTTTGGAGTGTGGAAAGAGCTTTAGGGAAGGTTACTCCCTTACTCAGCATCAAAGAACTCATACAGGGGAGAAACCCTATAAATGCTTGGAGTGTGGAAAGAACTTTGGTCGCCTAGGCTCCCTTACGTTGCATCAAAGAAGCCATACAGGAGTGGAAACTTACGTATGTTTGGAATGTGGAAAGAGCTTCTATCAGAGTAGGCACCTCGCAAGACATAAGAGAACCCACACAGGGGAGAAACCTTACGGATGCTGGGAGTGTGGGAAGAGCTTCAGTGACAGTGGCTCCCTCACTAGACATAAAAGAACTCACACAGGGGAAAAACCTCACGAATGTTTGGAGTGTGGGAAGAATTTCAGTCGCAGCTGCAACCTTACTTTGCATCAAAGAAGTCACACAGGGGAAAAGCCTTATGAATGTTTGGAATGTGGAAAGAGCTTTGTTCGGAGTAGTCACCTCACTAGACATAAAAGAACTCATACTGGAGACAAATGTTCCTATGAGTGTCTGGAGTGTGGAAAGAGCTTTAGTCGCAGTAGCTATCTTACTCACATCTTAGGCTTGGAATGTGAAAAGATCATGATCAGTCCTATCAAGAGCCCCTGCGGAGACCAGAGCAAATACTGTGCTCAGTGTTAGAATTCGCTACTGTATCTTTGGTTAATTTTGTATTTGCTGAACTCTAGTTTTTTTACAATAGACATTTGCTTGGTCTGAGCCCCATTTGCCTTCTATTGTGGGGGAGAGAAGGGTTTTTGCTCTGAACCTTCCTGTTCAGCCAGTGTCCCTAAGGGGCAGGAGTCCGAGCAGTGGGCAGGGAGGCAGGTATTGATAGAGGCGAGCAAAGAGGGAGAATAATTATATAAAAAAGAACAATGATAGCAACAGATTAAAAAGGTGAAAAACAAAAGCATAAGATAGGCACATGAGTTAAAATAGCAAAGACCAAGTAAAGACTATCACTTTTAGCAAATCATCATGTACAGTTCCATCTTTGCCAGGCTTGCGATGAGGGTTTTCTTGAAAATGAAATGCTAAATCATATTTTTAAATGTCTGGACGTTCTAGTCCTTTTCAAAATTATGAGGAACTTTCTCCATTTTAGCTATATTCCAGAGTGAGTGCAAGCTTTTGGGTTGTTTTCCCTTGTGTTTTAATTACTTTGTGCTGCCCAGATCCTATATGAGACCAATTATTTTGACATTGGTATCATCAGAAATATTCTGTAACATTTTGGACAACGAACAATAGCTTCTCTATTAATAGTTATCATTTCTGTCAAAATTGAATTCCAAAAATCTCGCACTAACTGACATTCCCACTATAAGTGATAATATGTACCAAGTTTATTGCAAACCCTCCAAACAATTTCGTTACACAGAATAAAACATTTTTGACATTTGCAAATAAGTCCTGTACCATCTGTGTAATAATAAGGCATTTTCCCTAAAAAACCTGGAAACCAGTTTTAAGGGTCTAATCTGATTTTACAAGTATTTTATCATTCCCACACTGATCATGTAGATTCGTTAACTAATGATATTTTTAATCAAAGTTGAACACACGTCCAAGTATCACCTAACCTCCAAATTGCAGCCTAGTCTTATTCTGGTATTCCATTTTTCAGTTATGAAAATGGAAGTGTCATAGTGGCAGAAAGGATGTGAGGGGAGACAGTCTTTGTGCTGACCACCTCCATCGCAAGGAACATCATGTGCAGGTGTATTTTGATGCTTTAAATAGAATGAAAGTTTATGAGTCATAGAGGAGGGGAGAGCACACGTACAAATTCAACACTTTGTTCTGTTGCTGTTTGGTTAATGTTGTTAATACTGTTTTACATATATGGATGCTGTCGTGCTCTATGAATCCTATAATATGATTCTTGGTGTAACTGTGATGTTTAGCTTATTTTTTAGTTGTTTTGTTAATAGTGTTACATAGATGGTAATTGTTTTATTTAAGATTTGTGATTGTTTTACTGATGATTTGTAAAGTATTCTATATGATTTATGCTGTGATGTTCCATTATGTTATTTTTATCTTTCGTTTGTAAACCGCTTTGGGATTTATTTGAATAAAAAGCGGCATAGAAATAGAATCAGTCAATCAATTTGTAGGATATTATACTGATCTTCTGACTTTTTGTTATACGTGGGATTTTGTTGTTGTTATGTTCAGCTTCTTTTATTGGCCATGCCTTTCAACTTCCTTGTTTTATTTAGGGTTGCCATATGACCCATCTTCCTGTCTCCCACGGAGGCCGTCCTCTAGAATGGGTGCTCCCAGATGACAGCTGAGGCAGAGCTTACATTTTAGCATGTAAGGGGAATGTGAATGGTGATGATGATCTAATTTAACATTATGAGAGTGCCCCAATTGGAGAACAGCCTTTGACAAAGGTGTCATGGACTTTGAAGATGCTGGAACTTGGGACGAAAGGGAGGAACATGCTAAGAGGGAGGCACGTTTGGTAAACCCTCACTGTGATCAACTCCCGCCCGGAAACCTAGGTCCCCACTGTGGAAGGATGTGTGGCTCCAGAATTGGCCTCCACAGTCACTTATGGACCCACTGATCATGTTCATGGAAGACAATCTTACTTAGCTGCGTATGATTGCCAGAGAAGAAACATCATCATCATCAAAATTAGTATATTGCCCTTCATTTGTAGATCTCAGGGCGGTTCACAACATAAAACCACAATGTTGGTTGCTGGAAATCAGCCTTCTTAAAGTCCAGATTACATGTCTGACTCCACTCGGGTTTCCCTTGGCCCTTCATCATGAAACCCAGGACAGGATCACTTTCTCCCAAGGGTCCCAGTGCTTCCACTTTGTGACTCAGTTCCTCCCTGTTGGTGAGGACCAGGTCCAAGAGGAAGGACCCCCTTGTTGCTTATTTCAATGATTATTCATGGGCATAGCCCATGAGTTCCTGCCCCCCCACAACAAGAATCCTGGCTAAGCCCATGTGAGCATTAGCTATATTTTAAAAGAGTTCTTTATATATTTTCACTCTATTGGGATTTAAGGGCTTTGTAATCATGTTTTATACGATCTCAGCTTTTTCAGTAAACCGCCTTGACTCCCAATATGGGGGAAAAGGCGGGGCATAAATAAAAAAATATAACGTTAATAATATAGATGTTGATTCTGTGATACAAAGACTGCCCACGGTCACTGGGACAACCAGTCCTTTGGGGCTAGGGTTTTGGAACAGAAATACAGTCGTACCTTGGTTTTCGAATGGAATCCATTCCGGAAGTCCGTTCGACTTCTGAAAACGTTTGCAAACCAAGGTGCAGCTTCCGATTGGCTGTAGGAGCTTCCTGCGCTCAATCAGAAGCTGTGGAAGCCCCTTCGGACATTTGGGTTCCAAAGAGTGTTCGCAAACTGGAACACTCACTTCCGGGGTTGCAGCGTTTGGGAGCCAGAACGTTTGAGTCACAAGGCATTCAACAACCAAGATACGACTGTATAATAAATAAAAAACCAACTAGGAGCAGATCTTGCCTTTGTATCACACACACACACACACACACACACACACACACACACACACAGTGGTACCTCGGGTTAAGTACTTAATTTGTTCCGGAGGTCCGTTCTTAACCAGAAACTGTTCTTAACCTGAAGCACCACTTTAGCTAATGGGGCCTCCCGCTGCCGCCGCGCCACCACTGCACGATTTGTGTTCTCATCCTGAAGCAAAGTTCTTAACCTGAAGCACTATTTCTGGGTTAGCGGAGTGCGTAACCTGAAGCATATGTAACCCAAGGTACCACTGTATCTCAAATGTTCTTGTTTAATATTTTTGCTTATTCCCAGGCGGGGTTTCTAACTTCCCCATTTTAATTGTTCAGTCTTTCCCCATCACCTCTGTTTTTTTACATCCTACCCATAAGATCTGACATTCATGGAAACATCTTGAGCTGCTTGGATTCTCTTAGAAATAAATGCTGCTTAAAAAAAATGTGTAATAAACCTCAGGACTTAGTCAAGAAGGTAACTGCAACAGGGTAGAAGGTGCATCGATTTTTGAGAAGGTTTCCATTTTTGTGTGTTGATGGGTCCCTGGTTCACTGTAGGTTTCGTCATCTTGATCCTCGCACAACGGCTTTCAATTTTTGTGATTCCGAAATGTCCAGACCAGGGATTGGTGCTATGTGAGGTTCCCCCAAATAATCCCCTCTATTATTATTTCCCCCACCTAGCACAAGTTCTGGAAACCTGAAGTCCACTGTGCGCTTATGTGCAGGTATTTGTTTATCCCATAATCTAATAAAGTCCAACCTCACCCAGCACACAAATGTGGGGGTGGTGGTTGAAATTCAGCCTTTAGATAAATCAGATTTGCACAGAAGAGCAGACAAAAAATGGGAAAATATGTGTGTTGTTCTATGCTGGGCACAGATTTGGAGTTACTCAAATAAAAGGCTGCTGCTTCCTTCCCTTTCGTTTCCCAGTTTCTAAAGCTGCAGATAAAACCTTATAAATGTTTGTAATGTGGAAAGAGATTCGTTCTGCTTTACATAACATTATCTATCTATCTATCTGTCTGTCTATCTATCTATCTATCTATCTATCTATCTATCTATACATGGGAAGCACTCGGAGCAGACAGGACATAAACACACCAACAAATGTTGTAATAACAAATACTGCCATTTAGCACTACCTGGTAAATGGAATCTGAACCACAAATATAGGAACTATACAAATTATCCATCTGTGATCTACCAATGATCTAATGTATCAGTCCCACAATCTATGCATTTTCTCTGTAAAAGTGCTGCCTCTTTTTAAAATCTAGGTTACCTCTTAAAGGTAATTTAGCATGAGCATATGGATCAATTTGTAACTGACGAGACAATATAGATAACTGAAATTGGCACAGGATCATTCTTTTTTCTTTTTTACATACCTAGACTCATCCAAAAAGGGGTGTTAAGTACAACACCTCTGTGTTTAGTGTGCTGGTATACTCAGGGAGAAAGAACCAATTGTTTCTGTGTTCTGGCAAATATGCCTCACTGGTACAGACTGATGTCTGGAAAAAATGAATCCTCCTTCCGGTATAGGCAACGACATTTTTTTAAAGTGTTAAAGAATGTGGAGAAGTACCCCAAATAAAAGTCTGAAATAATGCATTGATCCTTTTAAAATATGCTTGGGGAATGTTTGGAAACGAACACGCCACCATGGGCTCCTGTTTAATAAATATTGTGTGCCGGATTCAGCAAAGTAGTTGCACTAGGAGGATCCAGCACAAGTCTTGCTAGTACAAAGGGCCTTTCCCCTTTCATTCCCACCCCTCAAAAAAAAAATGGCTCTGGGGAGGTCAGGGGAAAACCCAAAACAGTGTGCATGGGAAGGGGGGTGTCATTTCACAATGGGAAGCAGAAATGTTGTGTTTCAGAACACAACACTGAATTCCATCCATTATTTGGGGTGGGGGGTATCAGGGGAGGGATGGTGCCTCTGGTGGGGGACATGTCTCGCTCCTTATGGGGTAGTTTGTCCACCTTTGGTACCCAAACTGCACCCAGCTCTCACCTGTGGCTCCTACAAGCTGTCAGCATGCGACAGCAGCCACCCCTGGGGAAATGGCTTCACCTGGCCAGCTAAACCAGGTGAGAGGAGCTGATGGGTCTCAAACCCACGGTGAGTTAGGGGCTTCCCCTACATGTGAAGACAGGCTCTGGCAGATGGAGCGTTGAGACCAAGAGGGGAGCCAACAGTCAAGGTTTCTGCACATGTTGCAGGGGGAAGTGAGAGAAGAAGAAGAAGAGGAGTTTGGATTTGATATCCCGCTTTATCACTACCTGAAGCAGTCTCAAAGTGGCTAACATTCTCCTTTCCCTTCCTCCCCCACAACAAACACTCTGTGAGGTGAGTGAGGCTGAGAGACTTCAGAGAAGTGTGACTAGCCCAAGGTCACCCAGCAGCTGCATGTGGAGGAGCGGAGACGCGAACCCGGTTCCCCAGATTACGAGATTACCGCTCTTAACCACTACACCACACAGGTGGGGCTTGTCCATCTAGGAAGGGAGACCATTGAGGAGAAGGTAAACACTCATCCTAAACCTCCACTGCCTTGTGGGATACCTTCAGGAGAAGAAAAGGTATCGGGGGCAAACCATACATGAGTCCAGAGTGGAGTCCCGAGGACGGTTGGATGGCGCCTTGTACTCCTTCGGGCAACGTCTTACTCTGCTTTCCTTTGGACCCCATCAGCGAGGCCAAGAGTGGGGTCTTGTCATCTGGGCAGCCCAGGACCTCCAGACACACTGCCCAGGCTAGTGCAGCAGTTTGACTTCACCACAGAAATGTACCCCACTGTCTCTTGAGACAGCTCGTGTTTTTCTATTCCGCCACCAGAATTAACTAACTGAGCAAATCTAGGATGCTTGTGTTATGACTTGGGCACAGTCACTCTTTTTCCTTGAAGCTTCACTTAATTGTCACAGAATTTTCTGCATTTCCTTTCCATCAAACCTCAATATTTTCATTTTTCTTTGTACACCCCACATGCGTATACAGGCAACTCCCCATTTGATATGATACGATAATCTTTACTGTCATTGTCCCATACAGAACAACAAAATTGAAAAAAAATAATCTACATAAGACATTCAAAACCAACAAGCCTGCTATCCCAGCTATCCCAACCTGGTTAGCCCCCTAAAAACTCTCAAACCCCATTTTAAAAATACAATATACTCCCATAGAGACTCCTTACACTGCATTTAAAACCAAAATTGCATTTGGGTAGAAACTGTTTCTCAGGTGGCTAGTCCTAGTCTTTATAACCCTGTACCTTCTTCCAGAAGGCAGAAGCTGAAAGAGATCATATCCTGCGCTATCTCTGCAGCTTTCTTATAGCACCTGGAAGCGTAGATTTGCTCCAAGGTGGGAAGAGTGCATCCAATTATTCTCTCCGCAGTCTTTACAACCCTGGACAGCATTGTTTTTCCCCTGACCGTGCAGCTCCCAAACCACACACACAGACCACGTGTTCAAAGCAGGTGTATACCATTTTTGGCCCCGGAAGTGGGTGCAATGGGGTGTGGTGGGCTTACCTGTGCACTGTTGACATGCACAGTGACCTGGAATGGAACCCCCACAAAAATTGAGGGGGGTGCACAAATTGGGGAGTGCCTCCTGACCAAGATAAAACCATGTAGCTGATGATGTGAACTTTAGGCCATAAAAGCTTACGCCTCAATACAGTGGTGCCCCGCAAGACGAATGCCTCGCAAGACGAAAAACCCGCTAGACGAAAGGGTTTTCCGTTTTTCGATGCGCTTCGCAGGACGAATTTCCCTATGGGCTTGCTTCGCAAGACGAAAATGTCTTGCCAGTCTTGAGGTTTTTTTTGCTCCCCCCCCTTTTTCTAAGCCGCTAAGCCGCTAATAGCCTTTTAGCCGCTAAGCCTTTAATAGCCGCTAAGACACTAATAGCGCTAATCCGCTAATAGGGTTGCTTCGCAAGACGAAAAAACCGCTAGACGAAGAGACTCGCGGAATGGATTAATTTCGTCTTGCGAGGCACCACTGTAAATTGGTTTCAGTCTTTCAGGTGCCAGAAAAGTCTTGCCCCTCACGGCTACCCTCATTATTGAAACTAACAAATGCACATTAATACAGATATTTATACCAGAAACAGCTAACCATCTTCACTGATCCACTGATACGAGGTATGGCTGCCACCTGCACCGAAGCTTTTCTCACATTCCACACGTTTACGTTGCTTTGCCCCTGTGTGGGTTCTCTGATGTGTATTGAGATTCCCTCGACGACTGAAGCTTTTCCCGCATTCCGCGCATTCGAAAGGTTTCTCCCCTGTGTGGGTCGTCTGATGTCTGTGAAGGCTTCCGCCCGTGCTGAAACTTTTCCCGCACTCCGCACATTTGTAGGGCTTCTCGCCCGTGTGCGTTCTTTCATGTTTCGTAAGGTGTGTCCTCTGGCTGAAATTCTTCCTACACTCAGCACATTGAAAGGGCTTCTCCCCTGTGTGAGTCGTTTGGTGTCTGTTAAGGCTTCCGCTCGTGCTGAAGGTCTTCCCGCACTCTGCGCATTTATAGGGCTTCTCTCCCGTGTGAGTTCTTTGATGTAAAGTAAGCTGCTGGCTCTCAATGAAGCTCTTTCCACACTCCATGCACTTATAGGGTTTCTCTCCTGTGTGGGTTCTCTGATGGGAAAGAAGGCTCCCACTACGACTGAAGCTTTTCCCACACGCCATGCATTTGTAAGGTTTCGCCCCGGTGTGAGTTTTCTGATGTGATGTAAGATTATAGCTTTGGCGGAAGCTTTTCCCGCACTCCAGGCACTTATATGGCTTCCCCCCCGTGTGAGTTATTTCATGCACAGTCAGACTTTTGCCGTCGATGAAGCTTTTCCCACACACAACACACTCGTATGGTTTCTCCCCTGAGTGAATTATTTGCAGAGAATTAAGGCTTCCACTACTGATGAACCTCTTTCTACACGCCATACATTTATAAGGTTTCTCCTCCGTGTGGATTTCGGGATGTGTGTTAAAGGGGCTGCCAGAAGCAAAACACTTCCCGCAGTCCACGCATGTATACATTTTCTCCCTTGTGTGGATTCTCTGATGCGCATGAAGGCTTCCGCTGTGGATGAAGTTCTTTCCACATTCCAGGCACTTATACGGTTTTTCACCCGTGTGAGTCCTTCTATGTGTATGAAGACTTCCGCTGTTGCTGAAGCTCTTTCCGCAGTCCGTACACTTGTATGGTTTCTCCCCTGTATGAATTCTTTCATGGGTAGTAAGGCTTCCACTATCGCTGAAGGCTTTTCCGCAATGTGTGCATTTATAGGGTTTCTCCCCAGTGTGAGTTCTCTGATGAACGGTAAGATGGTGGCTGTGACCAAAGCTCTTTCCACATTCCAGGCACTCATATGGTTTCTCCCCTGTGTGGGTTCTACAATGCCTGCTCAAGTTTGATTTATCTTTGAATGTTTTCCCACACGCCGGGCATTTTTCTTTTCTATTTCCTTTCTGATCTTCCTGTGGGATTAGGAGTTTGTGGACACTGGCACCCTGAGAAGCAGAGAATCTCTTCCTCCCTGCCTTTGGTTGGTTTCCCATGTGCTTTTTCCATCCCCTTTGAATACCAAGCTCCTTCCCCACTGAATGCTTGGCCGTTTCTGATGACACCTCAGATGGCTCCGCAGAATTCTCATTGTCCTTCTGTCTGAGGCCTGCGTGCAGAAAAGAAAAACTTCATGTTAGGAGTTCAAGGCAGAAATCTCATCAGGGGACTGAGTCAAATTAGCCTTTTCTCTAATGACAACAGCTCCAAAATTCTCCCCATTCTTCTCTGTGCACGCTACTGAAATCTGGCTTACAACAGGCACTCAGCTGTATTCCTCTCAGCTCTAAAGATTGCTGACTGCAACATTTTGCATGATTATTTCCAAAAGCTTTATTCCAAAGTTCACTACAATGCCCAAGCCCTGGTGCTTAGCAGGTGCACTATTTGAAAGTAAAATAATAACAAAAGAATAAAACCAGTTTATTTATTGGTAAAAATATTTTATAGAATCATAGATTTGGAAGGGATCCCAAGGGTCATCCAGCCCAACCCCTGCGATGCATTAATACTGTTCATAGCCATCCCTCCCAGGGCTTGAACCACCAGCCTTCTGGTTAACAGCCAGATGCACTGACCATGTTCCATGCTGGAACCCCTCCATTGTGGTGGCAAATACTCAGAACAGGAATTCCCCCTCTCCAGCCTCAATCAGCCAAAGAGATCTTTACCCACAGAGTGCAGATTCCCACAACTCTCCATCGTGGCTTCCTTGTACAAAGCTCTGTGGCCTGGATCCGGGAGATTTTACTCCCCCTTGGCGAAATACGCAGTCACCTTCTTCTCTGCTGAAAGAAAGGAGGATTCTTCATTTGAAGGTAGTTTCCCCCACGTGTATCACTGCTCCCTCTTTGAACACTGTATTTTAATACTTTGTTGGAAGCCGCCCAGGGTGGCTGGGGAGACCCAGCCAGATGGGCGGGGTATAAATAATAAATTATTATAATATTATTATGATTTGAACAGTGGCCAATGAATAAGCTAGACAGACACATAAGCCAAGCAGGGGGAAACTCACAAAGCTGCTGAGAGAGTATTGTATTGTATTGTATTGTATTGTATTGTATTGTATTGTATTGTATTTTTACCAATAGTGTGGAGGCTTATGAAAAATGCAGCAATGGGATTCTTACAACCAAATTCAACTAAATAGTTGTGCTGGCAAGAGCCAGTGTTGTGAGTCCTGTTACTGCAAAGGTAAAGGTAAAGGTACCCCTGACCGTTAGGTCCAGTCGCGGACGACTCAGGGGTTGTGTGCTCATCTCGCTCTATAGGCTGAGGGTTCCGGCGTTTGTCCGCAGACAGCTTCCGGGTCATGTGGCCAGCATGACTAAGCCACATCTGCCGAACCAGAGCAACGCACGGAAACGCCGTTTACCTTCCCTCCGGAGTGGTACCTATTGATCTACTTGCACTTTGACGTGCTTTCGAACTGCTAGGTTGGCAGGAGCAGGGACTGAGCAATGGTAGCTCACCCCGTCGCAGGGATTCGAACCGCCGAACTTCTGATTGGCAAGCCCTAGGCTCTGTGGTTTAGACCACAGCGCCACCCGCGTCCCTTGTTACTGCAAAAGTGCTTTCTTTTTATATATGTATGTAATTTTTATTAAATTTTCTGTTTTACAATTTAGAATACTCATTTAAACAACCTTAAAATATCCATGACTTTCTTTCTTCTCCTTCCATGGTTCATTTTGCATATCAAAAATCCCTGCATATTTTAGGTAAACTAAACCATACAGTATTCCATTATTACATCCATCAAAGCTTATTTACACTGTTGAATTTATCTTAATGCTGCCAACGTTTTCAAGTGTACACAATTCCCCCCGCCATATATTCAACAAACATTTCCAGTCTTCTCAGTGCAACAGTGCTTTCCCCCTCCTCCCACCTCAGTGCCCCCCCCCCAATCAGATGGGGGGGGGCAGGAGAACCACTGAATGCAGCACTGTTCATGGGGTGAGGCAAGAGAGGGGTGTTTCATTTTTAACTCTTTTTGTTTAATAAACTTTTTATAAAAGAATTGAAATTGTCTATTGAACATTTTACAAATAAATTGTAAACAGATAAGAACATTGGCAGGATTACTGTAATAACCTTCAGTTTCATAAGAGTATATATTTAAAGAAGATGAATAAATGAGCAAATTAAGTTAATTTGGATATGCAGAAGACATTAAATATAAATTTAAGGAACCGCAGAAGGAGGGGGAAGGAAGTCAAGCTTTGAAATGTCAAAATGATTGTAAAATCAGTGAAATATTTAAACCTGAAAAGTATTTTAAAATATATATGAAATGGACAAGGCTGATTCTGCAGTTGGGAAAGCGGAAGCAATAACATCTTGCAGTGCCAAATGTGAACAGAAAGAGGAATATTCTGTCAGTTCCTGAACCCCTCCCTGCATACAAACACATCGTGACCCCAAAGGAAGGCCCCCAGCTGCCTCCTCCATCTCTCCCCACGAGTCCCTTCCCTTACCTGAGGCGTCTGCTGGATTTTGCGCTCCAGCCCAAAGAGACGATCTAGGTAGGGCCTCCGATGGCATCGCAGTGGCTGTGGGGGAGACGGGGGAAGCATGAATCCGATGCCAGTTTCCCTGCCAGGTGTGGCTGGACTACAGCTCCCACCCTCTTTCACCATTAGTGATAATGGCTGGGGCTGATGGGAGTTGTAGTCCAGCCACAATCTGGAGCGCACCAGTTTGGTGAAGGCAAGGGAGCACTCCCAGACACAAGGAAAAGCAAGCCACAGGCATAAAAGCTAAGCAGGTTTTCTCCTGCTCTGGAGGGCAGGATCTGTACCAATGGATTTAAGTTACACAAAAGGAGATTCCGACGCAACATCAGGAAGAACTTTCTGACAGTAAGAGCTGTTCGGCAGTGGGACAGTCTCCCTCAGGAGCTGGTGGACTCTCCTTCCTTGGAGGTTTTGAAGCAGAGGTTCATAGAATCATAGAATGGTAGAATTGGAAGGGACCCCGAGGGTCATCTAGTCCAACCCCCTGCAATGCAGGAATATTTCACCCAATGTGGGGCTCAAACCCACAACCCTGAGATTAAGAGTCCCATGCACTACCGACTGAGCTAGCCCAGCTCATTTGTCACAGATGCTTCAGCTGAGATTCCTGCATTGCAGGGGGTTGGACTAGATGACCCCTGGGACTGCCTCCCAACTCTACCTGGTATGCCCTGCAGAGGACCTTAAGGTCCATGAATAACCATAGTTTAGAGGTCCCGGGCCCTAAGGAAGTTAGATTATCCTCCGCCAGGGCCAAGGCCTTCTCAGTGATGGCTCCGACCTGGTGGAATGCTCTGTCCCATGAGACCAGGGCCCTGCAGGATTTAACTTCCTTCCGCAGGGCCTGTAAGACAGAGCTATTCTGCCTGGCTTTCAATTTGAACTTAGCCTGATCTTTTATTCCCCTTCCTTCCCTTTTTATGAAGATTGCCTACTATGGGATCCCACAGCTAATTCTCCCCTGGTCTCCTCGCTGGCCCAAGTAGGACTAATTTAGCCCCTAAATTGATTTTTGAATTCTGAATTTATTGTTATTCACATTTTATACTGTATTTTATGCTGGTTTTTTTGTTGTTGCATCAATTAAGTGTTTTAAATTTTTTGTTAGCTGCCCTGTTAGCTGAGCCCGGTTTTCTGAACTGGGAAGGGCAGGGTATAAATAAAAATTTATTATTTTTTATTATTATTATTACTTTCAACTATCAAAGGAAGAGAGACCCCTGAACACACTTGTTGTTGTTTAGTCGTTTAGTCATGTCCAACTCTTCGTGACCCCATGGACCAGAGAACGCCAGGCACTGAACTGGGAAGGGAGGGGTATAAATTATTATTATTATTATTATTACCATTCTATGATTCTAGGTGCAAAGTGCACCAGATCCGAACTCTCTTTCCTAGCGGGTCTGAGCCAGCCTATCCCTGGGAGAGGGAAAACAAGTATTTCAACAAGTCTCCCGGCAGGGATTCTTGCATCGCAGCGGGGCTGGACTAGATGCCCCTCTGGGTTCCCTTCCAACTCTACAATGGCATGATTCTGCAGTCCTCCCATCTTCTGTCCCGGGGTGAGTGGAGAGAGATCTGAATGCGAAGGGAGGGTAGGAAGACAATGCAAAGCGGGAGCGGGGCTTGGAGGGCAGACCCCCTTTGCAGCTGGAGGAGCTCGGAGTCTTTTTTTGGGGGGGGTCTTTTTCACCTCCCTCTCTTCCCCCACCTCGCAAGCAGGGCTGATTCCCAGGCACCCTCTGCTTTCCCCCAACCCACACATTCCCCATGCGAATGAATGATGGGATGGGCGGGGAGGCGGGGCTGTTGCTTCAAAGGGGATCGTGCAATGGAAACGTGGCAGATATGTGGATCCCCTTTCGGATTGCACAGATCACGACCCCCCCTCCCGCCACCTGCGAGTCTAAGAGAGGAGCTAGACTTCCCCTTTCTCTCCAAAAAGGGAAAATTCTCCCCGTTCCCACCTGCCGCCTCTCCCAATCCATCCCTCCAGTGTCGCCCAGTCCTCCCAATTTATTCATTTTTTTGGGGGGGGGGGTCTTGTCTTTTTCTGCACAAACACACCCTTCCTTCCTTCCTTCCTTCCTTCCTTCCTTCCTTCCTTCCTTCCCTCTCTCCCTCCTGCTGAATCTCACCTGCCCTGTCTTCCTTTTGCTGGGATGCGAAGGGAGGCGAAGGCACCATTGTCTTGCAATTCTACCCTCAACTCCCACACATGGGGAAAACTTCCTGCCTCTCTAGGAACCGCAGCTCAGTTCCTAGGTTCTTCGGAGGACTGAGTTGGCAGGAGCTGCCTTCAGGGCCCCACCCCCCAAAGAAATCACAGCTGCTTGAATTATTCTTTCTCTGTGTGTCTCTTTTTCTCTCTCACACACACGCAGAGCGGACTCTCCAAGTGTCCCTGTTTTCCAGGGACAGCCCCAGATTTTCAGGTTTCTGATTTCTTTCCTTAGGATGTCCCTATTTTCATCGGATAAATGTTGGAGGGTATGGAGTTATACTACCCACAAGCCAAGGAGATAAATAATTGGAAGACATCTGAAAGCAGGCCTTTATGGGGAAGTGTTTTTTTAATGTTTGATGTTGTCTTGAGGGGATGGAATGGTTTGATCCTGAATCCAATGATTTATAGGGACATTGGGCTTCCCCTCCTTGGAGGTCTTAAAGCACAGACCAGAGAGCTGTAGAACCATAGAACCGTTGTTATAAGAATTTTAAGGTTTTATATATATATATACACACACACACACACACACACACACACACAGTGGTACCTCTGGATGCGAAGAGGATCCGTTCCGGAGCCCCGTTCGCATCCTGAAGCGAACACAACCCACGTCTGCGCGTGCACGGGTCGCAATTCGATGCTTCCGCGCATGCGCGTGACATCATTTTTGAGCGTCTGCGCTCGTGTGAGTGGCAAAACCCGGAAGTAACGCACTCCGTTACTTCCGGGTTGCCGCGGAGTGCAACCTGAAAACGCTCAACCCGAAGCTACTTCAACCCGAGGTATGACTGTATATGATAAATGTTCATAACTGTATATATAAACCACATGTCTGAAACCCCACAGAAAAAGTCCTGAAACCATTTTGTGCCTCCCAAACTGACCTCAAATATTTCTCTGCAAGGTCAAAGGAAAATGGAAAAACGTCCCCATTGTCTCTGTCCTCACAAATCCTGCCTTAAGGGTATGTCTGTGTATGAACAGGGTGATCCTGTGACCTGGCTCAGGAACTAAGTATTTATCATTACAAAAGACTAGGCAGGCCCCCACAGGTAATCCAGTCAAGTGACCATTAACAGGTAACCTGCCAGGCAGGAGATAATCAAGGCACTCAGATTTCTGTTGTAGACCGCCTTTTCTCTGATGTAGGTATGATGTATCTGGGGGGTGGTCTTGGGCTACACCCCTTCTGTGATGTGGGTATGATGTTTCTGGGGGTGGTCTTGGACTCCAGGCTGGGCAATTTAAAATGTCTATATAAGGGCAGGCACACTTAGGTTCTGGGTCCTCCTGCTTGTGAGGGGAGCACCCTGTTGCAACAACTTTAATAAAGATCAGGCTTACTAGCTGCTTTGCTTCTCAATATTCTTTGGTTGGCCTCTGTTATTTTCTCCTACTGATAGGGAACCCACGTAAGGACTCTATACAGGCTCTTGGATACCCCATAAGGGAAAAAGGGCAGATTTTGTTTACAACACTGTAGAGTTGGAAAGGGACCCCAAGGGTCATCTAGTCCAACCCCCTGCATTGCAGGAATCTCAACTGAAGCATCCGTGACAGATGGCCACCCAACCTCTGCTTAGAAATCCCCAAGGAAGGAGAGTCCACCACCTCCCGAGGGAGACCGTTCAAAGAGCTCTTACTGTCAGAAAGTCTTTTCTGATGTTTAGTCGTAATCTTATTTCTTGTAGCTTGAAGCCATGGGTTCGAGTCCTACCCTCCGTAGCAGTAGAGAACAAGCATGCTTTGTATGTCCTGCATCGAGCAGGGGGCTGGAAGAGATGCCCTCTGGGAGACCTCCAACACTGTGGCTCCGAATTGTAGCTGAAAATCTTCCCAGAGCTGCAGAAGAGAACTTTTAGAAGACATATGAAGGCAGCCCTGTATCGGGAAGCTTTTAATGTTTGCCATTTTATGATGTTTTTATATGTGCTGGTAGCTGCCCAGAGTGGCTGGGGAAACCCACCCAGATGGGTGGGGAATAATAATAATAATAATAATAATAGGTGCTGGACTTTGTTTCCTGGCTTTAGCAAATGCCTCTTTCTCCCCCTTCCTTATTATTTTACCAGCTGGCTTGAGATGAAGCTTCTTATCTGAGTTTGCTTTCGTGTCACATCTGCCTTTGAGCTCTCCCCACCCAGCACCAATCTGATCTTATGCCGCAGCTTTAAAAACAGCCACCACAACCCTGTGTTTGGGTTGGAGCTCAGACAGCCCTGTGCTGCAGCTATTTTTTTTTTAGAAAGCGGTTTAACTACTCCAAATATTGTAAGAATTTATTTTCTGTAAAACTGGCTAGCTCTCTGGGGAGTCCCTTGTGGCCGGAAGCAGGCTCTGAAATGCTGCCAGCAATTAAACAAAGTTATTGGCTGCTGGTTCAGGAGGCAGTTGGCCGGCTTTTTCGGGGATTTCCTTTCCGACTATAACGCTCTCTGCCTTTTCTGGGAAATCAGGTGAGAGCGAAGAAGTTGCCCTTTCCCTTTTGGACAGCAGAGGGCACTGCTGCACCATCAAAAGCCTCTTTTGCAAAGAGGCGGCAAGGCTGTTGAATGTTGACAGTGAATAAAATCCATGCAAAGCAATCAGGACTGGCCCAAGGCATTTTGGTACTTGAGCTGAACCACAAAATTGTGCCTCCTTAAAGATGCTACCGTGTTTGAGAGTCTCTCTTCCTTTGACAGCTGGAAGTAGGAACCCCGTTGCAGCAAAAGACCAAATAAATGAACAGATTCAGCAGCTTTGCTTTTACTTAACCCTAGCTGAAGTCTCCCATTTTTTTGCGCTGAGCATACATAACTCTTCTGTCTGTGGGAGACAAACGTCTTCAGCCTTAACTGGACTCCTTCCTTGCCTCTCTAATGTCACCTGCAGAGAAGAAACCAAAACTTTAAGTGTGGTTTATATGCAGTTTATTTATTGCGCTATAATCAAAGCAGTCATTTAAAAGGGCTCTTCGGTTGTGGGACTAAGGTCAGCCAGGAAGGCCCCCCCCAATGCAAGAAGGCTGGTGTGACACATTTTGAAACGAATCAAGGGACACGTATTGTCATCGGAAAACAGAGATGGGGGCTGTTCGGACCATTAAATCCCAAGCATGGTATTGCCCAAGTGTGTCACTGGATTGCGGCTGATTGGTTGTATAAGCAAAATAAGCGAGTCACACGGAATACATCCAAGTGAATGATTTATTTGTACTTAGTCTCCTTGCGCAAAGACACACCCGGGGCAACTTGGCAGCAGGAAACAGCGCAACGTGACGAGGAGCAACTCGCTCGGGTTCAGCTTCGTTCTTTCATGCTCGTGCATTATCTGCAAAGAAACAAGGAGAGATCAAGCCCTGGTTTTAGAAGAGGAAGCTGGTTTTAGGAGAGGAAGTCCCCACGGAACTTCTTCAGGACCCACAAATCCATGGGAACAAACTTTTTCTCAGAATAAAGGAGGGGACTGTGGAAATGAAAATGGGCACAGATGGAGTCCTTGCCATTGTTTTCCTGGGTAGTAAAGGTAGAAGGTAAAGGACCCCTGGATGGTTAAGTCCAGTCAAAGGAGACTATGGGGTTGTGGCACTCATCATCATTTTCAGGCCAAGGGAGCCGGCTTTTGCCCACAGACAGCTTTCCGGGTCACGTGGCCAGCAGGACTAAACCACTTCTGGCACAGCAGAACACTGTGATGGAAGCCAGAGTGCACAAAAATGTCGTTTACCTTCCCACCACAGTGGTACCTATTTATCTACTTGCACTGGCATGCTTTCGAACTGCTAGGTTGGCAGGAGCAGGGACAGAGCAACGAGAGCTCACCCCGTCGCGGGGATTCGAACCACTGACCTTCTGATCTCACGTCCCTCTAAAAGGTAAAAGACCCCTGGACAGTTAAAGAAAAAAGGGATGTTGTGGTGACATAAACTCATAAGAGCTTGCTGGGTCAGGACAATGGCCCATCAAGTCCAGGTTCCTGTTCTCCAAGTGGCCAACCAGGTGCCTCTTCTGGGAAACCAGCGAGCAGGAACTGAGCACAAGAGCCTTCTCCCCTCCTGTGGTTTTTCAGGAACTGGTGTTCACCTGTCACCAGGGTCTCTTGCCCTCTAGCTTACATAAACTATGCCAAATTTTAACTGGTTTTAATTTGCACTGATAGCTGGGGCTTTCAGCCGAGTCTTTTCTCACCTGCAGCAACAGCCTAACTTTGATAACCTAGGAAGCAAAGCTGGGTGGTGTTTTAGAATAATAATAATAATAATTACCGTAATAATAATAATATTATTACCCGTCCCTCCCCAGCCAAGGCCGGGCTTAGGGCGGCTAACAAGCAATAATAAAAACAAGTTGAATGAATACAACTTAAAAACAAGATTAAAATACAACATTAAAATATTGAAACATTAAAATAAATATTGAAATATTGAAACATTAAAATGTAGCCTCATCACAGGAGGAGAAAGGAAAAAGAAAGAGGAGGAGGGAATCAAATTGGCTCCAAGCCAAAGACCAGGTGGAACAACTCTGTCTTACAGGCCCTGCGGAAAGAAATCAGATCCTGCAGGGCCCTGGTCTCATGAGACAGAGCGTTCCACCAGGCCGGAGCCAGTGTTGAAAAGGCCCTGGCTCTGGTTGAAGCTAATCTAACTTCCTTAGGGCCCAGGACCACTAGGGTGTTGCTATTTATGGACCTTGAGGTCCTCCGTGGGGCGTACCGGGAGAAGAAGGTGAAGCCCTGTCCTTCTCACCCAGTGTCAGCTCTGGCATGTGTAAACGAGACCAAGTCTTTTCCCCGGCACGACATGCATGCACCAATCACTGTGTTGTCAGGTTCCTCTTGCATCTAGGGTTGCAGAGTCCAGGGCTCAGGCCTAAAAGTGCCACTGTTAATTTCGGTGTTGAGAGGCAGGATGAAAACGTACGCAGAAGTCAATTTTGCCAGGCCTGTCCCATCCCTAAAAAACCCCACTGACAGGATCTTTGTGATAGACTGGGCTGATGAAAACATGGGTGCTTGGCTTACTGCGATTATTGATGACCCTTTCAGCGATAGTGGCAATAGTGATCACCACAACGGCAGCGCACACATACGGAACAACAGCTACCGGTACTGCGATGTTGAGGCCCTTTACTGCAGCACCTGCAAGGAGAAAGCGCAGGTCACTCAGCACTGCAACTAAATATACCCCTGACCCATCAGGCCCATTAACAAGCTGAAGGTATGGCGACTGAGGGGCATGCGAAATAACTCCCCTGAAGCTGATGGCATCCAGTAGGTTTCTGTGGTCTGAAAAAGCAGACGGTACTTTCAGAGACAGGGATACTGCTAGGTGTTTGTCCTCGCATACAAAGCCCTAAACGGTTTAGAAACCAAGTACTAAAAGCAGAAGGGATGTGGGTGGTGCTGTGGTCTAAACCACAGAGCCTAGGGCTTGCCAATCAGAAGGTCGGCGGTTCGAATCCCCGTGACGGGGTGAGCTCCCGTTGCTCGGTCCCTGCTCCTGCCAACCTAGCAGTTCGAAAGCACGTCAAAGTGCAAGTAGATAAATAGGTACTATTCCAGCAGGAAGGTAAACGGCGTTTCCGTGCGCTGCTCTGGTTCGCCAGAAGTGGCTCAGTCATGCTGGCCACATGACCCGGAAGCTGTCTGCAAACGCTGGCTCCCTTGGCCAGTAAAGCGAAATGAGCGCTGCAACCCCAGTTGTCCGCAACTGGACTTAATACTTAAAGGTTAGGGGTCCCTTTACCTTTTACTAAAAGCAGGCTTCCCCACACCTTGGGGTTTTCTCTGGGGTGGTAGGACTGGAACTCATAGCTTCGAGTTACAAGAAAGAAGATTCCAGCTAGCATACGGAAAAGCTTTCTGACAGTAATAGCCGTTTGACAGCAGAATGGTCTCCCTTGGGAGGCTGTGGTATTTAAGCAGAGATCGGGAGGCCATCTGTCATGGATGATTTAGTTGAGATTCCTTTCCTTCCCATTGGATCCTTTGCTTTTGCTAATGGTTTTTACCCCCACGGAAATTCCCTGCAAGTGGATTAGTCTTTTCACCTCTATTCACTCCTAGCCATTATGAGGCTTTGGGCTTCCTAAACTCTTATGCCCCTCAAGTCTGTCACCTCGCAAGGAAATGAGTATTTGTGGATTCCCTAGGATTACAACCCTAAATCACAACCCAGGAAGTGTATATAACTGAATTAGTTCTTACACCTGCATAGGCATTGGGTGCCCTTTTAAATGTGTTGGGCGGGGGGGGGGGGGAGTTATTGGATTGTCTTTGTTCTTTTTATTGTGTGTTTTTTTAATATATTGTGAACCGCCCTGAGATCTACTGGTATTGGGCAGTATACAAATTTAAATAAATAATACAATACCCATTTCGTTTCCCCTGACACACAGGTTTTAATTAAACACATCAAACCCATTACAATAGAAATGTTTTGAAGATAACAAAATAAAACAGAAGCTGCCTGAATTGTCCATGCAGCATCTTCTGAGGGACTCACCTAAAACGTGAGCGGAAGCTACCGCGATTTTCATTTTGTCACTCATTTTGTCAGCAACTGAGAAATTTAGTAACCTCCTCGCTGCTCCCTGGAGAGAACATTGCAGGTTAGCTCATGACAAACGAAGCATGCACAGTGGTACCTTGGTACTCAAACGCCGAAAACCCGGAAGTAAGTGTTCGGTTTTTGAACGTTTTTCAGAAGCTGAACGTCCGATGCAGCTGTCGGCTATTGTTTGCGGGGCACCTGCACCAATCAGAAGCTGTGCCTTGGTTTTTGAACATTTCGGAAGTCATAGAATCATAGAATCATAGAATCATAGAATCATAGAGTTGGAAGAGACCACAAGGGCCATCGAGTCCAACCCCCTGCCAAGCAGGAAACACCATCAGAGCACTCCTGACATATGGTTGTCAAGCCTCTGCTTAAAGACCTCCAAAGAAGGAGACTCCACCACACTCCTTGGCAGCAAATTCCACTGTCGAACAGCTCTTACTGTCAGGAAGTTCTTCCTAATGTTTAGGTGGAATCTTCTTTCTTGTAGTTTGGATCCATTGCTCCGTGTCCGCTTCTCTGGAGCAGCAGAAAACAACCTTTCTCCCTCCTCTATGTGACATCCTTTTATATATTTGAACATGGCTATCATATCACCCCTTAACCTCCTCTTCTCCAGGCTAAACATGCCCAGCTCTCTTAGCCGTTCCTCATAAGGCATCGTTTCCAGGCCTTTGACCATTTTGGTTGCCCTCCTCTGGACACGTTCCAGTTTGTCAATGTCCTTCTTGAAGTGTGGTGCCCAGAACTGGACACAGTACTCCAGGTGAGGTCTGACCAGAGCAGAATACAGTGGCACTATTACTTCCCTTGATCTAGATGCTATACTCCTATTGATGCAGCCCAGAATTGCATTGGTTTTTTTAGCTGCCGCGTCACACTGTTGGCTCATGTGAAGTTTGTGGTCAACCAAGACTCCTAGATCCTTTTCACATGTACTGCTCTCAAGCCAGGTGTCCCCCATCTTGTATTTGTGCCTCTCATTTTTTTGCCCAAGTGCAATACTTTACATTTCTCCCTGTTAAAATTCATCTTGTTTGTTTTGGCCCAGTTCTCTAATCTGTCAAGGTCGTTTTGAAGTGTGATCCTGTCCTCTGGGGTGTTAGCCACCCCTCCCAATTTGGTGTCATCTGCAAATTTGATCAGGATGCCCTTGAGTCCATCATCCAAGTCGTTGATAAAGATGTTGAATAAGACCGGGCCCAAGACAGAACCCTGTGGCACCCCACTAGTCACTCTTCTCCAGGATGAAGAGGAACCATTGATGAGCACCCTTTGGGTTCGGTCAGTCAGCCAGTTACAAATCCACTGAGTGGTAGCATAGTCAAGACCACATTTTACCAGCTTCTTTACAAGAATATCATGAGGCACCTTGTCAAATGCCTTGCTGAAATCAAGGTAGGCTACATCCACTGCGTTCCCTTCATCCACCAGGCTTGTAATTCTGTCAAAAACGAGATCAGGTTAGTCTGACATGACTTATTTTTCAGAAATCCATGCTGACTATTGGTGATCACAGCATTCCTTTCTAGGTGCTCACAGACTGTTTGCTTAATGATCTGCTCCAGAATCTTCCCTGGTATTGATGTCAGACTGACTGGGCGGTAATTATTTGGGTCCTCTCTTTTCCCCTTTTTGAAAATAGGGACAACATTTGCCCTCCTCCAGTCTGCCGGGACTTCGCCTGTTCTCCAGGAATTCTCAAAGATGACTGCCAGTGGTTCTGAGATCACATCTGCCAGTTCTTTTAATACTCTTGGATGCAGTTCATCTGGCCCTGGAGACTTGAATACATCTAAACTAGCCAAGTATTCTTGTACTATCTCCTTAGTTATTCTGGGCTGTGTTTCCTTTGCTGAATCATTTGCTCCAAATTCTTCAGGTCGGGCATTGTTTTCTTTATCGGAGAAGACTGAGGCAAAGAAGGCATTGAGGAGTTCAGCTCTTTCTGTGTCCCCTGTTTGCATTTCACCATCTTCTCCTCTGAGTGACCCCACTGTTTCTTTGTTCTTCCTTTTGCTACGGACATACCCATAAAAGCCTTTTTGTTGCTTTTAACCTCTCTAGCAAGCCTGAGTTCATTCTGTGCTTTAGCTTTTCTGACTTTGTGTCTACACGTGCTGGCTATTTGTTTGAATTCCTCTTTGGTGGTTTCCCCCTTTTCCATTTTTGTACACATCCTTTTTAATCTTAACTCAGTTAAAAGTTCTTTAGATAGCCACCCTGGCTTCTTTAGGCACCTTCCATGTTTCCGTCTCATTGGTATTGCCTGACGTTGTGCTTTTAGTATCTCCCTCTTAACAAACTCCCAGCCATCATGAACTCCCTTTCCTTTTAGTATTACTGTCCATGGGATCTCACCCAGCACTTCCCTAAGTTTTATGAAGTCAGCTTTCTTAAAGTCAAGAAATTGAGTCCTAGTATGCTTGGCTGCTCCTTTCCGCTGTATAGTAAACTTCAGAAGAGCATGATCACTTGCGCCTAATGATCCTTCCACTTCTACCCCACTAACCAGGTCATCAACATTGGTTAGGACCAGATCTAAAATGGCTGTTCCTCTTGTTGCTTCTCCCACTTTCTGGACAATGAAGTTGTCTGCAAGGCCAGTGAGGAATCTGTTTGACCTTATGCTCTTGGCTGAGTTTGACATCCAACAAATATCCGGGTAATTGAAGTCCCCCATTACTACTATCTCCTTCCTTTTGCATGCTTGGCCATCTGTTCCAGGAAGGCATCATCTATGTCCTCCGTTTGGCTTGGGGATCTATAGTAAACTCCCACAATGAGGTCACTGTTATTCTTCTCTCCTTAATTTTGACCCAAATGCTCTCACTTTGGCTTTGAGGTTCTAAATCTTGGATCTCTTCACAGGTATACACATCCCTGACATATAACGCCACTCCTCCTCCTTTCTTGTCTGGTCTGTTTCTCTGAAATAGATTGTATCCCCCATTATTACATTCCAATCGTGGGACTTATCCCACCAGGTTTCAGTGATGCCTATTATGTCATATTTAGTTTGCTGTACCAAGAGCTCAAGCTCATCTTGTTTATTTCCCATGCTTTGCGCATTAGTGTACAGACATTGAAGTCCATTAATCATTTCCCCGTGACTCTTATTTAAGGATTTTTTCCTCCCACCACTAGGTCTGTGTGCTGTTTGCTCCATTTGGTCTATGACATTTGGATGATCATCTTCATCAATTGATAGACTCCTACCTTCAGGAGCACTATCTCCCTCCCCACATTAGTCAGTTTAAAGCCCTCCTGATGAGGTTTCTGAGATTTTTGGCAAAAACATTTCTCCCAACCGTTGTGAGGTGCAGCCCATCGCTTGCCAGAAGTCCATCTTCAAGAAACTGCAGTCCGTGATCTAAGAATCCAAACCGTTCCTGTTTACACCATTTGCGAAGCCAGCTGTTCACTTCCACTATTTTCCCTCTCTCCCTGGGCCACGTCGTTCAACTGGGAGGACAGTCAAACCAACTTCTGGAACAGATTAAGTTTGGCATTTTTGTTTTTGCTATTTATTTTGCATTTTTGTTTTTGAGGCTTTTTTGATTAATTTGTTTTTGTGACTGTGTGGAACCCAGTTCAGCTACTGATTGATTGATTGATTGATTGATTGTGTGACTGCGGAAATGGATAAAAGCCCACCATCTAAACAATGACCGTCACCAGTGCAGGTAAGAAAAAAAAGCATACATCTACAAATAAAACCATATCATCATTCTAATCTAATCAATGTTTGTAATTTTTGTTATGATTTTAATTTTTATCATCTACAATACTGTCTTATTTATTTAATAGTACAGTAGTACATTGATTATTGCTTTCATTTCATGGATCAATGGTCTCGTTAGATAATAAAATTCATGTTAAATTGATGTTTTAGGGTTGTTTTTAAAAGTCTGAAATGGATTAATCCTTTTTGCATTACTTTCTATGGGAAAGTGTGCCTTGGTTTTGGAACGCTTTAGTTTTGGAACGGGCTTCTGGAACAGATTAAGTTTGAGAACCAAGGTACCAATGTATACATTTGTAGGAGATTTATTTCCATATGAATCTACCCGGACCCTGAGATCATCTTCTGAGGCCCTTCTTTGTGTGCCTCCTGCACGAGAGGTCTGGAGGGTGGCAACATGAGAACGGGATTATTATTATTATTATTATTATTATTATTATTATTATTATGCCTTAGTTGCTTTGTATTCCACTCCTGATTGATTACTAGTTCATATCTGTATTGGATTTTAAATTATTTTATATAGGATTTTTTTAAAAATTATTTTATTTTCAATGCAAAATCATAACAAAAATTACAATCATTGATTAGATTAGAATGATGATAGGGTTTTATTTGTAGATGTATGCTTTTTTGACTTGTTTTTTATTTTGTTTTCCTTTTTTTGTATGTTTTGTTTTTCTTTCTTGTTTGTACAGTATTATTTTGGATTATATAGGATTTTTTTATTGTACAGCGGTACCTCGGGTTACAAACACCTCGGGTTACAAACACTTCGGGTTACAGACTCCGCTAACCCGGAAGTAGCATCTCGGGTTAAGTACTTTGCCCCAGGATGAGAACAGAAATCGTGCGGTGGCGGCAGCGGGAGGCCCCATTAGCTAAAGTGGTGCTTCAGGTTAAGAACAGTTACAGGTTGAGAACGGACCTCCAGAATGAATTAAGTTCATAACCAGAGATACCACTGTATGCTTGGAGTTGCTTTTATTGTTGAATCACTCCCAGACATTAAACAGGAAACAATTCAGAAATGGAATGAAATAAATGATCTGTAATAATCCATTCTGGAGATAACTGAAAGTCAAGGTATGCATCTATAAACTAAACAATTATACAGTCATACCTCGGGTTGAATGTGCTTCAGGTTGAGAGCACTTGGGGTGCGCTCTGCGGCAACCCGGAAGTAACGGAGTGCATTACTTCCAGGTTTCGCCGTTCGCGCATGCACAGACGCTCAAAATAACGTCACGCATATGAGCGGAAGTGGCAAAACGCAACCCACGCACACGCGCCGTGGCGTCTTACGTTCTATTCAGGATGCGAACGGGGCTCGGAACGGATCCCGTTCGCATCCCAAGGTACCACTGTACTGTCAATGATTTGGAGGGAATGCTAGATAGGGGTTTAATTGGGTGGTGTGGGAAGTTATACAATAAAACTAAGCATAACAAAGTAAGTAATCATCCAGCAACAAGGGTAGATCTAGCTTCTTGACCACAGCTGGACTATTGGAATATTCCAGAGAGATGCTTCTGTGCAGCACACAGACTTTGAAATTGTTGTGGCAAGAGGGCGGTCATTTTGCAACACATAAGCAGTGGCCATTTTCTCCCTGAGCTCAGCCAGACTGAAACAAGCAAGCAAACCACTTTTTGAGAGCCGGCCTTCGGTGGCTACAACAGCAGGAAACTCCCTGAAAACAGATCTACGCCAACATTTCGCACCTCAGTGTCTGCCGTTGCTGTTCAGAGTCCCACAATCTCCCTCCCGTTTCTTTTAAAGGAAGCATTTCATCTCTCTAGACAGAAATTGGGTGGAGATATTACATGGGAAGTGATTCACAAATGGAATCAAACCGACTAAAACATTCACTGCATGCAACATATAAATGATGGAGCATTCTATATGAGCTTATAGAAAGAACTATGCATAGATATAAACAGCATGCTGATATAAATCAGTGTGTAAATATTATAGTGTGGAAACAAGAAAACCAGAAGAGGGTTAGAGGGAAGTGGTAATCCTGTGAGTTTTAGATTACTAATACAGTGGTACCTCGGGTTACATACGCTTCAGGTTACAGACTCCGCTAACCCAGAAATATTACCTCAGGTTAAGAACTTTGCTTCAGGATGAGAACAGAAATCGTGCGGCGGCAGTGGGAGGCCCCATTAGCTAAAGTGGTGCTTCAGGTTAAGAACAGTTTCATGTTAAGAGCGGACCTCCGGAACGAATTAAGCTCTTAACCTGAGGTACCACTGTACTGTAAGAATGTATAAATATATAATATGAAAATCGATAATAGCAATTGCAAAAAAATAAAAATAAAGAGGAATGTGGGGGACGGGACATTGTGTGAAATTCATCTCTTTCTCGGGCAAGGGATCGGGCAGCCACAAAACCTTCATTTCGGAAAGTTAGAAATGGGAAGAATCATCTGAGCCACGCTGGGAGAATCCTCTTTCACCATCTCTTAATCCTCCTCTGCCTCAAAAATGGATGATGGGAGCGGTAGTCCTGGCCTTTGGCTTGGAGTCAATTTGACTCCCCCCCCCCTCTTTCTTTTTTCCTTTCTCCTGTGATGAGGCTGCATTTTAATGTTTTAATGTTGTATTTTAATCTTGTTTTTAAGTTGTATTCATTCAACTTGTTTTTATTATTGGTTGTTAGCTGCCCTGAGCCCGGCCTTGGCTGGGGAGGGCGGGGTATAAATAAATTTTATTATTATTATTATTATTATTATTATGATAATCTCCAGGTGGAAAAGCCGGAAAGCTGAGCTAACGGACCACTGGGTCTCCTCAACATCTTCTGTAGCAGCAGAGGAGCTGCCTAACTCTCTCCAACCCTTCCACCCTCCAGTTTTCAAAGCTGTTCAATTCTTACCTTATCTAAGCACCGCAGAATAAGGGTGAGCTTGCTAAGAAAGCAGCTACCTGCAGCTGCTTCGCTCTCCTTTCTCTGTTGATTTTCCTATTGCTGGGTTTTGGAGCACGAGAGGGAGGGAACGGGAACAGACTTAACATTCTTCCCACCCACCCCTTTTTTTAAAGCTAATTCCCGGAAATCATGCAAGAACAAATAAGCGATTCACGAGCCTTTCCCTTTGAACACCAGGGGGCGTTCCACGCCGCCGCCCCAAAGCTATACCGTATGTTTAACATACATATTATTACAGATTTATTGGTTTGCAAAAGTAGAATCATAGAATCATAGAGTTGGAAGAGACCCCAAGGGCCATCGAGTCCAACCCCCTGCCAAGCAGGAAACACCATCAGAGCACTCCTGACATATGGTTGTCAAGCCTCTGCTTAAAGACCTCCAAAGAAGGAGACTCCACCACACTCCTTGGCAGCAAATTCCACTGTCGAACAGCTCTTACTGTCAGGAAGTTCTTCCTAATGTTTAGGTGGAATCTTCTTTCTTGTAGTTTGGATCCATTGCTCCGTGTCCACTTCTCTGGAGCAGCAGAAAACAACCTTTCTCCCTCCTCTATGTGACATCCTTTTATATATTTGAACATGGCTATCATATCACCCCTTAACCTCCTCTTCTCCAGGCTAAACATGCCCAGCTCCCTTAGCCGTTCCTCATAAGGCATCGTTTCCAGGCCTTTGACCATTTTGGTTGCCCTCCTCTGGACACGTTCCAGTTTGTCAGTGTCCTTCTTGAACTGTGGTGCCCAGAACTGGACACAGTACTCCAGGTGAGGTCTGACCAGAGCAGAATACAGTGGCACTATTACTTCCCTTGATCTAGATGCTATACTCCTATTGATGCAGCCCAGAATTGCATTGGCTTTTTTAGCTGCCGCATCACACTGTTGGCTCATGTCAAGTTTGTGGTCAACCAAGACTCCTAGATCCTTTTCACATGTACTGCTCTCAAGCCAGGTGTCCCCCATCTTGTATTTGTGCCTCTCATTTTTTTGCCCAAGTGCAATACTTTACATTTCTCCCTGTTAAAATTCATCTTGTTTGTTTTGGCCCAGTTCTCTAATCTGTCAAGGTCGTTTTGAAGTGTGATCCTGTCCTCTGGGGTGTTAGCCACCCCTCCCAGTTTGGTGTCATCTGCAAATTTGATCAGGATGCCCTTGAGTCCATCATCCAAGTCGTTGATAAAGATGTTGAATAAGACCGGGCCCAAGACAGAACCCTGTGGCACCCCACTAGTCACTCTTCTCCAGGATGAAGAGGAACCATTGATGAGCACCCTTTGGGTTCGGTCCAGTCAGCCAGTTACAAATCCACTGAGTGGTAGCATAGTCAAGACCGCATTTTACCAGCTTCTTTACAAGAATATCATGGGGCACCTTGTCAAATGCCTTGCTGAAATCAAGGTAGGCTACATCCACTGCGTTCCCTTCATCTACCAGGCTTGTAATTCTGTCAAAAATGAGATCAGGTTAGTCTGACATGACTTATTTTTCAGAAATCCATGCTGACTATTGGTGATCACAGCATTCCTTTCTAGGTGCTCACAGACTGTTTGCTTAATGATCTGCTCCAGAATCTTCCCTGGTATTGATGTCAGACTGACTGGGCGGTAATTATTTGGGTCCTTTCTTTTCCCCTTTTGAAAATAGGGACAACATTTGTCAGGGGTTGGACTCGATGGCCCTTGTGGTCTCTTCCAACTCTATGATTCTATGATTTGCCCTCCTCCAGTCTGCCGGGACTTCGCCTGTTCTCCAGGAATTCTCAAAGATGACTGCCAGTGGTTCTGAGATCACATCTGCCAGTTCTTTTAATACTCTTGGATGCAGTTCATCTGGCCCTGGAGACTTGAATACATCTAAACTAGCCAAGTATTCTTGTACTATCTCCTTAGTTATTCTGGGCTGTGTTTCCTCTGCTGAATCATTTGCTCCAATTCTTCAGGTCGGGCATTGTTTTCTTTATTGAGAAGACTGAGGCAAAGAAGGCAGTGAGGAGTTCAGCTCTTTCTGTGTCCCCTGTTTGCATTTCACCATCTTCTCCTCTGAGTGACCCCACTGTTTCTTTGTTCTTCCTTTTGCTACGGACATATCCATAAAAGCCTTTTTTGTTGCTTTTAACCTCTCTAGCAAGCCTGAGTTCATTCTGTGCTTTAGCTTTTCTGACTTTGTGTCTACACGTGCTGGCTATTTGTTTGAATTCCTCTTTGGTGGTTTCCCCCTTTTCCATTTTTGTACACATCCTTTTTTATCTTAACTCAGTTAAAAGTTCTTTAGATAGCCACCCTGGCTTCTTTAGGCACCTTCCATGTTTCCGTCTCATTGGTATTGCCTGAAGTTGTGCTTTTAGTATCTCCCTCTTAACAAACTCCCAGCCATCATGAACTCCCTTTCCTTTTAGTATTACTGTCCATGGGATCTCACCCAGCACTTCCCTAAGTTTTATGAAGTCGGCTTTCTTAAAATCAAGAAATTGAGTCCTAGTATGCTTGGCTGCTCCTTTCCGCTGTATAGTAAACTTCAGAAGAGCATGATCACTCGCGCCTAATGATCCTTCCACTTCTACCCCACTAACCAGGTCATCAACATTGGTTAGGACCAGATCTAAAATGGCTGTTCCTCTTGTTGCTTCTCCCACTTTCTGGACAATGAAGTTGTCTGCAAGGCCAGTGAGGAATCTGTTTGACCTTATGCTCTTGGCTGAGTTTGACATCCAACAAATATCCGGGTAATTGAAGTCCCCCATTACTACTATCTCCTTCTTTTGCATGCTTGGCCATCTGTTCCAGGAAGGCATCATCTATGTCCTCCGTTTGGCTTAGGGATCTATAGTAAACTCCCACAATGAGGCCACTGTTATTCTTCTCTCCTTAATTTTGACCCAAATGCTCTCACTTTGGCTTTGAGGTTCTAAATCTTGGATCTCTTCACAGGTATACACATCCCTGACATATAACGCCACTCCTCCTCCTTTCTTGTCTGGTCTGTTTCTCTGAAATAGATTGTATCCCTCCATTATTACATTCCAATCGTGGGACTTATCCCACCAGGTTTCAGTGATGCCTATTATGTCATATTTGGTTTGCTGTACCAAGAGCTCAAGCTCATCTTGTTTATTTCCCATGCTTTGCGCATTAGTGTACAGACATTGAAGTCCATTAATCATTCCCCCGTGTCTCTTATTTAAGGATTTTTTCCTCCTACCACTAGGTCTGCGTGCTGTTTGCTCCATTTGGTCTATGACATTTGGATGATCATCTTCATCAATGGATAGACTCCTACCTTCAGGAGCACTGTCTCCTTCCCCCACATTAGTCAGTTTAAAGCCCTCCTGATGAGGTTTCTGAGATTTTTGGCAAAAACATTTCTCCCACCCGTTGTGCGGTGCCGCCCATCGCTTGCCAGAAGTCCATCTTCAAGAAACTGCAGTCCGTGATCTAAGAATCCAAACCGTTCCTGTTTACACCATTTGCGAAGCCAGCTGTTCCACTTCCACTATTTTTCCCTCTCTCCCTGGGCCACGTCGTTCAACTGGGAGGACAGATGAGATGACAATTTGTGCATTTAATTGCTTCAATTTCCTGCCCAGAGCCTCGTAGTCTCTTTTGATCTTCTGGAGGCTATTGCTTGCAGTGTCATTGGTTCCCACATGAACCAAGAGGAAGGGGTATTTGTCAGTGGGTTTTATGATTCCTTGCAGTCATTCAGTTACATCTTGGATCTTAGCCCCAGGGAGACAGCACACTTCCCGAGACATCTTGTCAGGCCCACAGATCACTGCTTCTGTTCCCCTCAGTAGAGAATCCCCTATCACCACTACACGCCTCCTCTTAGGTTTGTTCGGGGTCCTTCCGTGAGCTGTCCGTTCCAAGGTCGCCTGCACATTCCCTGAGGACTGACTTTGCTGCTCGTCTTCATATACCTGATCGACTGTAATGAGGGAGAGAGCCGCACATGGAGTCTGCTCGTCGTCTTCCATGCGAGGGGAGAGGACCTCAAAGCGAGTGTGTATGTCTAAACAATCAGAGCGAACCCTGGGCCTCCGACTTCTTTGAGTCACGTTTCTCCATATATCTGGCTCCTGTGTTGGTGAACTAGCCTCCTTCTCAGGGGAGTCCCCTGTCACCTCCTTGGTGGAGATGGTGTGCTCTGTTGCTTCCAAGAAGAGCTCCAGCTCTCTAATTCTTTGGAGTGTAGCTACACGTTCCTCCAGTTGCTGGACTTTGTCTTTTAAGAGGGCAATCAACATGCAATTGCTGCAGGTAAAGCTGCCTGCAACCTTTGGCAAGATGGCAAACATTGCGCAGGAACTGCAGGCGACTGCAGCTGTTCCCTCCCCCTCCATCTTGAGAACGTGTCGTTCGGGGTGGCTACAGCGGTCCTCCATCATAAAAAGCGTGAAGACAGGACAAATAACTTCCCCCCCCCAAAAAACCTAGGTCTCCCCCAACAAACGTTTGAGACTAGCTCCCCTAAATCTAAAAGATGGCTTAAACTGCGCGCACCACTAGGCTGCCCTGCAAGCTCTGATAAGCTCCTCCCACAGCTAATCACCTGCCTCAACAGAAACCCTGCCCCCTCTGACCTTTGCACAGGGAGAACAGCTAATCAGCCACAAAGAAACACACACACACAAGAAAACCCTTTTGCTCCTTCTTCAACTGCTGCCCTGCAAGCTCTGATAAGCTCCTCCCACAGCTAATCACCTGCCTCAGCAGAAACCCTGCCCCCTCTGACCTTTGCACAGGAGAACAGCTAATCAGCCACAAAGAAACACACACACAAAGTAAACCCTTTTTGCTCCTTCTTCAACTGCTGCCCTGCAAGCTCTTTGCCTGCCCTTCCTTCCATGCTAGGCTTGGCTTAGGCCTTGTGAGGTGGAAATCTGCCTAGTTCATTTTCCTCTGGGAGGGGAAGAGAAGGGTGGGGATCCTGAGGCTGAGACAAGCAAGCCTTGAGTTCTGGTTCTGCTTAAGGAGAAGCCAGCTGCCCAGACAGAGGTGCTGATTGGCTGACCCTTCTGACCATCACAAGCCCCTCCCACTCCCTGGCACAGTGTTGAAAGAGAAGCCTTTTTAAGGAACACAAATGGACTGGGTTTTTGGGGTCAGAGTGGCAACTACATGGTTAAAATAATAGGCATGGTGATCGGCTGGAGTGGAGGGGTAGACAAGAGCCCCCAAGGCCCCACACCTCCAGTACTTACTTTATTTTAAAACTTTCTTCTGAAATGTCAAAATTCTTTTGACATGTTAGTTGTGTGAAAGGAGCCAGCATGCTGGAAGGGTGGGAGGAGGCATTTGTGTTTAGCCCCAAAGTTGAGTGACTCCCCCCTCCAGTTGCAATTTTGGAGGAGAACTTCAGAAGTGGGAGCCTCTGCTGGGTCTGGAGGGAGATCTCTCTATGATTTTGCACCTTTACCTTCCAGGCTTCTCCACTTCCTCACTTCCTAAGCAGGCTCCCTGCTTTGGGACTTTAGCCCTAATAGCACCACAACACCTTTCACAGCACTTGCCCCCTACACACGTGTAATGCCCAGAGAGGGTGCTTCAAGAGTCCTGTGCAGGAATATCAGCTAAAGCATCCATGATAGTTGTCCACCCAGCCTCTGCTTAAAAACCTCCAAGGAAGGAGATTCCACCACTTCCCAAGGGAGCCCTTTCCGCCGCTGAGCAGCTCTTACCATTAATAGGAATGGAGGGCAGGGACAGAGGATTGGACCCAAAGATTTCTGTTTCCTGGAACAGACACGTCTAGTCTCCATGCAGCTGAAGCCACTATTCCATGTTGCAGGGACCCAAGTGGCAAGCGATAATGTCCGCACAGAACGGGGGTGGGGAACCTGTGGCTGTGGGCCAGTCTTGGCCTGCCAGGGGTAGGATTTGCCCCATGAGCAGAAGTAAAATCCTGCTCAGTTTGGCAGGACTTCATGTTCCGGATTCAGGAGGGGATTTGCTCCTGAATGAAGGGCTTCCCCTGGAGATGAGAAAGAAGCAGTTTGCCAGCTTCCCCAAGGGCTGAGTGCAAGGCAGGCAGCGCCCCTTGTGCTGCAGTTCCCAAGAGGCTGCGCACCTGCTGGGTGCTTGGAAACCCCCTCAAGGGCTTTTGGAAGGTGGGTGAGATGGACCGGTGGGCTATGCTGTGATGTCAGCTTCAGGCTCCTGCCCCTTTTGGCCCCTGGGGACAATCCTGATCAGGATCTGGCCCTGAAGCCAAAGAGATTCCCCACCTGGGACACAGAATAATGGAGGTGGGAGGAGCCTTGCCAAAGGGGTCAGCCAGAGTGTGTCCAGAGCCCTCTGGGGCCTTCGTTGGCCTTGTCAGGCTTGCAAGGAAGAAACCCAGGGGGTCAGCTGAGACCAAGCCAGCGCTGCAATGGGCAGGTCTGCTTTTCTTGCCATGGGATCAGGCCTGGCCTTGCCTTGCAGGCTTCCTCTTGGGCTCCTGGGAATTCTGCTTCTCCCCCTTTTAAAAATGGGGATTGGGTCCCTCCTGAGCCCCTGCACCTATCCATGGAAAATGCCCCATAAATGTCACCAGGGGCGCCTCTCGTTTCCTGATCATTTCTTGCAATTGCTTAGCTCAGAAAATCCCAAACTAATGAGGTGGCCACTTTAAAGGTGCCACGGACAGCCCTGGAAATGTTATCTGATTCTATTTAAAAACAGTGTTGAAGGTATAGGTGTATCGGGATTGATCCCACTTAACATCTTGAGGAAACGGGAGGGGAGTGAGCTTCATTTATAAAATGAAGGAGAAAGCAATTTATGCTGAAGAAGCAATGAGACAAAGCAACTCCCCTCCAAGCAAAAGCTCCATATCCATACCAGCTGGTGGAGTTTGGTTTGTTATTTTCGTAGGCCAACCACAAACCATTGTTTGAGTGTATAAAAATAACTATATCACCTTGGGACATGGTCTTGTAGAAGATACTAATTATTATTATTATTTTATTATTATTATTAAATATGTTGAGTAGTTCTAGAGGGAGGACTCCAAAGTAGCACTGTTATAATCATTCTACAGTGGTACCTCGGGATGCGAACAGGATCCGTTCTGGACCCCCGTTCGTATCCCGTATGGAACACAAGACGCGACGGCGCGTCTGCGTCTGTGTGAGTTGCGTTTCGGCGCTTCTGCGCATGCGCGATGTCATTTTGACCCGGAAGTAATGCGCTCCGTTACTTCCAGGTCGACGTGGAGCGCAACCCGAATTTGCCTAACCCAAAGCGTATTCATCCCGAGGTATGACTGTACTTGCCAAAGGGTGTAATCTCCCTTCTCCTCCCCCTGCAGACCTTTCTGGGGCTTCTCCTGACCCCCCCCCCCAAGCTGACTGGTGGGGAGCACATGGGAAGGAGATGGGGAGAAAGCCCCAGTTGTGTGAGTGAGACTTGTTCCTTCTGGCTCCTGCTAGACTAACTGTGTTATGCTGAATCCAGCCCAGAAAAGCAGGATTTCCTTCAAGAGAGGCTGCTCTCATCCAGGGCTTTATATGCCCCAACTCAATTCAGCTGTGAGCCAAAGGCTCCTGAGGTGAAAGAGGAAGCCAGAATTAGAGAGAGAGCAACCTGGTGTCCTCTGGGACAGCCTCTCCTCCATTGCTGAGCTCCCTCAGGCTACGCAGAAACACAAAGAGCTGTTAGGAAAACGTTCTTTAAGAAACAGATAAAGGTTCCTGGAAGCTTTCAAGAGGGTTCCAGAATTTTCTTTAGCGTGTAAGAGTGGCACTCTAGGCTTGATTGGTGTCAGCTGGAGGTGCAAATAAAGGGAGGAAGTTGCAGGCTGCAATTTCCGCAAAAGGAAAACACACACACACACACACACACTCACTCACTCACTCACACACTCTCACTCTCTCTCTCTCTCTCACACACACACACACACAGCACGCACACTGACAACAAGGTTGGAAGTAAGACAATGTGTGCTGCTGATACTGTGAGTTTTGCTGTGTCAGGATTGTTAATTACTGGACTGAGATTATACCGTGCGAACGGCACCGCTGATCGGATCGTGTCCGCAACCTGAGGTACCACTGTAGCAAAAACAAAAGCACCAAATATACTTGTACCTTTGTTCTCGAACTTAATCCGTTCCAGAAGTCCGTTTGACTTCTGAAATGTTCGAAACCAAGACGCAGCTTCTGATTGGTGCAGGTGCCCCGCAAACAAGAGCCGACAGCTGCATCGGATGTTCGAGCTTCCGAAAAACATTTAAAAACCGGAACACTTACTTCTGGGTTTTTGGCGTTTGGGAACCAAGCCGTTTGAGAACCAAAGCACCACTGTATATCACAGCCTTCCTTTCATTTAGAAACTGCAAACAAGATTTAACATGGGGAAAAAGATGGTGATTGCGATACAGCAGTGGTGAGAAAACCTCCTTAAAATCTTAAATTGCTACCCACATAAGCTAAATAAGCGAATTACTTGATCTAAAGACTGCAGGTTAATCCAGAGCGAGGAGTTTACATTCAGCCCATACTCATAGAATCATAGAATCATAGAATTGGAAGAGACCACAAGGGCCATCGAGTCCAACCCCCTGCCAAGCAGGAAACACCATCAGAGCACTCCTGACATATGGTTGTCAAGCCTCTGCTTAAAGACCTCCAAAGAAGGAGACTCCACCACACTCCTTGGCAGCAAATTCCACTGTCGAACAGCTCTTACTGTCAGGAAGTTCTTCCTAATGTTTAGGTGGAATCTTCTTTCTTGTACTTTGGATCCATTGCTCCGTGTCCGCTTCTCTGGAGCAGCAGAAAACAACCTTTCTCCCTCCTCTATGTGACATCCTTTTATATATTTGAACATGGCTATCATATCACCCCTTAACCTCCTCTTCTCCAGGCTAAACATGCCCAGCTCCCTTAGCCGTTCCTCATAAGGCATCGTTTCCAGGCCTTTGACCATTTTGGTTGCCCTCCTCTGGACACGTTCCAGTTTGTCAGTGTCCTTCTTGAACTGTGGTGCCCAGAACTGGACACAGTACTCCAGGTGAGGTCTGACCAGAGCAGAATACAGTGGCACTATTACTTCCCTTGATCTAGATGCTATACTCCTATTGATGCAGCCCAGAATTGCATTGGCTTTTTTAGCTGCCGCGTCACACTGTTGGCTCATGTCAAGTTTGTGGTCAACCAAGACTCCTAGATCTTTTTCACATGTACTGCTCTCAAGCCAGGTGTCCCCCATCTTGTATTTGTGCCTCTCATTTTTTTGCCCAAGTGCAATACTTTACATTTCTCCCTGTTAAAATTCATCTTGTTTGTTTTGGCCCAGTTCTCTAATCTGTCAAGGTCGTTTTGAAGTGTGATCCTGTCCTCTGGGGTGTTAGCCACCCTCCCAATTTGGTGTCATCTGCAAATTTGATCAGGATGCCCTTGAGTCCATCATCCAAGTCGTTGATGAAGATGTTGAATAAGACCGGGCCCAAGACAGAACCCTGTGGCACCCCACTAGTCACTCTTCTCCAGGATGAAGAGGAACCATTGATGAGCACACTTTGGGTTCGGTCAGTCAGCCAGTTACAAATCCACTGAGTGGTAGCATAGTCAAGACCACATTTTACCAGCTTCTTTACAAGAATATTATGAGGCACCTTGTCAAATGCCTTGCTGAAATCAAGGTAGGCTACATCCACTGCGTTCCCTTCATCTAGCAGGCTTGTAATTCTGTCAAAAACGAGATCAGGTTAGTCTGACAGGACTTATTTTTCAGAAATCCATGCTGACTATTGGCGATCACAGCATTCCTTTCTAGGTGCTCACAGACTGTTTGCTTAATGATCTGCTCCAGAATCTTCCCTGGTATTGATGTCAGACTGACTGGGCGGTAATTATTTGGGTCCTCTCTTTTCCCCTTTTTGAAAATAGGGACAACATTTGCCCTCCTCCAGTCTGCCGGGACTTCGCCTGTTCTCCAGGAATTCTCAAAGACTTCTACTCAGACTTACGGTTGTCCGAAGTGAGGCCTCCCTGGGTTTTCGGTGTTTGGGAACCGAGGCACCAGTGTACAAAAGTACTTGTATTGCAGGGCAGAGGGGACACAATAATGGAAAGTTCTACGGAAGAAGACTCTGCACTGGCAGGCACAGATGTCTTCCCTCCACCCCCCATGCCTGTTATTTGTGGCACAAAACAAGGATGCCAGTTGACGCTTTGCTCTCTCCCTGGCACCGTTGGCATTGGCTTTGTGGCAAAGGAGTAATAGGGAAGGATCCTGGAAGAGAGCAAAAAGCACCTTCTTAACGTGTGTAGATGATAGATCTGGGAATCCAGTTGGGAATCCAGTCTTGGCGCTGCCGATAATGAAATTAGAGAGGGGGGGTTCCCTGAAACTTTGATGACTCTGTGCTCATAGGTTTTAATACCTGTCCCAGGCAGCAAATGGGTTTTAGTTGCATTAATGAAGTGCCAATATGCCCCCCCCAAGTCTGTTGCAATCATGACCACAAAATAGGCACAGCCATGAGTCTCTCCATTCAAAATAGCTCTGAAACTTCTTCCCTCTGCCTCCTCGTCCTCCCCACTGCCCTGGTGAACTGGGGGTGGGTGAGGGGGATGGCCGATGTCTGCAGTGCTGGAGACGACAGGAAGGAAGGATGGTGTCCCTATTCCATATTCCACAGGGAGATGGGGGCCCCCACAGGGATGCTGGCTGTCAGCCCCCCTTTCTCCTTGGAGCCTTTCAGAATCCATCAGGTTGTCTGGACTGCTCACTCCATCTTCTGGGGGCTGATAGAGAACGGGGCCCCACATCTGGCAGTTGCTCTTCTTAAAAACCTGCCTTACCCCATGGAACTGACTTCCAGGAAAGAGTCCCTCAACAAGAGAGTTCAGAAATGGGCTAGTCCCACTGTGTGGGCAGCCAGGATCACAAACAGATTTTATTTTATTTTAATTTCCAATTGTAACTGCTCAATCCTCTGAATGTTTACTTGGAAGTAAGTCCAGCCCCACTCTGTGTGACTTACCTTCAAGTAAATATGCAAAGACAAATATATGAAACATGTAATGAGAGAATCAAAATGATCTGTCCCATTTAGGGATTACGGGACTTCAAAATGATTGTTTTAATGTTGTTGTTGTTTTGAAGATTTGGTGGTAGCCCCCTGGGGTGGGCAGGAGGACGCAGGGACCCCCCATCTTTGACAAGGGCAGCCTGGCTTCTGCTGAGAAGGGGGGCCATTTTGAAGTGGGGCAAACCCCCCTTGCGGCTTCCCTTTCCCTCCCAGGCTATGAGGAAACTTCTTTTTCCAAAGGCCCTTCCATGACTTTCCTCCTTTTAGGGAAAAGGTCCTTGATATTGAGAAGAGAGGGGAGAGAGATGGAGGGGAGGAGGAGCCCTACTCTCTTGAAAGGGCCCCCAATGTGTGGGTATCCCCCTTTCTAGGGGGGGTGGGGGGCAGCCGAGGCGTCTCTCCAAAAGGGGCAAGATCCAGAGGAGCAGAACTGGGGGGAAAGACAGACAGACTGTGACCTCCGACCTGCAAGGGATGCTCCCCACCCCTCCCCCGCCTCCAGGGAATTGGGATAATCCACTAGGAATTGCGGGGGGGGGAGTGTGAGGCAATGAGAGAGAGGAGGGCAATTAAAGGGGGGTTTTATAGGCTCAGGATTGTAGCGTTTCCCTCAGTGAACGTGTTATGAGGATGAGCCTTCAGAAAGATACAATGCTGGTTGATTTTTCTCACTTCTGACTGCTGCCTCTTCCCTGAGTCTCAGGCAAATGAATCCTTTTTCCTGGGCTCTTTTGCTGATGGGGGAGGGGCTGCTCTGACCCCCCTTGACCTCCTGGGCCTCTTCTGGTCCTTCCAGGGATCCACACCTATCAGTACATGTACGGCTGTGAGCTGAGGTCAGACGGGCGCAAAGGAGGCTATAGGCAGTTTGGCTACGACGGGAGAGACTTCATCACCTTTGACAAGGAGACCCTCACCTGGACGGCAGCCGAGACGGAGGCCGAAGTGAGCAAGAGGAAGTTGGATCCTGACTTGGCCCTGAACCAGTACCTGAAAGCCTACATGGAGGAGGAATGCATTGAGTGGCTGCAGAGATACCTGGACTATGGGAAGGAGACTCTGCTGAGGACAGGTGAGGGGGGCTCAGTGGGGAGGGGAGGGGGGCTCGCTGGGGCAGTTTCCCTTTAAGCTTCCCCCCCCCCCCTTAACAGTCTTCCTTTCTGGACCAAACAGCAAACACTTTTCTTGGTGGTGGCGGCAGAAATAAGTTTGGGACTCTGGGAGGAGAAAAGGGGTCACTTCATAGTATGATGGGGGGGGGGGGGAAGATGCTTAAAAACAGCCCCACATGCCTAGAATAAGGGATGGCAAAAGACAAATGGGGGGAGGGGGAAGAAAGAAACAGCAGGGAAGGGGCCAGGAAAGCAAAATGCATTTTAAATTAAGTAAAAAAAAGAAAATTGAAATGGACAGATTTGAGGCGGGATACAGAAAAACCTTTTGCCTTTACACTTGGATATGTACCTGTGGGGAAAGTCTTTAAAAGTAATTAACCCTTATTAAAAATAGAAAATGTGTGGGGAGCCCATAAAATATGGATGCAGCCCCCTCACTAAGTCTGTAGGTTAGCCCCTCGTGGCCTAGAAGCAGAAAACCTGCACATAGTGAGAGAGTATGGGAATTCCCTCTTCTACCTCTTCTACCTTTTATTTGTGATGAATTTTACTTTTTCCCATGGAGAACATTCAGAAGTGTCATCTTCCCAATCCCACCCTGTGCTTTCCACTCTTCTGCCTTCAGGAATCTGGCACAGGGGCCAGTCACATTATCCAGTGTTTTGACTTGTTTTCTTCCTGTCTCTCTTTACTAGCTTTGCTAAAATGAAAAGTAAATAAAAATGAAATAATTCTAGCACCCTCCCTTTTTGAGGCCTGACACATACGTATTAGCCATGCTTAGAGAGATCTGAGCAAATTCATCTATAGGGCCTGGTGATAATTCACCCCAGAGACACTGAGCATATTTGTTGAGGTTGAGGATTTTGCTCCAAAAGCCACATTGAAGCGTTTTCAAGGGTGACAACGTGCAAAGGAGGCTGGGAATCATCCTTTTTGGGACAGAGGTTCTGCTGAGGACAGGTGGGTGGGGAGGGGAGGTCTTGTTTTGGGTTTCTATGGGGAAAGGGCTTGACCTTCCTTCCTTCCTGCTCCCCCCAGCAGAGTCACATCCCCTCCTACACCGAGTTTCCAGTCCAGGCACTGCAAAGTGGGTGGGATCCTGGAACAGCCCCTTCAGACAACAGCAACCCAGGGAGCAAGTTTTTGAACAAGGGTTACATTCTGTGAATCGTGCCTCAAGCCAAAATGGTGTATAGTCAAAACACATTGGATTCAAGGGCGATTGGGTTGCCAAAGTACGCCCACCCCCTTCCCACCATCTTTTTGTTTTTTAGAATATTTTTGGCAAGTGCGTAAAGCTGAATGTGCACAAGTAAAATGTGCGTAAGTTGCTGGCTTACTGGGCCTCCTGGTCTGCCCTTTCCACTCCAGGGGAGGCTGCCGTGGAGAAGGGAGATGGGCCCTTTCCAACCTCCAGGGACCCTTTCAGGGCAGGCGGGAGAACTAGAAAGGAGCTCTGTCTTTCCCAGGGCTGTTGGCTTTGTTCACTATTGGGCTGAGAAGTCCCAGAGAACAGAGAGCAGTGAGTCCAGCATTTCTTCCCCCTCAAGAGAGGAACCAGGATCAGCCTGAGCTGCCCTCAGTTCATGACTTGCAACTTGGAAGGATCTGGAAGAATCCCACCATTGGGGACCTGGTGAAATTTGCCCCCTCAGCCTAGAGGTGGCTTCCTGGGACTATCTTGGAACCACAAGTTGTGTTAAAGCTTTTTAAGATGATAAATTAATTTGTGCCTAGTCCTCCCTCCCAAAGGAGTCTGCTTTGGCAAGCAAAGGATAAAACATCTAAAAACAGTTCCAGCATAGACACTGACTGGGGAAGATGCCAAGGGAGGTTGAGGAAATCACATTTATACTCAGTTCTTTTTAATTTCTGCAGATGTGAGATTCTGACTAGGTTGCCCCTTGGGTCCCTGCTCCTCTGCTCTTTAAAAATACAGGATTCCTCCAGGCTCCCGTTGTGCATGTCTCTCTGTTAACCCCAATGAATGATTGCCCTTTTTGCAGAGGCTCCGGTGGTGAAGGTGACCAGGAAGGCAGACTATGACGGCCTGGAGACCCTCGTTTGCCAAGTCCACGGCTTCTACCCCAAGGAGATTGAGGCCAACTGGGTGAAGGACGGGGAGGTCTGGCAGGAGGGCACCCTCCGAGGATTGGTCGCCCCCAACTCGGACGGGACCTACTATCTCTTGCTCATTGTCCAGATCGACCCCGAGGAGAGGGAGCGCTTCCGGTGCCGCGTGGAGCATGACAGCCTGGAGAAGCCTCTGGACGTGGCCTGGGAGAAGGAGCCAGGTGAGAAACAGACAGACAGGAGGGGAAGGGGTGGGCTCTGGGAGGGGGATTTCCACCCAACTCCTCCATTCAGCAGCAGCAGCACAGCTCAGATGGGGAACCCCAGTTGGATCCTGTCAACGTCTCTGGAGGGAAGCAGCTGAATCGGAATCTGTAGATTTCAGCAGAGATGCAGGCTTTTCTGGAAAGTGTCTCATAGGCCTTAAACTCAAATTGGTTTTTGTAGGTAAATACTAGCCGTCACCTTTTTGCCTTTAAGCCCATGTAGTTGTGATGTCACAGAATGTGGGCAGATGTGTTATTTCTTCAAAATCAAATTATCTCCTCTACATGGCTGACTTACTCACACTCTCTGTGACTGAAAAAGGGGCAGAGAACTTAAAAGAGGGAGCCCCGAACTGACTGTCCTTCACATTGAAAAAGATTCTCACTTGCTCCTCCTCACACTCGTGCCCACCTAGAAAAACTGATACTCATCTCCACTTAGCCCAAACACCCGCACACCGCTGGGAAGAGGAAGCAGGAATTTTAATAATAATAATAATAATAATAATAATAATAATAATAATAATAATAATAAAAATAAATTTTATTTATATCCCGCCCTCCCCAGCCGAAGCCGGGCTCAGGGCAGCTAACAACGCTCGTCTCTCACACACCGCCAGGAAAGCTGTGCCTGCAGGAACCAAAGCAGAATGTCTAAGAGCAAGACTCCCTTTTCCCCAGCAGGAGCACATGAACGCACATCCCCACCCACACCCCAGACCCCTTCTCACAGGCAGGCAAGCGAAAATTATGGAAGCGGCCCTTGAGCCAGAGACTCACACAGGCAGGGCAGAGGGGACCAGGACTCACTCACTAGCGCTACGGAATTCAGAGATTATACCCAAACAAAAAAACCTGGACATTTTGCCTCATTTTAAAAATTGCTCTGGACAGGCATTTTAAGTCTGAAAAAGAGGGCGTGTCCAGGAAAAACCGGACATATGGCAACCCTACACAAGATGCTTCTTCCTAAGGGTTTGTGTCTTCCCTGAAGGCCTGTAATGCTGGGCTCTGGGGGGTCTCAGAGGGGAGGGAATCCCTTCCTCTCAGGGTCATGACAGAGAAGGCTGAAGCACCTGAGCAGGAGATCTGCTTTTAAGTCTGGAGTCTGTGATGAAACAGGTGTGCCTGTCAACTGTCTTCCTTAAATAAATTGGTTATTTTGAAGACCTCTAATGCTGGACTAGGGACGCGGGTGGTGCTGTGGGTTAAACCACAGAGCCTAGGACTTGCCGATCAGAAGGTCGGAGGTTCGAATCCCCGTGACGGTGAGCTCCCGTTGCTCAGTCCCTGCTCCTGCCAACCTAGCAGTTCGAAAGCACGTCAAAGTGCAAGTAGATAAATAGGTACTGCTCTGGTGGGAAGGTAAACAGCGTTTCCGTGCACTGCTCTGTTTGGCCAGAAGCTGCTTAGTCATGCTGGCCACATGACCCGGAAGCTGTATGATGTCTCCCTCGGCCAATAAAGCGAGATGAGCGCCGCAACCCCAGAGTCGGTCACGACTGGACCTAATGGTCAGGGATCCCTTTACCTTTACCTTTAATGCTGGACTCTGGTGGAAAAAATAAACTCCCTTGTGTTGGGGCCACAACAGAGAGGACCTTGGCCTGTCAGGAGAGAGAGAGAGAAAGAGGGCCTGCTTTGTACACGTAAAATCCTCCTGGGCTCATAGCTCAGCACCTCCACTCAAATCTCCCGCTTGAGGCCTTGGGGAGCTGCTGCCACCTGTCTGAATAAAAATGTCTCTTGTCCCCTTTTAGTCAACCTGGGGCTCATTGTGGGAGCCATTTTGGGTGTCATGGCGGCCATCCTGCTGGTCTCTGGGATCATCTTCTTCTTCATCCACAGTAAGTAAACCCTGGATGTGTTTGCTGCCTCTCATGTCTCCTCCTGTCTCGGCCTCTGACTGGGAATGTGCTGGTGGAGCCTTTCTGGCAACTGCCCCTTGTATCCCTACAGACACCGTTATCCATAAAACACCCTTTGAACATGAACCCAAAGTCCTGTTGGCCATTCCGTTGTGCTCAGGAAATTCACTTCCCACCTGATGTTTTAATCAATCCTAAGCCTTCAGTCCTGTACACACTTAGCAGGGAGCCTTCCTTACATATCTTTAGGCGCCAGGCAAAAATGTTTCTCTCGTACCAGGCCTTGGGCCATTTAAATGTGAGTTACTGGTTTGTTTTTGCTTTATTGTGTATTTTGTGCTCTCATTTTGTATTTTTATGTTGTGAACTGCCCTGCCATCTTCAATAAATGAATAAATAAATATTGATCTGGGAGGATGCTGTATTGAACTGAATAGGACATTCCTCTGAGTAGACTTGCCTAGAACTGCACTGTTAAAGTTCCTTATCTCTTCCCCCCACCCTCTCTGGGCAAATTTAAGGGGTCTGCTGGGAGTGAAATAATAATTTGAAAAGGAATGAGTGAAGGGATTGGATTATGTTTCCTTCCACCCTCTTGGAATTTGTCCACTGCCTCATTTCCCCATGTTGATTTTTTTATTTAATTTCCTCAATTTTTTTCTACTTCTTTGTAACATTAGTTCCTTGAAATGCTCCCCTTCTGGGCTCCCCTTCCTTGGAGGTGTGTGGAAGAGACAAGAGAAGCATGTGCTGGGAAGGTTTCAGCATCTGAGAGCCAAATGGTCAAAATGGATTTGAGTGGCCTCTAGAGGTTCCTTCCAGCTCTGACCTTCTGCTTTTGTCTCTACAGGGAAATGGAGCGAGAAATCAGCCTACAAAGCAGCCTCAAGTGAGTGACTCCTCCCCTCTCTCTGTCTGACATATTTCCCCCCAATATGGAGCAGGAAGAGGTTACAAACAGACCAAACCTAACATGGTGGTGGCCTTAAGCCCAAGACCCTGATGGGAAGCTTCAGCCTGTCTGCTCAGCCTGTCTGTGGACAGCAAGGGGTCCCTCAGGGCCAGGAAAAGGCTGCAGAGAGACTGTCGGCTGAGGGAGGGGCTCCAAGAAGGAGCAGGAGGAAGAGCCGATGGTGTGGGGAGAGAGGGATCTCTGGTGGTTTAATCTACTAGAACCTGAAGCTAAAGAATTAGTTGGGTGGCTCAAGTCTGTGGGTGTCAGGAACCCTCCCCTCCGGATTTGGCACCACTGCTCCCCCCCCCGGCTTTCTGCCCCCTTCCTGCCCAAATCGCACCCACCCCCTCTAGTCCCCCGCTGCCTCCATGCCAGGCTGTGCCCATCTCTCTTTGCCCTCCAGCTTCTCCCTCCAGTGCTGTCCTTGAGCCCCCTTGCCTCTGGGCTGCCTGTCCCTGAACATCCCCAGATTGAGACTGATTTGGGATGGGGGTGGAAGGAGGGAGGAGGGAGGAGAAGGGCTGGGGGGATGGGATCTCCCTCCCTGGGATCCTGACTCCTGTGTTTCCTCCCTTTTGCAGCAAGTGACTAGGGGTCCAACAGCTCCACCAAGGGTAAGTGGGGGTGCAGGTGGGGGCAAAGGGGGGGTCTTGCAGAAGACTCCATGGGGAACATCCCCAAATGGGGAAAAGCTTCCCCTGTTACCCATCTTGGGGTTTCCAAGTGTGACATAATCTGGAGTGTTCACTGAGCTGAAAATCGCTCTTGTGACTCATTCTGTCTGTCCATCTGAGCTCCACAGAGGATCCCCTCCACCTGACAAATGGGTTCTACGCAGGATCTGAATGACAGATAGTCACATTTTGGGTTCAGGAAAAGGATTTCTCCTTCCAGTATGATGACTTTGTGTCCTTCTGTTATTCCCCCAAAGTGTGCAGCTTGGCTCACTTGCTTGAGCTGCCCTCTGCAGGCATTTGCTCTGCAGGCCCATTTTGGTGGTGCTCCTTAGGTCTGATTTGACATGATGAGGGATGGTGGCTTCCCTTGGGAGGCTGGACTAGACGGCCTTTGGGTTCCCACTAGCTCTGTAATGCTGATGCCCCCACACCATGATGTTGGCTTAATTTTGAAACACTCCTGTTCTTTATTTCTCCACAGTTTTGCTGTGAATTGCAGAGGCTCTGAGCTCCTGCTGTCCTTTAATGCTGTTTATGATGTTCCTTAATCCTGGCTCTCACCCATCCATTCTGACTCCAGCTGTAACTTGAATTTGAGGATAATCATGTTTTTCTGATTGATTTTGGCTGATTTTCAGAAATGTGCTTGTGTTAATCAGAAATGTGCCAGATATACACAACTAAAAGCTTTAAAAAGGGATGGTGAGATTGAGCACCAATTTTGATGGTTTCGCTTGGTTCTTTGTTGCTGTAGTTTCCTCCACAAGCCTTTCCCCAATCTTGTGTCACTCACTTTCCATCCAAATTGAAGGAAAGGCAACATTTGAGAATTGCTTTAGGTGTATCATGCATGAAATAGGCTGTTATTACTGGCTACCTGCATCTTCAGCCGCCCAGCCTATGGCTAAGTGGATGTCATGTCATGGAATGTATAAAAGCAGCCTAACTGCTCTGGCTGAATGTTTTCAATCCACCTTCTGTAGTGAGGAAGCGAAGAAGCTGGCAGGGAGGGATGATTGGCAGGGAGGAGGGATGCTTAGATGCTCAGGAGTTGAAGCTGAAAGAGAGAAGGAACAGAGTGGCTGAAGAGAAAGGCAACTTTCCTGCAGGAGATGAAAGGGATTCTTGCTTCAGATTCTGCTGACAGCCAAGGAGGAAGCCAGCAAGGAGGAGAGGCAGGTCAGGAGCTTCATGGCCAGAGTTTGATCTGAAATAAGGAGCCCCTTCTTTTGGGCTGCAGGCCTCCAGTTAATGAGACTTGTTGCCTGGTCCCCACAGCCTTCTAGGAGGGGTGACCCACTGGGAGTGGGACCACATGAACTCTTCCAAGTAAACTAGTTTTGTTGCCTTCAATTTGCCTAATTTTTATCTCATACATTCTTGCTTTTCCACCTGTGGCCCTTGAGGAACGTATTTTGCCTCTCTGCGGTTTCCACCATAGGATTTCCGCCATCTTCTTTCCCTTTTCGTAGGCTGAGGAGAGTCTTTCCTAGATATAAGAATGCAGTAACTCTTTTAGACCTCCAGGGGCTGCAAGACTCTTCTTGCCTAACCCAATGGATTTGCTGCATCTTGCTTTGAAGACACTGGATATAATAAATATTATTACTCCTTTTGTAATATCCGTTTGACTGAAATAAACAGGTGCTCTCCCTTCGTCTTTAGTGGTTCTTTCCTTCTTATCACAGGAGTTCCAGAGATTTTGAAGTTCCTGAGAATATTCACAGACTGGCAGGGAGGTGCCAATAATTGGTCTTCCTTTGTAAAGTGACTAAAGAACTAGTGTCCAAAGCGAGATGGGGACATAATCTGTGGCTTTGCAGAGGTGGAATTAAATTACCTGAAGCCAAGAGGGTGTGAAGTCTGGTCAGGGCCTGGGCGTGGGGAAAACCACCTGGATGCTGTCCTTGGTTCCAGGACGAAAGAAAGGAGGCTTGGGACTATAATAAAAGAAATGTATATATATCTCATCTGGGGCAGCGGGTGGTGGGAGATGACCAAGATGGGGTTGCCCCAAAAGTCCACAATCCCAGGTGGAAGTTCTCCTACTAAGAGAAAAAGGAGATGCCCAAAATATTTAATTTATTTTAAATTTTTATCCCACTCTTCCTCCCAAAGGAGCTCACGCAGCAAACATCAAAATGTTAAAACAATACCATTTAAAATGAGCTAATCTTTCTCCCTCTGCCCTGGATGTAAATCTTCCCTCACCCCTTCTTCCCTGATGGCGAGTGGGATGCCATTTGGGGGCCGGCCTCAGGTGTCAAAATGTATTGGGCTGGCCTTGGTGTGTGAGTTATGCTACGTACAATGTTACTTCATGGAAAACACAACTTAAGGCAATAGTGGAGCACTGCAAAATCATTTGTGTGTGAACATCTAGGAAACACATGGAGAACTGCACTGATGATTGCAAAACACTCCTAATTATTATTCCTGTACCATTATAATTTTATTGTATAATCTTAGAAGGTTGTAGACTGAGACGTATGTTAACATTTGAGCAGCTCCTCCATTGGTGTGTGTGGGGGGGTGCCCACCTTGAAAACGCCTCCGTGAAGAGGGGATCAAGTTTTTTAAAAATTATTTGCATTTTCCAAAACAGGAACAGAGAGCATATTTAACCCCTCTCTCCTTCCCTCGTCCCACTTACAACTTCATACCAAATACAACATGTATATATATACCATATGACTTTCCTTCCACACTTTTCCTGGTTCCTTTCCTTTTCTACTACTCTGCGTAATCCACATCTTTTTAATCATCCGATTTGATATCTATTAAATACTCTCATCTATTTTAACTGCTGGATTTATACGAGACCTGCTAAGCTATGTCTTTCTCTAGACTGGTTCTTGAAATATTCAATAAACAACATCCATTCCTCCTTATATTCCTTATATCTGTTTTCTCTTATCCTGTTCGTCAGACCAGTCAGTTCAGTACAGTGGTACCTCGGGTTACATACGCTTCAGGTTACAGACTCTGCTAACCCAGAAATAGTACCTCGGGTTAAGAACTCTGCTTCAGGATGAGAACAGAAATTGTGCTCTGGCGGCGAGGCAGCAGCAGGAGACCCCATTAGCTAAAGTGTTGCTTCAGGTTAAGAACGGACCTCCAGAACGAATTAAGTACTTAACCCGAGGTACCACTGTACATTCGAACATTTTACACTGCCATTCTTCCTGAGTGGGTACTATCCTTGTTCTCCACCTTTGTGCCAATAAGGTTCTAACTGTGGCAGTGGTGTATAGTAATAAAGTCTCTTGTTTTGGGGGGACCTCCATTGTTACCATCCCCAAAAGGAAACTCTCAGGTGTTTTGGGGAAAGTCTTTTTAGGTATATTTTAAAATTCATTTTATATCGTTTCCCAATATTCCTTATTATTTTACACGACCAACACATGTGAATAAAAGATCCCTCAATTTCATTACACTTCCAACATTTTCCTTTTTCTTCTTTAGACATTTTCACCAATCTGGTGGGTGTTAAATATCATCTGTGGGCCATTTTCATCATATAATTTTTTATTGCATAATTTGCCATAAAATTCATATTTATTTTCCACAACTTTCCCCACAATTCATGATTGATATTGTGACCCACATCCTGTGCCCACTTAATCCTGCTAAATTTCACAAATTCCTCTTTCGTTTCTCACTCCAACAGCAGTTTGTACAAATTTGATAATACTTCTATATTTGTATCTAATAGGTCTTTGGTAAACTCAGACTTTTGTTCTGCAAAACCATTTTTCCTATCTATCTTAAACAATTCATTAATGTGATGTACCTGTAGCTAATTGGTAACCAGATTTCTTAATTCCTCGAGATTTCTCAGTTTTGGTTCCTGTCCTGTAAGAGATAAAATTTCACTGTAAGTTAACCACTGCTTATCCATATTTATTCTTTTCCTGGTTGTAGCTTCCACTGGGGATATCCACAGTGGTGTTTTTCTTTCTAATAAGTTTTTCTACTTTCCCCATACTCTAAATAGGTTTTTTCTGATTACGTGATTTGTAAAACTTTTATATATTTCCGCTTTTCCATACCATAGGTAGGCATACACTCACTTGCACAGATTCCAAAGCTGTGACATATGTGGGAACCTTGACCATTTTTTTGCAATCCGTGACTTGCTTCAACTGGTCCCTTGAAGGATTTCCTAGAAATCACCTGATTTCCACTTCAGCTGGGGAAGAAAGCAGCCGGCAGGGGGCAGCGGAGGATCGCAAAAATGGGGAAAGCGAGAAAATACAACTAGGGACTATGCAGAAATGGATGAGGGTGTCTTGTGGCAGAGAGAGCGCGTGAGGGCAGGAGACAAACACACACAAACAAACAAACACCAGTGTTAATGGAGGACGAGTACTTCCTCAGCAAAATCTGCCTCCGTTCTTCAATTCCTGTGAGAAATGTCAGTCAAGCAGCCTGAGATGCAGTCACTTGAGATTCCTTTGCTAGGTTGGCATGCAAACAGAAATTTAGATTATTGTAACTCACCAAAGACTGTTTACTGTACCCTCAGCTATTCTTCTTATAAGTAAAAATGAAAACAAACATTAAAAATAAAAAGGCCTTGTTCTGGGAACTGCCCTGGGACTTTCCAACCTGACTCAGAGGTTGCTGAGGGAGACAGAAAGGGGCAAAGTCCCCTGGGAAACAATCCAGTTTGGAACGGAGAACCACACCAAGGACGTTTTTATGCCATCATCTATTTGTTAGACTCCATATTCTGTTTCCACACAATACCAAGAAGGGGACAAAAATAATGTCAGGAGGGACGTCCCTGCAGGCCTAGTCTTGAGAGGTGGAGAAGCCTACAAGGATCCAGTGTGGGGCTGTCGTTTGACTGGGATATGGGAGCCTGGGAGTCCTGGGTTCAAATCCCCATGCAGCCATGTAGCTCCCTCAGGGACCTTGCGCCTGTCAGGGCCGTTATGTGGAGAACATGAATGCCACCTGGATAGAAATATTCATTTTTGAAGGAATAGTCAGCAAGAGAGGAAGATGCCTTTTGCCTGCCAGAAACAGGACCCAGGAGTCCTGGCTCCTGCCAAGTCTCCTCCCAAAGAGGACCCAGGAGTCCTGGCCACTTGGCCTTGAGGAAGAGAGCTGTGGAGGCTCAGGGTTTTGTCCTTCATGCTGAGGGAGACGGGTCTTTCCAAGGCTGGAGGTGGCCCAGGCCAGGCCAAGAGGGACAAATGCCAAAGGTCTCTCCATCTGGGTGCTGAGGGACATCATGGGGAGAAAGGAAACGTCTTCCCCTGAGCGACATTTCTGCCTGCCGATCTCCCAGTCAGGCAACCTGATCTGTGGCTTTCGGTTTCTGCCTTCATGGCTGCTCTCCCTTGCACTAAAGGTCTCTTCTGCAGGGAGGTGTTGTAAACAAAATGTGCCCTTATTCCCTTATGGAGGACACAAGAGCCCTTATAGAGTCCTTTGTAGGTTCTCCATCGGTGGGAGAAAATAACAGAGGCCAACCAGATAATATTGAGAAGCAAAGCAGCTAGTAAGCCTGATCTTTATTGAACTGTTGCAACAGGGTGCTCCCCTCACACACAGGAGAGCGGAGGAAGACCCAGAACCAAGGTGTGCCTGCCCTCATACAGTCATACCTCGGGTTAAATATGCTTCAGGTTGAGCATTTTCAGGTTACGCTCCGCGGCGACCCAGAAGTAATGGAACGCGTTACTTCCGGGTTTCGCCACTCGCGCATGCACAGACGCTCAAAATGACCTAACGTGCATGCGCAGAAGCATGCAAACGCAACCCACGCACACATGCACAGTTGTGTGTTACATTCTACTCAGGATGTGAACAGGGCTCCAGAATGGATCCCGTTCGCATCCAGAGGTACCACTGTATAGACATTTTAAATTCCCCGCTCTGGAGCTCAAGACCACCCCTCCATACAACATACATACACCACAGAAGGGGTGTAACCCAAGTCCACCCCCCAAAAAACATCACACAAACACCACAGAAAAGGCAGTCTACAACAGAAATTTGAATGTTGTTTTTCCTGTCTGCCAGGTTATCTCATAATGCCTTATCTGATTGCCTTTTCTGGTAGTCTGGCCATTCCATTGAGATGGTGATTACCCAATTCCTGAGACAATGGAAAGGTTCCCTCGCCCGCTCCTCCTTGCAGAGAAAACATTTGGTCAGTTTGGGAGTCAAAATGGTTTCAGGGCGGTCTTCCTGTGCTGCTCCAGACATGTGGTCCCCATCTCTATGTACGTGCTTGGTTGGAACATTTATGGACATTTATTATATATATAATAGACCTTAAATTTTTTATTACAGAGGGAAGCGGGGAGGCTGAGGCAGCCCCACCCAGCCTGCTTGTCGGGGACGGAAGCCATTTTGTGGAGGGCTGGCAGTGAAGCAGAAAGGGAGGGGAAATGGCTGCCTCCTCCTTCCCGAAGGGGCTGCCTCAAGCGGCTGCTTTGTTTTTTATCTTCATGCCACTATCTCCCTAAATTGGTTCAATGGTGGTTTAAAATCACATAACAAAGCTATGTCTAAAGTCCTGAAAAATTCTTTAAAGTCTGTGAAGAGCAAAATATTTTCCTCCTGGCCATTAGTTGTTCTTGCACACTCCACCTCCATGAAGAGGGGAAAGGAGAGGAAGAAAAGCCTCCACAGAGGAGACCAGGGGAGCAGAAGGCTCCTCAAGCCACCGAGGACTTTCTAAAACAAGACTAGCACTTTGGATTGAACTCAGAACCAGACAAACAGGCAGAGGGTCTTTTGGCCCTGGTGAGATTTGGCCCTAAATGAGCTGTGACAGGGAAAATCCTCTCAGGTTTATCTTGTAGCAGCTGAAGCTTCCCTAATGTATTGGGGAAAACAACATATATTGCAATAATCCTGTCAGGAGGTGAGCAGAATATGGATCATTGTGGACAGATTATCCCTGTCCAGGAAAAACTAGATGGAGCAGGTGAAAAGTGAAGCTTAAGATGTCCCTGAGGTGACTGAGCCCATTTAGTCCCAAAAGTGGGTCCAGGAGAGCCCCCCTCAAAACAGCCAGCCTCCTCCTTCACAGGAGCTTCTTTTCTTATACTAGTGAGGTTGCTTAGGTGACATCTATGGCCATCATCTCACCGAGAAAGTTCAACAATGGATCCCTCCATTAGATTTCAACCTTGGCTGGATCCAGGATCCCAGGAATTAGAAGGGACTCCTGCAGACTAACCTCACCCCCCAAACTCACAATAATATTTTGGCATCAGACAAGGGGAAATAGGGATGATAGAGATCACGCAGCTTGGGAAAAAGAGAACTCCCAAATAATTCTTTACCTTCCGACTTCACAGCCCCCCCCCCTTAAATCAAAAGCTTCCTTGTACCTGGGCAAGGAGCAGCCACTACTTGTCTCTTTCCTGATATCTTGGAAAAGGCAGCAGTTTCTGCGTGTGTCCCATGCTTAGCTCATGTTTCAAACGTTCAGGCTTCTGGAAGTGGGATGTGGGCCAAGCACTCTCTGGGCCAAGCACCCAGCCTTGGCTCAGGGCCTTCCAGAAGAGGCTTGGCAGCCGCTGGGTCTTGCTGGCTGTGCAAAGGGGGCCTCCCTGACCCCAACACCCAGGGCCTGCAGGATTAAGAGGGTCCCAGGCAGGGGGAGAGAAACTCACGTTGGGGAGGAAGCAGAGATATGTGGGGATATAAAATGCCCCTTTAAAAAGCACATGGAGAAAGGAAATTGCGGCAAGCTGGTGGGCTCTGGTCTGACCCTGTGCTTGTCAGTGTCCCACCACCTGCTGTGCTTCTCTGTGTGGTCATACTCTCTCTCTCTCTCTCTCTCTCTCTCTCTCTGTCTGTTTTGACTTCAACCCTGAGGTTCAGCCCTAGTTGCAACACTGAGCATTTATTACAAGGCACACACTTAACCACTGGAACCCCCTGCCACTAGATAGAAGGACTCAGGAGAAGAGCTGGGCTGCTGGATCACCCCAAAGGGGCCCATCAAGTCCAGCATGGCGGTCTCCCAGTGGCCACCCAGATGCCCCAGTAAGGAAGAATGCAAGGAGGACAGGAGGGACGCCCAGTGAGTGGGATGCTAATGCATTTACTGCCTCTGGCAGTGGAGGAAGAAGGGAGCCATCTTTTAAGACTTGTAAGGGCTTTTTTTTAAAAAAAAGGACACAGGAGGCTGCCTTGCACTGACTCTGTGGGAACGTTTATATAATTTAGCCGAGTTTAAACGATTCCCTGTTTGAGTTTATGCAGCGACAGAGCGGATTGCTAACTCGTTTAAGTCCTATCAATATTTATACCTTCCCGGTTGATAATCCCTTCTGTCCCTCCAAACAAAACACACATGAATCTGAATCATATTAACAGAAACTACTTTACTTTCAGATTCATTCAGTTTACAGAGTTGTTCCTGAAGGCAGGCTTTAGTTACTTAACAGATAAACTGTATACTAGATAGTAGTGAATCATGAGAACACTGTATCCATAGCAAGGGCGTAGGAAGGGAGCGGCGGGGGGCGGGTCGCCCGGGTTCCATCATGGGTGTGTGTGACAAATAAGGAACAATTACTGCCATACTAGGGCAGTTCATTTAAAAAAAAAATTTTTTTTTTTGAAAATGCCTGTTCCAAAGGTCTTATCTTACTACACAAGGGATTATATGTATGAAATTTCATGCATATCAGTTAATATCTTGACCCTCCTCCACGAAAATAGCTGTTTACTTGGCTGTTTTCCTGTGTTGTCAAGGCTGAAATTTCAACTCAGTGGAGCAGGGTCACCATCCCAAAGAGGATAAAATGGCTCCTTGCCTGTTACATTACATGCGGGGAAACCCGTGTGGGGTTCCTCTCTGTATAAAGTTTTCAAGCTGTTCCTGCGCATGCCTGACAAATTTGCCCCATTGTCAAAATTTATCTTTTCCCCACCTCCAGTCTCTGTTGTTGTGTGTCCTGGCTGAGGGGAAAATAGAAGACAGATGGCCATTGGTCAGGGATGGTCTAGTTGCGATTCCTGCATTGCCCCAGGGATTTGGCTAGATGACCCTCAGGGGTCCCCTCCAACTCTACAGTTCTCTGGTGCAGGCTTGTGCAGAGGTTTAGGTACAAGTTGGATGCAAGGGGTGCATAGGATTGCAGCCCATCTTATGCACCGTCGACTCGGGAATAAGTCCCACTGATCATGATGAGACTAGATTGCTGCTTGCAGTCCTGTTTTTTAAATAAATGTTTTCCTTTTCAGATAATACAGAGCACGGTGAAATCACAATAAATAAAACCTCCCCTTCAGTAGTTTCAAGCAGTGCTACAGGTTCCACATAATATCTGTAGTGCATTGTTTACTGTGACGGCACCTGCACTTTGGAACTCCCCGCCTATTGCAATAAAGCACGTGCCTTTGCTAGACTCTTTTCGGGCACCTGCTAAAAGCATTCTTCTTTAGGCAAGCATACCTAGATCCTTTGGAAGTTGAAGTAATTTTAATCTTAATATTTTAGCTTCTGTATGTTTTAAAGTAGGGTTGTTAATTTTTCTTGATTTTACTGCTGTGGTGTAGTTGTTTTTGGTAAACCACTTTGCAGGTTTTTAAAAATAAATTTTATTAAATAAATAAACAATAAATATAAATAAAATAACACAAGCCAAAACACAATTCATCCTTAGATTTAAGTATCTGTCCATAGTCGCCTACTTGTTATCAGAGGCCCAGAATCCACGTTCCTTTGTAAGAAAATATGAAATAACGTAAAACCATTTTTGCAGGCAATTTTTTTTTTTTTAATTCAATGTTGGGGAGGGGTGACACGAAATTTTCCTCACTGGGTACCACCTGACCTTCCTCCCTCTCTGCATCCGAGCAGTTACCAGTCAACACTCCCAGCAGCAACCCACCAACAGACCAACTGCCACATAGAGGCAGTTAGTCCTCTGGGAATGTTGGGCTTGACTGACAGCTTTACAGACTCAGCCCTCGAGTGCATCTCCCTGGGGATCTCACAGCCCCTCCCCCCAGTTCCAGAGAGGGGGACATTCCCAGACCCCCCTGGAGATGCGGGGATTGAACCTGGGGTCCTCCCCTGGGAAACCCCCTCCGCCCTCCCTGCAGGGCAGGACAGGAAGAGCTGAGAGGGAGGGAGGAGGAAGGGAGGCGGCGATTCCCAGCGAGGAGCTGCAATCACTTTCTCTTTCCCTCTCCAGCCTCGCTGCCAGACTTGCGCCTCGAGTTCCGCCCGTCAACCGGTGCCGCCATCTGCGCGCAGATTTCTGATTGGTGGAATATTACCCCGTCGCCCAATCCCGGCTCTTGCTGCTGCTGGTTCCGCAGGCGGGGCAGAGAGCGGGTCTCAGAGCGGCGGAGGGAGGAGGAAAAGGGCGCTTCGTTTTGGGGGGAGATGGGGGTCCTCCTCCTCCGCTGGCCCCCCCTGATCCTGGGGGCGGCTGCCCACCTGCTGCTGCTCCTGGACTGCGCAGGTAAGGACTCTGCTCTGGGGCGGGGGGAGAAAATAATCCCTTCCCAAACATCTGTTTCCCAGACTTGGCTTGTTTTGTATGCCGTCCGGGGCAGGGGCCGCTTCACTCCTTGGCTCGAGGCTCAAGCAAAGAACAAAACAAAGCTGGAAGGTGTTGGCAGGATTAATGGCGGGGAAAGTGACTCGCCTGTCCCGCCCCCCCGCAGTTTTGTGTTGACTCTGGTTTGTGTTTTGTGTGTGTGTGTGTGTGTGTGTGAGAGAGAGAGAGAGAGAGAGTGTCTTCCCTCTTCTGTTTTTTACCTTCCCTCTTCTAATCTAACCCTCAGCCGCTCTAAAAACTCTGGAGACCAGCCTGAGGGTGGGAGCTGGACGCGTGTAGAGCTGACTTCATTGCGGGGGAAACGTCTGAATAAGGGGTCCCCACCCGCAATTCCCAGTCTTGTTTTGTTCAGGAGTTCCCTTTCATCATCAGGTTTTTCTGCTTTACACTTGTAACTCCCCCAGTCTCCCCACCAAGAAAACCCCTTTGCAGTTGCCTGTCAAAAATGTAGGTTTCCTAAAGTATGCAGGGGGCTTCTCTCTGCCGTTTCTGTACAGCCCCTTGTGCATGAAGGGCACAAACAACTCCTAAGAAACAAAAGGGGGCCCCCACCCTACAGCCCGGTTCCCCTTGAATAGCCCCTCCTTTATATTCTCCCTCCCCCCCAAAAAAAAATTCAAAAAAGTTGGAGCCTCTGCCTGGCTTCTGGGGCTCCTAGTGATGAATTTCCCTTGCTCAGAATATTCCTGCTCCCTCAGCCCTCCAATCGACTGGCTCTGCATACTATTTAAGGATTTATCACTATTAAATTCTTAATTCCACATTCCTGATTGCTGCCTTTGGTGTTGTTCTCCTTTTGGGGTTGCCACTCATGTTCTCTGTTTAACTAAAAAAATGTATATCCTGCTCGATTGTGGTAAAAACTCTTATTGATTTACAGGAAATAGTAAAATAACAGAAACAGTTTAAAGTATTAAAAAAATAACTAAAATTAGCATTGAGAGGTCAAAACACGTCAACATTTATGTATCTGGATAGGGTTGCCCAAAGAAAAATGTTTGACACTCTTGGGGGCCAATCATATTCTTCATGGGTGGGGAGAAAGAAGAGTAAGACCTGTTATTTCTGTTAAACTCTCTCCATATAGGGGGGCTTTGGGAGGGCAAAGGGTGGTGGAGACCACTGGTTCCTTCAGATTCCTCCTCATTTTGGGGACTCATTTTGTGGCTCTTTGTCTCCCGACCACTGAGCAGAACTGCCTGTGTTGTTCAGCCAGATGCCACAACCAGAGGCAGCCTCGCTCTGAGCTCTTGTGGTTTGAAGTGGGGAAAGCCCTCGTCCTAGGAGTGGGGTCTGGGAAGTGGATCCCATTTGATCTTGCCTGAAAGGAAACCGAGCTGGAGGGAAGTAGCAGAGGCGCAGCATCAAGGCGGACGTAATTCAAGCAAACTCATCTTGTAGGTTTTCGCTTCCTTGCACTCTGTTTTCCACCGTGGAACTCCCTCAGAAGGTGGTAGATTCTCCTTCCTTGGAGGCATTTTAGCACAGGTTGTATGGCCTTCTGCCATGGATGCTGCAGTTGAGATGCCAGCATCGCAGGGGGTGGGACCTTCAGGGTCCCATCTATGAATTTTATTTTAGTTTCCTAGTTTTTTTGAGATGAGTCACTGGCCAAACCTGAGTGGACTTCTTCCTCCTTGAGGATGAAGTTATCCAAAGTGCATTCAACACAATTTCCCCAGGGGTATGATTGGTCCTCAAGGACCACCTCTTTCCATATGAACCTACCTGGACCCTGAGATAATCTTCTTAGGCCCTTCTTTGTGTGCCTCTTCCTCGAGAGCCTGGAGGGTGGCAACGCAAGAACAGGGCCTTCTCTGCAGTGGCTCCCTGTCTGTGAGATGCTCTCCCCAGGGAAGTTCGCCTGGCACCTACATTGTACACCTTTAGTTGCCAGGCAAAATGCTCATTTTTAACCAGGCCTTTGGTTGATTTGACTAACATCCTATTAAAATGTGGTTTTGTTGGGGGGGGGGGTTATTAGGTTGTTGTTTTTATTTGGATTATATATTTTGTGGTTATATTTTGATTTTGTTCTGTGAACCACCCTGAGATCTCCGGGTATAG